GTTTTGCAGCTTCGTCCCGGACCGCCTCGGGGTCGTCAAGTATACGAGCGGGTTGGAAAGGCCAGATTCCAGTCTTCCGGAAGCCGGATATGATATTCCGGGCTGACATACCCTGCGCTGAGGCGTCCCGGTAGCAAAAAAGGAAGCGTTGCTTGTTGATAGGTGCTGAGGCTGTGAAGGAAGCCAATTCGAGGGTTCTTTGGCGAAAATAGGACTTCAAAGCCGAAAAGACAGACCGGTCGAGTGGCTGGGTCTTGTGAGAAGTGTGTGAAGGCAAGTATAGTAGGTGTACGCGGTTTCTTTTAGCTAGAAGCATAAAGTCTCCGTCGATATGAGTAGCGTGTTCGTCGAGGATTAATAGGCGCCAATCGTCCTTCCTTTGGGGCTTTGTTTGAGGAAGATATACTTCCTTGAGCCACATAAGAGCTATTTTGCTATTGCTCCAGCCTGTGGGCGTACAGTCGTACTTCCAGGTCTTGAGGACTGGTAGTTCCTTGAAGTTATCCGGGAAGTGTTGGCCTTGTAGATTTTCACCCGTAAAGATCACTACGGGCGTCAATCGCTTGCCCTCAGCGGTACCACACTCGATAATACTGACCCAGGTCGTTGGATCAGGGCCAGTCAGGACTACCCGAGATGTGAGGGCATCGCCAATCACCTTCCCAACTATAGTTTCCGTCTCTTACATGCCATGTTCGTCCATATTGGCGATATTCGCAGGTACCAGCTTCTTGTCCTTAATTACAGCTTCCAAACGATCAAAAAAATGCGGAATCTCTCACGGGTAGATCCTTTGACTCGAGACCGTTCTAATAAGGTACCTAACTTGGCCTTTACCCTGGGGTTGCGGGTAAAAAACCGATCTACCCAGCGCTCACCAACTCGCCCAGGGAGCCCGGCTTCGTTCAGGATCGCTTGTGCGAATCGTCTTAGCTGTGCACGACTTGGGGCACGCCCTGCAGCTTCCTCCTCAAGAGCCCACTCGGCGACGAAGGCTTCCTGGCCGTCAGTTAACTTCTGGGTGTTTTTTTGGGCTTGTCGTGGATCCTGTTGTCCACGGCGTCGTCTGCTGAGGGTGGATTCAGGGATCCTATATAGGCGCGCTACTTCCTTCTGCTGAGCGCCCTGATCAATAGCCTCAATAGCCTCGGCTATTAGCCGCTCTCGTACGCGTCGAACCATCGTATTTTGAGCCTATTCCGACCAGTATTGAGGAAGTTGTTGGTGGTGGAAGGTAGAGAGTAGGAAGTTGGCGGTGTGGGGGAAAAATTGCAAAGTGGGGCGATTGCAAAGGTGGGTCACCCTGTCTAGATGCTCGTCTCCATGGTATATTCTGCGAGTTAGCAGATCGTGTCACGTTCAGCAATGTCAACAAGAGGGTAGAATGTGATGTATTGTTCAGGGAAGAAAAAAGGGCGGAATTCCCTGCTTATGACACTTGAATGCCTACTGTCTAGCATGTAAGCACTAGGCCGTTGTTAGCGTACTATGGTAGATCAACACCCGTAAACGCGCCATTTCAAAGTGACCCTATTACGTAACAGATCAAAGACGTGTGCAGGGGCCAGGTCTTGCTCATCGCTCAACAGGATCGTCAGGGAGTTGCTGTTGGGCTGGTGTAAACGGGGTACGGGGTCTTCGGGCAACCAGAGACAACAAAATTAGGCACTCTCTTGTTAATCTCTTTGTTCCCTCCACCTATTCACATGAGATAGCTGGGGTGTGTGCAATTTCACCTTTGCCGTTTCTTCCGCTTCCAAGTCACACCTTTGGGATGCTGATGCTCCAAAGGGGTGAGTCTTTATGCAATTAGCAAATGATACTGTTGATGTTATCCGTCACCAGATTGCTTTAAGCACTAGATGGCAAAATGCAATGGCATATACCCCGGCTTCCTAGCTTTGGGGTTGATGCATGTTTTCTTGGTTATTTCTCTCACGAACACTGCAAGCAGTGAGACCCTGTAATTGGCTAGTTGACAACAATAGAAAGCTGCACCAGCCCAGTAACCAGCCTCGACGGCACGCTGGCAGCCGCACGGGTGGCAGGGCCGAGTTGCGGTGGCCGTCTCCGCGGTGGATGTCTGCATCCGAGACTTGGCCATGCACGTCACCTAAACGGGACGCCGCAGATCCCTGGCCGGACGCCAAGCCTTGGGCACGGGATCCGGAATCTCTTTTGTTCCGGGCAGATTTTGCGGCTGCGTGTCTCTCTCACGCGTTTTTCAGCGGCCGGCTTGGGTTTGACTCGTTACTTGATGGGCGAGCTGTGTTCAGGAGCCTGTTATTCCGGTTTTCGGCTTAGGAGTTTGGGCGATGTGGACGTGTTGATCCAGCTGCTTGGCTGGCGGGGAGGGAGAGTCGGGACCAACGATGGGCACTGGAGTAAGCCCTAGCCCTAGCTCGCACTCCCCGGAGTTGGGCTCTGGCGTTCTTCCTCCCATGCAGTTGTTGCAGGGGGGGTTGGCTCTTGGGGGACGACTCTTCGCAGTGGCATCGGATCCAGACTACGGGCGTGGCGTGATTGTGAACGAGTCGGCAGGGTGCTCTCGGAAGTCCCAACCACGAAAAGCTCGATGCTCGCCTAGCATACGAGTTCGGGAGTCGGCATATTGATGCCCCAGAGGCATGGGCACCCAGAATGCGACATTGGGCACGTCAACGTCCCGGGCGCCCGACTGGGACTGGGAGCGCATAGGGAGGGGCCTGGGAAGTGTGAGTCGTGCCATGGCATGGCATGGCATGGGTGGCCGGGAAGTGTGAGTGGGTCGGATCCCTCGCGAGAGTGGGCTTCTGATAAGGCCAGTGCTGCAGACTCCCCCTCTCTCCGACACGTAGGCCGCGTCTGTGGAGAAGCTGGGGAAATACGGGGAACAAGTAGTAGGGTTGCTCCCTGTCTGGAATTCCCAGACAGCAGAGTTCGGGCGTTCCAGTAGTAGCGGCAGATTGATCAGCATCAGTCACGGTGGAGGCACCCAGGGCTATTTTTGCCTACGTGAGCAATGAGATTATGAGTGCCTACGTGGGCAATGAGATTATGAGTGCCTACGTGGGCAATGAGATTATGAGGAGCCTCGGCGGCTTCTGCGGCTACCAGGATAGCTATCGGAGCCTGTGTGGATGCGGCGCAACGCCCAGGAAGTGGCACTGGTTGATGTTGTTTGGTCCAAGTCCAGCACCCGCTGCTGCCCAATCCTGGCGGTTGGAGTCGCCGACGGGCTTCGTATTGCAGCGTCTGCTCAATTAGGGATTTGGGAATTTGGCGCTACCGAGACTGAGTACCGTCCGTTTCTGGCATGCCGAGGCCCGTAGCGGAAGCTAGCCCGGGTAAGTGCTTATGATTGGCGAGCTAAGCCACTGGATACGCGGTGGAGGATCGGACAGGCAGATAGGCGATTGGGCTGGCTGGCGACGTTGATTGTACCCAACTACCACCTTTTGGTGGTGTGGGACACTTGGTGTGGGACACTTGGTCTGGGACACTTTGTGTGGGAGAGCACAAGGTGTGGCAACACAGCGACGGCATAGCCTGACATAGACCGAGCGTTGATGCCCAAGCCTATATCTGTGCGATTTTCAGCTCGACGTCTGCGCCTCTTGCCCGGTTGACCCGAACCCACGGCCGCTTGTGCTGCAGCTTGCATGGCTTCCATTAGTTGCCGGCAACTACCAGGAAAACTGCCGAATGTCACAGGGCCCATGTGTTACCACCTCTGGTCACTGGTGTTGCTATACATGCACCGATGCTATACGCGCAGCGCACCGATGCTATACATGCACTGATATAAGGGCCGGCAGGCGGTGGGTTGCTGGTAGCCAACCAGAGACGACTATCGCAAAGAGTGCTTAGTGAAGCAAACTGGGGTGCAGGCTTGAACCCGAAGAATTTCGTGATCCAATGTGAAATAGTCGGACGATGGCTTGTTTGTGCCGCCTTTCCAGCCCACCAATTGTCAGGGATTTGCCGTCAATCATTTTCGAGTATTTTCTCCGTCACCATGACGCATCAGACATCTTCGTACATTGGCCTCCTCCTGCTACGTTCCCGACTGCAAGAGCCCCCGCATGCAAGTCATTCTCGTGACTCGCCCCGCCGGCATCGGAGTTTTAATTACCGTTGTCAACACCTGGGTTGGGATCCAGCGTGGTGGGAGGTCCTGCCGGCTACGTGCAAGGGTGTGGATTGTCTACGATAGGGTCGAGACGATGCAACCCAGGGAGCCACGGGTTCAGACGGGTGACGTCGCTTGTCTGCGGAATGCAAACAAACGGAGCTAACGTCCTCCAGTGCAGGACTAGACCATGATCGAGGCAAAGATAACGGGAGCGGGCAGCATGACCAACTGAGACCTATCAGGGGCCGTCCACGCTTTTCCCCTGTCTAATTGGACATACGCAGGTGCGCGGCAGGTGGCTCCTCCCGTCAAGACCAAGCTGATATCATAATGGCGCCACCGCATGGGAATAAGAAGGCAGCACTACTACCGCGGGCGCTAGATAAATTGTCACGCAACATGGCATGTCCAGCCTACCTAGAGCTCAGCGTCGCCAGCAAGCTAGCGCGGTTGCCGGTGCATTGACCCCGTCTACCCCGTCCAAGACCCGACAAGTTGGGGTTTGTCGGGCTGATCCCCTAGCACCTTGGCAGATGACTGCACACTGGCCGCATGCACATGGGCTTTGGTATAGCCGTGATTTGAGGGGAGCATGCGTGAAGGAAGTTCACGTTCGTGCTAGGATAAATAGACGAGTCAGCCCCAGGCTCTGCAACCCATGGCCTCGGCCTCAGCAGCAGCAACACAACAACAGTCAGTATCACGCTATACACGAGGTCAGCACACATCCCGGACCCAAGGCCATGGGGTCGAGCTGAAGCTGAGGGAGTCAGCCAAGGCAGATTTCCCTGCCAGACCAGTGCCGACGCATCATCCCCCGGCAGGCAAATGGCGGTAGGCTATCTCTCTACCTCACCCGAACAACGACACAGGATAACAGGAAGCTCTGCAGTTCGAAATTGGCGACGTCGTGCGGATCCGGGGCCAAACCTACACGTACAAAGTCATTGCCATCACCAACTCGCTGATTACCATTCTCGTTGTCAATCCGCAGCCGGATGGGACCGTCTTGACGTTTAGTCCAATATGCCTGCAGAGCGTCGACGAGTCAAGGATCGAAAAGGTTGAGGACGGGGGATGAGTGCTGTGCGCTGGGCCGGCGTGGTCTGGATGCGTAGAATGTGGGCCGAACAAATACCTGTGATTGGCACTCCATTCTCTCATCCTCTCACTTTGTGGTGCGCGCTGCATCGCTGTCGTTATTGTGTACCAGAAAAACTGCACACCAAGCTCAAAGACACAATCCTTGCCTCTCCAAAGTGTCTTTCTTGGTCAATGAACCCGCCGCAAACCAGCGCCGCAAACCAGCGCCTTTGCTGCCCCCCCCCCCCCCCCCCCCCGCCCTCGCTCCTTTCCCAGATCTCCGGCCCAACCCTAACCCTACACACCCCTTTTGTTGCCATAAACAAGGTCTCCTTTGGGTCTTTACCACGGCAACTGCGCCCACGAACAATTTGGCAGTGGCCTATGCTTCCCCAATCCGACCAACGCTTCAGCTGCAAGACGAAGCCGCAGGTGCGCAAATGCAGTATCCCTGGTGCTGCATGCGCTGTAGCCACCGCTGTCCGAGACTCCTGACTCGCCATCCCCATTCGCCTGCCTGACCACAAGTTCGACCACAACATGCCATGGTTTGGCTTCGAGACAGTGGCCCATGACACGAAAGGCAGCCCGCCGTATTACCCTCGCCAGAGGACAGCTGATCGACGGGCCTGGCATTGGCAATCCGCACCAATGATAGCAGATGGTGGCGTTTAGCGGCTAAATTGGCCACGCAGCCAGTACTGTCGACACAGCACCCCTGTAGGCCCAGATTGATTGCATCCCGCGGCAGTGATGCACGTAAATCTCCGCGCCGGCGGGAGTGGCGGCACCCTTTGCGGGGAAGAAGTCTGGGGAACGTGATCAACCGGATATTGATCGACGCCCTTCTCCAACTGCACATGGCACCCTGTCAGTCTTGGCCATTTGCGGACAATTCTGGCAATGGACGACGGCGCCGGCAACGGCTGCTTGCGGAGAGTTTGCCCTCCAATCAGAGCAGACGTCGCCTCTCCAGCTTCCCTTCCTCCAGGACGCCACGACACTGCAACACCTACACAGGAACAGGAACAGGCAATATCGCCCGGAGAAACAACGACCCAGGTACAGAGGCCGACACCAGACTCAGCAGACACTGGCGGTCGACACCAGACTCAGCAGACACTGGCCGCTATCAAGTGTCTACGACGTCCATGCCGTTTCGAGCCAGAAGCCCCGTACTTCTTGACTGCAAAAGACGACAATGGTCAGGCTTGCAATTGCCGGCCTCGTCGTGGCCACCCTCTGCGCGCCTGCGAGAGGGGGGCTCAAGTACCCAGACTGCGCCAGCGGGCCGCTCAAGTCGAATCTGGTATGCAACACGTCGGCGGCGCCAGAAGCGCGGGCGTCGGCGCTGGTGGCGGCCATGAGCAACAGCGACAAGCTCGAAAATCTCGTCAAGTATGCCTAACCCCCAATCAGACCTAAACCAAAACCAAAACAAACTGACAGCCGACCGCCAGCAACTCGCCCGGCGTGTCAAAACTGGGCCTCAGCGCGTACCAGTGGTGGAACGAGGCCCTGCACGGCGTGGCCCGTAACCGCGGCATCACATGGGGCGGGCAGTTCGGCGCGGCGACGCAGTTCCCGCAGGCCATCACGACGGGCGCAACGTTTGACGACGAGCTGGTGCGGCAGATGGGCGAGGTGATCGGGACAGAAGCGCGAGCGTTTGCCAACGCGGGGCGCGCCCACCTCGACTTCTGGACGCCCAACGTGAACCCGTTCCGCGACCCGCGATGGGGGCGCGGCCACGAGACGCCTGGCGAGGACGCCTTCCGCAACAGCCGGTGGGCCGCCGCCTTTGTGCGCGGCATGCAGGGAGACCCTGCGGGCCAGTCGACGCACCGCGTCGTCGCCACGTGCAAGCACTTTGCCGCGTACGACCTCGAGAACTCGGGGAGCGCCACGACGCGCTTCAACTTCGACGCCAAGGTGACCACCCAGGATCTCGCCGAGTACTACCTGCCGCCGTTCCAGCAGTGCGCGCGCGACTCGCGCGTCGGCTCCGTCATGTGCAGCTACAACGCCGTCAACGGCGTGCCGGCCTGCGCCAACGCCTACCTCATGGACACGATCCTGCGCAAGCACTGGTACGTTCCCGCACAAGCACTGGTAGTCCCTAAAGCGGGCTACTAAATCGATGTCAGTAGAATAATACGAGAGAGAAAAAACCAGGAACTGGACTGGCGACAACCAGTACGTCGTCAGCGACTGCGACGCCGTGTACTACCTGGGCAACGCCAACGGCGGGCACCGATACAAGGCGAGCTACGCGGCAGCCATCGGCGCAGCACTCACCGCAGGCTGCGACAACATGTGCTGGGCGACGGACGGCACGGCGCCCAACGCGGCCGCTGCCTTCAGCAGCAAGCAGTTCGGCCAGGAGACGCTCGACCGAGCGCTAGTACGGCAGATGCAGGGCCTCGTGCGCGCGGGCTACTTTGATGGGCCGGGTGGCGCGTACCGCAGCCTCGGCGCCAGCGACGTCAACACGGCGGCCGCGCAGGCCCTCGCGCTGCGCGCCGCACGCGAGGGCATCGTGCTGCTGAAGAACGACGGCGGGTTCCTGCCGCTAACCGCACTCGACGCGTCGTCCTCGGGCACGTCCGTCGCCATGGTCGGCTTCTGGGCGCAGGCCGCGGACCGCATGCTCGGCGGGTACAGCGGCAACCCGCCGTTCCAGCACGGCGCGGTGGCGGCGGCCAAGGCGCGCGGGATCACGGTCAACTACGTCAGCGGACCGCTAGCGCAGGGCAGCGCCGACGCCGGCGCAGCGGTAGCAGCGGCGCAGAAGTCCAGCGTCGTGCTGTTCTTCGGGGGGATCGACAACTCGGTCGAGAAGGAGAGCCAGGACCGCAGCTCGATCGCGTGGCCGGCGGGCCAGCTGGCCGTGATCCAGAAGCTGGCCGCAACCGGCAAGCCCGTCGTGGTGGTGCGCATGGGCACGCACGTCGACGACACGCCGCTGCTGGGCCTCGCCGGCGTCAAGGCCATCCTGTGGGCCGGCTACCCGGGCCAGGACGGCGGGACGGCCGTCATGGACATCGTCGCGGGCGTTGCGAGCCCCGCCGGCCGCCTGCCCGTAACCGCGTACCCGGCCGCCTTCACGGCGCAGGCGCCCTACACCAACATGGCGCTGCGGCCGGCCGCGTCAGGTTCCTACCCAGGCCGCACGTACCGCTGGTACACGGGCGACGCCGTGTGGGAGTTCGGCCACGGGCTGCACTACACGACGTTCGCCGTGTCACCCCCAGAGGACTTCCCCGCGTCATTTGCCATCGCGGACCTGCTTGCTGCATGTCAGGCCCGGGGCAAGGCGACATATCTCGACCTGTGCGCGTTCCGCGCCGCCAACGTGACGGTGCGCAACACGGGCGCACGCGCGTCCGACTACGTGGCGCTGGGGTTCCTGGCTGGCGAGTTCGGCCCGCCGCCGTTCCCGCGCAAGACGCTCACCGCGTACGCGCGCGTGTCTGCCGTCGCGCCGGGGCAGAGTGTTACGGCGGTGCTGGACTGGACGCTCGGAAACCTCGCGCGCGTCGATGACACGGGGAGCAGGGTGTTGTATCCGGGAGTGTACACTCTGCTGCTCGACCAGCCGGCGGTCGCGAATTTGAGTTTTGTTTTGACGGGGGATAAAGCGGTGCTGGATAAGTGGCCGCAGCCGCCGGCGTGAAGCAGCGTTGGCAATGGCTCAAACTGTCAGACTGCAACAGCACTTCTAGGATTGTGTGCACCAGAGTGAATTGCTCTTATTCTCGTCCTCCAGTCTTTCCACAAAAGACTCTCTCTCTTATACTTCCTTATGTGGCAATTACATGCGAAACCCAGTGGCGAAGATTACGCACCATAGATTCCAGAACCTTCTAGGCCATTCCATCTGACACACCCCCCCAGATTCAAGCCTGTATGTTGGATCTGACTGCCAGCCTTTCTGTGATATCCACAAGGTGTAGTTGGTGCACGAAATTCTGGTGTTTCTGGGGCGTGAGGGCCTTTGTTAAGCCGTCGGCTATCATGTCCCCTGACGGAACATAATCTACCTTAATCTTCTTTTTCCTTGCTTCCTGGCGCAGCCAGTGGTTGTGAATATCCACATGCCGTAGCCGGGTCTGCAAAGTAGCCACCTCAGCCATCACTAGTCGGATAGTTTGTTTGTTGTCGCACAGAATCTTGATGCTGCTATCGTCTAGTTGGACCGCTAGTTCTGTAAGTAAGCGACTCACAAAGAGGGCTTCTTTTGCTGCCTGGGCTAGAGCGAGGAGCTCAGCTTCTGTGGTAGACGTGGTAACGGTGTCTTGTTTGTTGGCCCTCCAACCAATTAAGCCACCAAACAGTTCCATGGTGTAGGCTTGTGAGCTCTTTCGATCGATGGAATTATCGGCAAAGGAAGCATCGCTTGCCACAACGAAGTCGTCTTGCCCACCTAACTGCAATGCCAGTGTTCTGGTATGGTGTAGGTAGTGCAGTACTTGGTCTGCGGCTTTGTGATGGGCTGGGCCAGGATTGGCGTTGAATCTTGTTAACCGTGATGCTGCAAAAGCCACATCTGGCCTGCTAATTACTGCAGCGTATAGAATAGACCCAGTTTTGCGTTGGTATTTCTGAATTGATGATGCCTCAGCCTTGTATTTATATGGCAGAAGTTCTGTAGTTGCCATTGGCACCGTAGTCTTCTTCGTAGGTGTGGTATCGGCCAAGTTGACAATTTTGTCAAGGTAGGCTACTTGAGATAGCCAGAGTAATTGTCTTTTGCGATCTCTATGCACCTCGATGCCCAAGAACCATTGCAAGGCACCACCCCCTGTCAGTTTGAATCTTTGCTTTAGACCACAAATTAGGTCCTTAGCCAATGCCTCCTTTTCTTTCTGGTAGGCAAAGACAATGTCATCCACGTAGAAAAACACCACAACACCGTCTTTCATCAAGATACACGGTTCGTGTGGGATGCTCTGGAAGCCCAAGGTCTTCAAGGCTCTTGTAAGTTCTCTTTGCCAGAGGAGTGGTGACTGCCGTAGGCCGTATAATGCCTTGTTCAGCTTCAGGATGGTACCTGGCTTCCGGTATCCAGGTGGCATCCTCATGAAGATGTCGTTTTCTAGCCGAGCATTGACAAATGCGTTGATTGCGTCGTGCTGGATGAGCTCGAGATCGAACCTAGCCGCAATCGCCATAAGTGTTCGAAAGGATCGACCGGCGAGGGTGGCTGCGTAGGTTTCTTCTTCGAGTGATCGTCTTTGTTGATCTCCTCTAACGACTAGTCTTGCCTTGCATTTCTGAAAACGGCCGTGCTTGTCGTACTTATATACATACACCCACATACAGTCTAGGATTTCTTGGCCTTGTTTGGCCACTTCTATCCACGACTGCATTTCTGCATGACTTTGCAAGTGATCTTTTTCAGCTTGCAAGAACTGTTCTCTGAGCACGTGTGTGTATAACTGATTATGTGACTTTGGCACTGGTGGTAGATCTCGACGATAGATTCTTTGTAAACCACCTGGTTGTTTTGACAATCGTTGTATCGTAGCCTTCGTAATTGTTTTTCCATTGTGGTTAACTGCCTGTACTAGCCGCCCTGCGGCAAAGGCTGCCATCCAAGGTTTGGCGTCTGATTGGCTTGTTTTTGAAGGTGGGATATTATCGATTTGTCGGATTGATGCTGCCAATAGTGCTGCCGGTGAAAGAGAGGGTGTAGGATACGGTGCAAAGCGTGCACACGTATAACCAAACTCTTGATGTGACTCTTGATCTTGCACTTGGTCTTCCATAGGCTGGTCTTCGTCATCGGGAATAAAAATGACCCCCTCATCCTCTTGTAATACAGAGGGCTGTATGTCATCTTCTGGCACTACAGTCTCTGTTGCTGTAAGAAGGTGGCTAAGCTCGTCTAGTCGTACGTGAAGAAGATCGTCTTTCAGACCCTCTAAGTTGCCATTGAAGATCTCGTCCTCGTTGAAAACCACGTCTCTTGTATTGAATACCTTGTTGGCTATAGGATTCCAGATCCTATAGATGTTGGATGAACTGTATCCCACTAGGTATCCAATCCAAGCCTTTGGGTTAGTTCGTTGAAGCCGGTTAGACTTCTTCATGGCGTTTGCTGTCATGGCAAAGGCCTTGCAACCGTAGGCTCGAAGGTGGGTTTGATCTGGCTTCTTGTCTTCAACTACAATGCCGTCTTTGTGGGCTAGATGTGTATGGAATCGATCGTATGGGGTTTTCCAGTTATAGATATACCGTGGAATTCGGTTGTGTAGGTAAACTGCAGCTCTGGCTATTTCTGGCCAAAGTGTAGCTGGTAGGCGTGCCCCTGTGCGCATTGCACGAATCTTATCCTTGATCACACCCCCCGAGCGCTCGGCGCCTCCATTCTGGGCTTGTGTGTATGGTGCCGAGGGCTCCGTTTTGACGAATCGTTGGCCAAGGAAGGTCTGAATCTCGGCTGCCTTGAATTCGTTATCGCATTCCACAACTTGTGGTCGTATCTGGTATCTGTGATCCAGAGTGCCAAATAGGTGGGTTAGGCATGTGATGATGGAGTCTGCTGCTCTGTCCTTAAGGTAGTAATCCCAGGCTAAGCCAGACCACCTATCTGTGATTAAGAAGAGGTGCTTATAGCCATTGTAGCCTTCTTCGAATTCGTGGAGATCCAGTGCTAGCCGTAGTCCAGGGCCTTCATCGTGCTTTCTTGCCCGTCGTCTGACTTGCCGCTGTGCCTTTGATATGCCACATGCATCGCATTCAATAGTGGTGGGCCCTTTGATCTTCACACCGTACGAGCATTGCACGAGGTGCTCCAGTGCTTGTGGGCCAGGGTGGCCAAGTCGTAGGTGCCAGAGCCTTACAAATGCTTTATTGGGTCGTCGTTGGGTGTAGGAATTGTACAGATTTCGGCGTGCAAAGAAGGCAGCTTTGGAATATTGTACTGGAAGGTCTTCGAGGACGTACTGGTCGTACCGATCAAGTAGGTAGCACAGAACTGAATTGTTGGACTTGCGTACGCAGTTATTGCCAGGACTATTGTCCCACCAGAATCCTTGCTTTCGTAGTTGCCGGAAAGATACTAGGTTGCATGCAAATCCAGGGCAGTAGGCTACATCTGTAAGCCGTAGGAGTTGCTTTCCTCTTGGCCCTTGGATCTCGACGTAGACCGTTCCGTACCCATAGATTTCGACAGGTTGCTCCCCAGCCCACACAAAATCGCCTTCGGGGGCCGTTTGGAACTTGAGAAATCGTGTAATCTGGTTAAATATGTGAATAGTAGTTCCGGAGTCTAGAATAGCCGAATTCTTCAAAGGGTACTCAGCTGTCTTTTTAACCACAAAGCTTCCAGAGCAACTGCCGATCTTACGGCCTAGTCAGCTCTGTTTTTGAAGCTGGATTTCTTTGATCTTCTCTTGTAGTTGTGGGTCTTTGAGAGCGTTGTTTACCCTGTTACGGATATGCTCTCTCTCCACAAAACTCTCAGGTGCCAAATCTGGAAATGCATAAAAGCATCTTGCGAGACGGTGGAACTGGTCGCACGCAGGGCATATAGTAGAGGCTGTGCCCGAAGCTTCTTGCTTCTTTTTAGGTCTTTTGCCATCTGGGATACTGGCTGTGCCCGAGGCCGTATTTGGTCTCTTTTTAGGTCTTTTGCCTTCACCAGAACCAACCCTTTTGCGTTTCTGACCCTTTTGCTCCCCCTCATCCCCATCGGATACGATTTCGCTATCAGAAGCGTCCTCCTGATAGGCCTCTTTACCACGAGTTATGGCGGCAAAGGAAGGGCCGAACGAGCCTTTACCTACACGGTTGCCAACCGGTACGCGGGCATTCGCCAGTCGCCGTGCTTCCTTTCGAAAATCGTGGGCAACTTCCCGATAGGTAAGAGTTAACTGCTTGATCTTTGTTTGTTGCACCAGCTCGTAAGCTGTAACCCAGTTGCCTAAAATAGGCTGTACAGCTTTTATAAAGTCGTTGAACCAGGATCTTGGCCGTGTCGCTTCTGGTACGCCTTTGTCTTGTGCTGTAGATAGAGCATTCTCCCATTGTTCTGACCATTTGATTAGGTCTTTAGGGAGTCGTGTAAGTGGCTTGATTGCTAGCTGATAGGCTTCTCGAGCGTCTTCTATCGCCTCGTCGTCGCTAATACCTGCTTGAGTCTGCAAGGCATTGTACCAATCCAGGATTGACTTGGTTGGTTTGCATGAGGTACGTTGATAGTGCGTGCTCACTGTTTTCAATACCCACTGCTTCAGTCGTTCAATCCTGTCGAATTGCTGAGTATAATCCTTGAGGTTGGCTTGGTAGATAGTCCATTCCATCTGGTAAGTCTTGAACCCATCAGTGGTTAGGTCAGCGATCGTGATTGGAATACTAGCTGGGCTAGCTTCTTCGTCGTCAGCAACCGATACGCTGGTGCCGCGGACCGTAACCGACAATTGACTAGGGGTCTTGTGTTTGTGTCTGGCCGGATCAGGGGCGGTAGGTTTGTTGAGAAAAGGGGTAAGCCCCTGAATCTGGGACCAGATGTCTCCGGCCACCGCCTGGGCTTGGAACTGCAAATTCCAGGTTTCCCAGTTGTCCGAGCTGTTCAGCGCGACAGTCTTGTCGTTGTTGGTGGTGGTCATCTTGACTGTTGGTCTTGGAAAAGAATGTTAAAGAATTGCGTGTCGGAAGCGCTGTTGACTTCGCAGTCCTGATAGTAGGTGGCTGACTAATCGGCTGATTGAGCGGATGAATGAGACTCTTAATTGTCAGACTGCAACAGCACTTCTAGGATTGTGTGCACCAGAGTGAATTGCTCTTATTCTCGTCCTCCAGTCTTTCCACAAAAGACTCTCTCTCTTATACTTCCTTATGTGGCAATTACATGACGAAACCCAGTGGCGAAGATTACGCACCATAGATTCCAGAACCTTCTAGGCCATTCCATCTGACACAAACAACTCAATCTTGAACAAGTCAATCTTGAACAAGTCAATCTTGAGGCTATATTTGGCTGAATTGAGCCGCCAACACTGATATTTGACTGGGTTGAAGCTAGAATTGATTGATATGGCAATAATTGACGATATTTGACGGCATCTTCCGCCCACCAAAAAAAAGTAAAAAGTCGTCAAAGAGGGCCAAAATAGTAGGAAAAAATGCCGTGAAGAAGCCCGGAAAAGCTCGTCAACGTACCCAATCCTTCAAACACAGGATGTCGTTGAAGCTATCGTCGCCCATTCTATGTCTCTGTGCCAAATACCAGCTTACCGTTACTGAATGCCCTCTCCGGTCCGCCGACATGGACGGAATAATAGACATCAAATCCAGGGCCATTTTTGACAGCCGGGGCCAACGTTCCTGACGACAAAACCACCAAGATTTCATGTCATCTACCGGCCTGACTCCCTCTACATGGTATTCAGCGAGTTCGTCCTTCTGACAAAAACGACCTTTCCTTGATGTTCAAAGTCACTTCCAACATCTTTTGCTTCTTTCTCGGCGCCTCAACGCCGTCTTCCTCACCGTGAAGCTTTTCGGCATGCTCCTTTTGCAAATGGCCTGCCGCCGAGCTTGTGCTCACAGCCATGAAGACCTTCTCGCAATAGTGGCACGCCCAGAAGTATGCTCCCTCTTTAATAACGTTGTTGACGACCTGGGAAAGCCAGCAGCCGTGCGAAGTAATAATCCACCATGACCTCGTATTCTTCTTGCCCGCCCAGTATTCCGCTATTTATAGCGCCCGTGTTGTTGTTATTTTGGGCCAGTCCTTCACCTCCATATTCCCAAGCTCTTTGATATCAAATTTGACCAACTCCTCGTATTGTGTCAGATTCGCGATGGCTTCCTTAGGGCATCAAATACTCGCTTTTGGCCTGTGGAGAGGGTCGAGGCAGGCATATTGTCGGTAGTTCGGGGGCAAGAAATCGCTGCAGGAATGGAAGGATTCGGTGGAAAGGTCGGGTTCGGCTGGTTATTTACGTCGTGATGGTTGCATTGCGGATTTGACGGTGCATTGCAGCGACCTGCGGCCTGCCCGGCAGTCAGAGATTTTCCCGGGCCCAGGAAAATACAGGGTTGGCCTCGGTCAGGGAGCGCCCTGGACCTAGGAAAATCCGAAAAAAGAAATCAGCCCTAAAATGGGCATATTTGATCGATTGAATTGGATAAAATTAAGTTGGTGCCAACCCTGGCGTGAAGAGGCTTTGAGCTTGGCCTGGCGGTTGGCTTGGCGGAGCGTAGATTGTGCGTCGGTTTTGTGGTTTGCTCTCTTTGATACCAGAATTCATACACTCGGGGCGTGCGTGGTATTACCTGATTTCCGTGAATAATGAATGCAGCCCCTGTTAAGTTTGCAAATGCCCCTCAAGGGAAGGACTCTCGCAGGAAAGCGTGAGTCGTCAAACTCGCTAGTGTACTGAACTGTCAACGGCCCAGGAAATCCCGGTGCGATGAAATAAACAGGGCAGTCACATCAAGTGCGGGCTGAGCACTGTAAGAACTGGATCCAAGATGAAATATTTTTGCAATGTTTTCTGTGCCACAAGCGGAAGCTTGCAATCAGCTACCTATCTGAAGAAAAAGAAAAAGCCCCTGACCCATGCTCCGCAGTGTTCCCAATCTCACGTCTCCCCCATTTCGCAACTCGTTCTCGCCGAGATTAGTCGACATTAAATCCAACCCGCGCCTTCCGTTTCAGCCGTTTCAGCAATAAGCCACACCCAGTCTCTTGCATATCTCAACATACCTAGTCACATCACACTCGCCACGTTTCTTCGCCCATAAAGACAGTCCATCCCTTCGCCCGTAAAGATGGTCCATCCCTTCGCCCGTAAAGACGGTCCATCTCTCCACCACCCCCCATACCTCATAAAACAAAGAGAAATAAAGAAAGAAAAATTCACTTCCTCCCATTCATCCTCCCCCGCTCAATAACATCCCAAAACTTCCTCTGCCGCAGCTCAACCAACCCATCCCCCTCATCCGTCCAAAACACCCTCTCATCTGCCCACCGCGACCCATCCGGCACGAGCACAACGACATGCACGTCCCTCGCGGGATGGCGCTTGCCGCGGGGTGGCTCGCGCAGCGCGACGGCCCGTAGCCGGGCCCCGTCGTCCATCTCGACGGCCGGGCCGTCCGACACGGGGTCGGACGAGGCGATCTCGACGATGGATTTATCTGCGTGGAGCAGGGCTAGGAACTGCGGGATGGTGGCCACGATGCCGTCCGCGTCGGCTTCGCCGCGGTTGCGCATTGGGGACGGCGGGAGGCGGGTTGGTGACGCGAGCACGGGGACGACGAGGAGGGCCGAGTGCGCGTTTTTGTTCGCCGCGTTGCTGCTGCTGCCGGGAAACGTGCTGCTGCGCGGGTTGTTGTTGGCGTTGTTGCCCGTGGTCGTGTTGGTCGTGTACGTCGCGGCGGTCGGCTTCAGGCGCGGCCGGTACGCGGCCGCCGGGTGCTCCGAGTCCGAGTCGTCGACGTGCGACACGGCGCTGCGGCGGCGACGCATGCGGCGCTCGTACAGCGGCGCGTTGTCCTCGACGTCGGAGAGGAAGACGGGCGACAGCGCCGACGGGGACAGTGCGGATCTGCTGCCCAGCGGGGCGAGCGGGCTGGGGAGGAGCAGCGGGGACGGCGACGGGGCGATACGCTGCTGCTGCCCGTGCTGCCCTTGTTGTTGCCCATGCTGCCCTTGTTGTTGCGGCTGCGGCTGCGGCTGCGGCTGCGCGCTGGGAGACGGGCGGCCGAGCGGGTGCAGGTGCGGCAGGTGGTGGTGGGCCGTGTTGGCGCAGTGCTTGTGCGGGTCGTGGCGCGGCAGCCGGGCGTAGCGCGGCGTGCTGTCGCGGCCGGTGACCTGCGCCCTCCACCGGAAGCGGTTGTCGCTGTGCGTCAGCACCACCTTGCGCACCGCCTCGTCGGTGCGCATGCCCACCAGCACCGACTTGGGCACGTCCTCCATGGCCGCGACCGGCCGCAGCCGCGTGGCCAGCCCCAGCCCGGCCGCCGTGCCGAACGGCGTCATGGGCGGCATGGCGGATGCCGGCGAGTTCGCGGCGCTGCCGTTCTTACGCTGCGGGAGCGTCAGCGTCGTGCTGGTGAAGCCGAGCGCTGGGCGCGTCGGAGTCGACGGCGTGGCCGGACCGCGCGTCGACGGGGTGCTGCCGCCGCCGCGCGACGCGACGTCGACGGCGTAGAGCGTGATGGTGCCCCAGTGGCCGTCGGCCGTCCATGTCAGCACCGTCAGGTGGTTGGTGTTGCCCGTGTACTTGGCCGTGTCAAAGAGGTCGCTCTCGAGCCGCTCGAGCGCGCGCGGGTGCATGACGGGCGGCACCGTCGTAGGGTCGGTCCCGGCCGGCAGCGGCCGGAGCAGCGTGCGGTTCCCGGTTGCTGCCATCTCGCCGACGGGCATGCCGCGCTGCTTGTGGATGATGGGCTTGGCGAGCATTCCCAGCCCCTTGACGGCGATCGGCGCGTGAAAGTCGACGTGGCCGAGCGCCTCGATCATCTCCTCGTGGGGGTTCCTGGTCAGGGGTCGGCGCTGAGACAACACCTCGGGGTGGAACTCGGCCCAGTCAAAGAACGGAGGCTCTTGAACCCCGGACAGAAGCGCCGGCTCGATCCTGAGCAGGGGGCGCGAGGAGGAGGGCGCTTGGGCGTGGAACAGGTCTCTGTCGTCCTCGTCGCCCGACATCTCCGAGTCCGAGATTCCCGACGACGATAGCGACGACGACGAGAAGGGTGTGTCTTCTCCGCTGCTTAGACCGCTCCTACGCCCTACCCCCCGGTCTCGCGACCAGCGCCGCTGGGTTGCTGCGCCGCCCACTCTTGCTGCGCCGCCCACTCTTGCTCCGTCGGACGGCCATCGCACATAGGGAAGCTGGGAGACGGAATCCGAGTAGCGCCTGGCATTCCACGACGAGGGCGCCACCAAACTACCCGCGCTCCGGGGCTGGGCTTCGTCAGGGCTTCGCACCGACGTCGAAGGGTTCCATGATCTTGCCGAGCTGGGGCCGCGGCCTCCGTATTCCAGCGCCGGAGCCACGTCAATCGCAAGGAGAGGGGCGCGGCGGCTCCTGGCCGGCTCCCCGGCTCGGGCACTGTTGTAATATGCCATGGTTTTGTCCGTCAACGGTCAGTAATTGCCCGGGATAGTTATCTCTTCTCTTCTGAGGCTCGACTCCTGGGTCCTGGATTGGGAAAAGAGTTCACCACGATGTAATGGTTGAAAGTAAATCGGCATGCCGATCTGGAGTAATTCTAGACCACGAACCAGGCAGTCAGTCACTTTTAGCAGCCAAGTGTCTAATGTCACCCATCCGAGCCCGCGTCGGGGGCGGGGCGGCCCGGTTGCAGACGCGGCCGAGACCACGGCTGCGGCACGGCCGCGGCACGGCCAGGAAACATTGCTGTCGCAGAACCCTGCCCGGGCGCTGTAATTGGCTGCCTCTCGGGTTTTACGATCCGATCAAACACTTGCGGCCGGCGACCACGGCCGCGGCCCAGGTCCCCACCGTCACACAACACACGGAAATCCACCCATTCAGCAGCCATCAGAGAGCCGCCTAGATCCGACAGAGCAGAAGTCGTCCTGGCTCCGGGCGCTCGCCAGAACACGAAACCCGCCCCGCCTGTCACAGCACCCCGTCTCTGGCTGCGGACGAGGCCGCGATCGACGTGCCACATCAAAACATGATGCGCCGGATTCGCAGGACGCGCATCGCCCAATTGGCACGACACGCATGGCGCCGAAGACGAGAATTTCTAATCAGAGGACATCACGGAGAATTGCTGCCCCAGCAGACACAGCAGACACATGTTGCCTGGCCCTCTGGCAAACAGCGGCTAATATAATTGTAGGGGCACAACCCCCGTCTTGATGTTCTCGCATGCGTCCTCTGTCCAAACCCACGTTCCATCTTCTTTCTTGACGCCTATCTTTTCGGCCGATGTGACCTTTCAAGTCTTGGAGGCTCCCCCGCTAATAAATATTCAGGGATTAGATATTCAGGGATTAGATATTCAGGGATTAGATTATATCAACAACCACTAGTTCAGTTGCCAAACGAACGAAAACACCGCTAAGCGGCATTAGCCAGCGTGTCTTTCCAAGATTTGAATGCCTCAACGCCTCACAGCTCTCCCTATGACTTGCCTCTGTACGCTGTCCTTGCAAGATAGAGGGGTGTGCAACAGAAATGCGAGGCAGGGCACCTAGTCGATTCACTGTTGCTTCAGAAAGTGGCCAATCTCTAGTTAACTTCCAAAGGCGTTGGGTGTGAGTGTTCAATACGGGCTTGCCCATACGAGTCTGCGTCCGACGGAATGATATGACGTCGAACAGGCTCAGTGATTGGCTCAGATGATGCTCATCAAACGCCAGCCAGGCAGCACAGTGTGCCCGTAGGCGCCTGGCGAGTTGATGCCGGTGTATCGACTCCTACTTCGACGGCGGGGCTATGTAGTAGCACACCATCTCGACAGTGCATTGGTGAAGCCCAAAGTTTTCTGCCATCTCCAGTGGTATACGGGAAAATGGGTGGTCTTCATCCTTATCGAAACACACGGTGTTTTTTGAACAAGATCCAGTGGTCCAGGCACCGCTAGGCCAATACATGGCATCAATGTAGCATTGGTGGATATAATTACCCCAAGAACTGGCCTCCTGACACCTGTCTTGTCCGGAAGTACCACAGGTCCGAAACCTCTTGCTGAAAGAAGTGTAAATTGGTAGGAATATGCCAACTAATGTCAAGTGCCAGGGTCAGTAATTGCTCAAAAGGCATGCGTGATTAGTCAAAGGGCCAAGTGCTGGGGTCAATAATTCCTCAAAGGCATGCGTGACTGTTCAAAATGCAGGCGAAGAAACTAGTAGGCACTTGTCCTGTCCACTTCCTTAACAGCCATGTGTGCCCAAGATAGAAAGTCGAGAAATCCCGGCATGCTCCCTCGGATATTGTACTTTGTCGTCCCAGCGCCGCGGCACAGTAATTACCGAAGTATTCAAGACCAGCCTGTAACCCGTGTCTCAGTCGTGAGTCTCCTCTGGCTCGAGAGACTTGTCTGGCTCGATGGCCACATCAGGCTTGAGGGTTCAGGTTTGGGTTCTTGCTGATGGCTGGCTTGGGAGTCGGGTTCAACTTTGTGCTGGTGTCTGGCTCAGTACCTGTGTCTAGCTCAGTACCCGTGTCAGACTCCGGAGCCTCCTTTGGATCAAGAGTCTTGTTTGGGTTGATAATGTTGTCTGTATCAAGGGTAGGGCTTGGTTGTATGCTGCTGTCTGGCTCGATACCTGTCAGGCTTGGGAGTCGTCTCTGGCTCGGCAGTCTCCTCTGGGCTGGGAGTCGGATTCAACTTCGTGCTGGTTTCTAGATTGATGCCCGCGCTAGGTTTGAGCTGCTCTAGGCCGACAATCTTGTCTGGATCCACAGCCTTACCTGCATCGAGGGTGGGGTTTGACTCCTTGCTGGTGTCTGGCTCGGTACCTGCCTAAGGCTCCAGAGCCTCCTCTGCATTGAGTCTTGTCTGGGTCTACAGTGAAAGTCTTGTCTGGGTCTGCATTGAGAGGGTTGTCTGGTCTGCATTGAGAGGCTTGTCTGGGTCTGCATTGAGAGGCTTGTCTGGGCCTGCATTGAGAATCGCGCTTAGTTGCATGCTGCCGTCTAGATCGATATCTACGTCAGGCTCAGTTTTGTGCGATCAGCGAGGATACCACAATAAAGGGCAAGAGATAATTGCGCGAAATGCGTGGGGCTGGCAATGAATAAAGAGATCTCCGAGAGGATGCAAGACGCTAGAATCGATATTAGCCGAGCCCTAGTCCCAGTTCCAGTTCCAGCTCCAGTTCCAGCTCCAGTTCCAGCTCCAGTTCAAGTCTGGCGCCCGTCTCCAATGTGCCTTCCGTTAGATGTCACGCTCGGTTGGCCAAGACAGGAAAGGGAAAGAGTGGGGACAGGGGATGTTCATGAATGCATATTCCGTATTTGATACGGGTATTTGATACGGGAATCCGCGTATCTTGGGTCGACCGACGATGTGATTAGCACTGCGACCCGTCCAGTCAGGTTGTCGGGTCTCGACTCTCGACCATCCCCGTGCCTTCTGTTGGTGCAAGACTGAGAAGAGAGGGTGTGTGGCACGGCCCCGCTCGGCTAATCCGTAATTGACTTCCCGATTCTGTCTCCACCACCAGTATTGTGACTGCAAGTTCGCACTCTCGGTACCGAAGTAACGGGACACAGTACGTACTTTAGACACTCGATAGCACCACCCCAAAGACCACCCCCCCCCCTTCCAAATTCACCACCTGTGACGATTGTACTGCGCCGAGGCAGACATGCACGCACGTGTCGAGGACAAGACCAAACCATGCAGCCCATTCGCCGCTGCGCGAGCATTTCTCTGCCGAGACTCTGCCAATTTATAGCCAAGGGCAATAGCCTTGTACAGCCAGCCCTTCGTCCTCCCGTGCCTCGCCGCTACCTACGACCACAGCCCTCTCGCAGTCTTTGTGAATTCTGTGCTCGGCAAAGTCTGTCTGTTGCTTTGACATTTGACATTCATCCTGCCAGGCTCTATCGACTTAAACCTCTCTCTTTCGACTGGCTTCGCTAGCCTGGCCCTTCTTGTCTTACACAATGCAGCATTCACAGGCCTGGCTTCCACGAATTGCTATCGTCGGTGCCGGCGTTGGTGGCTTGTTGCTGGCGCATGGCCTACAAAAGGCAGGTACCCCCGCTCTCGAGCCTTGGACCCGCCTTCCGACCCACCACAGCCGTGGAGTTGATCTGTCATCGTATTACGAACTGACACTGCCTAGCAGAATGGCTTCGAGGTCGTCGTGTACGAAAAAGAGAAGTACCTCAACGAGAGGGTTCGAGAATGGACCATGCTTATCCACTGGGCCCTGCCGACGCTCCTCAAGCTGCTTCCCGATCACATCATCGGCAACCTGCGCTCGGCCTACGTCGACCAGTGGTACCCTTACGACCAAGAGAAGGAGTTCCTCCCGTACTACAATGGCATGTCGGGCGAGCTAGCCTTCAAGGTCGCGGTCTCCGCGAGAAGAGTGTCGCGGACGAGACTCAGAGAAGTCTACGCCAAGGGCCTCGACATCCGCTAGGGAAAGCAGCTTGCGGACCTGCAAGTCCCCAATTCCGCCGGCCCGGTCGCAATTCGCTTTGGGGATGGCGACTCGACGACCGCGGACGTCGTCTTTGGGGCGGACGGGTCCAACTCGCGCACGCGACGATGGCTGCTGGGCGACGAAGCGAGCAAGACGTTGGATTCGGAGCATATCATTGCAAGTGGAATATTGAAGTACGAGACGGCAGAGCAAGCCGTCGCCGTCAAGATGGGATACCCACTTTGTACCATTGCGCCAGTCAACGACGGCGTCATCTTTACCCGTGTAAGTCCCACCCCATAATCTCCTCCGGCCACAGTACCACCACGAGTCAGCCGCTAAGATGTTGGAATGATGCAGTGCAGTCCGTCCCGGACCCAAATGACCCCGTTAACTGGTCATTCCACGTCGCTCGAGTCTGGAAAGGCAAGACGGACTTCCTCGAAGGCGCAGCGGCCATCGCCAAGGCTAAGGCCATGACCACGGATCCCAACATCAGCGAACCCTTCCGCTCGGCAATCCATTTGATTCCAGACAATGCCAACTTCACCGTCACACAGCTTCGCTATTGGGAAACTGTTCCCTGGGACAACAAAGGCGGGAGGGTAACATTGCTTGGCGATGCGGCGCATTGCGTATTGCCAGGTGAGCAATCAGCCCTAGCACTACGCAGCCCTAGCACTGCACAGCCCTACAAGCACAAGGTCCGCGCCGATAGCGCCATGGACTCTAACCTAACCCATGCGCAGGCCGTGGCCAAGGACTCAACCACGCTCTGGGCGACGTCGACGCGCTGGTTTCCGAGTTTCTCAGGGTCAAGGAGAACGGCAGCACCGTCATCGAAGCGCTGCAAACATATAAGGCAGACGTCTTTGTGCGGGGCCCCAAGGCCGTGCGCGAGTCGCTCGAGGACACCGAGGCAATCATGAAGGTTAGAAACCTGGAGAAGTCTCGGCAGGCCCAGAAGGGCATGGCGCTGTAGCGGTACCTCACACGCGCTCCGTAGTCTAGGATGGGTTGGACAATAGCTCTGACCACTTCTTTCTTGGAGGACTACACCCCACTTGTGCAAGGCTTTGCTTTCGGTCTTTGCTTTGAGCGACGTGCAGAGACGTGAAGCTCGACGTGTCTCATCACATCTCCATCGGGTAATGCAAGGTTCTCTATCACATTGAGCCTGGGCTTGTGCTCAACCTGCAGCTGATATTGACGTGGCGGCGCGGCCCAGGCGCGGCCCCCAACACCACGAGTGTGCCTAGACCCCGGGAGCCAAGCTATCAGAATGGCAGGAATTGCCGTCACCTCTAGAATCACGGACCCTGTCCGTGACGTAATAACTACCAGATGTGTGGCGGCCGGTGAGGAGGGCGGACGGACTGACGGACTGACACACAGACGGACGGACGGACGGACGGACGGACGGACGTACGTATGCCCTGGCAAGGAAACAGTCAACAGAGTGCCTATTACGTACAGCTTCTCGCACGCAAGAGCAGACATGGTATTAGCCCCGTGGCCCTAGGGAAGATTAATCGGGGATACGACAGAACGGAGACGGTCACTGTTTGCCTGCAGGCTTGGGGACACTGAGTCCGAAGCTTGTATTCCTGACCGACGTCGCCGGCGATGGGACACCGCCCAGGCTTTGAGCAGAGGCGGAGTTAGCTAGCCCTCGTTCCGACCTCGTCGAACGCCGCTTGTGCTATCGGTATTTCATCGACGGTCCTGTGCTCGTCTCTGCCTTCAACGCTCTGGTCCCTTGGCTTGAGATGGCCAGCTCCGTTCCTTGTGCTGTGAGCGGTTTGGTGTTTTGGAGTTGGTTCGGAGATTTTCCGTTCGGTGTTCCCTCTTCTGCCCGTGCACATCTACCAGCTGACGGTCTATAGGTAAGGGGAGGTAACTTGGGGAGATCGAAAGACAAACAACATCAACAGATGCTGCTCAATCTGCAAACCGCCACAGCCATGCACGATCGTGGAAGCGGCGCCACCGCTTCTGAAAAGCATCTGGCAGACGGCGTAGTTCCGCCAATCAGGATGAACAAACTTGCCGGCTTTGCTGCGGGAGCCGTTTCATTCGGCGTCACTTCCGAGTCCGAGGTCTCCAATCCTGAGCGCTGGGTCGGTTGTTGGCCAGGGGTCTCCCAAATCCGAATGCGGTGGAGACTGTGGCGCCTTGAAGTTTAACATGACGTCTCGTCAGATCGCGTTGTCGGCGGCGTGTTGTTGACATTTTCCCACAAAGCGGACTTCAACGCGGACTTCGACGCGGACTTCGACGCGGACTTCGACGGGACTTCGACGCGGACTTCGACGCGGACTTCGACGCAGACTTTCAACACGGTATCCGAGGTTATGTTGTTCCCAGAAGCTACTTGTTTGGTTTCGTGGGATTCCTACCTGGTATTAGCTGGCTGATTAATACACGGTTTTTGAGGGCTCACGAACAGGACTTCATTTCGCATATGAACAAGCACAGACGCGAGATTGGGTTTCCGGGGTCGAATGCCAAGCGTGCCGCATCTTCCGCGTACTGAGACGTGAACGAGACGGCGTCCTTTGGGCCGCAGCCAGGCTCCGGCGGCCGCCTCAACGGGGGGGCTGACCGGATGGCGAGACAAACAGGCCAAAGCAAACACGGCGATATGACGCCGACGTTAGGGCTCTCTTAACCCATGATGGACTCTGGGTTGAGATGTGAGCTTGAAGGGACATCATATTGATGTGTTGTTTCTCGACTCCAAGACCTCGGCGCCAATGAAAGCTTCAGATCCACTCAAGACCAGAGCAGAGGCATTTGTTGGCATTTCACGAGCCTAACGCGGCAGTATCAGTGGTTTGCAACTTGGGAGGGCATCGAGAAGGATTGAAAGCTACTGCACCATCGCCGCGACTCAAAATTCGGCAAAACGAAATGAGATCTTGTGGAAAGCGCGCATCCCAGCGGCCCGTGGGTTGAGTGAGGGTGGGATCGTCTATGGTTGACGTCCGCCTTGGCAGTTGCCTGCAGAGGCGGCGGATGCACGGTGCAGCAACAGGGCGCGATATCTGTGGTGTGAAATGGTCACAGTGAGCCAGCCCGCGGCGAGGGCAAACATCAACAGCGCTAGACGCGGTTGGGAGAAAATTAGGCTCTGGTGTGGATCGTGAGTTTCAGAGCCTCGATGGATACATGTCTGGCTTCCACGAGACATGACGAGAGGCAAGCAGGGTCAAGTGTGAGAAGGCGGCGGAGGGGGCTGAGGCCGTAGTAAGGATTTTTTTTCCGGAGACTGTCTGGCAAGCAGAAAGCACAAATGTGATGATCCAGCTCGACCAACAAGACCACGGGCCGCAGTGTGCGTTGTACCAGTTACTTTTGGCAACAGGGCATGCGGCCCGGTGCTCATTCACATTGCACGCCAGCCACCTCGTTCAGAAGAGCTTGGACCGGGAGCAGACGGTCAGCCACGCTGCCACTCTTGATCTTTGATCGTTGACAGGTGAGCACGGGCGCCCTTCATCAGTTGCACTATCGTGTTCCAAATACTATAGGCTCACAAAGCTACACGGAAGGCTGGAACCTTGCAAGAGATCGGCGCTCGCATTACCAACAGCGAAAATTGCTTCAGCTTTGCGGTCCCGAAACATGGCCGTCACCGCTTTCAAGTGTGACCAAAGGGGGAGTCAACGTGCAAATGCAGCCTCGCCAAGTCTTCGCATGCACACCGAGCATTTTCTCTAGAACGAATGCACCCTACACGCCACATTTCAAGACACCGTCAAGAGAAACTGTGTGCCAGCTCACGGCCAGCACCAGAAAGAGGCTTCACTGTGCCTGTGAGCCGTGGCGGATGGGTATCGGCAATTTAGATGTGGTCGACTGGAAAACGGCCAGGACAAGTCAATACAATGATCCAGTCACAGCTGCAGCAAAATTTGCCAACTCGTCGACACAGCCTCTGCCCGAAGCTGGGAGTGCTCAGTCCTGTGAGGCAGGCCTGCGGCGGGTACATGTGCCATGGAGCTTCCATGAGCAGGGCGCACAGTGCCATCGGGCGAGCTAAAGTGAGCTAAATATAGGAGGATTCGAGCCCAAACCTCTGCCAAGGAGCCGGCGACGGCCGCCTTTTCGGGCCTAAAATGAGGGGTCCACGGGTGTTATCTTTCGATGTGGAGGCGCCTGAGCTCTCCAAGTCCCTGCACCCAGAGCCTTGTCTAGCTTTCACTTGGTGGTCATTCACCCTTTGACCGATCCTGGCATTGATAGTCACTTAATTTGGCGGGAATTTTTTTCCCATTTCTCGGCTCCTCTTTCCTTGGGTTTCGCAGCCAGCATTGAACTCACCGCGCGGGGACGTTACCCGAATCTCCCCCTTAGTGCTCACTGTTTGCGGGTCCCGATGCCCGCCACATCGCGGCCAAGGACGCTGTTCCCTGCCTGGGGCCAAGCTGCTTTTGGGACGACCCTCCCCCGCTACGACGCTGCTTCCGCGGAAAGCCACGCCGTCCCGCTCCCTTTGTGCGACCCTTAATTCCCCACCGGGCTGTGGACGCTTTTCGCGGTCGGTTTTGCGGGCTTGTTTCTCTGCATAGCTGTTTGGTAAATCCGGTCAGAATTTAGGCCTGGGGCTGCTGTTTGCTCACCCGGGGCGGTGAGAATTGACGGTCAACCCCGCTGAGATGGCGGTCGGTTGGAACGAAACCTAATGTGTTCGTCCCAAAACTTCATCTCAACATCGCCTAAAGGCCCCCGCAGAATGCGTTAACCACAGCACAGCTGGAGACACTTCAACATTGTCGACTCCATACGTCCGCAGCAAGATGCAGAGTGTCTCGCAAGGCACCGGCTTCCATGTATCATTGAAGCCAGTTGGTTCCAAGTGCTTCCTGAGTTTCAAAACTCAAAGGTGATTGTTCACCCGACCAAACTCGTTAATGGAGTGTCGTTACACGGCCGCCACCCGCGTCTAAGAACATATGAGAAAATGACGACATAGACAATGAGGGCCCTAATTGGAAACACCTCGAAGTTCTCAAACCTACGCCTCGAGCTCGCGCAGTCAGCAACCCGCAGCGAGACCACAAGGCTACGAATCATACTCGCCGCGATATGCAAATTGTCATATAATTAGATGAGCAGTGAGGTCGGCCACACTGGCGTTCTCAAATAGGTAGGCACAATGTTCTCATGGAGTTCAGCTCGCTACCGAAGGTTCCCGGACAAAAAAAAACCAAACCCTCGACACATGTCTTGGCCTGCGCCTCCCCCGCAGACCGTTGATGCATAAATCTGAAACGTCGTGGCTTGCACAAGCAGGCATTCGGTGATAGCTCCCGGCGGGAGCCGCATTGACGGGTGCACGGTCAGTGCTGGGTCAGTGCTCCGAGACCACTGACAAACGGACAGGCTCTGGTACGGTGCCTTACGATCTTAGGCAGGTAGCAGTGACATCAACGGCTCGACAGGGGTCCTAGCCCTAAAATGATGCCTAGCGCACAGTACGCTACAGCTACAGCCGCAGCGCTAGGGGCACTGTGAGAAGAGAGAAGAACTGTCTGTCGACGTGGTGTCGCTAGACCGCATCCAGCCCGGAAAGGCCAGCGAGGGGTCAGTGTGTCCCGTGGAACCAGAAGCAAGGGCGCGGCACGGGTATGGGGCGCGCAGTTTGCTTGAACGTTGGTTGCCTGATGGGGGGGCAGGACCCGATGGCATGGCCAGAGGAAAAGGAAGGATTCGAAAGAAGGGTGAAATCGAGACGAAAACGAGACTGCAACTTTCGACAATGTGCTTTTGGTCCGCAAAAAGTTCCCAATAGCACTGCACTGGCAGAAAGTCGTTGTTGGTGGGAAATTGGGAAAGGGGGGATAGGGTTGCAACAAGCTCAAAACCCCATGCACCAGCACCGCACCCACCACAACCAACTATCCGCGGGAATTTGGAGAGCAAAACAGCGTGATCCTCAAATCTCGAATACGGGGAGTGTCTGCACGACAATTACAGTTGGCAGCCCATGCAGATGCAGGATGCGATACCCGGATCACTGACTGTTCCTAAATCCACCAACAACCTAAAAACCGACCCAGGTATTTTTTCCAGCCCCCACGCCTGCTTTCGAAGTTGCTGACTCCGTCAACGCCCCTTTCCGGTTGAAGAGTGACAACAGAACCCCTAGGGTTTTGCCAAGACTCTGCATGTCCATGTAGCAGTGCACCAAGCTACTGGTCGATGCCGGCTATTGGTCGTTTCCGCAGCTTTGCTATCAGCCTTCTTCGCCCAGGGCCAACTGCATGACCTCAGGACCTGCCCGCACCGACCCGGCTTGCGAGCGCGAGGCTGGCGAGCTACGAGCCACACATGGAATGGGCTATAGGTGGCAGGGCGGCGGCGAGGATCTGCTACGCGGAACAGCCAGCCCCAGAGACAGACAGCTAGCCCCCCTGCCCAAGTGAGCAAAAGGGCCAGGGCCAAGATAAACAACACCTGCAGCTCTGCTCACGGACCATGGATAGAATAAATATCGCAGCATCCTCCGGCTCATACGCCTCACAGCTGACTATGTTGCTCAAGTTCCCCTGCCTCCTCCATCTCCTCTACCGACACCCTCTCTGAGATATTCCTGCCACACCCCGTCTCGCCGCACGTTGCGAGCTCTGGCGATAGGAACATCTCTTCACACCGGCGGTCGACGACAAAGCCTCGCCCACAACCGCCGCCATGGTGCACTCAAGCATGCTCGCCTCCCTCGTATGGGCCACGGGGCTCGGCCTCGTCTCGTCGTCCCCGACACCCATGGTGCCCGTGCTGGAGACCCGCACGCTGCCCGGCCAGACCGTGTCGGACACCATGAAGGGGCTCGCACGGGGCCTCAGCAAGGTGAGGGTCAAGGGCAGAGACATATCCTTCCAGAGCAACAAGACGGTTCTCGACACGAGTTGGAACGGAGCCGTCCTGTACAAAGACGCCGTGTAAGTGAAGGCACCAGCCCCTGCAGGGAAAGTCTGTCTGACACTGGGCTGCAGCAAGACAAACGGGACCGTCAACGGCAAGGACGACAAGGCCGGCAAGTTCACGGCCGAGGTTGGCGTCGAGATCCAGTGCAAGACATGCTACCTCAAGGGCGCCGCATCGGCCTCCTTCACCGTCAAGGGCAACGCCAGCGAGATCTTCACGGCGTACATCGACCAGGTGCAGGACGTGGCCGAGAACATCACCGAGGGCGTGTTCGACCAGATCGGCCTCGCGGCCAAGCAGACCTTTGGCAACATCATCAGCGACGGACTCGACATTGACGACTTTGTCATGCCCACGCTCAACGTCAGCCTCGACATCGACCTGCCGCCGCTGCCGTCGGTGGACATCAAGTTCGAGTTCGACGCCGGGCTGGAGCTGTACGTCGAGCTGGGCGTCAAGCTGCACGCCGGCGCCACGTACTCGCTCAACCTGTTCTCGTCCAACACGCCCATCGGCGTGGCGCTGGGGCCCGACATCTTGGCCGGCGTGGCCGTGACGGTCGACCTGATCCTCGACATCCAGGCCGCCATCGAGATCACCAGCGGCTTCCACCTCAAGGTCGACAAGCCGCTGGGCATGGAGCTGACCATGTTCAGCACCAACCTGTCGCACATCGACTTCCCCGGCGGCCAGTTCGAGTTTCTGCCCGTCACGCTCGTGTCCGACTCTGCCGTGCTCAAGGGCGTGCTGCGCGTCGCCCTCAGGGCCGGCCTCGCCTACAAGACGCCCAAGCTCAACTCGGTCTTCATCCCCGACAAGCTGGAGGAGAAGCTCACCTTTGGCGCCGGCGTCGCCGTGTCCGTCTTCGCCAACATGGCCGAGTTCGTCACTAACGTGACGGGGCCGAGCATCTCCACGTCCGACGACGCCGCCACCAAGCAAAAGTGCGACCTCGAGGTCGTCGAGGTGTACAAGTTCGCGCTCGGCATCGCCGCCGGCGCCACCATCAACGCCGGCACGCACACATGGGGGCCGACGCCCAACACGTCCATCGACATCTTCTACAAGACCCTCGGCGCCATCTGCGCAACCCGCGGCACGCCGGCCGCCTCGTCCGCCACCGTCACGGCGCGCAACCTGCCCGCGCGCGTCGCCGACTTTATTCAGGCCCGCCAGACCGACCTCGCCGTGCTCGTCGGCCGCCAGGCCCCGCTGACCACGACCACGCTCACGTCGACCGGCACCTTCACGGGGCAGACCTGCGCGTCCAGCGGGCTCGTCAACTGCCCCGCCTCCCTGCAAGCGTCGTCGACATTCAAATCAGTCTTCACCCTCGTCACCGCCGTGGCGCAGGGCGTAACCCCAACATTCCCCGCAACGCAGATCGCGTCGGTGGCCAGCGCGATCCCGTTCGGGTCGGCCGCGAACGCCATCAGTTCGGCCATCGGCACGCCGACCGAGTTCGTCCCGCCCGTCGTCAACTCGGGCTTCCCCAACCTGCCCGACCCGAGCCAGATTGCGGCGGACGTGCGCTCGTGGCTCGAGCGAGACACGAATGGGGTTAGCAATAAGATTATTCTCGGCGTGTCGGTCGGCCTCGGCGTGCCGGTCTTGATTATGCTGATCTCGTGTCTGGTGTACGTGTTTATCTCCCCTCTCTTTTCTCCTGAGGAAGTGATGCTGACAGTCTGCAGAATGTGCTGCCGCCGCCGCCGGTACAACCCCGTGCCGACCCAGCCGCCCGTCCCCAACCAGACCATTATCAACGTCGGCGCCCCCGCCGCCGTGCCCCCGCCCATGCCCTACAAGCAGCCGCTCGTCTCGGCCCAGGAGCAACACAGCAACAGCAACAGCGACCACAACAGCTACTGAGGTGGCTGGTGTGTGTGTGTGCGTGTGTGTGCGTGTGTGTGTGTGTTTTCTTTTTCTCGAGCGATATAAACTCCACTTTCTGTCTTTCTCGCTATCATTTCCCCTCTTATGACCAGCGGGTGAGTGAGTGAGTTTTGCGTGTCCGACTTTGGGACTGCGGTTATATTATATCAGCATGGGCTCTGGGCATGTGGGTTCCATGCAATGATTGGCATGAATATATCATGCATCAATGAATGGGAATGCCGGTTGTTGCTTGGGTGCGAACGACGAAATGTCACGTTCAAAAAAAGAAAATGTGCTGTTCGGGATTAGGTTAGTTCAGCGATGCATTTATTTCTTTCTTACTTCTCTCGTCATTTCTTTTTTTTCCCAGTCGGCAGGGTGCTGCCAGCGTCAGTTGACACGAATAATCACGTATTTCCCCTCGTGCTTTTCCATTAGCCATAGGTCGGGGGCTTCGCTTGTGAATGTGGGTGTTATTATGATGCAGCTGTCCGATGCCTGAGAAGTCGCTCAAACGGCAGCCTTTGCGTTAATAAGATAATCAAATGTCCCTATAAAAAACTGTGCCCTCTCGAGAGATACCCCTCGAATTCCCAAACTCACGAGTGATTGATAGCACGCTCGCGCTTCCAAAAGTCAACCACTTCCAGCACATCCGGGCGATAGTTCGGATCCGGCACCAAGCACCGATCGACGAAGCGCTTCCAGGCTGCCGGAATGTCCTCTCCGCCGTTTTCCCAGGTGGTTTGTATGTCGCCGGCACGTTCAACGTCATCGAGATCTACTTTGGCTTGGCAGAGAAGCATCCACATGGACCGCCCCAGGCTGAACACCTCGGTCAGCTCCAGCGGCAGCGCCAGGGAGCTGTCCTCGCTCCAGACGCGGAACGCGTTCCAGGCATGCCAGCTCTTGTCGCCGAAGCCGACGACGTCCTCCTCCATGCTGCGCCGCGGCGGGCCTGCGTACTTGGAGTAGGTCAGAAGAGGCCGGGTCGCCAGGCCGCGAGGCGCTAGTGTCACAGCAACATCCCACGTCCCGTCTGCCTCAGAGGCGAGAGTGGAAAAGGCCACATCGGACTGCTCCCAGTCGCACAGCACGAGGTTGTCGTCGTCGTCGATGACAAAGTTGTTAGGCTTGATATCCTTGTGATACGTGTGCGCGACGCCGTGGGTGTGCGCCACTGCCGCGGCCATGTCCGCACACCACCGGGCCGCCGCTGGCCGGGGAGTTGATGGTGACAAAGGCTACCGGGGGCGGCAGGATGTTCAGGTGGGGCGCGTGCGCAGGAGCAGGTTGTCGCCATTGTGCCAGCACTGGGTTGCGTACCGCACCGTGCGGTCGTCGTCCTCGGTCAGGAACAGGTAATGCGGAAATCGATCCCCTCGAACACGAAAAAGGCGTCGGTGGGCTCGCCGTCGCCGCGGATACGGACCCGCGTGGCGCAGCCGGCGCCCCCGAGGTTTTCAAAGCGCTCGAGATCGGAAAAGTCTATCATTCGGCAGGCATCTACCGCCGGGCAAATATGTTCTCCTTCAAGAACGTAGGACTAGGTTACGTTGTGGAATGTAATTAAATCTCGATATCTAGTCTAGATATATAGGAGCAAGAATACGAATAATGAATTCCTCGAGGGCACACATTCCATCATTATACCGCCCACTAGCCTATCCCCCCCATAGATTTTCGCCTGCGGGCAGATAGCTGAGATTCGTCAAGCAATCCACGACGTTTTCCAGTAACCTGTGCACCTCGCATAAAGCCAACCCATGGGGCGCCCACCGAGGAAACATCGACCTTCCTAGATGACGACTCGATGCGGAAAGCCCTGTGGGAGGCTGTTCACACCGTCTGGGCCAAATGCTTGGAGCACCCTGGCATTTCGGACCCCGGTACCGTCGTCAGCATCAATAGCAGCGACGGTTCTGTGGAAGCGATACACTGGGGAGCCTACCGACACCCTCTCTATTCGCGCTACTTTGACCTTCTTGCAGACAAGACGCGTGCGTAATCAGCTGACGCGCAACCTAACCGGTGCCGACTACTTGCTAACCGCGTCCACACGCAGTTGGACAAGCCCCACCGGCCGCTGCCATTAACCGTGCTGTGAATTGTACAATTATGGCAAATATATAGGTGAGTCTATTTGTCAATTATTTTTTGCAGCCGGTGTTGAAGCCTACTTCAACACCCATGGGGCAAATTCATGTGTTGATTCTGTTGTTCGCGAAGAGTGTTACTTATTACCTGTTTTGCAATTGGAGCACAGCGGCGTGACGAGTTTTTTGTGGGAGCAATCTCCGCGCCAATTTTAGATATATGAACGAAGAATTAGTCGGATACTTTTCCTTCGCCTTCTTTTCTCTTGCTCCATCAAACGTCACCTACTTGCCACTCCAGGCGTCTTTCCCACAGTTCTTTCAAATACACCCCGTCTAATTATCGCCTTTGTTGTTGAGCCTCTTAACATGGCGTTGGAACTTCTATCCTACAAGCCCGAACACCACACTCCCTACCCCTAGTCAAAGTGACTGGGCTCAATGCAGAGCCCTCTGGAGCAATCGAAGCCCTCACATCAATCGAAGTCCTCACATCCACCATCGGACCTCTGTTCGTCTAGCAAGAATGCCAAAGCTCGGTGGGAAGGGCGACCAAAGGTAAAGGAGGCGGCTCTCTCCACAAGCTTACCTTACCTAGCGGCGGCGCGTAATTGAGCTCGGCTTTTTTTAACTATGCACGAAATGGCCAGAGCCTTGGCTTCACTTGGCTTCACTTGGCTTCACTTAGCTTCAATTAGCTTCACTTAGCTTCACTTAGCTTCATTTAGCTACACTTAGCTACACTTGGCCTGGCAAAGTTTCCTGGTTGACCGAGCCTTGGACGAGACGAAAGCGTGGGCGGTGGATCACAAGACGGGAGGATGGGCCATGCGCGGCCAAGGCAGGGGACGGTATAAATTGCAATAATCGATAAGCTAACCCAAGGGGAAAAGGAAGGGTAGAATCTCTCCGCATCACCGTTCGGGAGTGGCGTAGATCGGCAGTCTCTGCCGGCATTCCCCGCAAAATTAATCTCGTGGCCCCCAGCTCTCAACGTGACACAAGGCTTGTTCGCCCGGCAGCCCAATATCCCCCCGGATAAAAGGGGGTGCCTCCCAGAGAACAGCCGCCAAGTATCTCGACGTGTTTTGGACTAGCGAGCCTCCGAGGCCAGCAGCACAGTCTCGCAGTCGGCTGCCCCGTTGCATGTTTCTGGAGCGACGGCAACCAACCCTTCTGCAGGGTGGCCCTGCTGGCCCGGACACGTCAATTTTCAACCACCTCGCGTCCGCGGATGCAATTTGCCATTTATCCCGGTTGGGCCACCTCTTGCACGGGAACATCACGGCGCATCAGGTCTCGTTCTCGTCATTATTGGCGCGGGTCGCAAGATCCAAATCACGACATTTTCCATATGAACAGGGCACAGACTCGAGTGTCGCTGGGGCACTTTACCCGGCACGAGCGCGCGGCGGCCGTGGGTATAAGATCGCGGGCAGCGCTGCGGCACCTCGACCCTCTCCAGCAGGACGAGCGCATCCCTCAGCAGTTGCATGCAGAGCCGCCACCATGGTCGCCTTTACTTACCTCGCCGTCGCCGCCGCGGCCATCTCCGGCACCCTCGCCGCCCCTGCCCCGGCTGCCGGGCCAGAGCTCCCAGACTTTGAGGTCGGCGCGCACAACCTCGCCCGCCGCCAGGACTACAACCAGAACTACAAGACGGGCGGCAACGTCAACTTCTCGCCCAACTCCAACGGCTACTCGGTCACCTTTTCCGGCGCGGGCGACTTCGTCGTCGGCAAGGGCTGGAAGAAGGGGTCCGACAGGTAACACCAACGCCAGTCCACCCTCGTGTGCCTGCCGAGGTTCTAATCCGCAGCCGCAGAAACCTGACCTTCACGGGGAGCACGACGCAGACGTCTGGCACGGTGCTGGTGTCCATCTACGGGTGGACGCGGAACCCGCTAGTAGAGTACTACGTGCAGGAGTACACGTCCAACGGCAAGGGGTCGGCGCAGGGGCAGAAACTGGGCACGTTCGACACGGACGGCGGCACGTACGAGATCTGGAAGCACCAGCAGGTTGGCCAGCCGTCCATCGCCGGCACCACCAACTTCTGGCAGTACATCTCCAACCGCGTCGACAAGCGGCCCAACGGCGGCACCGTCACCATGGCCAACCACTTTGCCGCCTGGGCCAAGGCCGGCCTCAACTTGGGCGCTCATGATTACCAGGTGCTGGCTACCGAGGGCTGGGGGAATGCGGGCGGGAACTCAAAGTACACCATCTCCGAGGCGGGCGCTAGCGCTTAGGTGGCCGTGGCTGGGAGGTGAATACCGAATGGACAGTTGACGTTGACAGACCGCTGATTATCCTGGCCATGATGGACATGATGTTGCTGTAAATCCACAATGTGGTCAATCACCAGACGAATGTAAAGCACAAGACCGACAGAACTTTGTGCGGTGTTCCGGATCGCGCTGTTTGGGGCTGTGACATGGAATGATTGTCGGTATCTGCTGGATTGCTGCGTTTCCATTGACGCCAGAGGCCAAGGCTCCTTTGCCACGACCACCGATCGTATTGCAGGTTCCTTTGTGAGCTTGTAGCTGGTTACCTTGGTTATCCCCCGTATATTGCACATTCGGTCTCGACTGGAGGTTCTCTGAAACGAATTCCCTGCTTCAATACTTTTGTAGGTTCGGCAGCCGCCGGTTCATCGGAATCCCGCAGTAGTCGGACGGATTCGATTCCGTCTATCCCGTGATTGCGGCCGTGCTGTAGGTGCGCATCCGCGTGTTCGGCGTGGTCGACACGCAGCGCACGTGGCGCGACGCGCACAACGACAGCCATGACGGCACCGAGAAAGATGGACGAAGGGGCGTAGTCCGCGAGACGCGCCGCGGGTATATTTACAGTGATGCCGACAAGATCTGCGCGCGCGCGGCGGTTGAGGCGCACGCTGAGGATGCGGCTGCCAAAGGGTTTTGTGTGTGGCGCCGCGAGCGTTTTCAAGGCTCCGGTCATGTCTCATGCCGAGGCCGACCCGGACCGATATTAGCGTATTGTGCAGGATATGTGGGCCGGGCGGCAGCTGTGAGGGTTGTTTGGCTTGGGGTGGCGTGGCCGGTGGGTTGGTGACGGTGATAGGAAGGGCTGGGTGGAGAGCGCTTTGCTTTTTGATGTGATTGAGTACCTACCTACCAAGGTAATTAATTGGATGCCGGCGCAGTCTGTGTACTCCCCGACGCTAGCTCTCTTGGCGCGGGTGTTGGCGCGTTCAGGCGTCATCTAATGCAGGGGGGAAGCAGGTAAGCACAGGGTCACCTCAAAGATTACCAAGGATTGTTGTAATGAAGAGGCTGGCGGCGGATTCAACGAACCTCCCCCCGAACCCACCTCCATCCAGTATCTCCACCCAAGGTACAGTACCAGTTCCAGCGATAAATACCCCGTTGCGCTGCATCGCCAGAACGTCAAGGCGGCATCACACTCACTCGCCGCAAGTTCCGATTCAACAGCCTTCAGATGGCTGGCTCCGGGAGCAGGCTGCGCTCAGCCGCAGTTATCGGCGTCTTCGTCTCCAGTCTCTGCCTGACTCTCGTGCAGCTGCCATGGCTGGCGGCGTTGTACCTCTTCCCCAGCCAGCGACCCGTCCCGGCGTGGACGTACCGGCAGGCTCTTTCTCGCTCGCTCATCCGCTCGCTGCTGGACTTCCTGGTGGCCATCGAGTCCAAGCCGCCACTAGACCTCGAACCCGGCAAGGACAAGGACCGCTTCATCCTCGTCCCGCCCGCCTCGCCGCATCTGTACCGCGACATCCTGCTCAGCGACCCCGAGATCAAGCCCGCCACCATCGGCGGGCTCTGGTTCCCGCGGCCCGTGCAAGGCGCGGCCCCTGGTCCTGGACCATCCACTGGCCGCCGCCGCCGCCGCCACGTCTTCCTCTCCTTCCACGGCGGCGCCTACGTGCTGGGCAGCGTGCGCAACATCGACGTCAAGCAGACGAGCGAGCTGTACCTACGCCACGCGCCGGCCGGCAGCGCCGTCTTCTGTCCCGAGTACCGGCTGGCGCACGAGGCGGGCGGGCGGTGTCCAGCCGCCTTCCAGGACGCGCTGACGGCGTACGCGCACCTCGTGCTCGCTCTCAACATCCCGCCGCGCGACATCGTGCTGACGGGCGACTCGGCCGGCGGCCACCTGGCGCTGGCCCTGCTGCGCTACCTCAACGCGCACCGGGCCGACATCCCCGAGCCCGGCGGCGTGCTGCTGTGGAGCCCGTGGCCTAACATGGAGCTGACCGTCGAGGAGGGCGCCCGCCGGCCAGCTATGGGGCGCGACATTATCCCCAAGAAGATGATTACCTGGGCGTACCGCGAGTTCCTGCCTGCGCCCCACGCGAACATATCGCGCAGCAATCCGTACATGTCGCCCAACCTGCTGGCCGTGCCCACGCGCGTGCCCATCTGGGTCCAGTGGGGTGCTTCGGAGCTGCTGAGCGAGGACATCGAGAAACTGGTGCGCGTGCAGCGCGAGGGCGGGCTGCAAGGTGCCAGGTTGGGTGTCTGCGAGGTTCCGCACGCGCCGCATTGCATCGTTGCCATGGCGGGCATGCTGGGTTGGACGGCCGAGGCCGAGGCAGCTGTCGATGAGGCGATGCGGTTTTTGGATGAGGAGAAGTAAGCGGAGTCTGGGCGTGAAATGAGGTTGGTCGAAAGAGAAGAAATAAACAGACTGAGCGCCTTGAAGACTGAGCGCCTTGAGCTCAAATGATGAAAGAAATCCAAGAGCCATGAAATTTCCACTATTGACATTTCTGGGGACAGACCACCTCACGGAAATAATTACTTGGTAAGCGCAGTCGTTGGTAACCGTGCTTCTGTTGGTGCCCGCTACCGCCTATCAAAGGACGGCGACTGGCGTCGTCTTGTGCAGCTGCAGCCTGCAACCCCTGTTTTTGGGAGGTTTCAAGTGACGCCGCTGCCGTCACAGGGCATCTAACCTCCTCTCGCAGTCTGTAGATTACCGGGTCTTCACGGCCACGTAACGGCCTTGGCGTTGCTTCCTAGTGCAGGGCCTAGGTCGATTAAGCGCCTCGATATACACTGATACGTAGCGCCGCCTTCACTAACACCGTCAACGCGCCGTGCTGAAGCTTACGAGGCAGAATCAAAATCGACACGCATGTAGACACTAAACCGAGCGCATGCCTCTGTAGATACTGTTCTAGGCGGTGAAAGTTAATAAGTCATGAGTTTGAAACATCCAGGCTGAGGTAAATATGCAGCAGGTCGGTCAAGAGAAAACGTGTCACAAGCGCGGATTAGTGTTTCCCGGCTTGTCTTGCCCCATTTTAGGGATGTTGGTGTTGCTTGATATTACCTATTCCCTACCATCAAGTGCTTGGAGAATGGGCATGGAGCCACAATTGGCGAGATCAAATGTTCGAACCACAATAATTATCATTGGAACAGCTCGACTCAATGAACGATATCCCTTATTTACATTGTCTATGGACCGAAGAACCGCCAGATACAGAAGCCTCCTTGAAAAATAAGATACGAAAAGCAACTAGTAACCTGCTGGCTTCAAACTTCAGAGTGGACATGACCAAAGTTGCTCTGCCCAGGCCCGAGAAATCGACCCATGAGCATCCTATATCGGCTAAGAATCAGCGAAGCTCAGCAGCTACAGCAGATTAAACAGAACGATTTGACCTTTCGTCTGGCAGCATGTCGTGGAGACAGATTTTGTGTTGACGGGCTACTTGCAGCCATTGGGTTTGACCACTAAGCCATGGGGTTTTTGCCGCAACACAGCATACAGAAAAAGTAAACAAAGAAGATGGTGAAAATCATTTTTGGAAGGCGGGTTTGGCTAGCGGCGGTGACGGGTGTGGTTATCGTTTGCAGGTGATTTTGAATGGAGTTACTTTGGGGTTCGGAGTTGTGAGTGTGGTTCTATTTGTTGAGATACATCTACAGCTACAGCAGACGAGTGGGACTTTCCTGTTATATACAGATTTTCACCGGGGCTCTTTGTGAATCGAGACAAAGGGCGTTCTTTGTTATTCAAGACAAGGAGGCCTTCAACATGGCCCATTGTAGCGTCGTCGGACAGGAGATCGCAAGCCTGGGAGTCAGCCAACGACACCAGACGGCGGTGAGCGAAGCGCCAGGCTCGGAAAACGGAGGTGGGAGGCCGCGAGACCCCGAGAGTGGCCTGCATCTCACTTTGCCAGGGTGGACTGCCCAAAGTGGCCAGGCACGGCGCCAGCACGTTGGATATCCAATCAAACCGCGGCTTTCTCGACCCGACAGGCTGGAACCCTGATCGCATGCACAGCCAGTGGAAATAAGAGGCGCATGCAAATCTGCGCAACAAAACCCGCCAAACCTGTCACCATGGCGGCCGCAGACGACGAAAGTCACGCGTGACGCCGGCCGCGGGTTTAATGTCTCCAAGTTAGCCCCTGAGACTGAACCTGAACATTCCCAGGTCATCTACAATGACCCAACAACTGGTTAAGCCGACTCTGAAGCACAACTCATTGGCCTCAATGCCCAACTCTCAACCCTCTTGCCGCGTTCATACCGGCCCAACAACTGGCTCGGCAGACTCTAGGCTTTCTAACCTCTTCTCCAACCATGCCCGGAACCCAGCAAACATGGCGACGCGCGGCCAGGCCTCGCAGAACGTCGCCAGGGCAGCATACTTGTCCGCAACAGGCCCTCGTCGGCGTCACGCTTCCCCACGACATCCGCCAGAGCGCGGGTGAGCTTCTTGAGACACACCGGACACAGGTACGGCGGCTGCCTGGTATCCTCGGCGAGCCCAGTAGTGCCCTGCATCACGCAGGCATAGTAGACGCAGTAGTCGAGACAGAAGCAGTGACCGAGCTCATGCACTGCCGTGCGCGCCACGCGCGACAACCACAGGCGGCCTAGGTCGATGTCCAGGTCGCTTGCCGCGCGCGCCGCCTTGACGGCTGTGCCTAGCGGGGTGGCTTCGATAGCGAGTTCGTGCTCTAGGTCAATGACTTCCACTTTCACTCCTGCCTTGCCCCCTTTCTTCTTCTTCCCGCCTCTGGCTGTCTCGCCACCCATAGCGGTACTGCAAAGCATGTCCACGTACTCTTTGCAATGCGAAGCAGGCCACATATGCCGACGATTAATAGCCCTCGCATCGCAGCCGCCCTCCACTTATTCCTCGTCGTCCAGGTGCGGATGATACCGCGCAGCGGAAACAACGGCAACACGGCTGGCGCCGTACGTGCGCCCGCAGCAAAAGTCGTCGTCGTCGTCCTCAAACAGGTCCTGGTCCGTCAGGATCAGCAGTGCGTACGCGTCGGCTGGCAGCGCCGCGTCGGCTGCGTCGAGCACGTCGAGCACGTCGTTCAGGTTGAGCTGGCGCGCGAACACGTCGTCCGGGCATGCGCGCGTGCGGATTCGCTGTCACGCCGGACGATAACGACGACGACGAGCCTTTGCGCAGCCCGACGTGCTGGTCTGTGGCAGTGGCATCGTCGTCGTCATCATCCTCACCGTCCCACGACACGAAAGACAATGTCTGTGGAAGCAGTCTCACCTCGAGCGGGTGGTAAAAGGCACGCAGGTAGGCAGCGACGTCGGCAGCGCTCGGCGACGCTAATGGATTCTGGCTGCGCGGCCGTGCCTTGGCCGGGCTCGACGCGGCCTGAGGGCGTTGCCGCGGCGATGCGCTTCGCCGCCGGCGGTCGGGCAAACTTAGCTTCCCCTGCGTGGGCCGAGACGTCGAGTTGCAGGTCGACATGCCTGTAGGCGGAACTTTTGCGCATCGTGGATTTCGGGGTTGCATGGTAAACAACCCCTAGGCACCCGCCAAGCTAATCTAGGTGAGCGCAGATCAGTAGTACACCGACGTCGCATTTGTTTCTGATTACACCACCCCGCATTTGGGCAGGGGCCTGCAGCCCCCTCGCCGACGCTTAAATTGCAGTGCAAAGTTCAAATAATATAAGACGGGAGACTATGTCCCCTTGAAGTGAACGAGTGGATACGGTATGTCGGTGTGCTGGGGGCCTGGATGCCGCGGACATGCCTGTGTCCCATACTGAAATCGGCGGTGGAAATATTGCGCATTTCTCAACTTGCAGACCGGCAAGGCCGCCAAAGCCAAAGCCCCAATTCTAGTATTCCTGTCCTTGCTCTGTGCCATAAAAATGGGTGCATGAGGTATGATAACATCTCTAACCCGATACCGTGAAGTGGTTACCGAGGTACCTTAATTGAACGTCAACGCGCATTTCTATACGTGATTTAGTGTACATACCCTGTACTGTACCAGTTCCTCCATGACCTTGCTCCGACTCTTGCCTTGCCTCAAATCTCGTGGAAAGAGAGCTTTTACTTCTATGACCCCGTCAAGCGAGACGGATATATGCTGTATACTGTATAGCCGGGCCTAAGCCGGAGAAGCGCAAAATGTTTTCCAAATTTCCAACCCAGAAACTCGCTAGCACCTAGCCAACGCTCATATAATGACCCAACTGACCAACCCCGCGTCCATCACTGCAGCGCCAAATAACTCCCGTCGTCGCGCATCATGACCTCCTTGACCTTGTTCGTGACATCGCGCTGCGTGTCCTCGAGCGCGCGATCCACACCAACGAGAATGACATCGCCCTCGTCGTCGCCCGGCCGCTCCAGCGCAAGGAACTGCGAGTGCACCAGCTCCGGGCCGGCGAAATGGCCCTTGCGCACGGCGGCGCGCGTGGCTAGCAGCGGCTCGGGCCCGTCGAGGAAGACGAAGCCGATGCGCAGGTCGCCGGCGGCCACGGCGCCCGCGCGCAGCACGTCGCGGTAGTGCTGCTTCAGCGCAGAGCACGTCATGACCATGTGCGGCAGCGGGGGCGGCGGCGATGCGCTGCTATCGTTGGGTTTTGGCCGTGGCGGTTGCGCCGTCTCGTGCTCCCGCAGGGCCTGCAGCCACCCCGCCCGGTCGTCGTCGGTCAACGGCTCGCCGCGGCTCATCTTGTCGACGTTGGCCTTGGGGTGGAACTGCGGGGTTTTTGTTAGAGGGCTAACTAGACAGAAAGGGCCCAGTTGATAGCTCACGTCGTCGCCCTCGACAAAGGTGAAGTCGAGCTCGGCGGCCAGCGCCTTGGCAACCGTCGTCTTGCCGCATGCTGTCGGGCCGGTGATGAACCAGATCCAGCGGTGCAGGTGGCGCTGCGGCGGCGGGTCTGGTGGGTGCGTGACGATGGTCTCCGCAGCTTGCTCCTGCAGGTCCAGTAACGCTGATGAGTCGCCCATGCTGTCTGTTGTGGGGTTGTGTCTCGTGTTTTTCACGGGAAGAGGCAGGAACTCTAAAAAAAAATGACAATTCGTACGTTGATAGAAGCGGGATGTGCATGCACCCGTTTCACATGGCGGGCGGGCGGGTTGGGGTTCACTGCGTTCGTGACGCTATTAATTAGCGTCCCGTCCCGGGTTGCGGATCACCGGATCTTGGATGGTTGGGTGACGTCAACTGTTTGCTGCAAGCCATTGCAAGATCCATACGTTGCAGTCTCAATGCTGCGTGATCAATGGTCAATGTTGCCATGTCCCCTTTTCTCTGTTGAAGTTGACATTGAAGTGTAGTAAAGCTGAGACGATCACCTGTCGAAAAGCTTTAGCGGGTGCCTTGTTGTAATGAAGCCATGGTTTGTCGCAAATTGACACCCGATGCGTTCTTGCCCCTCAGGCGTCTGATTGACAAGCAAATTATATATCGGTAGGTAACGAGGAAGGATTAGCTAATGGCTGTCTAATACGGACTTCGTCTGTTTGTTGAATTGCCAGCCGTCGGACAATTCTCAGCTGCCAGGCACAGACCATTCTTATTCTTGCCTAGCATCCAGTCCAATCAAATCAAGGCCTGCTGGCTCAATGGTAGAGCGTCTGACTACGAATCAGGAGGTTCCAGGTTCGAGACCTGGGTGGGTCGTTTTCTTTTTTCACTTGCAGTTTTTCGCCGAGAATGTTGCCTTTTTTTAACACCCTTCCAATAATTGACCGCAAATTCCTCGACAAGAGCTCTCTATCGCGTTTTATATTCCTATCACGTATAGAATGATCTTCATATTGAGAAGTCCGTAGTTACGCTTCTTAATGCTGCAGAATGCGCCGACTTAAAACTCGACTGCCATCGATTGTGGTTGGCGTAAGTCAGGTGGTCTGCTTATGGAACACCCCTGGATTTGGAACAAGGTTTGTCATCAAGGACTTGCCGCTCGCCACCCAACTCACCTATTTCAATCGCTTGCAACTCGACCAATTCTGGTTCAATACTTATCTTCTTTTCTCCTTTCAATTGAGAAATGAAAGATGAAGCGATATACTCAGTTGGATTTGCAGAATGCGCTGGCAGAGTATGCAGAAACCGGCTTACTCCGTAGCTCTGCTGAAAATCACGGCATCCCCCCTACTACTCTCTTTAATCGGGTTCGTGGTTCTGAGCCAGCCTCCAAGGCCCAAATTCTTAATCAAAAGCTTTCTCCGGCTATGGAAGAACGCTTAACCGAATGGATTCTATTCCAAGGGTCGCTCGGTCACCCTCCAACCCACGCCCAAATTCGGAAACTAGCTAGAAGAATGCTCGAAGATAACGAGACCCTCGGAAAACGCTGGACTAGCCGGTTTTTGGCTAGAAATCCATCTATTTCTACAATTAGGCCTCGGAGAATCCATGCAAACCGTGCTGATCGAGCCTGTGAGGTCGTTATCCGGCCTTGGTTTGACTATTTGAAGCCTCCAGGCGTGGAGGCTATTCCAGCCAAGCATAGGTATAATATGGATGAAACTGGCATTGCTTCTGGCATTGGAGATAACGGCATGGTTGTTGGACCTAAGGAAAGAAAGAAATTCCAGAAAAAGAAGAAAGGAGACTGAATTTGGACCTCGATTATCGAATGTATTTCCGCTGACGGCCGGTATTTGAATAAAGTCGTCATTTTCAAAGGTGGAAGCCTTCAACAACAATGGTATCCACGCGATTTACAGCCATTTAAGGGCTGGAAGTGGAAACCCACTGAAAACGGCTGGTCTGACGATGATACTGCCGTCGCATGGCTCCGCAATATCTTTCTTCCAGAGACTCGGCCAGCTACCCCCTCGGAGAAGCGCCTCCTTATTTTAGATGGCCACGGTAGTCATACCACCGAAGAATTCATGTGGCTAGCCTTTTCTAATAACGTACAATTGTTATTTCTACCAGCCCACACCTCCCACGTTCTCCAGCCCCTGGATTTATCGGTTTTCGGCCCTCTAAAAGCCCGGTACAGAGCCAAGCATAACGAGGTTGTTTCCGGCTTCGACGAAGGCACTGTTGCTGAAAAGAGGGCCTTCCTAGAATGCTACCGGCAAGCCAGGGTCTATGGAATGACTGAATCTAATATCAAAGCCGGCTGGAAAGCTACAGGCCTCTGGCCGGTCAGCCTCAGGAAGCCCCTAAGCAACGGCCTTGTTATTAAGAATTCTAACGGCGACGTTGGTCAACTGACCTCTACGGTTTCTATAGACCTTCAAGAGGTCCATAACCCCATTCTAAATAAGAATTCGGAGGGCCGGCCTATATGGTTTACCCCTAAAAAGCCGAAGGATTTCCGTATTCAGGGGCAGGTTTTTCTAGCCGGCCAGAAACGGACTGCCAACGACCGACTTTTCATACGCAAGGCCGCAAAAGCCTTCGATTACGTGGTTTTCCAACTAGCCAATACGGCGCATCAATTGGAGGCTGCAGAAAAAAGCCTAGAACGCACAAGAGGCCGAAAGAGAAGGAAGGTCTAAGTCGACCCTAATACGCAGTTCGCTGGAATTGAGGAGGTTCGTGCCTCACAGAGAGAGGCTGGCAGAGAGGACCTTGGTTATTCTGAAAGAGAAGAACCAGGAGAATCCGATACTGAAGACTTCATCATTGTAGCTAATTAATTGACAAAGTTGTTGGCAATTGAAGTTTGTGGTGTTGTGCGGGGTCCGATTCAGGGGCTGTTCCATAGGCAGGGGTGTTCCAAAAGTCCCCCACCTGACTTAGATACGCCAGTATTCCGTGCAAATAATGACACGGAAACTTGTGGTTAAGCAATTTCTAATTATGGTTCCCAGTCTCAATAGGAGGGTACCTATTTCTAAGCTCATTATTATCATTGTCTTCTCTCGGCGCAGCAAATAATTAAAGTCCACGATCCCAGCAGTCACCCGTCGATTCAAATTTCCTTCTTGTTGCAGAACCGTAACCCATGCGATATATAGATTAAAGTTGGCCACGAAAAAAAAAGCGAACACCCGACGGAGGCACGAAGCACAAGTCCAACATGAAAGGTTTTCGGATCCGGCTAGCTACAACTGGCGCATCACATGCCGGCCGCTCCGCTCCACACACCCGAACTTTGAACGGCCCTGAGCCGTCAAGGCTCGGCACAACCATAGATTTGCCGATGACATGTACACCGAGAAGATTCACGCCGTGCCGTGGTGTCAAACGCGTATATATAGTATAGAAGAGTAGGAAATAAAGACGGATAACAATGAGGAGAAATTCCTAAACGACTATTCTAGAAATTTATTCGACAATATAAAGGAATAGTTAGAGCGATTGAAAGTGATCGCTGGTACGGTTATAAAATAGAGAAAAACAATAAAATAATATGACGCAGGTTGTAACCTCGACGTGGACCAGATAGCCCCGATGGTGAATATACCATATCTCACAAATTACGTGTCCTCGGAGAGGAGACCATAACCTATAAAACGTATCGAAGGTTTCTTAAGCAATTAAACTTTTCCCTCACACCTCCCACAATACTTTCAACTCGATAACACAGTTAATATGGGCGAAGAGTCACTTGCGGGTAACGAGGTCTAGGAAGGTTACGATACACGCTGCTGTGAGTCGCTTGGGGCTCAGCGAGGGCCAGGTGTGCATTTGGCGCCAATATTATGCCGTGCGAAACCCCTTGAAGACATCCTGCCGCCTGACGGCCCATTGCGGCTAAGACAGAAACCCAGAAACCGGTTTCTAGATTGACAGTCCGGAGTCCAATCGGGATTTTCTAGTGTCTGCATCCCCGTTGCTATTACCTCTTTAACATTTACTGAAGTTTGGTCCCCAGCTCTGCCATGATTTACCATATCAGAACGTAGGAACGTAAGCCATCACATCTGAAAAAAAAATATCGGAAAAAGAAGCCAGATGATACTCACTGTCGTTGCCTACGCCGCAAGCTAACACATTTGTTTCAACGTTACCCCGCTCTGGAGTCTAAAGACGGAGGAAATAGCCAGCCGTGACACGAACATGGTATTTATGATTTGCTTTATCTTGACGGCTGCGCAGTCCAGAAGCCAGTCAAACTCTGTGGGTGGCCTTCTTTCGCGTCAAGCCCCAGGTGAGGCGAATCCCAATCTAGCCCTGCCACGAGTCTCCATTTAAACCGCTCTTCAAGGGCGTGAGTTCTGTGTAGCGACACTGCAGCCACCAGCGATGCATCGATTGCAACTCTCAAATGATAGTTTTCCATGGCGGCAAGATGGATGAACCATAGTTGGAGCTCTCTCTCTTGTATTTCTAGGTGCCCCCCTTCTAATTATGTTCGAGTCTCGTCTCGGAAAGAGCTACGAATTGCCGTTGAAAGGGGTGAAAACTTGAAGGAAAATTACCAAGTGAATCTTGTAATGTTGTACCTACGCGAGAAACAGCTGGCGCAAAATGGTCGGAGGGAGGGAGGCGGACCCATTTTAACCCCCTTTTGAACCCTGATCGTTCACATTATCTCGAAATGCTTCCAATGCGCAAATCCTCTCCAATTTTGTTCTCCAACTTGATGGCTCTCCCTTTCCTTTGTGCATAGTCCGAGTGTCTCGATTCTGCGGTTTTTGTGCGGCACTGGAGGATCTCGTAACCGTGATTGGAACCGCATGCAAGAAGGTCACTTCAAGTCGACGGGGCGGTAAAAGTTGCGTTTATGGCTGTCTAGGGATATAGAATGAGGATATTCGTGACAATGGGGCTTTTGTCTCCGCAAACAGAGCAAGTCTCGGCGTTATGCTCAGAGCCTACAGCCTCCGAGCATCCCCAAAAGTAGGTGCCCTTAGTTTTATGTGCATATTTAGCAGGTTGGGGGTGTAAAGGGGGGCCGCCTGCAATCCACAACCAACCTGAAAACGCGAAGTCACTCTTGCAGCAGCCCACATACAAAGCCAACTTGGTCAGGCCAATTGCCGCACTAAGCTCTTACAGGCTGTAGGAGGGCGTGCACTGCCATATCCAGAGTGGCTGTGGAAAGACACAGGGGCCGGACAAGGCGTCTAGCGGTGTGCGGTGTCGTGAATGAGCGCATGAGTGTGTGGTTGCACAAACGATGAAGCACAGCCAAGGCTGGATCAAAACATCCCTCCATTCCCTGGTGGAAAACGCGATCGCTGGCCACCCCAAGCAATACTTTTGTTCAAATCTTTGCGAGTCTGACATTCCCAAGGTTTCAGAGCGGCCGGTTTGGTTGGGGAGCGTAGGTAGGTATCCATGGTAGAAAGCGATCTCGGGGTGTGTCGGTGTGGCCTGCTGCGTGATTTCCGGCCTTCACGTCGCATTCTGCACTAGGCTCTGCCATATCGGGAAGTTTCGTAGGCCTGTTCCCTCTCTCTGACACCCCCCAACCTTGACGCATTCAGCACCTCGCCCCCCCTATCTGTGCGTAGCTCCTCACTGGCGTCCTTCGCTGGGCCGGATGGTCAATCGAACACTGCAATCTCGGGATTTGGCCTCTCTTGCATTCTTTTTAGATTGACTTCTCCCCGAAAGCAATATCGTCTCCTTGTCAGTGATCCCTTTTTAGCGGATCAGATCTCTTGGACAAAACGGCTTTCTCATCGGCCCTGATATTATCCCTCCTGCAACGATCCTGCGGTCAGGCTTTGGGACCTGATTGCCGTCAAGTCTTCCCGCCCACTTGGGTCCTGGGCACACCCGCCCCCGACCTGAGTTGTCAGTCCAAATTCCATCTGTGACTAACATGTTTGGGCGGCCTCTTATTTTTAGTCCTTCCAAACCCAAGGGTCCGACGTATCCCGAGAACCCATTCCAACACCAAGTAAAGTCGCATGTCAAATGGCTAGCTGCGTCTGGCCAAGGGGCCTTCCAGCTAACGTCTGTCGAGCTTTGATAGCGCTGCCTTCTGATTGCTGTCAGTAGTGCTGACGCCGGGCCTCGGGAGCATGTCCCTCGGTGGGGTCCAGTGCCCTGCCATTGTCGGCGTTGACGTCTGACAGTCTTCGTGCGTGTCCTGCTCCCTTCCGTTGCCACTCGTCGCCGGCTAGGCATCTTGTCATATGGGTTTAGGGAGGACGACGATGTCCTATCAGTCTCCCCAATGACTCCTTCCGCCTCGATGTCAATGCCAACGAGGTCCGCTGCCGTTCCTGCCGCTTCGTCGCGACTGTTCATGCTGCTTTGCTGTCGCCGGCTAACTGGACGTACCGGAATGCCGCTCTCCTTCTGTCGTCTCTTCAACCGCCACTCTGCTTCTCCATCACCTCGCTTACTTCCAAGTCGCTCTTTTCTGCCCTAGCCGCCCATGCCTGATGCTAAGCTTGGAAGCAGCTGCCACGTCTCTTTGCTTGTCTGTGCAATGCGAGGCCTGGAAGTGGCGAGTAGCGGTGGTCTCAGCATGCTAGACTGCCCAAGTGGAGTCCAATGCCTTTGGCGTGGACCCTCGCGAGCTGCCAACTGGCACCCTTTGTCATGTCCCACCCAACTCTTCTTTCCCACATCGCGCCAATGAGGCCTTCTGCCGACAGCATTCGTGCAATTGTTGTGTTGCCGTTGAAATGTTTGCGTGGCCAAAGATTAACAACAGTTGTAAGGTGTTTCGGCCTGGTGTTCAACTGTTGGCCTATGATTTGGTAGTCGAAATCTCCATTCTTTGGGGGCAAGGCCCATCGGCATCGAACGAGACGTCTATATCGAGTCGAGGTCCCACTCTCGTCGATCGCCCTGGTCCTTGGGCTCCTCGTGAGCTTGTCTTGTGCGGACTAGGGGGTTGTCCTGTGTGGCGACTGTCGTTATTGGCCTAACCTGCCGGGTCCCCACTCAGCACACTCGGTACTGAGATCTCTCAACCATCAGACTGGTGCGCTGTACGAAACACGTCAACGTCTCATATCAACAGAAAGATGGGACTTGTGAGGATAAAAGAATGCAGTGCTCAGTCATTACTTCGCCTCGTTGTCTTTGCCAAAGTCAAACTCGCACAGTTCTTGCCGCTGCAAGGCGGGCGGATCTACCTAGTAAGTCAAGGAGGCCCTTGGTGTTCGTGGTTTGGGGGCGTTGCGGGTCCTTGGGAATGACTTCTGACGTGCAGACAGGGGTCAGAGGATACCATATTGCTCCTCGCACCGTCAGACACACACTCTTTCGACAAAGACTTCTGTCCTGGGGACAGCTGGATATCGATACCCCGACAAGAGATCGGCTTGGCTAGTCCAAAGGAAAAAGGAGAGGGAATACGTGAGACGGCAATGGTATGTCGAGGCGGGAGTGAGGTGACTTTAGCTTCTGTTCGCTAACTAAGGCTTGGTTTAGCCCAGTACAAGGCATGTGTGGGTATGGCGATGCCATAACTGCTTTGCCGGACCGATCGTGAGGGACGAATCCGAGGAATGCCAACGTTGTAACCATATAAGATGTGAGAACTGCATCACACACCGCCTCAAGCTGAAAAGGCCGCCTACGACCCCGTCTACTCGACAATGACACCGACGGCGGCGATCTCAGGAATGGCACACAGGCAGGCGCTGGGCCAAATAGAAGAAGCCGACGGCGATGACCTTAGGGATGGCATACACTGACACAGGCAGGCGCTGGGTCAAGAATAGGATGGAGGTAGGGAGTATCTGCCTGTTGGGAAGAGCAAGGTGAAGCACCTCCCTGCACTGTTGCAGGGCGGTTGCGGGTTGTGGGTTGTGGGTTGTGGGCTCTCAACGGGATTGGTTGGGGGGAGGTGGTATAAGGGTCATTGGCCACGGCTGTCGATTGAATGCTAAGGCAAGAGTCGCTAGGCAGGTGATCAGCGTTCAGGCCATGTAATTATTTGTGCAGGGAGAGTCACCATAGGTCTGCGGCCATGTAGACGCCGGACCTCATGTATGGCGTGGAGGCAATTGGAATCATGCCGACAACCAACTTCATTCAACAGCCGATGGTCCACCTTTCCCCCTTCCCCCTTTCTCAATGTTGAACTCGGCGGTAAAGTCCACGAGGGGTAACCGTAGAACGACGTGCTGAGCGTGCTGGAGAGAAGTTGGCATTGGCATTGATTTCGTCCCTGAAGGGTCACTCAGCGCCGCGTTCGAGTACCAGTTTTCGAGCAGAATAGTTTCAACGTGAAAGGGCACCAGAAAAGAGATAACTGGAGGGGACCTGGTGAGGAGCCATGGGGAGAACAAGAGTTGAGGACTTTTAGATCTTCGCGGGCTAGGACATTGGGAGACTGGAGTGAAAGATCGGGGGGAGGTGGGAACATCTTTGCGGCATGGAGACGGCGGGAGCAACAGACTAACACGTCAAGAGAGCGGCGATAGAGTTTTCACTTTTGTTTCGTTCTATTCCATCTTCATATTCTCATCATGCCCAACCGACCTCGGCGGCCATGATCCTTGCTCAAAGGACAGCGTGGGCCTCTCACTGCCACAAGCCAATGCCGTGTCGCGGGCTGTGAGAGTGCCCCGGTGTCCAGTGTGAAACGGTGAGGAGCGATGCAGAGTGGGTTGGCCTAGGTAGACTGCCACAAAGTAAACATTGAGGCATTGGGGTTCCTGGGCTGCAGGAGGTGGAGATTGCACCTCGGTGCTGGACAAGGCAGGGCAAATGTTCCGGCCCCATTCAATGGTGTTAGTTAGGAGAAGTGCAGCAACGAACATGACAGCTCAGCAAAGGTCAACTGTAGCAGACATAGGGAGAGGTGCCCCAAGGCAGCGAGATTGGGGGAAATGCTAATTACCTACTCGTCCAGGCACTAAAAACGCTGGGACTACAAGGTAGAGACTAACTAAACGGTTGAGCTAAAACATTCTAGATACTGGACTAGGGTTATACGTGGTGCAAGTGGGGACTTTGTACAGGTACCCTGTCTTGCTAATAAACTGGGCTGTGAGCTAAGCATATTGACGTTTTGTCGTGACTCGGCGCTTCTGACCTAGGCGCTTGCCGCTAGATAAGTCAGAGGCGTCTTGGTAGCCCCAACGAGTATATCCATGGCCCAATCCAATGCTATCTCCTGATTACATGGAATGATGGATCTACATTCCACAATCAGCTGTTTCTTTGCCTCGGCAGGACAGACTCACCTGAATGAATATCCTTGATCTGTTTTTTACATTTTCTCCCAATTCCTTCAAATTCCCCTGTCTAGCCAGGCACGCAATCGTACCCCTCGCCATGGACATGAATATCATAGGATCATCCCAACTCGCCTCAGGGAAATCAGCACTAACAGGCTTTGACAGCACACGTGTTCTGGATATCGAGCGTCACACCACTCGGCTTGCCTCAATTGGCCTCAATTGATTCGGCACCAACCGGTTGGGCAGGGCCGCATTTTTGCCTCGCCCTCCCCCAACCAGCGGCAGTGTCATTTCCACCACTTAATTCGGCCATTTCCCACCGCCTGGGTGGCTTATCCTGGGGCTCGGGTTTCTTTGGGTAGCAATGCCTAACAGGCTCCGTTTTGAGCCCCTGATCCTACGCTGAAATCGAATGCAAGGAGCGTGTATCGTGTCGCCATGGCATTGGCTGCCGCGCTGGCCCCGTTAATCCATCAAGGCAACGAATTAATTAGTTTATCGGACTCGACTGCGTGGTTGAGCTGGCGATGGGTATAATTTTGTGACTGCGAATAAAAGAGGTCCGATTGAAGGCGATTCGGGCGAAGGCCGCTCGCTTTGCTGAAAATGGTAGGCGGTAAAGCATTGGGCTGTGAGTTACAGTGGGCAAAGCCCCTAAAAGGTTCGAATAGCGCCAGCCGAGGGCAACCTGAAAGGCGTACTGTACTTCAGTGGTTCCCCTCAGCCACTCAGAGACTTTGTCGGCGCGCACTAAAGTTTTAGCGCCAATGGAAGGGGTCAGCCACTATCTTCCATCTCTCTCCTTTTGAGGGCTAGAGCTCCCGTCAGGACGGGAGCTCGTCCTACAGAGGTTGCCCTCCATCCGAGATCACCAACGTTGGATCCTTGCATAACCATGCTCGGCTCTGAGCTTTCGGCATGTGTCCCGTGCTGCTGGGGCGACGAGTTTGCCGCGTTCCGCCACGACTTCTCTGCCTCGCACGGCAACCAGACGCCCGACGAGTATCTAGGCGGGTTAAGCGACGGCGGTGAGGACGATGACTTTGATAGCGGAAGCCCCGAGGCAGTTGCCAGGACGGTTGCGAGATTCATGGAGAGTGCTGCCGGGCACTTCAACGGCCCCAGCTCCATGTACCAGACCGAAGTAGTGGCAGCATTCTGCAGGCAACCGACATCTGACCCCTGGCAGGCAATGAAGGCGAAGGGCCAAAAAAGATGGGTGGCTTTCGTTTACGAGTGGGAGAACAAGCCATCACAAACAAGACGATGCGGCCGAGCCGCTGTGCCCTTGACACATGAGACCTTGCTCCAAAAGCTCTGTCACAAGGTAAGTGCCTATGTCCCTACCCTAGATGCTACCTGCCGGTCGACCGTCCCAGTTCTAATTCCAGACACAGCGGTTCGTTGACCCGGACCAACCAGATTCCAGCGTTGAGCTGGACGCTGATCGACGCCTCATGTAGGGGATTTCTGGACTTTCTACCTTCTGGACCCCTTCCCTTCCTGGCCTCTTCTTGCCCCTGGACCTGTTTCTCCCTTGGAACACTTCCCTCGAGTATCAGAACGTTCCGTTGACACGGGTTCCAGATACATCGACAGCCTAGACCCCCTGATCATCTCGATTCTGGCAAAGACCACCACCTGCCTGGAGACGCCCGTGGTCCAACGGACGATTCTCCGCTACTTGACAGCCCGGACTTGCTTCGACGCCCACATTGCGGTATTTGTGCCCCGTCTAGTCGACAGGTAAGAGCCCGTTGCTGACAAGTATACGCTCATGTAGGTTAGAGGCTTCAAGACGTTCAGCCTCGAGCTCAACATTTCGTACTTCAGTCTCCGGCGAGGCAGTCGGCCAATCCTCGACCAGAGGGCGAGGTGGGATGGGAAAGGACACCTAAGGGAGACACTATGTTCCCCGAGGGACCCAACTAGCCCCTCCTCCACACCTGGCGCTCTGTACAGCATATATGAGACGCAGCTATCCGTCGCAGTCACGGGAGTCGACCATTGGCGCTGGACGGCGTGGGCCCTTGTCGACAGCTGGTTTGAGCCCCAAGACTCGGTCTCGGAGTACCATGAGGGCGGCGAGACCACAGCTCAGCTAGATCCGCTGGCGGCCGGTCAAGTCGAAGTCGACCCTCCAACAAGGTACCCCAGAGAATACTTTCTGAAAGTATTTGAGATTCGGATCCTCGAGATAGAGAAAGAGTGGAACTACACGCTGCAGGTGCTGCGGGAAGAGGTGCAGCGAATCGGCGTGGATCCCCTCTTCGCCTCTCCCCAGCGGAGCTTCGAGAGCGAGCAAGGCCGCGAGAAGATCCGCAGGCTGTCGACCTGGAACGGTGATATGATACGGCTGGTCGGGACGCTGCTGAAATCGCTCTCCCGGACGCTGGGCGCCTGGGACATCTTCCAGAAGACGGACATCGGCTATTTCCTCTACGACGATGCGTCGTGCAGCAAACGACCCGAGCAACTGCTGCCGTCCTTGCGCATCATCGAGAAGACCTTCCTTAATCTCCACGTCACACGCCAGGAGCTGGAGCAGGTGAGGTGGAGTGTCGAAGAGCTTGGGCGGGGACTGGCGAGAGGCGAGAAGAACTACGGCACCTTCGTCCAGCAACGCACAGGCGAGCACATCAAGCTGCTGACCTGGGTCACAATCGTAAGTTTTCCGGTGAGCTTCAACCCCAAAGCAAGCCAACCTGACTCTCAACCTCCAGGGCTGGTCTCCGGTTGTGATCGCCACGGGCATGTGCAGTGCACAGTCTGGGATCTTTCCGTTCCACAACAACATTGGTGACTTCTTGGGGGCTGTTGTCGTTATCGGCGGGCTGGTGGGCCTTTCAATTGCAGTCCTCCTCAACCGACACTCGAATCTATTTGAGCGGATGATCATGTCTGTTCCGCATGTCAGCATGCACCCCGGCCACTCGCCAGACGATCAGCCAGTGGAAATGGGGGAGTCAGGAAAGCCAATAACATTCCCCGCCAGCGTCTTCTCGCGCCAACGGACGTTCGGCTCCATATTTTCCGGTAGAACGCTTGTTTCGAGACTGAGCGGTCTGCGAACGAGGCCGACAAATCTATCGCAGCTGCCACGAGCCAAGAGCAATGATGCGAACTGCATGGCGTGATCACACCATGCTGCCGTATCCAACTGGCTGCCTTCACCTGACGTATTGCATATCTTGATCGACCCCCTTCACTCCACGCACTCAAATCATAAAGGGCTTGGAGACATTCGTTTCATTATCTAGGCTTTGCCGGCAACACGAACACCATGAAGACACGCACAGAATATAGACATTAGCTAGGGTCTGTTACTTCTTCTGCCTCCATATCAACATATTAGATCGCAAGACGACATACACCTGTCTGCACCCTTCACGCCAGTCATTATCGAGTCAAGGATTTCCGGTCGTCCGTCACAGCACTAATTCCGGAGTCGAGTTCAATGTACCTATTTTGTGTGCAAAGCACCTGGTGTCCGTAACAGGCCAACCAGTTTTGCTTAATTATATAGTCAGCTAAGACACCGCCTTTCTCTCCATTTCTTCCCCTACGGGCCCACACCTTCACATGATTATATTTTCTGGCCAATGCAGTCTTGAGCCCTCACTTGATGGCACCGACCAGTATCCATTTATTTGCTGACCTAGGTATGCGTTACTCAATCACAATGCAATGCATTTTCGGCAAACACCACAATGCCTCTGCACACAACCAGCCACCGGCATCACATATGTAGATACACAGTCCCCACCCCCTTTTATGACCCCCAACATACCCCTCACGCGACATTCAACGTCCCCGTAAGCCGTATATCCCTCGAACTCGCGCCCACAGAAACACCAAAGCTGCCGGCCGGCACGACCCAGTTTTGCGCGCGCACGTCCCAGTAGCTCAGGTCCCGGCGGCGCAGCGCAAACGTGGCCGTCGCTTTGGCGCCGGGGTCCAACGCGAGCTTGTCGAAGCCGCGCAGCTGGCGCGGCGGCGCGCTGGGCGCGGATGCTGGGAGGGAGAGGTACAGCTGCGCGACCTCGGCGCCGGCGACGGCGCCCGAGTTGGTGATGGTTGCTGTGACTGTCGCGACCGTGTCGAAGAGGTCCTCGCGCCCGCCCGGGACGACGGTGCCGGTTGCTGGGCCGGATTTCGCGGTCGTTGTGATGGCGATGTCCGAGTACGTGAAGTTTGTGTATGCTTTACGGGATATCAGTTAGGTGCGTAATGAGGGTTATGGCTCGTTTACGAGGGAAGAAGGGAGGGGAGACTTACACAGGCCAAAACCAAACTCGAAGCGCGGCGCGATGCCGGCCTTGTCAAAGTGGCGGTAGTCGATGAAGAGGCCCTCGGCAAAGCTATCGTCGCCCCTCACCACGGCGGTGCCGTAGTCGGACGCGCTCTTGGCGATGGTGTAGGGCAGCTTGCCCGAGGGCGCGGTGGCGCCGTACAGGACATCGACCAGCGCGTTGCCGCTCTCCTGGCTCGGCAGGCCGGCCCACACGACGGCGCGCACGCCCGGCAGCGCCAGGATGGTCTCGAGGATGACCGGCCCCACGCTGTGCACCACCACGACGGTGTTCTTGTTGGCCGCTGCCACGGCCTGCACCAGCTGGTTGCCGCCGTGCCACGGGTCCAGGTCGTTGCGGTCGCCCAGCACCTTCTCGACTGTGATGTAGCCCTCGCCCGAGTCCGACGTCAGGAACACGACGGCCGCGTCGGCGCCCGATGCCGCGCTGGCCACGTTGGCCGTGCTGTCCGAGTTGTGGAGCGTGACGGTGGTGCCGTCGGTCTGCGCGCGGGATCTGATAGCGTCGTACGGCGCTACGAAGTAGGGGTAGTTGACCGACCCCGACCCCCAGCCCATGCCCAGCGCGCCCGTGTTGCAGCCCTTATCGGTGCACGAGTTGATGCCCTTGTCGTTGTTGACGGCGGCGGACCCGATGACGGCCACCTTGCCCGGTTTCTTCAGCGGGAGGATGCCGCCGTCGTTCTTGAGCAGCACGATGCCGTCGCGCCCCACGGCCCGCACGTTCTCCTTGTGGTTGGCCTGCACGCTCGCCTTGATGTTGATGGCCGGGTAGCCCGAGTTCTGGCCCGTCAGGTACCAGGCGGCGAGGATGCGCTTGGCCATGTCGTCCAGCCTGGCCTTGGACACCTGGTTGCTGTTGACGGCCGAGTTGAGCTGCGGGCCCCACAGGATGGTCTTGCCGCCGTAGTCGCTGCCGGGCATGGTCATATCCATGCCGCCGTTGGCGGCCCCGTTGGTCGTGTGCTGGGCGTTCCAGTCGCTCATGACGTAGCCCGGGAAGCCGAGCTCCTTCTTGAGCAGCTGGTTGTTGGCGCGGTCGCTCTCGCACGCCCACGTGCTGTTGAGCTTGTTGTAGCTGCACATGACGCTGGCCACGTTGGCGTGCACCGCGTCGGCAAACGGCCACAGGTACAGCTCGTGCATGGTGCGGTCGTCGATGTTGCTGCTCATGGTCTCGCGGTTCAGCTCCTGCTCGTTGCCAATGTAGTGCTTGGCCGTCGCCTGCACGCCCGCCGACTGCATGCCCTCGACGGTCTCGGCCATGGCGATGCCGGTGAGGTACGGGTCCGGCCCGAAGCCTTCCCAGTTGCGCCCGCCCGCCGCGTTCTTGCCCAGCGGCCCGGCCACGGGGCCCAGCAGCACGTGCACGCCGCAGCCCTTGGCCTCGGCGCCCATGTAGGCCCCGCGCTGCCGCATCAGGTCAACGTCCCACGTCGACGCCGCCTGGATGCCCGGCGTGAAGGCCGTGGTGCCCGTGCCGAACCGCACGCCCAGCGGCCCGTCCTGCAGGCAGAGCTGCGGGTAGCCGACGGAGCCGATGGGGCTGGTGTTGCCGACGCAGGGGCCCTTGTTCCACCCGACCCCCGTCACAATGTTGATCTTGTCGCTCTGCGACATCTTGGCCAGCGCCGCAGCGGCCGACGAGTAGGCCGCTGTCCATGCCTCGGGTCCCGAGGGGACAGCGCGCGCATGGCTGCTGCCGGGGGGGGTGGTCTCGCTCTCGGCCCGGGCCAGGGCCGCGGCACTGACGGCCAGGCCGGCGAGAGCGTGGGCGTGGAGATGCATGGTAATCACAAGACTTGGTTCTGGTTTATGTCAGGTCCAACGTCGCCATGCCCGATGCGCCACTCTGTGCGGTGCAGTGCAGTGCAGTCAAGTGCAGCCAAGTGCAGTCAAGCGCATTCAAGTGCAGTCAAGTGTAGTCAAGCGCATTCAAGTGCAGCCAGGTACAGTCAAGCGCAGTCAAGTGCAGTCAAGTGCCAATATCAACACCACCAGGGCCGCTCGCTCCCCTTATACCTACCTCATGCCACGGCCCACGTCACTTTGGCGTCGCTCCCACGTTGCTCGCGCGGCCCTTTTCGCCCATGCCCAGCGCCGCCCAGTCGGAACACGGCGATATTTTGATGGCCAGCTGGTGCGTCTCCCCACACTTTCATCTAAGGCCGCTCGTGGCACATGGGGCCGCCGTCTTATTCGAGACGCGACTAGCTCGGCGCTGTGGCCCCGAGGCCAGGCGCACGCGGGAAATCCGTGCTGCGCGGGCTAAATCGTAAATGGCGGCGGATCTGGGCGGCCTGGGGTGCAGTGCCCGGCACTGGGGCGACCACGCATGCCAGAGTGACACTGGCCCCGTCTGCTACTCTGCCGGTGCGTCTTGTTTCGAGCGGCTGTGGCGGCGCCTCCACGATCGACATAGCCGGCCCGCATTGCCGCATATTGCAGCTAGATTAATTGCCCGCCTCAGTCCACCTATCCGCACCCGCCTGTCGTGCTCTGTCGCGTCCGTCACTCCACCAAAGCCACCTGCAGAAGAAGCGCCGAACGCTTTCCTTTCTGTCTAGCGGGGTGGCGACTGCTGACCTCCCGCGTGGCCTAAGCCAAGGCTAGTCCCGCAGTGCCCCGTGATGCACATTTGTTGCGAAAATTACATCTCGGCTTCCCCATCTTTCCTCTCGCCCCGTGTTTTTGCCGTACTGTATCTTGGCCCGTGTTCTTGCCGTACCGTATCTTGGCATGCAGGACTTGTCGAATCCTGCCGACGCCGCGACCGGACCTGAAAAGCTGCAAGATCTGAAGTGGCATTTAATAAGGGACTGGAGAGTGGGGATTTCCAGACTCTCTAATCCTTGGAACAAAATGCTATCGTCGCTTTCAGGTCAAAATAATGCTTTCCGTCCGGATGCATTGCATTTTATCGATGAGCCAGGCCTGAGCAGAAATGTCTTTAGCAGGGTAGCAGGGTAGCAGGGTAGCAGGGTAGCAGGGGAGCTGAATCAGACTTTGGTATATTTTTATTTGCTTCATTTCTTCTCGCATTTGTTCTCGACGTCTTTGAGGAACGAACTTCCCTAAACCGATCCCTGGCACCAACATTTCACAAGGCCAAAAACAGTCGAAATTTGCATTTCCCTGCCTCATGAACAAAACTGGTCCCGCTCCTGATTTGGGCCCTGAAGATGGCAAGCAGTGCCCCCCTGCGCGATGCCGAGGATCTACAGCAGTATTTCTCCTTCGGAAGATCACTCGCTGCATTACAAACTGCGACAGACCGTACCCATATCCCAAATGCGGCGGAGACCCCGACGGGCGAGCTACCAGTCGAGTAGTAGCAACCGAAACTATCGCCATTCAAGACACTTCGTCATAGAGGCAGCTGCACCCTCTGTTATCTATTCACTGCTGATTGGTGAAAACTGCAATGGAGCTAGATTCGCCTTACATTTGTCAGCAGTCATCGTATGGCAGCTATTTCTGTCAGAATCACTGCACACCGGTCTCTGATATATATATTTCTAGCTCATTGGCGAAGCCAGAGAGCCTATATACTTGTACGTTCTGCTCGACTGAACTGGCTGTGCCAGTTCAGCTCCGTTCAGCTCTGTTCAGCTTTGTTCAGTTCTGTACAGCACTTCTTGGCTCCGACCAGCCGTATTCCACCTCCGACCGATAGTGCTCTATCCTCTGGCCATTACCCCTTTCGTTCTGACAAGATGCTTTTCTTGATGACACGATCTACTTGCCGACATGCTCCGTTTGATGACATGCTGTTGGCTAGTACACCCCTAGGCTCTATAGTATAGTCCGGGGGGGTATTACAAACCACTCGACTGTCAGGGCCGTCTGTCTGTAAGGGAGCACGGGCTCCACAGAATGCTGGGGTTGGTAATTATGAAGATAGAACAAAGGGCAAGCTCCTATCGCACGGGTAATACAGTCAAATCGGAATGCCACTCAAAGTGTATGAGTGCAGCGAATGTGTATTGCTTGCTTGAAGAACCAAGCAAGAACTATCTAAGACCCTGGACACGATCGTCGTATATATCTATCTACGTAACCAATAACAGTGGTTCCGTTGTCCCGTGGTCCCGCGTCCGGGTCACCGCCCGGCCGGACCTGTCCCGCGCCCCCGAGCTCCAGAGCTCGGAATCCCGGAACGCTCCTGATTGGCTCGCGCCAAAAGTGCATGCCCCACCTTTGTGCATAACCACAGGGAATCCACAGGGATTCGTGACAGGGGGGTCTTGTAAGCCGAACGCTTACAGAGGCCACAGGGGATGAAAGTGCTGCACAGCTGGCCGGAGGCTTACTGCTCAGGTACGACAGCAGTGCTGAAGGTGTCACGACCAGGGCAAGGCATTGAGGTTAACTCAGTCCATTGGGTGCTATCGACGAAGGTTCTAAACTGAGGAGGGAAAGAAGGAAAAGTCCGACAACGCGTCGCGTGCTCGCGAATAAGTTTTCGTCTATCAGTGGGGTAGGTGGGGCCTCGAGGAGGCTTCTGATAGGCCCGGGGGTTCTGGGCGGCTCTGGCTGCTTGAGGGCCAGTTTGGTGGACGGGTCCTCACAGAAGGAAGCAATGCAGAGTGGAATTGTTGTTCTGGTTGTTGTTTGGTTCAAACTAGATACAGGAGAGGCGAGGGCCTTTTATAGGCTGTGGGAGGCTTCCATAGCCTACTACTAATACAATAGTAGAATAGTGTGGTTTGAGACCCTGCGGGCTTGCGTAAGCTCCTGTGGGCTAGAGAGCTCGAGCCCTCTAGAAGGTTCGAGAACCACACCGGTGGCACGTGGCTCCAGGGTACGTAGGGGCCGTGTGTTCCTTGCAACTTGCAGTCCTTCCGTACTACAGAGGGCTACAGCGCTTTTACCGTTATAGTGGCTACATTTCAACATAAATAATTACAACCTTTTATCACAACTAATAATATATTTAATATTTAGACAAGCAGTTACAAATTAACATCTTTAAAATTTATTGTGTTTTCTAACCTTATAGTTATAAAACCGATAACGTTCATGATGTATTGGAATAGCGATACTGGTGACCGCACACTAGCAGGGAGGAAGCAGAGATCGCGCGAGTACGCACGTGCAAGTAGGCACGTGCGGCGCGCGGACCTCTCACACACACACACAAAAACCCCGGTTGCAAGCAGAACCTACCTTAGTTCCAGAGAGAGAAAAACATGAATCAGAACAACTTTACACCCCCCCCCCCGGTAGTACTACCACTTTTTGACCCGTTGGAACACCTACGTGGTTGGAATACCACGAACATGATGTGCGAGTTAGCCATGATAAGCGAGTTGGCCACCTTAACGAGATTTGGTGGGGCACAAGCAAAAAGATGTTAGTAAATTGTTAGTGATCTTATCAATTTCTTATCGCATTTGGCTGCGCACGCTACCCGGTCTCGTTAAGGTGGCCAACTTGCTTATCATGGCTAACTCGCTTATCAAATACGTTAAGCTTAATTTTAAACGGTTGTAAGAATCTCTCTCCTCCCCTGCCCACCCTACCAAAAAGGAAGACCGACAACGCGTCGGCTGCCACCCTCAGGCGGCTACCTCGAGCGCGCTCAGCATCGTGTTCAGGTCGGAGAAGATCTCGGCGGAGAAGGCCTGGGACACCTTGTTCTTATCGTCGCCGTCGTGGAACCGGCTACCGCCGTACATGGGCACGGGGTCGAGGCAGGTCAGGCAGCGGCAGACGAGGCGGGCGAGCCGGTCTCCGGCGCTGGGCGGCACGAGCGTCTCCGCCATATCGATGAGGGTGGCCTGGATGTTCCCGGCGTCCCGCGTGTACAGATCAGCCAGGTCGGCGTCCTCGGACGCGTCGACGCTGGCGTCGAAGCCTTTGCGCTTAAAAGCCTCCAGGTAGCCGGGGGACAGGTAGTGGGTCTCCGTAGCGGAGTCGAACGTCACTAGGGCCTTCCAGGTCAGCAGCTCTAGCATGCACGCGCCGAGGCTGTAAATGTCGTGGCCGATGTTGTACTTGGCCGCCACGACCGCGCCGTCGCTAGGCTGGTGCCGCTGCGGGTGCTGGTAGATCACCCGGTAGGGGGCCGATTCGCCGACGTACGTCGTGGTCTGCGATGTGGTGCGCGAGTTTTGCCACCCCGAGAGGTAGAGGTCGACGGTGCCGCCGCCGCCTCCTGCGTTGCCTTTGTGCTTCCAGTCCGGCGGGATGGCCAGGGTGCGGGGCGGCCCCGAGCCCTGCCACGAGGCCGGGAGGGCGAGCAAGAGGTTGTCGGGCCGGATGTGCTTGTGCACCACGTTGACGCGCGGCCGGTCGGCATGCAGCACGGCGAGGGCGAGATGGTAGCACAGGCGCGTGCGGAGGGCTAGGGACGGCATCGCCGGCGCGGCCTCGTACACGTCGCTGAGGGTGTAGAGCGCGCGCGACGGTTCGGGATGCGCGAAGACCAGCCGCATGGTCTTGAGCGTCCTGTTCTGCTCGTAGCCAATCAGCTTCGGTATGTGCCACTGCGGCAGCGCTCCGGAGAGCGCCGCGGCCAGGTTGCGCATGTCCCTGTCGTTCTCGTCCCAGGCGGCGTCATTGCTGTGCAGCGTCTCCCACACGACGTCGGCGATGGTGCTCTCCCGGGCGTGGGGAGCCGCGTAGGAGACGCGGCCGAGCGAGATGCCATCGCCCACCTCGACGGGCGCCGGCGCCATCCCCACGGCCTTCATCTCGCCGGGCTGGATGAGCCAGGGGTCGCTCCGGGCCGCCACGTCAGCTGTCATCACGGCCTGGTCAAAGACCCGGAACGCCGCCCAGTACTTTTCCACCCTCTCCGCAAGCTTGCGGTTTGCGCTGGCGGAGAAATACTTGAGCATCTCGCCCAGCTTCTTGTTCTTCACCACATCCTCGATGGCTGGCTCGATGTCTCGGAGCAGCTTGTCCACGCGCTGGAATTGCCTCTCGAGATCTTTCTTGGTGTCCTCGCGGGTGCTTGGGTCGCGAGCCACCCTTTGCGCAATACGGACATCGTTCTGCAGCGTGGTTCGGCTGCTCTCGATGCCGAAATCGGAGAGATCCGCTGCCAGAGCCTCGGCGGCCTTTTGCTCCTGAACCCTGTCCTGGATTTTGTTCCAGACCGCGATGATTTTCTCCACGGCGTCGACCGCTGCCAGAAGGTCGGACATGTCGGCGGGCAGATGGTTATCGAATCGGTACCAAATCTCTCTGCTTGCCAGCGTTGCGGTCGTGCGAGTTGACTGCTGGTGTTCGATTCAGCTATCTTGCGCAACTGAGACGGGAAGCCTGATGGGCGCGCATCACGAGCGGGCACCAATGACAAGCCCCCCAGAGCCAGATGATAACATGACGCCGGAGACCTGATGCGCATCACGAGCGGGCACCAATGATGAGCTCCCAGGCAGAGTCGAAGTGAGGGGTTTGCACACGGGGAGGCTCCTTATTTCTCTTCTTTTTCTTTGGTGCACCGGCCCTCAATCCCCTCACCTTCCCAGCCTAAGCTCTCTTCGATGCCCGAGGTAAGCTGTGATCACCTACCTCCCTTCCGCCATGGATCCCCAGGAATCGGTCAACCGTGACTACTTCAACGCAGCGTCGATGCACGCCAAGGGGACGGGAGAATGGTTACTTCGGACAAACGAGTTTATTGAGTGGCATGAGGGGCATTCGCTGCCGCCAATCCTATGGCTACACGGTCTTCGTAAGTTTAGTTTTCACGCCGCACTTCTCCCCCGATGCTGGCTAACACCTCGTTGTCTAGCTGGCTCCGGGAAAACCGTTTTGAGGTATACGTTGACGGCGCCCGACCTGATACGTTCCGTGTTATGCTGACTTGGGGGGTTCTTCTTTCCCCAGCGCAACCGTCATCAACCACCTCGCGAAGCCAGCAGATGCCGATGATGCGCAGAATCCAAAAGCGGCGGTGGCCTATTACTTCTTCAACTCTCGTGACGAGCGTGAACAAACAGTTCAGCACTTCCTACGGACGATAGGGCAGACGATCTGCACCCAGCTTCAAGCCGAGCCGTCCCCAAGCCTATGGGACTGGGCTCACGGAGACACAGTCGCCATGTCGGAGATGCTAACGGAAATAATAAGCCGCCATGGCGCTGTGGTCTTCCTGGTAATCGACGCTCTCGACGAATGCAACGTCACGGAGCGACAGGTTCTCTTCTCCCTCTTCGCCAAATGGGTTGGGCACGATCAGCATGAGCAAAGGTGGCGTATCTTTGTGACGAGCCGAATGAACCACGACATCGTGAATGAGATGAGACAACTGCATGCCGCTGAGATTGAGATGGCCAAAAAGGAAGAAATCCAGACGGACATCCGCAACTTCGTTAGGACGGAGCTGGACAGCCATCCCCGGCTCCGCCGCATGCCGCTGGGGCTCAAGGATGAGATAGTAAGCTTGCTGGTGGAGAGATCCCAAGGATTGTTTCTCTTCGCTGCGCTGGACCTCCGCAACTTAGCCAACATGCCGGTCTTGACAGCCAGGACAGCGTTGAACGCTCTCCGATCAGCTCCTCAGACCCTCCAGGAAGTGTACGAGTCACGCCTCATCGGCATCCCAGATAGGCGCTTCGCCATTCCTGCCCTCCGCTGTCTCGCGGCTTCGATTGATCCGCTCTCGGTGGACGAGCTAGCCGAAGCTGTGGGCTTTAGCGGCGAGTCCATAGGGGGCGACGATAGCGACGATGAGCTGCTGGTGGACGCAGACGACATCCCGCGATTGTTCAACGGCCTGGCGGCCGTTGTGGAAGGCAAAGTGCTGCTCGTGCATTTCTCGGTTGCCGACTTCCTGAGGAGCATTCCGATGACCGGACGCCAAGACCTGGCCGAGTTTGCCGTGGACGAGGTCGGTGCGCAGCGCTTGTTGGCAACGACCTGCCTTCGGTACATTGCGCATTATTTGCGGTCCGCGAAACGAACCGGTTCTGCTCAGGATCTGGAGACGTTCCGCTTTCTCCGTTATTCCTGTCGTTTCTGGATGGATCACGCCCGGCGGTGGGTGGAGCTCTCCCAGGGCCACGAGGCGCCTGGCGTGCTGACCGATCTCATTGCATCGGTGCTGCGTGATGAGACCGTGGTGCGGGCCTGGACCGCGGGATTGGACTCCAAAGACACAAACACGATACCGTTTATGGGCCCGGATGGTAGCCTCCTAAAATCACCCCTGCACCTTGCCGTCTCCATCGGCATTACCGAGGTTGTCACTCGCCTTCTATCAACCGGAGCGGACGCCTCCGCAACCGGATCCGACGGCGTGCCCCCTCTGCACGCGGCTATTCGGAGAGAAGACATGGGCATGGTCCAAATCTTGCTGGAGCATGAAGCAAGCACAGTGGCCGCTGACCAAAAGGGCTCTGTGCCGCTCTTGGAGGCTGCCGGGAGTGGAAATGTAAAGCTCACCGCTCTCCTCTACAACCATACGGATCCAAGCGATATCACCAAGCATCACAGCCTACCCGACGGCACCAGAATCTCGATCCTGCATAGACTAGCGGCAACGGCAACGGGTCCCATTTTCAGAATCTTTCTCCAGCCGGCTTCCAAGTCCGGAACGAGCGCCATAGACTTGCCCGCCCTCCTAGACGCCCAAGACGAGGAGCTATCCGCCACTCCCCTGCACCATGCGGTCATGTTTGACAATATCCCAGTCGCGTCCTTGCTTCTGCAGGGGGGCGCCAGGGTGGATGCCCAAGACAAGAACGACAACACGGCGCTGCACCTTGCGGCCCTGTCCAACAACACGCGGGCGTGGGATCTGTTGATAGATCATGGGGCTTCCCTGACGGTGAAGAATACCCAAGGTTTCACGGCTCTCGCGGCGACCTGGGATCGGAGGCGACTGGACTGGGATTCTTACGAGGAAAACGTCGTGCTAAGCCGCGGGATGCAGGTTAACACAAGGGTGTTGACTAAGAAAGCCGATTCACCTGAGTCAGATACCCCTCGGGTAGGTGAACTCCCTTGCCCCTTTTTCTCTCGCCCATTGCTGATTGTTATTCGTTACGTTAGCACATCTTTGAAAAATGCTATCCCTTGAGCAAAATTAGCCAAAAAGACGTAAAGGCGTTCAAGAAAGCTCTGGGACGCGAGAACGCCATCTTCCAGAGGCTGAGTCATCCTTATATTGTCTCCTATCTCGGTTGCAAGGAGTTGGAGAAGGAAATGCCACGGCTCTACCTCGAATATTGCGACGGCGGTGACCTCCGAAACGATGTGGTATCCCCTTCATCCACAACTGTGGCGCCGAACCCCCTTTTTGTGCCCCCCCTCGGCGTATACCCCACCATAGCCTACGGAGAATATGAAGACATCTTTGGGCAGCCAGGCTTGGGCGAGGAGGACGAGGAGGAGGAGGGAGCCTGCGAGGTGAAGAAATGGTCCGAGATACAGCTGTGGAGAATGATCTACCAGCTCTACTCGGCTCTGGCGCACCTGCACTATGGTATCACCGTCTCGGCAGATGCTGAGGACTGCGTGTACGAGCCCTCCTGGGATCCGGTCATACATCGTGACATCAACCCCAAGAACGGTCAGTGCCATGCCCATATCGTGGAGAAGAGAAGACGAGTCTCACATTGCTGCAGTGGTTCTATCGAGCAGACCCGACGGACAGTGGGACGCCAAGCTGTGCGACCTCGGCATCGCGAGGGATGCCATCAAGGATAATATGTCCCTCGCCCGCGGAAGAGGGACCATCGGCTACCAGCCACCGGTGAGTAGCCGCCATCAGGATGAAAGCGGCATCGTCATGGACTGATGTCGTCTCGCCGCGCCGCAGGAAGTCGAAAAAGGGCAGCAGTGGTCGCCCAAGGGTGACGTCTGGGCTCTTGCCAGTGAGTTCACATCTTTTTCTAATTTTTCCTTTTTTGTTTTTCACAAAAAGCAGCGACCTAGCCTGCCCATCAAGGCACAGCTACCCCCTGCATACTTACGAGAGTGTTAGAGACGATTACCGGACTACGAAGGAGCTGTGAGATGCTCCCTGAAGCTATGCAAAAGCTCCTGACCACGTGTAACGAGGACCGACCGGAGAGGCGTCCCAGCAGCCTCGACGTGTTGGAAATTGCACATCGGCACGTCGACACCAAATTCCCGTCGCTGGAGAAGGAGCTACGACGTGCGGCGCCCCATCCGCTCATCTATCACGTCTTCCGGGCCGTCGCGGAGCAGATGGACAACGAGGTCCCCTATATCACCGAGGCCGCCATGGAGAAGCGCAGCAGCCAGATCCGCCGGCTGTGTCTTCTTCTTTACGACGGCGCGTTGGACGCGTTCAAGCGCGACTGCAGCCAGCTTCAGCTCGCGGTGCTCTTCTCCAGCTACGTCCAGCACTACCACGATACCATGCACGCCCACCCGCCCGGGAACACCGGCAACAAGGGCCGAAGCACGCTCGAGACGCTGCTAGAACGGGGACTGAATCCGGATGAGCAATGGCCCAAGTCCGGCTGGACGGCGCTGCACGTGGCCGCGCAGCAGGGATTCCCGGACATGGTGGACTGGCTGCTGAAGAGCCGGGCGAACGCATCACGGGTCGACAAGCGCGGCTGGACGGCGAGACAGTGCGCAGACCGCATCCACACACTGCTCATGGCGCGCAAGGCTCGGTTCGTCGAGAGCCTGCAGAAAGAGAACTGCCAGACCCCGGCCAGTCGGGACCGGCACGCCAGGCTGACGCATCAGCTGAAGCCCATCGAATGCGGCCTCCGAGCCCTGCTCGAGATACTGAAGACTCTGCGCGAGGCCGAGGACGCCCAGAAGCTCGCCAACAGCGTCGCCATCAAAGGCAACACGTACAGCATCATCGCAGGGGATGTATACCACAACACCGGCACCATCCACTTTGGCAACACATATACAGTCACCGCGAAAACCGGATCTAACTCGCAATTTATCAACGGACATATCGGCGACCTTAGAGTGAGTATTATGAAGTAAAAAGAGTTCTACGTAATGGTATTGCGCGCCAACCTCAAGTGCCTATGTATTCTACCAGCCTGTTGGCCCCGTATGTATCTACCACTGGCAGGTTGGGTCCGTGCGCGCGCTGGCGTTTTGGGAAGCGCTTTTGTCAGAAAGAAAGGGGTTCTGGCCAGAGCCAGAACACCATCGGTCGGGGATGGCGGAACACAGCTGATCGGAGCTGTACGGAGCTGAGCAAAGCTGAGCAAAGCTGAGCAAAGCTGAGCAAAGCTGAGCAAAGCTGAACGGAGCTAAACGGGGCTGAACGTACAAGTGGAAAGGCTCTCTGACGAAGCCAGGGAGCCAACAAGCAATACAAGCAATCAGTTGCGACCCCATTCAATTCCGACAATTCCACAGACTGAAGTGAGGTTGGGAAGTAAAAAGGTTACGTCAGTTGGCTCTGAGCGGTAATATATCCCAAGAGTTCAGAAAGGCCCAGAGTACCGTGGGCTCGCTTTTGGCGGTTTTCTTAAGCCAAGTAAAAAGAGTGTCGAAATCAGAGCAGACCTATAAGGATAGACATTCCTAGACCACCCTAAACGTATTTTTGCCCGCGGGGGGGGGTGTGGTGTCAAAATCGCAGCCCTGTCTCCCCCCCTAGACGTCGCGACTGATCCCACTGATACCGATGTCAATATGAATCATACTAAGCTATATGTTGATGAGCTCTCACAGCCACCGCTGGCGAGATTCTACTGCCCCGGCCCCTCGCCACGGTGGATGAGCTGCGGCTTTCTCAGCATTTTCCGAGAATGGAAGGCTATATTTTAGTCCAGTTGTTTAGGAGGAGGGCTACAAGCGCGGCGGACAAGCAATGATTTTGAGATACTGGCTCTTTGACCGAGGTGTTCGCGGCAACATGATCAGTCTTCATTACTACTAGAGGTGACGAACGAGCACATTGGAAAGTTAATGATGAGCCCCGTCTTCCGAGGTGCGGTCGCCCCCAGTCGAGGATCTGGGCTCCCTAGAGCCGGAGACCTAGGTCTTGTGTGACTCAACCCTTTGGGCCTGCTGTGGCGAAGGGGCTCTCTGACGGAGCTGTCGTACCATATCTAACACTGAACTTTGCCTTCGTCTACAATGACGCAGCCGCTGATAATTTATTTATAAAAAGCGCTGCTATTCTCCCGAATGTAACACCTTTCTTTCCTCTATCCGGTATCTTTTATACTTCCTCCCAATGCCAGAGCAATCTATACCTCTGACTGACCCTAACGCGTTGAATCTAGCGCTGAATAACGGGAATACACAGTCTCGGATATCGGCGGACAATTTATCAGTTTTCCAAGAACTCTCGCAGTTTCGAATAGACCTCGATAAACTCTGTGCGAAGCTAGAATCTAAATTTGGAGCCGGGGTGTGCACAATCTACCTGATGCAAGATGTATACACTATAAAAGCGCCAGCCCGTTTATCTATCGTACATTCCTAGCATTTGCGCTGCAGTATCTTAAGTCTAGAGAGCTAACTAGATATCTTGAACAGACTGAACTCGCTGAGTGTGTTTGACAAATGCGGTCAATACATATTACTGTCAGTGGTCAGGAGTATGTTCTAGATATCGCTGCCGTCCTGGTTAACCAGCATCAACAAAGTTATTGAGCCCGTCTACTTCAGGAATATGAAGATTCTAAACGGCGCTCTCCGTCTCTCGGGAAACAACCGTGGTTGACAAGGAGGACGGAGACGAAGGAGCAGCTCTACCTCTCCTTGGCAAATGTTCTAGAGGGTGTGTCAGTGTGCACATTTTTCCGTCATCATCTTTGAAGCCTATGCCAAAAAAAAGTATGGGTCGGGCCGAGAGGGCCTGTGCTCAACTTTTCAGGAGATTGACGGCAAGCAGTTGCAGACGTGTTCCGTATCAGGTTGGGGCTTCCAACGAATTGGTTACTAGAGAGATTGAGTATGGTGCAAAGAGCACGCTGTTAAGAGGGCAATGTTAACAACGAGTAATTTGCCGAGTAGCATAATACTTTCTACTTTCTTCGTTTTAGTGATTTCTGCCATAGCACGAATACAACAAGTTATGCGGGTACACTACTAAAGTAGCGATTTCTCTAGCGATTCAGATGCGGTAGCCCTTACCGCCATCCATTTTTGTATGTCAGTGTTGCAGCACAATAACCTAAGTTTATATCCTTTTACATTCTGAATAACCACAGAGTTATCATTATCTGTGCACATTTATACCAGGAGCCTCTTCTAGCGCTACCTGCTTTCTTAAGTCCTCCAACATAGGCAGTACTTTATCTAGGCCGAGGATATACCTTGACATGATGTTCCTGAGATAATCCACAGCATCAGAGTAATTTTGCATTTGTGACTGAAGCTGTTGTTTAATGATGTGAAGTTGACGATTTTCTACTTCTAAGAGCTCTCTTCGCTTTAACTCTGCATTGTGATTGGTCCTTGGATGATTAATTTCTTGAAAAAGCTTCGAGTTTTCCTCTTTAAGCTTGTCGATCGTTGTTCGAAAACTGGGTTCCGGAAAAGACAGCTATATAACGTTAGCTATAATACCAAATGGGATAGGCTCGACTTACTGAGGTAATAGTATCTGGTGTTGGGAACTCTGGATCGGAATGGACGGCTTCGAAACTTTTTCCAACCTCTCGGCAGAGGATCCGGTACGTGCTGGTAGAATGGCTGCTTAGATTGGTAGCAAATATCTGAGAGAAAAATTCCTCTTTGCCTTGTAGAACCCTCCAAGCATATGGGTCTTTAATACAAGGCTTAAGACGGACTTCAGCAGGCCCTATTCTAATGCCCAGCCTCTGGCCTGGCTAATTTTAGCAAAGTATCGGCGAGTTCCAGTTATGTATCCATCCATACGAATATGTTCTGAAAGCTTTTCACGGCACTCTTCCCTTGCCCGCCGCCTTTCAGTGTTGCTTCGTCGCGTTGATGCCATATTATCAGTCAAAGTTGCCTTGATAAGACTATGGAGACTAACTGGTGGGCATTAGTTAACATTTGAGCTGACAGTGCAAAGTCCAAGTTTCGGGCTACCAAGTTACAATTTTAGAAGACCCAAAACTGCCTCGGTCTAATTCATCCGCCATGGCCAAGAAATCGGCCCAGGAATCGAGCGAGGGCCGTGATCTGGGCTCTGCGGTTGAAGCGACCGGGTAAATTGTTCTCACCGCCTGAGATCACACCGCTTTCCAAACTTGTATGGCTCACCGTTTTAATGACCGTTTGCCCAAGCTCGCCGTTTTCTAGCTCACCGCTTGCCTAAAATGTACGGCTCCCCGTTTCTAGCTCACCGCTTTCAGGCGGTGTCTAGGCCTCGAATTGCATGACCAAAATAGATGATCTAGGCTCAAAACTGAACTTGCACTTGTAACTCTAGCGATAGGCAAATTGGGGTTGGCTTTTTAACTCCGCGATAACTTATGCTCTGCCATTACAGTATTGTTTAATATGATCTACTGCATCTAAGCTATGATAGTTTGTAGGACTATGTATCATAAGAAGATGCTTAGAAGGCCTAACTCTCGTTGGTGGAAAAGCTAAACTGATAGATACTTTCCTGCAAGGCCAGGAAACCAACAGCCAGGCGGTGCAACGAGAATCCAGTAGTGTATTCCGTACTTCTGATGCTATCAAAAATACAATAGAAAGTAGTTGAATACAGTATATCGTAGCGTTCGACTTAAGCTATCTATTCTTACAAATCCTTATAACTCCTAATTAGTTCAGGGCTTAAAAACTTCTCCATCACCCAAACGTCCTCCTTAGACGGACGACCCTTGAAATGGACGCGGTATTCCGCCTTTTTGCCTTTAGCACGACGGGTGCGCAAGATTTCCACACCAGGCCCCAGCCCTTTGTAGTCCTTCCTAACATCCTCAATAAGTCCGCGATCGAGAATGTTCCCTCGAGGCTGCCAACTGTAGCTTCCGTCACCCCATTTAACATAAAACCAGCCTTTCCACTCATCGAGTAAGCACTCAACCGTGTAGTAACCTTCTGAGCTGCCCTTGGGAGTTTCCAGGGTGCTATAAGCAACCTCATTGTCTTGACCGCCATGGCGCGATGTTTCTTCTGCGACAGCCTCTGGCTGGATTGCTTGTATGATCCCAGACATGCGTACCTCGGGATCCTTCAATAAGTGGGCCTTGGCTCCAGCGGTTTGTCGATCTCGTGTTGAGAGATCAAACGGGATTTGGGCTGTATGGTTTTTGCTGTGTGTGGAATCTAGGTCCGAATCCAGAGTGTTGATCTGGGGGTCGCGGTGATCATCGCTGAATCTCTGCAACTCCGGATCAACTAACCACGCCGGTAGCCTGGGCGATGTTTTGTTATAGTTCTCTGGGGGGAAGATTGCTGATGAGTCAGGACTCTGAGATTCCGGTCCACCAGAGATGTCAGGAATGACGGGTGACAACGTATTTGGAAAGTAGCGACCTTCGTTATGAAGATGCTTCTGCGCAGGACTATCCGACTGAGATGATAGCTCAGTAGGGACATCCGAAGAGTCATCTACCTGATCCCAAAGACTGTCCTTATCACTGGATATAGGCGATGTCGAACCGCTCAGCGACGAAGTCGTCAAGTGAAGGTCGATTAAGTTGGCGCTGTCTGAAGCCGCTGAATCTTGGGCGTGGTCTGAATTACCGCCTGCTGGAAGCAAAGTCTGTGTCCTTTTAACGGGGCGATATGGCCTGAATTTTTGATCTTGGTTGTCTTTAGGGCTTGGCTTGCGCTTTGTCCCAGTATATGTTTCAATACTGTGGACATCCCTAAGATGGTGTCGAAGGTCTTCACCCAATCCAAACGAGCAAGGACATTCTGGATGTGGACATGCAATGCTGGCTGACCCAATTCTGGCATTGATGTAAGCCGATATGCATTGGGAGATATGACGTTTCCAGGCATGGGTGTCGAGATACTGCTGCGTTCGCATATCTGCTGGAAGGTCTGTTCTCCCGAGGTGAATAGGACAATATCCTGCACAGGCGACGGCGTGACGAAAGAAGACTGGGTTGCAGCGGAATGGAACCTGGTGTTTATCAATGTGGTTCTGGCAGTGACTTACCCACGCCTTCTGGTTTGTTATCCAGCAGCTGCACAAAAAGCAGAACTGAGCGAAACCGCAAGTCTTCTCATAAAACATTTCGGAGCAGCGGTACGTGTGCTTCCATCTCTTTTTGGCAGGGATACTATGTTTGTCCAAACGAGTAATTAGCTTCAGGCTCTTCTCCAGCACACGGAATCATTTCTTACCTCTCCATGTCCATATTACAAGACAGGTTTGGGCAGCGGCCGCTTTTAGGTTTTAGTACATCCTGATAAGCAACCCGACAGTCGCTTTCCCGGAGAGTAATGAGATCACGGAGAGCGGAAATTCCCTGCAGGCTCCGAAGTGGCACTCTCAGTGACAGAGTGCGAAACAGGCGCCTGCGTTCAGGCATCATGTGGAGAACTCGAAGGAAGTGATCGCGGCGCCAATCATTCTCCTCGTGAGCCTTACGCCCTGTTGGGTACACCTTCGGCTGTTTTTGCTGGCATTCGCGAAGTTTACTCCTCTCAAGTCTTCGTCGTTTGCTGTAGGCTAGATTTCGCTGCTCCCTAAGTCGTTGACGTGCCTCTTCTGGGGTATTTTCGTCGTTTATCTGGAGGTATAGCCTCTCTATCAAGCGTGAGAGGGTAGCGTATTCCTCGTTTTGCTCTAACTCTTCCCTCCCCTTAGCCGAGAGCTCGAGAGGCAGATCGCTGTTCCATCTCATAGTTGCCGAGCGAAAGTCTTCGGTGAGATCGTTCCGAATATCCATTCCAAGATAACTTGCCGCACCATCGACTGTGTTCATTGTGCCTAAATAGTGCTTGCGAAGAACTGATGAGTTGTTTTGGTCGGCAAACTTTAAAACCTACTCGACTGAATAACCACCATCTAGTCTAAGTTAGCCAGCTATTCTACTCTCTCGGGAAAGTGTAAAAATCTCACCGTTAGTTTTGACAAGAGCCTCGCGCCGCACGCAGTGTAAGCTTACACCGTCGGTAAATCTTGCGCGAACTGCCCAGGCAGATATTTGCTGAGCCCAGCTAGTTGGAGTTCGATTACCCTCCTTTGGCCCGTACAAGTCCCATACCGGGAATACTGCTTTGTCTTGTTTACTCTCCTCCCATTCAAGAACCTAGTGGTTTTGACCGTCTTGGGGGGGTGTCATCGCGAGTACTTCCTTTAGGGTAGGATCTCCCATAATCGTTTTAGAGGAAATGATATTCGCCAGCCAGAAGAGCATTGGTTGTGCATATAGAGGCGGTAGTCCATGCTTCGACGATACTCTTTCAGGCAATACATGCTCTGGCCAGGTCAAAGGTTAACGGACTAGCGGCCATTTGATGTTGTGCGTAACTCACTGATTAATATCCTTTCCTTCACATATTCTTCTTCTAACTTTGAGTTTGAGCTCGGGCTCGCCATCCTTCCATCCGACAAGAAGAACATAATCCTATGCTAAGTTAGCTTAAGTCAGTCCGGCCCTAGTATCTTTTTTACTTTAAATTTTGACTGACAGAGCTCCTGGAGGCGGGCTGAGCTGAAGCAATGCGTATTCAATAGGTTAGCGTTATCTATACGACATCCTTCATGCGCATAGTCGTAGTAGTCCTTAAACCACAGCTGCTCTTGCAAAATAACGTAGTTCTCAATCGTTAGAAACGCCTGATCTCGGTGAATATCCTTCAAACCGAGCATTTGAGCCAGTGGCCCTTGAATATACTGTATTAGTTAGCATATAAGCCTATCACCAAGACTAGCAATACGGGCCCTTCTTCCACTTACCGGTGCCATCGACCGTTTAACATCCAAGGGTATCTCCAGATCGTAGTGCCGTTCCATGCGTTGTAAAATCGGCGCATTGCAACTCGCAAGCTGTCGGGAGTTGGCAGTTCATCCTCTTCGTCAAGCTTTCCTTTCATCCCGCGGCCCAGAGTTTCGGCGAAATGCTTCATCACCTGCATATCCCGAGGATCGGAAGGCCCATATCTGTCTACATATCTAAAGAATTTTTAGTTTCGGTATCGATAACGCGAAAGGTCTCAACTTACGAATGCCATACTGCAAGTACTCGTGAATAATCTTTTTTACTCTTAGGCCTCAGATTCCTCCGAACCGTTTGAGGGTTGATCTGAGAGCGGTCCGCTGTAAGTCCCCTCTTTTCGGCCCGCTCAATAATGGCATTTGCTGAATTTGACGTCTTTGGTTCGAATGCCATGTTGAGTCGTAGCGTTTTATCGAGATATGTTGATGAGTCCAGGATTGAACAGGAGTGTTTGTAGGTTTGTAGGAGGTGTAAGCGCGAGACTTGGAGGGCGAAACCTCTAGCTCAGGTAAAGTAAGAGGGATACACAAGACTGTTGGTTTCAAAATGGGACGCATTTTGGCCATCTTTATATAAGGGACCAGTTCTGGGCCACCTCGGCAAGAGTTGAAGCAATTCGGCATGCTGTGGCGCAGGGCTGCCGAAAACGGCAATTAGGGTGAGCAAAGGTGAGCCAGTCTGAGCAAATCCTGAGCAGGGACTGAGGCGAGCCTGAGCCGGGGTGAGCAGCGTCACGTAGGCGAGGTACGAAAAAGGAAATTTTGGGTGCCCAGATTCGTCGCACATTACAACAAAAACTCTTTGCTGGGGTTAACCATATTGATAAACTCGATTTTCTTATTTTGTATATACAAGCCCGACCACTAGGCCTCTCAGATTCGAATATCCGAGCTGATTTTGCCGGGGCCGGCTTACAGCCTATCGATCCAAGCCGAGAACTACGGAGACTTCGAATTCGAGTCACAGGCGCCACCACTGGCCCAGTCAACGGCGCCGTGGCCGGTCCAGTTACGGGCGCCACCTCCAGCCCAGGCACAGCTGCTGGAGCTAGCTCGGCTATAGGCACCACTGCCGGGACCGTGGTCGACTCAATCACAGGCGCCACCTCTGGTGCTGCCGCGGCCGGCTCGGTCACAGGCGCCACTACCGGCCCAGTCATAGACGCTACTGCCGGCCTAGTCAATAGCACCACCACTAGCTCAGTTAACGACACCGCGGCCGGCCCAGTCAACAACGCCACTACACCCAATCCTACTGGAAGCCCACAACCTGCTAAGACTCCTTATAATCTAATCCAACTTACAGCCCATACTAGCCAATTACACCAACAACGGCCATCGAAGCCAGATTCGCCAATTTCACAAGCTATTAGCCAACTGGTTAAAGGTTATGAGGTAGCCCTGAATAGTGCTGTCTTGTTGGCGGAGGAAAATCGAATCTTGCGAGAAGAAAACCAACGGAGGAAGCAGAGGAAGCAACACCGACGATATATAGCCAAAGGAGGTACCCTTACTATTGCAGAGGGTCTGGCTGAGATTAGCCACCTCGATAGCCAAGCCAGCCAGGCCGGTCAAGATAGTACAGCTGGCTCGGGCAGTACAGAGGGTGCTAGGCCGGCCCGAGGTAGTAGTGTTGACCACGGTGGTGCAGAGGCTCTTATGCAAGCCCAAGGCGGCCAGACTGGCCAAAAACGCCGTCGAGCCCCTCCAAAGTGTAGTATTTGTGGTGCCCTGGATCACAACGCTCGAGTTTGTAAGAATAAGTAGTTGTTAGTGGGGATATTTTGTTGTAAGTTAGGGGGGCCGGGGAAGTGGGGAATTTTGGCTCGCCAAAGTAGTGTGGCTCGCTAGGTGGTAGATTACGTTAGTGGGAACCGCGGAAGGGATGTAGCTGACATAAGCAACAATACCTGATAAAGCCACCCCGCCTGTGCACCGCCAATACCCCATGCATTTTATTCAGGCGCGCCCCACAACGAGATGCCACCTTGCAAGCCGCCATCCCCAACAATGAATGACATGTCTAAATCTCGAGCAAACGATCCGGCACACCTCCACTGCAGATCACTGAACGAGATCACCTGAATTCCTCCTACCCTGCGCGTCCTTACCCGCCCACTAACCGATTGCCTCACCAGCTACTTTGATGCGCCGGCAGTGAGCACCAAGCAGGGCCGGCAGCATGGTACGCTTTTTTCTTTCGGCTTGCCCTAGCTACATCTCGGCAAAAACGCAACAAGCAGGCCACCGCAAATGCTAACCCTTCCCGTTTTCCCCTCAGAACACACACTTCAACTCTGCTCTGAAGCAGAGCACGGCGATCCGCAAAGACCTGTCGGCGCTGTCCCACCCGTCCTTCGGCAGCGACGACACACCGGGAGGAACAACACCGCTGACGCCGGCGGCGCTAGGCTCGGTCAGCGCGGCCCTGGCCGCCTTCAGCCGCACCATCGAAGAGTACCACGCGCTGGCCAAGCAGGAGCTGAGCGCGGCCAAGCAGGACAAGGCATTTGAGCGCGTGCGCAACTTCCGCGGCGAGCTGCACGAGTTCCGCGCCCAGGTCGACGCGCTCAAGGCCGCCCGCGACGACGCCGCCCACGCCCAGAACCGCGCCGAGCTGCTCGGCCGCCGCCCCTTCGCCGCAGCCACCCCGGAGAATCCGTATGCGAGCAGCAGTAGTGCTGGGACGGGGTATGGCGTGGCACCGTCAGGGGCTGGCCACGCGCGGACGACTAGCAGTGCTGAGGCTGGGAGGGTGATGGTTGGTGGGGGTCTGGCGCTGGGCAGCGGCGATGCTGCGAGGGAGACGCACGCCCTGCGCGAGCAGCAGTTCTTCACCAGCACCCACTCGGCCCTCGACGACTACATTGCCCGCGGCCAGGCCGTGCTGGGCGACCTGGGCCAGCAGCGCGACATCCTCAAGTCGACGCAACGCCGCCTGTACTCGGTCGGCAACACGCTGGGCATCTCGGGCGACACCATCCGCATGATCGACCGGCGGGCTAGGCAGGACAAGTGGATCTTCTGGGCCGGCGTCGTCGTCTTTTTCCTGTTCTGCTGGCTAGTGCTGCACTATCTAAGATGATTCCTCGTGGCCCGGGGTGTCACGCGGGGGTCTTGGACCTGGGAGAGACGAGGACTTTTGGCTTCCTCGCGCGTTCGAAAAAGCCAATATTTACGGCATGGTCAAATCTGGGCATCTGGCTGGGTGCATGCTCGTTGGGGGCATTCTTAGATTGCATTGCACGGCGGATGCGATATCTGCCACGCGTCATCATTGTCGTGGTCGTTTAGCGAGGCGTTTGGCGCGGCCGTCTGTTTCTTGGCCTTACATTTAAATGCATTGGATCTGGGTCGTCCCCAGGTTCCTATTATATATGAGAATCGTTCTATAGTTATACACGTTTGGCTATGTCGCCAACTGCAATTTACAATTTCTCCGTCCCATCCCAATTCCCGCCGAGGGAAATGCCGTCTACATTACCTTGCTGACCCCATTCCGTCGTGTCCGCCCCAAGCCGTGGATGTCTGATGCGGTCGCCGCTGTCTGCGGCAGCCCACTAGGCGTGCCTCAGCGCGATCGTGAACACGACATCCTTGGTGGTGTAGACCTCGACCGCCTGCGTCTCGGGCAGCACGTGGTTGCTGGTGCTCAGGTGGCCGCCAAACTCGGTCTCCCAGTCCTTCACGTCCCACTCGAGCCCCTTGGTCGTGATGCGGCTCGGCTCCTTCACGGGCAGGATGCCGACGTACTTGTCAAACACATCCGCCTCGCCGGCCGGGCCGTCGCGCACGCGGATCCGATGGTGGCCCGCCTTGAGCAGGAACGTCAGGCTCTCGCCGCTGAACAGATACAGGCGTCCGTCCTCATAGCGCGGGTGGGTTTGGAACAGGTAGAGGTGGTGCACCTGGCTGAGGCCTTGGTCGACGCGTCCACCCAGCCCGCCGACAGCGACAATGTCCAAGGGCCTCGCGGGCTCTAGGCTGCAGAAGTGTTCCCTTGTGTGCGCAACCGCCTTGCCGAAATCGGTCGAATACTGATCCGGGTCGTGGATCACCTGAGTCGCTTTCTTGTTCTCTGCTCTCTGCTCACCCTCCTTTGATGGCGGCAGAGTTCGAGATTCGTAGTAGGCGCGCGTCTCGTCTGACAGGCTGTCTAGATCGCCGATGATGACGCGGAGGTCGTCCTGTACGCACCCGGGGCTGTGTTCAGCTGTTTGCCCCTTGGCCCTTGCTCCTTGCCCCTTTTTTCCTCACGACGCAGCACTATCCGCGCTTGCCCAACTGGGGTGGTCTGGTCGCACTCACAAATGAGGCATCGCCGCGCTGCCCGCCAACTTCATACAGGAGGTTTGCGCCACCGTCTGCGGCTACGCGAACCGATGCTTCATCCCGTCAAATTCTCAAGTCAGCCAAGCAAACTTTGTCCTCTCTGTTCGGGGGTTTTGTGCGACGGGCCCTGTCGCCGGATGACGGCCGGCGCGGCAAGCACCCACCATTGTGCCACAAGAGGCGGATCACAGCAAGGTGATTCTTGATGGGCTGGTTGAGTACGATTAGGGCAAACTCTGGCGCCGGCTGCCTGGTGTTTCTGCCTTGCACAAGCGCAGCCGGGTGCCACTCGACAAAGTCGGAGCCCGCATCTTCAGTGGCACTGGTGCCTGTTGCCATGGCTGTGGTCGCGGTGCATCTGTGCCCGGTCAATGGTGGCTGGCTGAGGGGCGCACAGTGGGCGCGTGCGGGGAATGGATGGAAACCTCAGCGGCTGCAGTGGGGCATACGCAAACTAAACTCTAACGTCTTCCCAGACTTGGATAAGGCTCTTAGCGTTGGGCGAGCGATGGCGTGCCACAACTGGGATTCCACGCCCTCGCCCTGGGAGGGCAAAAAAAAAACCATAAAAATTGGATGACGGGACCGAAAGGCTGCTTGGCGCGGGGTATTGGTATCCTAGTCTAGGCTATTAGGTAAGGTATTCGTAATTACACCTTAAGGTCGGGTAAGGTAGTGTAAGCGGAAGCTATGCCTCTCCCGCTACTACGTACTGTACTGTCCTGTACGCGGGCGCTGTCTTTGTTCGGACGGTTCTTACCAAAACCGGCGAGCCTCGTGGATTACAGGTACCTATGGGCGCATAATGGAGGGGCTCGCTCTGGAGGGGAGAGGTTCTCTCAAGAGGCGCCTGGTGGCCGGCCAGACTGTAAAGTAATGAATGGCCTAGGTAACCTAGACGGTGCAGATGCCTTCCAGAATAGCTTACCTACCAACAGCCCTGTTCATCTCGTGCTAGAGTTTGTGGTTTTGCAAAATCCTGCACAGGCGCGCCCCGCCTTCTGCATTGACAATCTCATTGCGGGGCCTTCACAAAAAGGCATCTCGGCTTTGAAGCAAGGCTGTCAGGTTTGAGCATTTTGGCTCTTACAGTTTTCTCGTTTCCTTGCAGTCTTTTCCCAAACGGAAATTACCTTGCGCAGCCAGGTGCTCGGCAGAGGGCGCACCTCCCAACAAAGATACCAATCTCCGTCTGCAAAAATCCAGAATCATCGAAACTAGACCAGGCCAACTTAGCCTAGGTCATCCTCGCGCATTCACCAAGCCTCGCCATCAAGGACCAAAAAAACGCAAGAAGACGAGTTACTTCACGTCGCGGTTTCTTGTTGCTGACATTCCAATTTTCAGCATAACTAGCAGCGAATAAATTGTAGGTATTTCGCAACATGTTGGCCAGAAGTGTCGGTATCTAATGCTCACACATCCAGATATTCCGCGGCATGGAGTCGAATCATGGCGAGGAGCCGACGCTGGGCGAGGACCCGACGGTCGGCGATCGCGTATGTGCGTCGTTGGAGGAAGCCAGTCGTCTGGGCAAGGCCGCAGTCGCAACTTTCCAGCGCATCCGCGCAGCCATTGCCGCTGAACCAGCGCCCATCGATGACGGATGGGAGATTATCAGCGACGAAGACTTCGCTATCGACAACAAGGGATCGACATCTTTCGAGCAAACCCCCGAGAGTCAAACCCGAGAGCCAGTTGCAGCACCGCGGAATAATCGCAACATTGTGGTTTGCGAGAGCAACTCAAGTACGAGACGCCAGAACAGCTCAGCCAGCGGCTTCCGAATCCATGTCAGCAATATTGAGGCACTCTACGACCAATGCGACGGCGACCTAGACCCGGTGCGAAAGAAGGTCCTCGCTGCGAAACTGCAATGCTACAAGAAGGCAATGGCGAGCCGCGAGCAAATGGGATTGGGATGTGAGAGGGTGAAGAGTACGTGGACGACTTCGCCAACGCACGGTAGTGGGTTCAGCCAAGTAAAGAGATCCAGCTTCCTGGGACAGGCCGCGCCGTCGGAAGAGAAGATAGAGCTGGCTGCAGCAGTCGGTCGCAGGGAGACGGAAACCATTGAGGTGGCTTACAACAAGCCGGAGCTGCTGGCGAGCGTGGACCCCAATCCCTACGATCCCTACGACGACGACGCAATGTACAGCATCCAGTTCGACCGAGGCACTGCCGAGGGGAACAAGGACTTGTGCCCCAGCAAAGACGAGGAGAACACACAGGATATGATGGACGCTGGCAAGGGGGCACTGGAGGGGGCAGAGATGTGAGCGGTTGGAGAGAGAGACATGCCCGCGAGTCCAATGGGCTATCTTTTCGTCTCGATGGTTGCGAAGAGACATGATCTTGCGTTTCGGATTTAGACTTCGGCGTTACACATATCGGTTGTCATTTGACATGGATAGGGTATTCATGAAACAAAAAAGGCACGAGGGTGTGTGTCAAGGTAGCAAAAAATGACCATCAAGAGTTTCCGAATGCTGAATGTCACGAGAGTGTCGGTCATAAAAAGGCACAGACCAACTGGTAGTTGTTTATGTGGGGGCAATTCTTTCTTAGCTCCTTCCATGTTCCTGCAGCAAGTCGGACTTACCACAGAGTGGGTACAAACAAGATTTAGCCAATCATAGCAGCGCCAGGCCAATCAACCCTGTCGCCGAATTGGGAGGCCATCGCCAGAAATTTTGGACTTTTGATGACAAACCTCTCCGCGGATCTGCGGCATCTACGCTCGTTTTGCGCTTCCACCTCCTCCGCTCGCCCAACATCAACACTTCGCCCGTTCGATTGATCCTATAGCTCGAGATGTACCGCACAGCTCTCCGGTCCTCGCCCAGCGCGTTGCGCGCAATTAGGCCGACAACCGCTGCCTCCGGCTGCAGGCGACTCCTCTCTACAGGCCCGGCAGCGAAGAAGGGCTCATGGAAAGGCACCGGACTACGTTGGGGTGCTGCTATCGCTGCCGTTTATTGGTACAACACCAGCCCGATATTTGCCGATGAGCTGCCTCGTACGTCTCCACGCTGCTACTGTTGCTCCTGCCTGCTCTCTCGAGACTAACGAAGCTCTTACTACAGCTCCAGCAGGCCCTGCGCCTCCCCAATTCTCCGACTCAGACCTCCCGACCATCACCGCTGTGATCGAAGAGAAGCGCCGCAATGCCGAGGCGGCTGCAGCTGCGGCTCCACCTCCGCCCTCGCCTCCCCAACAAGAAGAGGCAGCGACCACAGCTGCCCTAGAATCCGTCCCGGAACCCGGCTCCCCCGAGGCGTTACAACAGGAAGCCGCCCAACAAGGCGCTTTCAACCCCGAGACTGGCGAGATCAACTGGGACTGCCCGTGCCTTGGCGGCATGGCGGATGGGCCTTGCGGAGAGCAGTTCAAGGCGGCCTTCAGCTGCTTCGTCCACTCCACGGAAGAGCCCAAGGGGATGGACTGCATTGACAAGTTCCAGTACGCCCGGCCCCAATCTCACTGAACAATTGATGCGTGCATGTGGAGGCAGCATATGGAGACTAACACACACTTAGACACATGCAGGACTGCTTCCGACTACACCCCGACATCTACGGCGCCGAAATAGACGAAGACGAGGACGCGGCCCCTGCTCAGGAGGATGCGGAAGTTGCGTTGACAAGGGACCTCCCCGAGTCTGCCTCTGCAGAAGGAGCTCCTCTGGCAAAACAGACCAAGGGAACCTCGGAGAGCACAGAGTCTCCAGTGTCGGCACAGGAAGCCAGCGCGCCGACCCAAGCGACCACAGAGGAGCACGCAGCGGACATCCCTAAGGGGGCGTTCGATGCGACTAAGGCAAACGAGAAGAAGGAGTAATATTTGCGCAGTCTCCAGTACCCTTGGGGAGGGATGTACAAAATAATAGATAAAAACCGCGATGGCCAGCATACGCAGGGCACGAGAGCTCACAGAAGGGTATGCGCAGGTTCTTGCTTGCGAGTAGTCTACGACTCTTATGTATTTTATGTATTCGCCGGCTTCATAGACCATCTCTACCCATGTTCTTTGCGGGCGTTGTTCTTTTTGTGAAGCGATTTGAGGAAGGACTGGCCAAGTCGGCAGCAACCGGTAAAACCAGCCAGTCTTTACAACCGAACCCCAAAGTTTCGCGCGTTTAACGTTGCACCACTGTGCGATCGGCTCGGTCAAGTCTACTCTTGTTAGCGCATGTCGGTGCCACACTGGGCGAACGGCTTCAGCTTGGAGTTGGCGGAATCGGAAATGGACCTGGCTGGCGGCTTCTTCAGCTTTCCATTGGCCCGTGCTTGCATCGTGCAGGCCGGATCTCGAATCTCTCCCAGTGGCTTGAGTTGGTGCTTGGAGCGGAGCCGCACACGTCATTGGCGACTGGGGTTCAGAGGGGCCCGGGCACCCGAGCTTGTATGTATAGCGGCCTTGGCTGTAACCGTCCACTGAGGTGATGTGCCCGGTTTTCCCCAGACACAATCACGCGTTCTTCCCTTCCCCTGTTTTGCACTCTTTCACCCGACTCCATCCAATCCCGTCACGAGAGCGACGACTTTTTAAAGCACCAAGACAATCCACCCTTCGCTTCTCTTCTCCTGTGCAACATCTCGATCGACAGCTTCTCTGCAAATCACTCTCCCCGCCTCTCTTTCATTCCAACGGCCACCCACACACCAGGCCCCTCCCCCACCCCCGCTTCACCCAACAGTATGTCATCCCGAGTTGGAGACTGGGTGCAGAGTCCCTTGATGCCCCGACTCTCGAGGCTGACAATGAGCGCCCCGTAGTGTCTTACGCAGAAATCGCCTCAAAGGGCCCTAAGCAGACTCCTGAGGAGGTAAGCAACTTCCCATTCCTCAGCGAACCCCGTCCCTGTCATGCTACCTTCCGTCTGTCTGTCGCCGTCGCTGTCGTGCCACCAGCAGCGGCCAGTCAGGCAAAAACACAAACAAAAAACACCTGAGCTTTCCCAGTCGCTAACAATCTACTTTCTTTCCATAGGCCGCAGCCCCGCAACCCCCCAGATCGCACACTCGGAGTCGGCCTCGACGTCGTCGCTGATTGACGTGGACACGCCGTCGGTGCGCACGGTGCCGTCGGACTTTGCCGAGCAGGAGGTGCAGACGGAGACGCAGGCGGCGCGGATCGAGCGCGAGGAGAAGGCAGCCAAGGAGGCAGCGGCAGCGGCCAAGGCGCGCGCCGAGGCCGGCCTCGACCGCAAGAAGAAGAGCGCGCGCGCAAAGGCCCACAAGGCCGACAACTGGCTCACCAAGCGCTTCGAGCGCATCTCGGACGGCGGCGCCGCCGGCGCGGTCGCGGCCGTCAATCTGTTCGCCGTCGTCGGCCTGAGCGGCTTCCTCGGCTACCGCGCTTGGGGCCTCTACGACCACGGCCGCCTTACCTGGAAGCACCTCGGCCTGGGCCTTGGCGTTCTCGGCGTTGTTGGTGCCTTTGAGGGCGTGATTGCCGGGTATGTTATTCTTGTTCTTCCCCCTCTGTGACTTGTTCCTCTTAGCTAGGCAGTAGGTTGTACTAAGCTAACGTGTTTGTGTTTGCGTCTGTCTAGGTACATGTACAAGGCGAAGAAGAACAAGGGCCAATAGACTGGCTGCGGCGAATTTGAGAGCCGAGTATCGACAAGGAGAGACGAGATCGGTGTCGGCGGCTGGACTAGAACGGTTTTCTCTGGCGCGGGCTTGGGTTTAGCTGTGGGATGGGGGTTATTACGGTGTTCTTCCTTTCTCTCTGCTCACTCGCGTTTATTATTGGCGTCTGAGTCCGTCTGTATATCCCCTCATTGACACACATATTCTCCTCACCGCTCCTCTTCTGCTGATGGTTCGGCAATGGCTGTTTACTCGGTGTGGTGATGTCTGGTTGCGTAGCTTCAGGTGCGTCAATGACGCAATGCTCCACTCGACCGAGGACGGAATCGGATGCGAGGCGCTCCACCGTAAGCAGGGGCTAGACAAGGTTTGACTTCGATCATACTGGCATGTCCACCACTCCGCAAAATCCCGAGAACGAACGCGGCCACTGGCTAATTATATCATAGTTGACTGCGGGACAGCTTTCTAGCCGGCATGACGAGACCATTGAAGTCTGATAGCTGCGCGCGAAAATACGGATGCCCTCATCTTTATTCCCCGCCTGTTCGTGTCCGGCCCTTGTCCGCCAATCGCAGATGGCTTGTCGAAGTTTCGGTTGCGGCCCAGGCGAGAAACCTTGGGTCTGAATGTTGTTTGCCTGCTGCTCCCTTTTCATGCACGTTGAGTTATGGCTGAAGCTTGTCGCGAGATACCAAACACTATTCTAGCTTCGGCTTCCGGAGGTTATCGTGTCAACTGTCAAGCAAACGGATTCGGAAAGCTAGTGGCTGCCGAAACAAGTTCAGGAACGGTATACCTTGAGTTTGTTGCTTAATTCGCTCAATCAACACACGAATGTTTCAAACCATGCCTGGCTGTTGCCGTGGTGGCGACCTCCGGAGCGAGTTTGTGTCTTGTGATGCAAACGAGGTCAAACGAGGTCAACCCAGAAGGTGGTGACAACTTCATGAACTCAGCAAACTCGGGTGACTCTTGAGAAGAATTCCGACCCAGATATGTAATGTCAAAACAACCAGAGTTTCATCCGTCAACCGGCCGCCGTGTTGATCCCACAGTCTCACCAGATTCAACGGTAACCGACTTGTTTGTCGGTTTGGTTATTGGGCGGCTAGCTTGGCCTCTCCATCCCATGCTGACAGTCATGGCAATTTGCCCAGACCCAATCCCGGCTTTTTGAAGGCAAGCAGGTCTGCTCTCATTCCACTTATACATTCTTGAGACCCAGCGGGCTGGCTCACGGCAGTGTTAGCAAGCGCCTTCTCGGCAGCGAATCAGAACCTCTTTCTTGCATTCTCGTGTCTCCCTCATATTCAATCCACAGCAATTCCTTTCTCAGCATGGCCATTTCCAAGGGCAACTGGTGATCCTCCAGCCAGCCCACTCGGCCTCTGGTCAGGCATGGATCGCCATTTCAGCGCTTCATTGAGGTCCTGGACGGGCTCCAGTTGGAACGAATCCTCAGAAACATCTTTGCGCAGCTCCCAGCCCACCAGCAAAGGCCAAGTTACGTGTACCCTTTCCTCAGGACCTGCAGGTCGATGTGGGTTCGTCTCCAGGAACTTATGTGGGAGTTTGATGCCTCTCTTGAGCTTTACTTGCAAAAGGAAGCCGGCCAAATACTCATAGATAAAGCCCCCATTATGAAGCAAGTCCACAATCCCGGCCAGTGGCTAATAACGCGCGTCAACTTCCCCGTCGGGGAGCCCGGTCTGCATTGGAGCGTCAAAGGGGATATGAAGAGAATGTTCGTCGGGGCATTTTTGCCGCTGGGCGTGTTAACAAGCACTACTTGGACCTCGGCGGCCGAGCGTCTGCCACCCGCGTGACAGCGAGCGACGGCAAGTCGACTACCGTTTTGAAAACTCCGTTGCAGCTAGCCGCCATCCACGGCCGTGTCGAGATAGCACGCTGGCTCGCCGACTCAACGGAACACATCAATGCGGGCTTCCAACTGGCGACCGAAACTCACGAGTTGGAAGACTGCCACCTTGGGGAATGCCAGTACGTGGATTCGAAATCATTCTGCCTGGACCGCCCATGTCGCACTGCTCTTCACTTCGCCATCGAAAAAGACAACGTCGAGATTGCCCGCATCCTTCTCCAGGAGGGCGCCAGTCTCCGGACCGGAAATCCCTCCCCGCTGTGCTACGCCGTCCGCCTGGGCCGGGACAAGATTGTCCGTCTCATGCTGGGCATGCCGGACGAGAACAAGAACGGCAACAGGTCCACTCCGGGATTCTGGGCGACGTCGGCCAAGGACATGCTTGCGCGCCCCAGCCTGCCCGAGATCCACGGCTCCCTCACCTTAGTCGGCGAAGCATGCCGGATCGAAGCGGAGCGACGTGCCGCCACCATGCTCGATCTGCTAGCAGAAGCCGCCATCTCCATCGGAGAAAGAACCCGCCGGACGCTCTTCAACGGCGGCATCAGATTCAACTAGCCCAGGGGCAGCGCGCCGGATGACGAGAACACGACCCCGCTCCAACACGTCATGACGCGCCCCGAGGGCGTCTTGACCCGCGGCGACGTGCCCCTGGCCCTCATCCGCCACGGCGCCCGCGACGGCATCGTCATGGCCGACATCGGCAACAGCGCCGCGTCCACGCCCGCGATGGAACCCGTCCTGCTCATCCTCCGGCAGTGGCGCAAGCGCATCGACCCACTTGAGTTCCTCGAGCGCTGGTGGCGCGCCGAGCGGCGCCTTTACTTGAACGAGTGGAACGCAGCGCTCATCCAGGCGGCGAAGGCCGCAGGGCCGGCCTGAGCGGACGCTGAGTGGTACGTTGCCGTCGCACGCTTCTTCATCTGCGAGTGCCCGGACTTCGCGCCCGCCGGCACGTTCGCCCAGACCGTCAACGCGCTGGCGGCGCGGCACGACATCCCCTTCACTTGCACCGCCTTCTTCGACAAGTTCCGCAGGACGTGGACCTTCGTCGGCCCCGAACACGTCCCTGTTGTCCGCGAGGAAGCCGACGATGACTACGGGCTGCTGGGTGCCTACGCCGGCGTCGCCGCCGCTATGCAGTCCTGCCCTCTCCCGCCGCCACCGCCGCCGCCACCACAGCTGCCGCCGCGCCGCAGACGCCGCGTGACCGTCGTCGCGCCGACCAGCGGCGACGGCGATGATAACGGCGAAAGCGAGATCCCCCGCGCGACATACGTGCCGTACCGCCGGTCGCGGCACACGGAGTGCGCCCCTGTCGAAAGCCGCCGCGCCCACGATGCCGCGGCTCCGCGAGCCAAACTACGAGGAGAGCCCAGGATCTTCAACTACTGGGACCCGAACAGGAACCGCTACCACCACCGAGGCGGTGACGATGGTAATGATGACGACGTATATTCCCGCTCAAGCTGCTTGTGATTTCATGTGTGGGCAGTTTGGTGTGTGGCGTGTTGGCAAGCGTGGTTCAGTGGTCATTAAGGTAGGCCAGGGCCAAGACAGACAGGATAGTGCTGGGAGGCCGGTATCGGATCCGGCATTTGTTGACTGGCAGTTGGCTTCTTGGCTTTGCATTGCTGGTGTTCCGGCGTTGGACTGTTCGGCATGACACGACGCAGTCCGTAGGCTGCGCCGTTGGATCAGGGGAGTGGACTTTAGGGCTGACTCTGGAAATGCACGCGTTCACCATGTTGATCTTGGTGGACCCGGCTCGCGGACAATATACTCTTGTGGCTCTCAGACGCCTGTTCTGAGCCTGTGTGTTTCTGTGAGTCTGCAGTGACCGAGGTTATGGCCTACGATGGTCTTCCTCCCCTCACAGTAACTCGGTTCTCCCTAGATCTACCCACCCTTCCGCAGTACATCCACTCCCAGACTCTTGCCACCACGCCGGTCAACTCCTGCTGTTCTCAGCGAGGACCAGTGAAGACTGTCATTAGCCAAAGACCACGGATCTACAATGCATTGGCACGAGTGGCGAGCCGGGACACACATCTCTCAAATCGGAGGACATCAGATTTTCAACACAACAAACGCTTTTTTTATGTTTCTGATTTCTCGGTAGCCATGTACGAAATACAAACACGCGCGCGCAAGATGACAACAGTCTGCCTCCGTTCCGCCGAGCACGCGAACCCCCTAAACCCCCGCGCCCACGCGTCGACTAAGAATGACCAACGACGAGCCAAGGAAATCGGGCCGGCAACTCATTCTGGCCTGGTGTTAATCCACGTGGTTCTGTGCTGCTGTCCGATGCGGGGGTGGCTTACGACCCTGAGAGACAGAAGCAGGTGGATGGCTTATTTGCCGTGGGCGGAGCATCCAGCGCAAGTGCAGCTCGAGCCGCAGCCGCATGAGTCGCCGCACATCTTGATTGGGTTTGGGGGGGTTTGGTTGGTTGGGGTTGGTTTAGTTTGGTGAGAAGATTTGGCTGTTAGACTTGGATTGGCTTTGTTCTCGGTAGTGAGATGGAAAAGAAAGAAGAAAAAGGAGAAGCAATCGAGAGAACGGCGGGGAACGGCGCGAGTATTAAAGCTTCGGCAAAACGCCAAGAGCGGCGGCCCCCGTCGGCTTCTCCCACGAAATCTGTCCCACCCCTCGTCCTAATCGCACTGCTAGGTGGCATCGAGGCACGGGGTGGGTCCAGGGATGCACGAGGGATGCCAGGCGGGCCAATGGCGTGGCCCACGCCGTGAGTGTCTTTCGCTTGCCTACGTTGCGCGCATTTCGCGGGAGGGTGTGGGAACATGGACGAATACGGCAGGCGCGATAGGTCACGACGGTGGGTGGGCCGCCACCAGACCCCGTCGTGGTTGCCCCAATGCCCCAATGCCCCAATGCCCCCCCCGTCCTTTCCCCTCTCCCCGCCCTTTGGCACTGCCGTTGGCCATTGCACTGTTGGCTCCGACTAGGAGGGTCTGCTGCAGAAGGAAGTCATTGCCAAGAGGCCTGTGCGAGAAAGTTGTGGGGTGTGTGGTTTCACGGCATTGACGAGGACCAAACATCTCCGATAGCCAAGCTGCCAGTCCAACCTCGCTGCAACGAGAGCCTGGTCAGACGTGTCGAGACGAATGCGTGGCGACTCGGTCTTGTTGGGCCGGTCGAGCCGATCATCCACAACTCACATTTCAATGGCGGCCTGCACGCGTAGCCTAAGAGTAGGGAGGTCACCTGCCGTCCGTCTATGTTATTTCCTTCATTAGAACATAGGTTCATGCCTCCGAGGAGATTCGCTCGGATTGATCTCGGGATCCATGAGGCTAGCACCAATCCATCTTGACGCCTGCGTTGATAGATAGCGCTCGCTGTCTTTACCAGATTCGTGGGATGGGAAGCGCACGAAAATCTCGATAGCACTTCCCGACGTTAATATTAGACTACATATTACGTACGGTGTTGTTGTGGGTTTCGATGACTCTCGGCTCGCCTCATTCGGTTGGGCCAAGATGATCATCTTGTCTTTCGGAATTTTCCATGCATCCCCGTGCAGTCGTCTCTCGACCAGTGGTGATGGAGCTTCGCTTAAGAGCCTTGAGCGTGTAACGACAATTCCAGGGCGCCCCGTTCAACAGGTAGTTCTAGTCCTCTCAATGGCTGTCCGCTAGTTCAGTCCAGCAGTTACCTAAGTTTTACCCACGCGCCTCGGACTGTGGGCTGGGCACGGGGCTTAGCGACAGGCGAAGGGAGCCAGTATGAGCAGATTATGCACGTTGCGCCTTGCATGGTCTCAGGAAATGCGGGAACTGGGCCATGTAGTCTTGTCGTTGGTTGCGGGGCGTTGGTTGCGGGGAGATCTGTCAGTCTGTCTAATACCCGGGCCTGGTCTAGTTTAGGTCACGCTCTAAGAATCCCTGGTTACTTGCAAATGATCTCTCAATAATTAATTAGGTGTTGCTCTGCGCCGTTTTGATCTCCCTCCTTCAACTCATACCCGGTCCCGCTCCGTCGACCCTGCTTCGATCCCACTGAACATATCAACAGGGCTGTTCCGTCGCTGATGTTTCCACTTCCTGGATCTGGACGAAGAACTAAGTTCACTTCCTCTGCTGGTGTTCCCATTCCCACTGTATCGGTTCGGAACAATCATGCCATTCATCATGACAGTATTTTTCCATTTTTGCCGTCGAACGTGTGACAGGAGAGCAAAAGTTCCCCAATGCAGCAGCGCCTTGATTGCCCCGAGAGATCCTGCAAATCCCCAAGTTGTGCCACTTCTTGATGGCAATGGTCGGGCACCTTCGACGTTGCTTTTTCGTCGCAGCCCCAGTCTTGGCTTTCGGCATCAGACTATCAAATCCGGTAGTTGGTATCGCAATACGTACACGGTAGGTCAGCGTCCTCTATGGCAGATACCGGCATTGAGTGGTCCGGACAGTCCGGAATGGCGTGAGAAATGTCGTCGCTGCACGCGAGCGGTGGGCGTTCGGGGTGAAACGTGAGGGCGTACAAGCAAATCCCTCTTGAACCTCTTCATGTAACGTCGTAGCGCCGTGTGGTCTCCGGCTGGATACTTTATCGTAAAGGTTCCGTGGACGAAGAGGTCGTGGTCGATGATGCGAGCTCGCCAGGAGTACCGGACTTGGACCCCCGTGCCCGCATCCTTGTCAACCGAATCTCTATGGAGAACAGACAAGGGCAGGCCATTCTCTCCGCCGTAGAAATATCGGTTCATGACCAGCCGCACCGTGACCATGTTCGTGCCGAAGAGGCGAGGCCGGACGTGATAGTTGCAGCACCTGGCGCTATCGCCATTCCCGGATGCCCAGTCCCAACGAATCAGTTCCTCGCGAACGTCGCAGTAGACGTATTGTCTCCAGTCTATTTTCTAACCGGCGCAGCAGCTTGTCCCGCCCGAGTCATGATAATCGAGGTGAGCTCGAGAAGAAGCGCCGGTAGAAATTTCGGCATGTGAGAGAAAATATAACCACCGACTCTTCCGGGAGGTATTTCATAATTGCGAGGATCATCTCGGTAGGTAGTTTGGAAATACCCATCTTGGATTGCGGTTGAAAATGTGTGCCTAAGAATTAATGGCGAAGAGATGAATAGAGCAAAAAAAGCCTGAAGGGCAAGAGGAAAAACAACGATTGCAATTAAGAAGACGGGATCTATTCATAGCAGTTTCCTTCACCTGTACCTGGAACAGTTAATACAACACCATCCTCGGCCTTGTCTTGCCATGAGGGTGCGAAGTTGAAAGTAGTTTGCTTCAAAGCCATGAAAGTTTCGGGCCCACTGAGCTTCTGGCCATTTCTCTGACATTATTTTGCCTGCCTTGTTCTAGATAGGGTTAAAATATATATGCTGGAAAACTCATTCAGCCGGTGAGATAGCCGGGCAGGTTGTCATGGCAAAGCTGTTCGCTCTTAAATCGCGCTCTTCAAGACCTAACGAAGTCACAACATCGTCTTAATCTCACCGACAGCGACACGATTTTAACGCAAGGCCGGTCCGTTGCTAGGCAACGACATCAATCTGCTAAAAGCTATTTACCTCACTCCCAACGCCAAAACGAGATGAACCCTAGACTATGCTAATTATACCACCGAGATGACAATCACGACATCAAGAAAATAGCCGACAAGGGTTCCAAGAAACGACTATTAAGTATGGACGAAAGAGATGCAGCATAATCTGCCTTAGTTCAAGGATACTTTGACGAACTGGAGACAAAGTCGCGGTGAACAAAGCACGGACAAAGAGACAAACAATACCACAAAGCGATTAACTACTTCTCAATCGCAAAGACTTTCACAATGACTCTCGTCAACCTTCGTCAAGAATACCATAATATATTTCATTGATGCCAGCAGAATCGCCATAATCAACCACCCTCTATCTGCCGTTGGAATAGTGGAACATTCTACACGACGCGAGAACTCATTTGACAGCAATTTCTCGCTCACTACAATCGCTTGGTTGCAAAATAAACACCAAACATACCTAGGAAGCATTTCATCCATACCAAAAGGGAAATGGCTCTGCTTCCAAGAAGCCAGCCTCGAAAGCTAGAGACGTGCACGGCTTCGATCAGGAGAGACTGGACCGGCTGAGCAACTCGATGCAGCCGCTGCTGACAAGAAACGCGACCACGGAGGAGCTGGACGCGCTTCTCAAGGCCGCCGACGACTATGTCGACGGCAAGAAAGGGGCTGCTGCGGCTGTGAAGCAGGCCAAAATGCGCATTTTGGCCGCTTTATTCCGAAGCGCAAATAGGGGGAGAAAAAGAAACAATGAAAGGGGATTTTTGGGGGGGATGAGGTCATCAGATGACCGACCCCTCCGTCGCTCATGGCAGCCGAAGCCAGTCTTCCGGGCCGGTCGGAATTGAAACAAAGGTGAATCGGGCGGGAAATGGGAAGGAAGAATAGATCCGGCCGCTCGGCTGGGGGCGTGGTGGCCGCCGCGTAACCCCGTTGACGAGGGGTCCGGCCCACTTCCGAAACTTTGGTAGAGACCCCATCACGACCGTAGTGCACGAGTGCACCGCAAAGTTTTCTTTTTCTTTCTCAGAGAACTTGAATTTAGATTTCTGTAATTTAATTTAGATTCAGCAAACGAACCAACCCATTGGCTGCCCTTCGAATTGACCGAAAAAAGTCGTTGTGCGGGTCTGCCCAGTGTAGGTTACGTAATCGCAGCGAGGTCGACAACTTGGGCTGGTCTGGTCTGGTCTGGCCGCCAATGACACGCCAAGCCACTGAAACACGACAACGAACCCTTCGCCGGCCCGGGCTGAAAAGCAGCCCATCGTGAGGCTGCAGGCAACTGATAAAGTGAGACGGCCAAGCACGCGGTTGTTCGTCGAAGATCCCTCCCCCCCTCGGCCCGCCTCCCAGCTTGCAGTCGCCATCGCTGCCTCAGAAAGAGAGCGGGAGAAACAAAAGAAAAAAAGTCCCGAACAATCGAGGACTCACAAAAGAGAACTTGACTCACCGGTGCCACGCGTAATAATTCGTCATGTGCTCCGTGTATGCCTGGGACATCCGGTGCAGGCTGTGCCGGCGACTCGTCAGGGGCGTCGTCGACTACCGGATCTGCGAGCTGGTGCGCGTGCCCGAGCCCGCCAAGACAGACGAGACGCAGCAGTACAGCAGCGACAGCGCCAGCGACAGCAGCGACAGCGACGGCGAGGAGAGCACCAGCGGCCATGAGCGCGCTGCTGGTGACGTCCGCAGCAGCGTCCTCGTCCCCAACAACGAGGCGCTCAGCATGGTGCTGACCAACGGGTCCAAGAGCGACGCCGCCACGTTCGTCAACGTCCTGGTGAACAAAGAAGCCGCCCTCGAGGACGACGGGCTGCCGGAGTGGGGCAGCTGCGGCCGAGAGCCCAAGAAGTACGAGACCGTCACCCGCGACGGCACGTGCGTCGGTGCCTGCGATCCCAAGATGCTCTCCGGGGGCAAGACGGCCAAGGCGCCGCGGCCAACGAGCAATTTCCTGAGCCCCTATGACGCAGAGCGAACCAGGACCGGGCACGGGAATCTGAACGTCTGGCGGCCTGGCGGGATGCCGTCGTCGATGTGATTAATTAGGCTGCTGCCGGGGGTCGTTGGGACTGGATCGGGTAGATGCCTAGAAGATAATTAGAGGGTGGGTGTTCGATACTATCGCCAATGTAGTCATGCATATATTTCCTGTTTTTTTATCCGAACCGATGTGAACTCGAGGCGGTGTGGATTGGTGACGAGTCGTGTCGAGGTCGTGCAAAGGCAACCGCGGCAAAGACTGGGCACTATGAAAGTGCTCAAAGATGCCAGATAGCCGTAGGACCTTTCGACGCGAATAACCAGTTAAGAAGCAGAATTATTAGCTGCCTTCTGTCAATCAGTACGTAATCAGCCCCGGTGAAGCAATGAGTGAGTCAAATGGGTGTTTTGGTGGTCTGAGACATTTGGGGTTGCACGACAGATTTGAGAGCTGAGCGCAGCTGCGCGTCGCCCAACATCGTGGCCTCTCTCCACATTCCACAGCGATGTAGTATTGATAGCATGGATGGCACGTTGCCAGATATTTTCTGACAGCAACCGATGTGCGCGGAGAAGCGAGAATGAGTCGCTAAGAAGCCGGTAAGGTCCCAGCGAAGGTGACCAGCGAACCTGCGCGAGGGGTCCTATCGGTGACGGCGAAAGGAAAGTCGACGGCGGGCGGGCCGAGGAGGTGGGTTCCGGAGCCTTGCGAGAAAGGGGGATAAGGAAAAAGGAAAACCTTATCGAATCATCCCGTGCGCAACATGTTTGGCTCTTGACCCGACGATTTTTATTGTGGCGTACGCGCAGCAATTAGCGGTGGCTGCTGCCGGGATGTCTGAACATGGAAGGTCGTGGACGAATCACTGGTTCTGGATTGGACAAAAATGAGGAAGTTGGCGAATCAGATGCAGCCGCACTCATAACCCTTTTGGGCAGTGACAGCCAAATGGCCGGCTGTTTCACGGCGAATTCCGGGGTCAAAGGTGCAGTGGTGACCCAGCCAAGTCGCACCTGCATATCCATGGAGGCAGACGCGGCTGCCTATTCCGTTTGAGTACCTTGGGCCGGCCAGCCAAGTCACAGAGAACTTGGGATGGAAATTCCATTCGACAGAAGCCGGTCGATTTGAAGAAGCAGGGAAGCGGACCCGGAGGCTGTCGTCATGGCAGGGGAACTTTAATGGGTAGACCTGAGGTGCGGCTGACGCCAAACCCCAAGCTTGGGTCAACCGTTGTGACACGGATGCAACCGCATCGGCACTTCCGACCCCACTCAGCCCTATAGAAGGGCTTAGGGGGGGTCGATGGGCCTGGGGTGCGCCAGGAGCATCGAGGCCTTCCCCAGATGCGAGTTAATCCAGGCCAATGGTTCGGGGAGGAAAGGGGAAGTGCGGCAATCTGGGTGATACTTATCTAGGCCGCCCATACAAAATGCTGATCTGGCGTGCCTGGGTCGAAATTTCTTTAATAATAAGCTAGGTGGAACGTGTGGCATCTCATTTATCATGTAAAGTGGCGAAAGAGCGAGCACGCACGCCATGCAAAACCTGTCGCCCCCGCCCCCAATTTCCCATCGACCTAGTAACCACGACAAATGTCTGGGAAGTCGCTGTCCCACCCGCCGCCCCGGCCGCCGCTAGTGGTGGAGAGAAAGAAGAGGGCGTGTGGGGAGTGCAGGCGGCGAAAGCAGAAGGTGCGTGAGACTGAGTGAGACTGATGGGGCGTGTATCGCGGCAAGCACGACCGAGGACCCGTGCCCGAACAAACCGCGTGGGGTGTTTCAAGTCCAGGGACGCTACTACTACCAGTGCCCAAAATCTAAAAACCAAGACGCCGCCTTACTAACTACCCAGTGTCCAGTGCGATCAACGACAACCTTGCAGAAACTGCCGCCGTCGGATGCCAGAACCCATTTGCGAGTATGGAATCACAGGGCAAGTGGTGACTTTTACTTGCTCTAGAGCCCTTGGGAAGCGAGAGAGGACAGCACTCATGTCAAGCCCAAAAATACAGACAAGCAAGCAAACCGCCGCTACTCCCTTTGCCGAGTAATCACGTCGCCAGCACCATCAACCCTTTTCACGGCGCAACGAGACAGGGTGAAAGCGCGAGACGCCAATCCAAGACCGAGCCAAGTCCATCCTCGAACTCTGTAGGCGTGTCAAGTGGCCCTACTCTATCACCTACCCAGCAAGACTCGGACCTCGTTCGATTATGTAGGCGATTTCCGAGTATTGCCTACGGAATTTTGACGCCTGGGTGTGCTGATGATGCTGTTCGAACTAGGGAACAACTTCGAAACCCAGTCAAGCCAAATACCACAGCAGTCAGATAACATCCCGCCTCCTACGAACCCATATCTCAGCAATTTGCTCCCGCTTTCCGCCCACCATCCACCTCTCTCCCAATCGTCCATGTGTAGGTCGGCCACCACCGCGAGACTGCCCAAGTCTAGCGCTGATTCACCTGTGCGTCTAGATGCTAACTGCAGAATATTCACACCAAAAGTCGTGGCAACATGCATGCTGGGCGAGAGGGTAGTAATGGACCGGGGAACCATGATCGCTGCCAGAGGCAATGCCATCCGGACATTACACAAGATGTTGAGTTCTCCTCAGTCATCAACCACGGACGAGGCCATCGCGGCAGTCGTGAAACTCGTCGTCAACGACCTATGCTACGGCGAAACACAGCACCTCCGACTCCACATTGACGGTGTCCGTGAGATGACTCGGTTGCGTGGGGGACTGACCTCGTTGGGTATGAACGGGTCCCTGGCAAAGATGGTGATTGTGTGAGCTTTCCCCACCCCCATACAGCCCAGCGCCGAGATAAAATGTGATTAACCTTACCTCGCAGTGCAGACATGGTCACCGCCATCGCAATGGAGATGCCGCCGCTGTATCCGGAACAAGAAACCACGGACTACACCGCGTTACTGGAGAGTGCCGGCGAACGGTCATTCAGTAGCAACACAACCACCCTGCAAGAAGCCGTTTCACCGCAAAACAGCCCCAGCTCGAGCTCGGCCCCATTCTCCTCCCTCGAGCCCAGCACGGCAGCCGTGCTCAGCGACGTCGAGTTCCTGGTCGACACGGTCCTGGGGCTGCCGCAGAGCCCGTCGCCGTGGGAGCTGCAGAAGGTACAGTCCATGTCGGCGTGGGTGCGCAACCGCGTGGCCGCCCAGACGGAGCACAAGTCGGCCGCCGCCATGAACCTGCACCGCGCCGTCCGGCTCGCGGGGCTGGCATACTGCCGGGCCATCCAGGAGCGCCACCCGCTGTCCGGCGTCGTGGGCGAGGCCGAGGCGGCTGACATCGTCGACGCCGCCCGCATGGTGTCGCTGGAGATATGGGCCGGCCAGCTAGGGCCGCTGCTGTGGATCCTGACGGCTGCGCTGCCCGCCGCCCGCAGCTCGCCGCGCTGCCACACGGGCAAGAACATGGTCATGGCCGCCTCGCTGCAGATGGCGCTGGACGACTGGGCCGCCGCCGCCAAGGCCCTGCGCCGGACAGTGAAGCTACAGGCTTGGCTTTGCGCCGGCGAAGGGCGCGACGAAAACCCTGCTGGCCAGAGGTCTCAATAACGGTGTGCATTTCTTGCACCTGGGAATCCGTTCCGTTTCTTCGGCGCAGCTGCACTTGGCTGGAAAATACAGATACCTTGCTTTCTATCACATCGAGAATTTCATGCTTTCTGAATTCTTTATGCAATCTTTACGTCTAGACAGGGTAGTTGGTTAATCAAAATCGATCTGGTTATTTCTGAAGTTCCAAGACTGCAATGCAGACGTGATTAGAGCAAGAACACTTCAACCAATTTTCCTGAGACCCTTAGAATAATTGTTTTTGCCATTTTGAAGTTCAGATCGCTACGGCAAGCTCCGAAATGGCGGAGGTCAATCAGAATCAACATCGCCAACAAATACGTTGCGTCACTGGCGTTGTGCTTCGACTGTGACAGTCCGAATATCTTTCAACATTGCCCGGACGAAAAACCATAGCGTACCAACGAATCTATCATGCATAGAATCTCGCCCGAAATTCATTGGGTGCCGATAATGGTTCCCCTGTTGACACCTTGCCAGCATGCACGGGATTTTCAAGAGAGCCGGCCCCAGCCTATTTCAGTGTTTATTTTCATTCGGGACTGGCAATCATGTTTCAATAGAAATTACATTCTGTCCTTGGGCCTGCTTCGGGGAGATGCACCCGCGCGGCGAGGGCAAAAAAGAAAAAAGAAAAACCTTTCCATCTTGCGAGTGAGGCCTTCACCCGGCGAGGTCCGACAACTCACAGGAGAGGCAAAGCAAGGCACTTTTGGCATCGTTGCAATATAGGATATAATTATCATGTGGTTGGGCCAATCCGATCCCGTTCCGACGGCTGGAGCCCAACGAGCTGCCAGTAACGGGCCAGGGCCAGGGCCAGGGCCCGCCAGCCTCACCAATACAACCCCCCTGCGCCCCAACGATGTCTCGAATCGCAAGAGTGACCCGGAATGGACTGGGGTCCGGCTTCTGATGATATGTGCGTAGTAGCCGGCTCCCTCCCTTCCTGGCTTCTTGCTAGCCGAGACATGATAACGACCGTGCCGCGCGGGTAGTGATCAAGTGTCACCGATGATACCGTCGCACCGCCCGACGTGACATGGCACATGGCTCGTCCGCCGCTTCCGGCCTCCCCTCGTCGACACGCTGGATGTGTCCCGCCTGTGGTCCAGGCCGCGACCGAAGCCAAGGCATCATTAGAAAGCTAGCTTCGGCTAGATTCGGGTGGATTTTCGTCTCAGTTGGATCCGAACAGTTAATCGCCGTCAACCTCTGGAATTGACCGCAACTCGGAAAGCCACATTATGACACTGAGAGATGCATAGCCTAGAGCACATGCCTACCTAGTCAATGTGCGTCCCTCACACGGAGCGGGACTCATAAGCAAAACTACCGATGGAGAGACATAGCAAATCATATCGATGACAGAGCCGGAACGTGAACAAGCACAAGAGTTTGATATTCAAGCTCGCAGCCATAAAAAGTGACAAGTCTGCTTCTAGAATTCATGTGCCGTGGTCGGGACAGCCGAATTCTGATCGCTCAGTGTTGTATCTCAACCGATAAGCCTGGGTACCGACCACTTCACTGAGAAAGCCACCAGGTCTTGATAAATACACCGCATCCTCCCTTCTTTGGATATTTTCGACTTCCCCTTTCATTCTCCTCTATCTCGGTTTCGAGTCGTATACCTAATAGGACACTCTGCAAATGCACGCAGCTGGCGTAGCTACGTGTCGCCACTCACCCTTGGCCTGTTTCTAATAACCTTCCGCCTCATTGCGATGTCCGCCCGGCCTTCCCTCGTCGCAGTGTCACGGGCCTACTGGGACATAACCACTCTTACTCCTGCTGCTCATAGTTCCCAAGACTTTCCCCAACCTTCGGTATAGACTTGGTTTAATTCCATTAGCTATAACGAAATAATTACAACGAAATGGTGACAACGACATATCCACAACGAAATGGTTACACTAGTGACCGAAATCAGTGTCCATGATTTTCATATTCGGATTTTCTCCGCACAGGCTAGTTCAACCCCCCCTAGCGGCGCCTTACATAGTACGTCGCTGTTCGTTCCATGCTAGGGAACATATCAGCTAGAATTAGCTACAGCTACGAATGCGAGTGCACTAGCCGCTTTTGGCACAGACAAAGTCGTGCGGCTCGGCGCCTGTGCAAATCACACCACCTAGTGCCGGACGTACCCTCGGGCCGACAAAGTGTTGCTATCCAATCAGATGTGTATATAATCGCGATCTATAATTGTATAATGCCTAGACATTAGAAACACAAAATCAGGATGGAGCTTTCCGGATGCCTGTCAATGGGGCGATGAAACTCGTTCTACTGTAGCTACGACTCCATTTGACTATGATAAGGACGATAGTATGTAAGGATATAGCTATTAGCGAAATCGGCTTCTGCTTTTTCTATCACATCTTTTCAGCGCACAGATCACTTATGCATCTAGCCATCCACACCGTATACCCCGACACTGCGTCAATACTTGCTCGACGATATAATTATACCACCTATTCATTTGTTCGTTGGCTGGCCTAGGTTAGTGTAAGTGAAGGCAGGTACGCGATCAAGGTGGTCACAAGGAAGGTACTGAAGAGAGCGAGCAATGACTGGTATTGGTAAAAGACTTCAACCTGGCCCTCGCAAAGGAAGGGGCGAGGGCCACTGCTTATATACATGACAGAGTGCAGGGCGGCCGTTGACAAAGGAGTGAGGTCTTGGCCCACTCGGTACGCGTGCGAGTTGGTCGTGTGTATAGGTTGGGGGTTCTTTCCTTATATTTAGCTGGAGACGTCTCACTCGAAAATGGCTATCTATTTAAATTACCTCGAAGACGTCATTCTCACCTTAAAAGATAGTCATAACCTAATGAGGCGAACACGCTTTGTGGCGATATTTTGGTTAATGTGACGGCGTAGGGTGATTTCTAGTTTCAGAATGTGTGACTAGTGGTGGCGGTATCTTCAGATTAAGTAAGTTATAAAGTATTGTACTAACGTAATTGCATAGCGAGTGGTCATGTATAGCGAGTGGCCACTCTCCCCACCCCAATTGAGCTTTCGCACGACACACTAATACCACAAAAAATGATCAATTAAAACTACTTAGAATCTAATCTCTTATCTATTTTCGCATCCTCCTGGCACGTACGAGAGTTGTGTCCTGTTTTGCCGCAATTGCTACAGTGCCGTGAACCTGCTGTATTGCTCCTTGTACGGCCACCTCCCGACTGCTTTTCCTCCTCTAGTAGGGCGTATGCATCCCTTTCAGCCAGAATATCGCTTGCATCCTGTACAGTCAATGGTCCTCCTGCTTGGATACGACTTTTTTTTAGCCCTCCGGCGTTTACTTAGGGGCTGTATTTGCCTCCTCAAGCTCTCGTATACGAGCCTTCATCAATACTACCTCGTGTATAACCTTCGTTGTACCCTTTACAATTTGGTCAAGGGCCTCAAGAATTGGGGTTGGTGAGCTGCTCTGATGCCTGGTAATGCGATCCTTGATGTATGTTGATTGTAGAGAGGCCTCAGTAGCATTCTGTGGTGTCTTAGAGACCCAATTGTCGTACGAGTCCTCGGGGGGGCAAGTAGGTGTTGGTGTACGAAGCTTGATATCTAGCTGGGATATCACCTTTTCTGGGTCAAATGGGACAAGGCCTGCCCTCGGAAACCTCCTTGTACGTTTATCAGGTTTGAATGTTGCTTGAAATGTGTTGTAGAAGGCGAGAAAGAAGTCGGGCTTGGTGATGTGGTGAATATGGTTGCGCATTAGCTTCTCGATTTCCGTGCTATAAAACCGCTTCAACACACTAAAACACCCGATATCAAGTGGCTGAAGTAGATGAGATGAGTGCGGAGGCATACAAAGTATAATAATGTTTCTTTGCAGTATTTTTCGAACTTGGCCGAGTGGTGGCTCTCATGCCCATCAAGGATTAGGAGACGTTTTCCACCTAGTGTTGGTCGAAGTGCTTAATCCAATCAAGACCAATCTGGTTATTCGTCCAACCAGTTTCCGAGAGATCAACGGTCCAATCGGGGGGGAAAGGGCTGTCGCGATACCAACTTTCGAGGTGGATTTTGCCTGCAACCACCACGTACGGAGAGATGCTATTACCACCCGAATGTACAGCCTGGATCACTGTAGCCCATTCCCGATTACCAGGCTGGATCTTCTTAACCCTCCTACGGCCTTCAGGCGAAGTAATAACAAGCATCGGCGAAATTTGGCCTATCATAAACCTAGTCTCGTCAAAGTTCCAGATATCCGACTCAACAATCCCATGTTTCGCGATTGTATTACGAACAAGGTCAAACCACGCGCCAATTATCTCTGGATCTTCGCATTTGGCTCTCTGGTAGTCGTACGGACGCGTCCAACGCATCTGGAGCTCTGGTTGTCGTCGTACGAAGTTTGAAGCCCAGCGTGGTCCGACGCGTGACGCGTTACGCGTGACGCGTAGCAAATTGGCCATATCTTCAACCACATCGTATCCTGGCGAAAATCCTTGCTCATATAGGTCAAGAACCTTTTGTACAATAACCTGCTCTTCAAGGGGATCGAAATTCCGAGAGTTGGCGATAGTGTTTGCTTGTCACGAGGGAGAGGATTCGACTGGCATAACGCTCAATATAACCGTAACCTGTATTGTGGAATCTAAAGCTAAGGAAGGAAAAGAGGAAGGAAGCAATTCGCGGGCGCAGGGCGCGGGAAAATAGGTGTGGGCTGCAGGGCTGACGTAAGGAAGCCGAGTGCACACAGACCACACTCTAAAAAAGGATGCACCCAATCAGGGCGCAGTATACGTCATTGACACCACCACGGCACCCGCCGTGACATTGCTCGAGGGAGGATTCCCTTTAATCGCCGCTCAAGTGTTTTTCGGGGTACCGAATACAGTTTTGCAGCTGCAAAGGGCTTTAGTGATTTATTGCGTTCCATAGCTTGGAGGGCAAGCTGTATTTGTGCTTCATTTCGTTTAGGTGGCATTTTTAGTTTTTTTGTAGTGTTGGTGTGTCGGGCGAAAGTTCAATTGGGGTGGGGAGAGTGGCCACTCGCTATACATGGCCACTCGCTATGCAATTACGTTATATAGAGTACTATATATAGTGTTATATAGTATTATATATCGAGGTAATATAGCGACTTGTAGAAACAATCATTCGTGAGACATCTTAATATGCTGGAAAGTCCTAGAATTTCTTTAAATCTATGAATTAACTTATCCTCCTAGGCCCTTATGGTGTTAAGCTAGTAAAACAAATATAGATAATAGATTAGAAGAACCTTAAAATATATTACATACGCTAGGTGGGAATAATAGCATAAGGAAGACAGAAATGTACTTCAGAATGGTGATATATCTACAGAGAAGCCGATAATCGTAACCCTGCCTGATCTACTGCCAAGTACGACTGTCTTGCCTAGAATGGCCGACTCCGATAATCGGACTTCGGGGGGAAGCCACACAATGCGTCGACCATCAAGTGTGACCCAGGAACCGTCCGAGCTTAAGCCGACCCCGACCCGTACTAGAGCCTGGTGTTGCTCCGATGTGATAGACTGGTAAGACGTTATGTCGGCGTCTCTAAGGCTAGCCTCCCTTACTGCTGATGATAAGCTAACGTTAATATATCCGATGTTTGTGAGAAGACTATTCGTAGAGTCAAAGGCGATGCTAGACAACGTAGTGCCAATATTGAGTATCTGCAAACAGCGGCCAGAAGCCGTCTCCCAGAGCCGGACGGTCTGGTCGCGCGATGCCGAGGCTACCTGAGTACCGTCGGGCGAGAACGCGGCAGAGGTGACCCAGTCGCTATAGCCTTTCAGCTCCTGGATATAGCGGCCAGAGGCCGTCTCCCAGAGCCGGACGGTCTGGTCGCCTGATGCCGAAGCTACCTGAGTACCGTCGGGCGAGAATGCGACGGAGGTGGCCCAGTCGCTATGGCCTTTCAGCTCCTGGATATAGCGGCCAGAGGCTGTCTCCCAGAGCCGGACGGTCTGGTCGCGCGATGCCGAAGCTACCTGAGTACTATCGGGCGAGAACGCGACGGAGGTGACCCAGCTATTATTGCCTTTTAGCTCCTGGATATAGCGGCCAGAGGCCGTCTCCCAGAGCCAGACGGTCTGGTCGCCCGATGCCGAAGCTACCTGAGTACCGTCGGGCGAGAACGCGACGGAGGTAACTAAGTTATTATGGCCTTTCAGCTCCTGAATATAGCGGCCAGAGGCCGTCTCCCAGAGCCGGACGGTCTGGTCGTTCGATGCCGAGGCTAGCTGAGTACCGTCGGGCGAGAACGCGACGGAGGTGACCCAGCTACTATGGCCTTTCAGCTCCTGGATATAGCGGCCAGAGGCCGTCTCCCAGAGCCGGATAGTCTGGCCGTCCGACGAGACCATCTGAGTGCCGTCGGGCGAAAACGCGACGGAGCTAACATAGCTGCGGTGTTCGAGTGTCTGCAGGCAAGCGTTCCATTCCACCCCTACAACTGGCTTGGTCACGACCCAGTCGGGTTCTTCCACCAGCTTTCGCACCAAGCTTCCTGTTGGACTGAATAGGAGAGCCGATATGTAGGCCTGCAGCGGGGCTCTCTCTATCGCCGACTTGTTAAAGAGGATAAACCGCTTGGCATCTCGGACTAGTGACACCAAAGGGTCCATCCCTATATGCCCCTAAATATACGTTAGAAAAGCGTAGATTTCGTGCCGCTTGTACTTACTAGGAAATTTTCTAGCTGCCTCATTGCTAGGACGCCGTCCGACATGCCTGCGACCAAACTTAGGCCCTCAAGCCAGCAGAGATACTTCTCAAGAAATGTGTGAACCAAGCCGTGGTCCTGGAGGTCATCTCTTCGCCCCGACGCGCAGAGATGCTCAACCCAGTAGACGCACGTGTACCGTACCGTCGCCAGCGGGTCTGGACAAGGCGTTTTGATACTACTAATAAGCGAGCCAGGAGCGCGGAGGCCGTACATGTCACGGCTGAGTGTTTTGGATATGGCGCTGAGCGACTTTGAGAAGATTATGTAGTGTATCTCTTCTACTCCAGATGGAAAGATAGCGGATTTGTTGCCGACGAGAAAGTCTTGAGCTGATTGATGGACAAAGTAAACTTTGTCGCCTCGAAGGAAGAGAAACGAGCCACAGAACCCGATAATCCCCCGAAGAGCCCCTAGGGAATCTTTAACATGTTGTAACCCGTCTATAAAAAGTAGCAACTCTTGTAAGACAAGGGGTCTGCGAACAACTGATGCGATGGCAAGCGTATGCCGACAGCGCTCGACATCCCCTGAACTGTTTAGCCGGCCCAACATCCGGCCATACAAGCTATCTAGGCCAGGGGGAAAGGTGCTCAGCTCGGTGATGGCGTTCCATTGCGGGACCGACTCGAGGTTCTGGCAGACCAGGGCTACCCAGAGAAAGGTGCCGTCCGCGTATGAGGAGAGGTAGTCCCGGATAGCCGTTTCTGTCTCGTCGTCGTAAGCTTTCTTCTCTGATAACTGGCTGGTCTTATGACGGATATAAAAATCGACAGCAGCAGCAACTGATTCCGCATTTAGCTCGAGGCTAAGGGGGACGTTCTGCGCTACTTTCAACTCCTCTTGGATTTGCGGCCAATTTCGACTAGAAGCGATCCATTTAACGCGAGTAGAGACGGACGACTGGCAGACAATGAATTGGAGAAGATTACGTCGATCTCGGTCGTCGGCGCACTCGTCTAGCGCGTCGATTATGAGACAGGCGCTTGGAAGGGCCGGATCCTGCAGCACATTGGCCAAGATCTCCGACAGTGCGAACCAGGCGTTCTCTTCCTCGAACAGCCGCTCGCCGGCGTGCTCGTGCTTCTTGCGCACATGCCTGAGGAGGGATAGTCGCTGCTCGATGAGCATGTAGAGGAGGCCGCGGACCACGGCGGTGGCGTTGTTGATGCGCTTGTTGGTGGCTTGGCAGAAGGAGAGTAGGCCGGGGATCGTGGCCTGGTGTACTTCTCGGCGTAGCTGGTCGATGATGCCGCAGAGCAGCATGGTCTTGCCCTTTCCGGGGTCGCCAAGGATCCAGAGCAGACGGCTCCCTTGATTGTCACGCCACTGCGTGAACTCGGGTTTCTGGAGAACCCACCGATACGAACACTCAAGTAGGCCGCCTTTGTCATGCTCAATGCGCTTCTTGTCGTCGCGGGGGTCGGTAAGTCGCAAGTGCTGTATGTATTGTAGTTCTTTCTCGAACAGCTGCTGGACCACAAGTTGGCGTAGATAGGAATTAGCCTGTAGTGCAGTGTAGATGGTGGTATCGGCTTTGAAGCGCCCCTCAGCGTCCCGTATGGCAGTCAGCTCGCCGGTCCAATCGTCCAGGTTGACGATATCGCGCAAGACGAGGCCGCGGTGACGGTAAAAGGAATAGACAGTCTTCATCTGGTATAGAAGAAGTTGTTGGTAGAGGTCGGTAATTCGATTGTCCCATTCGTATTTAGTTGCTAAGGGATGCTGGCTATTGCGGATGGGCTCCTCGGAAAGGTCGGTAGAGAGGCAGCAGTACCACTCCATCTGCTTCGACACGTACTCGATCCCATTACGACTCGTTTCGGTCTGCTTTATAGGGCAGGCAAGCACCTGCAGAGTCAGCGGGGAAAAGGCGAGTCTTTCTAGAGTACTCACCTCCAAGGCAACACAGACACCAGACCAGACAAGTGAGGCTTGCGGCATGGCCTCAATCGCCGAACTCACGACGTTCACGGTTGCCAATACGCCATCCATGACGACGCCGATCCGCTCTTTCTCCTTGGCCTCGCGGGCCGTCTTGTCGAGGCCGCCTTGGATAAGCCGCTTCATCTGGCATCGGCGCACGTCCGGGTCATCCTGGGCGATTTCGTTGGACTGGGCCTCGGGCACCCGGGAGCCAAGGCCGTTTTAAAGTTGGCAGGACAAGATCTTCTCGTATGTGGCCACCAAGGCGGGCTCTTCTTGTTTGAGGGCGTCATAGGCCTGGTCCCAGAGGCGTTGGGGCCGCTTCGCAGACGACGTAGGATCTATCGCGGCGGGACTGGCAGCGGCAGGCGCCGGGAGCTCGTTGGACGCGGCGGCTCGCGGCGGCGGAGATGCGGAGCGGGTCGTCTGCGGCTACTCGAGAAGCGGCCGGAGAGGTCGAGATGTAGGCGGCGTAGAGTCAACGGCGGTGATAGAGGGGTGGTCGGAGGAAACAAAGGCCTCGGCAGCATGCGCAGCCGTGTGGGCCCAGAGGTGGCGTCGGTCGGGCTCTGGCAAGTCGTCTCCGGCGGCCTTCTTTCTTCGGCCGAAAAAGCCCCGCAGCGGGCAGCTTCTAGACATGGCGGCCAGGGGAGAGGGCGTCGCGGTCCAGGTGGTCGGACGGATGCGATAGCATCGATGCGCGACGATTCTGCAGCGGGCTGGTCGTCGACAAAGTACGCACACGAGTTGGGCTGCCTCCCGCGGGGCGGTTGCCCTGCGGCTTACGGCCGCCAATCAAATTCAGGTAGCAGCGCCATGAAGCGGTGCAGATGCGCTGTGTGGGCGGTATGACCAGCGCTCGGTGCGGGTGGCTTGTGTGTGTGTCGTCTCGGAGAAGCACGACGAGACGGTGGCTCAACATCAGGGTCCCGACGGCAAGTTACCGGCGTCGCGATGCTGCGGAACGGCTGGAACTTGCCCGGTAGCAGAGGAGTCCCGCTGTGACAGGTGCACAGCTCTGCTCCACCTAAAAACCTAGTTCCTAGGTCAGAAAGACGCGGGATGGTATCTGCGCCATAGCTAACGGTCAAGTCAATTGCCCAAGTAAAGGATAGAGTTTAGCCCCAGAAAGGATGGGCACTAATAACTCCTAGACACAGCTCCGTCTAGTAGGCGCAAGCTGCTGAAGAGATCAAGACGAGATATCGACGAAGGAGATGGGTTAAGAATACAATCATAGCGACAAACTTCTATCCTAGCGGAGCTAGACGAGGGTTAGATTTCGGGGGCACTAGTCCCGAAATGGACTAGTGCAGAGAACCGCCGTTGCGGCGGCACCATGGACCTTCGTTCGGCCATGCCGTAACAACTGGTTAGCTTCACTATGTACATACTAAACTATCTGCTGGTAGCTATACTAAGTTCGATCGAAGTAGCTTACTAAAGAGTTACCACTAATTATATACGAATAATTGTCAAAATAGTGCCGAAAGGCTGTTTGCAATGAAAATGCCAGAGGGTATAGGCATGGCAGCTTTTAAGCCAGGCTCGTGGCCTTCGCCGCAAGTGTGAGCCGCCATAAGTTCGGCTTCCCGCCAACCTGCTGAGGATTAGTGCTATGCGGGTACTGTTAACACCGAGAGAACATATGCCCCGCCCGGCATGTACTTATTGAGGCGGCCTAGACTGCCGGAACTTGAGGCCACTCGCCCGCCAAAAACAGCAGTCCAGACCGCGGCACATGTTGTCTGTGTGGAATTGTCAATGGATATCAGCGGCCGAGGCAAGAGAAACAGTACAACCTTTCGATGTTCCCGCCAAGCAAACTATCATGTTAAAAGACCGAACCCCCCGAAAATAGTCCCCTGAAGTTTGGCCAGCATCCAACGCAGAAAAGAGAAACAAATCCCGCCGTTCCTTTTATATCGTCAAGGGCCAAAGCCTAAATACGTCCGCCGCATCCATTTGCTGAACACAGCAGTCGTTAAGAAGAAGCAAAAACCCATAATTTTAACCACCACGCCCCCGCCGCCTCCTCGCTATTCCAAACACACGCACACGCACGCGCACACGCACATACATGCCCCCTCCCGGTCCTTATTTAACCACCCACCCAACTAACTACCGTCATCTTTCGCCTCTCAGTATGAGCCAAACAAACCCGAACAAAACCCAATCCCATACAGCAAGAAAATCGCTAACCGCCTGCCTGAGATGTCCGTGGACAGAAAGCAAAAGCCATGCACATACACGCACCGGCATGCGTACTATGCGGCGATAATTCTAGCCGCAATTGTGTGCCAGCCAGGCCTCTAAGTGCATGGAAAGAGAAAAAAAACGCCGTTGTTGCAAGCAGGGCCTAGCAGAAGAAAAACATGAGAGAAAAATTGCCAAAGAAGAAAGAAAGGGAATGCCTAGTATTTATCCGATGGCATGGGATGTGAAGAGAGGGAGCAGGAAGATAGACAAAGCCTAAGCAACGAGATACGCCCAGCTGGGCGACAAGGTTTGAGCGCGTCAAGGCATTGCCAGTGATGTGCTCTTTTGGCGGCGGGCCTGCACTGACCATCCCTATGCAACTCCGCGGTTGTGCACCTCCCTAAGGCGCTTAACCCAGTGCTTGCGCAGGGCCAGGGTCATCTTGCAGAAGACCATGGCCTTGTTCTCGTCGGTGAGGGCCTTCTCGGCAATCTTGAGCTGCAGGTCCATGTCCTCGTCCGAGAAGTCGCGGAAGAAGATGTCCATGGCCTGCTCGGACCAGCCCGGCCGCACGCGGGCGGTCCGCAGCGCGTCGGCAAGCGCCTGGATGCCGTCCAAAGCCGTCGACGTGCCGGCAACCGTCGCAGCGGCAGTGCCCGTGCCCGTGCCCGTGCTAGTGCCCACGCCTGTGGCTGTGCCCATGCCCGTGCTCGTACCAGTACCCGCCGAAGAAGCGGCGCCGGTCGCAGGGGAGGGGCCGCCCGCGCTTCCTTGTGCTTGTGGCAAGTCGAGGTAGCCCGGGGCAGCGGTGCGCCGCCGCTTCTCGGGCTGGCTTGCCGGGTCAGTGGCCTGGAACCGCTTGCGCGGCTGCATGACGTTGTCTTCGGGGGGTGTGAGCGCAGTGCCGGGGGCCATGGAGGCGGCGCGGGCTTGCAAGCTGTTGGTATTAGGGCGAGGGTGTTGTTGAGTCAACGGAGGAGGAGCGGGCGCAGGTATGTTAACGACGGGCTGTTGCTGGACGGGCGGCGGCGGCGGCGGCGGCGGCGGTTGTTGTTGTTGTTGTGGTGGTGGTGGTGGAGGAAGTTGCGGTGGGGCTGGGTTTGGATAGGACAGGAGATCCATGATGCCAGTGCCGGGGGCGTCTTGCTCTTCCGAGGCTCTAGCATCATGGGTGTCAGTCCTGCGAGGCTTCGTAAGGCGCTTCGGAGCTCCGCCGGAGCCAATGACGTCGGGAAACAGAATTTCGTAAAAGTCTTCGTGCTCGAAGGGGCGGCCGCGAAGGGAGCGCGACAGGGGCTCTCTCTGGATGGAGCGCACAAGGGGTTAGTTAAGCCGAGCTGGGTGGAGTGATAGGGGGTCCAAGGTCAGCCACCCACCTCGATGTGTCTCTTCCAGGCATCTTCGCTCGCCGACACCGTCTTGTTCTGGGGGTTGTAGATAAACTCGGGGTCCTCCCTTAGGCCGCGCCACAAGCGGAACTTCTTGCGGGCGTTGTCGCTCTTGTTGATGAGATGGCCCTTGTTGGCATAGGCGTTGTGGCGATCGATGAGGGCCTGGGTGGCGCGGTCCCAGGCCTCGACCTTGAAGGTGCTGCCCTCGCGCAGGCCGAGGTGCACCGAGTCGCAGAGGGAGCGGAAGAAGGTGGCTTCGTACGAGAGGTTCCAGCTGAAGCGCGGGCCGCGGTGCTTGCCCGACTGGCGGACGAGGTTGGGGCTGTGGTTGCCATTCGCGCCGCCGCCGACCGAGAAGTCCTCGTCGGACATGGCGTCCGTCGGGCAGGCGGGTGGAGCCCGATCCTCGAGCAGTAGGGGATGCTTTCGGTCCGGGATGGGGGAAGGCCGGGAGTTGCGATGGAGCCGGCGCGCGCGCTGCGCTTGCTTGCGCTTGCGCTGCGGTGCGGTGCCTGGCTGCTCTGGCACTGGCAGTGGCAGGCAGTAGGCGGTGGCGCTGGTGCCAGGCGGGCCGAGCGAGGCCAAAGAAAACGGAACGGAGACAGACAGGGCAGCGACTGTGTGGGGAGTAGAGTGGGGACGGGGCCTTGACTAAAATGGGGCGTCACCAACGGGGCCAGGGCATTCCCCGCGGGCAGCAGCTGGGGCGGGCTGAGGTGGGCAAGGCGCAAACGCTGGACGCGTGCTCACGACGGGCGCTCAAAAAGTCAAAATATAGCGCAACTTGTCACACGGCGACGCATGCTCGCACCGCTGGGAATTGCGCACCGCTGCGGATGTCGGCCGGGCTGAATCGGCTCCGTTTCGTCGATTGTGGATGGTGCGACGATCTCTGACTTGGAGCAAGCTGGCGCCCTGTCAGGTCCAGGTCAGCTTGGAAAGATTGCAGAAATCCGCGCGCGAGACGGTGAAGCGGGGGGGGGCTGGGCCGTCCCAACGCGCGAAACGGAAATGTCACGTGACAGCATACTCCATTTCCCCTTCCCCTCCTTTTGCTCCACGGAGCGCGCTGATCTCTGAAGTGCACTCAATTTTCTGTAGGCGCACAAGCCGTGATTTCCAACACTTCAAGTTCTGGCATTAAAGTGCATCAAGTGCATTAAGTTCTGATAAAATCTGCGAATTTTGGCAGCCGTCCTGTCTTTTTTTTTTTTTTTCCTTGATTTAACAGTCGGCCCTTGCGCCGATCGTTGGAGCTTCTGTGTTGGCAATCCCCGGCTGCTTCTATGCTGTCCTCTAGCTCTTGATCTTGCCCAGTTTTCTGCATCGGCAACGGCTTCCTTCTACTGGCCTCCTGCCACTATACACTGACGCATTCAATATGATCGACAGCTGGCTATGTAAGGTAGAGATGGCATTGTGCATACCATCTTGGCGATCTCTGCCACCCATCCTGCACACCTCTTTTCGGGGTTCTTCAGGAATTCATGCACCGAGGGCTGTTCCCCGCCAAGGCCCCACCCTAATGCTTGGCAGCGTTGTTTCGCCCCGCGAGTCGGTTGCGGCGTTGATTGGCTGATCGGAGGCAGCACGCACCGGGTTTGACCCAGTCCCGACCCCACTCTCGGCAGCAAGGACAGATTGATCTGGAGTTAGTGGATGATTGGTGGCACTTGCTCACAATCCAAGTTTCAGCCAGGAGTGCTGTTTCAACAACTGTGAGGTTCTCTCCACAATTACGCGTTCACTTTCCCTCCCGATTCCGAAATCCGGCTTTCGACTTCTTGATTTGGTCACTGGACCTGACCTGGTTAGACCACAGCTGTGTGGAGGCATATTGTCGAGTTTTTGGTCGTGGGAAATCCGCCGATCCTCCGCTGATGCCCGTGTCTGTGCAACTTGCCCAGGTCCTGCGCCAAGTCATGCGCCATTCCAGAACACCACGACTTCCTGGATTGCCCGGGAAACATTATGCACACACTTTCGAGAGCTACACGTGCAATCTAGCACCCATCACTCCGTATTGCATTCGAGTCAATTCTTATTTCTTGTTACCTTGTTGGCACGAAAGAGTGGCCGCGATGGGAGCTGTCCGAATGATCCTTTCCTTCGCCGGAGCTTGAGGAGCCGTGGCCCACAGCCACATCCTGCGATGGCAATTGCAAATATAGTCACTACACGCGTGCTCCGGGAATAACCTCCCGGCAGTCATCCCGGGCTGCACGGACTACGTTGCTCTCCGCCTCCTTGTTACGTCCTTCGCCGGGCCATTACCTACCTACCCAATTCGTCTGCATGTCACCTAGCCCAGGCAGTCAGAGCAAGAGCTCAAGTCGCAGCCATGGGGCCACCAATGGTGTCGCTCAGTCGAGTGCTACAGGCAATCTTCTCCAGCGCTACAGGTGGTTTCAGGATCCTGCACCAGTCGCGCGCATAGGGGCTCGCCTCACCAGCCCCTGATGCTGGTGGGGCTTCGGCCCCCCTAATACGTAGCCCCTAATACGTAGCCCCCTACTACCGCTGTGGCCTGTTCCCGCCTGGGCCAAAGCTTGTCACGACGCCACTCGCCGCCTTATGCAGGGCTCCCAGGTTCCTAGGCTCCAAGCCCGCATACAATGTGCCGCACTGTTTGTCTTGAGATCGCTTTGCAAGCGGGCAGAGCCTGCCATGGTTCGACAAGACGACAAAAAGGTCCAAGAATACAACAGCACAGGCATGGAATCATGGCCCCCTGGCCCTGGGGCCTGGGCCCTCCGCCACTGCTACGCCTGTTCGCCGCGGCCGCCATGCTTGCTCCATCCTGGCCCCCCGGGGTCATTAATCTCATGTATTTTGGGTTATTAATTCTTGGACGATTCCAAGGCAGTCAGTCCATTTGCCGTTTAAAGATGCATGTTTGCCCCCCTCTCCCTTTTGTCCGCATTCCACTTCGTCAATAACTTTCCCTTCTTGAGTTAGCTTTTGCTTCTTTGCTTGTTTACATTCTCCGGCAGCGAAGAGTCTTCAAGCGGGATAACTCGAACCGCCTCTTCCCTGTCCGGCTCACCTTTTCACGTCGGCTTTCTTTCTATTCTTCCAGCCTGCCGTGGTTTCTCCTTCTCATCCATTCTCACCTTTACGCACCCTCTGGTCAGGATGGCGAAAGTGCACTTGTCCCTTTTCACTATTATCTTCTTCTCCTTCTGCCTATCATGGGTGGCAGCGGCGCCATCCAGCATACGCAAGCGTTCCTTCAAGGTTGAGCGCGTCAGGAACGCAAACCTTAAAGCCCGCAATGGGCCAAGGGAGCTGCTGAAAGCCTACCGGAAGTTCAGCATGCCCCTCCCCCCAGCTTTGCTCGATGCCGTGAGGAACGGGGGGAACGCTGCCGTCGGGGCCGCGGACGTCCAGACCAAGGCGAAGGGCACCGGGGCGACCAAGCCCAACATTCTTAAGGGGCTTGGCAGCCTAGACTTGAACGCCAACGCCACGGCCACAAATTCGACGGGCATCGGGAAGGTGACGGCAACCCCCGAGCAGGGCGACATCGAATACCTTGCTCCGGTCACCATTGGCGGCCAGACGCTCGACCTCGACTTTGACACAGGCTCGTCGGATCTTTGGGTGTTCAACACACAGCTGTCGTCCGTGGCCTCGGATGGACACCAGCTCTACAACCCTCTCCAGTCAAAGACCTTCAAGATGCTCAAGGGTGCCTCCTTCTCTATCCAGTATGGTGACGAATCCGGCGCATCTGGCAACGTCGGCACCGACACGGTCGACATTGGCGGAGTCACGGTGCCCAACCAGGCAATCGAGATGGCAACAAAGGTCACAACCTCGTTCACCGAGGACGTGGACAGCAACGGCCTCGTCGGGCTCGCCTTTTCCAAGCTCAACACCGTCAAGCCCCAGCAGCAAAAGACATTCTTCGACAACGTGCTTCCGTCGCTCGCCGAGCCGCTCTTCACGGCCGACCTCCGCAGCAACGCCGTCGGCGCGTACGAGTTTGGCCGCATCGACACGACCAAGTTCACGGGCGACCTGACATGGATCCCCGTCAATACGTCGGTGGGGTTCTGGCAGTTCTCCACGTCGTCCTTCTCGGTCGGGGACGCCACCAGCCCGCAAGCCTTGGCCACGGGCCAGGCTATTGCCGACACGGGCACCACGCTCATGCTCGTCTCCCCCGAGGTGGCCGCGGGCTACTACAGCCAGGTCGAGGGCGCCGTCGAGAGCCAGTCCCTCGGCGGCATCGTGTTCCCGTGCACCGCCGAGCTGCCGGATCTGTTCGTCGACGTCGGCGGCGTGTACACGGCGAGGATCAAGGGCGAGGACATCAACTTTGCGCAGGTCGCGTCGAAGAGTAAGCCCCCCCCCCAATCCCTCACCTCTGCAGCAATGCCCGCAGCTCTAAACTGACATAACAAACAATAGCCTGCTTTGGTGGAGTCCAGCCCACGCAGGGCGACCTGCAGATCTGGGGCGACATCTTCTTCAAGTCGCAGTTCGTCGTCTTCAACGGCGGCAACAACACTCTGGCCATGGCCGAGCACGTGTGAAGGGTGAGATGTGCATAGACCTGTCACGTTCTTACTGAGCTTCTCGTATATACTGCCTGATAACGTGTTGTACATATACATACATACCCTATAGATCATGGGCGGAGCGTTTGTCTTTTCGATATTGCATTTTGTTTTGCATGGCGTCAATGCGAGGCTTGCTTTGGTTTCTTGATAACGTCTGAACTGGATTGCGTGATGTTTCTGTGCTTGCAACACTGAAGTCGATGTCACCGATTCGGCTCAACGGGCTAGTCAACGGGCTCGCGGATCACTCACCGGATGGTTGACCTATTTTTCTGGCCGAGGAAGACTGATGGGGATGCAAACTTACCCGACGTACTTCGCTGCAGTCGTTTTACAGTTTACCGCTGTGAAGCTATCGACTTGGCAGGTTTCTCGCCTGTCGACCGGACGCATCTATCTTCAAGAGAGCAGAGACCGCAGAGTCCCTAAGTACTAGGTAGGTATGTCTGTCCATAACCCACTTGTCAAATAGCGTGTCTGACGTAGTTTAAACCGGGCTGCTGGCTGATGGTGGACATATCCTGTCGTGGAACCTTTTCAACGTGGCAACATGGGTGTGTATCCCCGCCTAGGTACGTAGATGGATATCTATCCGGGCTCGAAGGCTGGCTCATAGCCCCAGACTTGGTTTTGAACCAGCCTCTGACAAGTAAGTGACATGATGCGGCGTGCTGAGCCTTCCGTGTGGCGTCCGCTGCAGTGTGCCCCGGCGGACGAAGCTGTGCGAGGGGAGCGGGCGAGCAAATCCAGCAGCGACAACCCCCCAGGCCGTGTTCCGCGAGTTGATTGTCGCCACACGTTCGCCGGCTGCCTGCTCGAGTGACCGTCGATGGCGGAACTGCGGCCCAATTGTTGGGGCTCGCGATATTGCTGCCGCAGCGCAGTGATAACGGAACTGCCTGGCACGTGTATCTGACGGGCCACAGCTACCTAATTATGGCGCTTTATAGAGTTGGCTGCTGGCTCCCGACACACATTGCTTGCATTGTTCCTCTTGTCTCCTTTTCCTTTCAGTCTCCACTTATTTTTTTTTTTTGTTTTTTTTATACCCCTATCTTTATCCCCCTCAACAGCTTTGCCAATGTCAGCAATGAAAGACGGGGCAGAAGAGCGGTACGGGCATCCCGCACTGGCGCGCTTCGACAACCGCCCGCTGCTGGCGTGGACGTACCCGTACTCGCTCAATGCGTTCGTGTCCGTGTGCTCCATCTTCATCTGCACGCCGCTGGCGTTTGTCGTCGGCTCGTGTCTGGGCCACGGCAAGTGGACGTGGTTCACGAAGTGCGCGGGCCTGTTTGCCGCGTTTCTGGCCTTCGACCAGGCCAGCCGCGGCCCGCTCGGCTACGTGTGTCTACTGTGGCGGCTGCGGCCGAGGCAAGTCATCATCCCTCACGCCCCTGGAGCAGTTATTGGGAGTATGCAAGGAGTTAACGTGTTGGTGGTGGTGGTGTTGTGTGCAGGCACTGGGAGACGATGGGCGCGTGGGTCACGATCGCGCTGGTGGCCGTCGACCCGTTCCTGCAGGCGCTGGTGCTGTACGAGGGCCGGTCGGCGGCCAGCGACGGCGACTTGGCCAAGATCTCGCGGGCGTCGGGGCTCGACGCGGGGCTCATGATGAAGAGCGCGACGTCCCCCCCGGGCGGCGGCGAGTTCGGCCCCGGACCGTACCGGCTGTTCCCCGACGTAGCGCTGTCGGCGGCCATGCTGATGTCCGTCGTCAACTCGTCGCTGGCCTCGCAGCCCCAGCCGCCGTCGCTGCGCTGCGCGACGGGAAACTGCACCTGGCCGCACTACTCGTCGCTTGGCATCTGTAGTTCTTGCTTTTGACATCAGCAGTCAGGTCACGAAAGAGGCCATCACAGCCACGGCCTCGGGGGCAGCCGCCCATGTCTCGCCGGGAAACTACACGCGGTACAAGATCGCATACAAGGCGCACCGCGAGCTGTATTTCGTTAGGGGCGACGGGCTCGCGGACTGGGGTAAGCCGGAATACATTGAGCCGCGGGACCGGCTGGCGCTGTCGGCGGTCTTCTCGCCGCGCGACACGTTCAGCTTTGCGCGCTCCGAGACGATGCTCGTCGCGTTCGCGCTCCTGGCGCTACCGCAAGCCTACCTCAACGGGTGGGTCCCGTGGGAGGACGCGGCCATGTCCGGGGCCGAGTGCGCGCTCGAGTTCTGCGGCCACGTGCACGAGGCGCGCATTGTCAACGGCGTGCTGGCCGAGACGGCCGTGTTCGGCGCCTCGTCGTTCGGCAAGGTCGACGGCTCGTTCCGGCCCATCCGCCGCCAGCCACTGATGATCGGCAGGTTTCCCGGGGGGGCAACTCACTCGCGCCGCTGGGGCTGCTGGCGTACAACGGGGAGGGCGGGCGAGAGGTCGAGCTGCTGCCGCGGTATGACCTGCAGCTGCGCCTGGACCTGGGCAGCGCCGGGTAGAGCTGTCGCGCACGATCCAGCCCCGGTTCAACATCTCGCAGCGGGCCGTGACGACCATGGTGGAGTTCCTGGCGCGCAACAGCACGCTCGACTTCATGCGGCTGGCGCTGGCGGGGTCGCAGAACAAGAACAATGTCATGGCGGCGCTCGAGAGCGCGGCGCGCCTGATCACGTACCGCATCCGCGAGCTCGACGGCGGCACCGTCGACGGCGCCGACGAGCAGTGGGCCGTCGACGTCGCCGTGCGCTGGCGCTACGCGGCGTTTCCCCTGGCCGTGTTTGCTTGTGGCGTGGTGTTCGCCGCCGGCGTCGTCGCCGACTCGCGCCGCCTCGGCATCGGCGCCAGAGAGGCCGGCCTGCTGACAATGTTCCTGCACGGCCTCGACGCCGAGTCGCGCGAGGAGCTGCTGCGCGTGCATGACGGCCGAGGGCTGCGGCCGGCGGGTATTCGCGTCAGGCTGCGCCAGGGCGACGATGGTCTCTACCTGCGCCCAGAACCGAGCCCCAACCCCTGAACCGCGCAGCGGAGCCCGGATTTCGCGGAGGAACAATTTCAGGAGGGGAACGAAAGCACAACGCCGCCGCGTAGACTGCCTAATCAATCATTAATGGGAGCCCTCGACCGTGGCGGCCGCAGCACTGGGTCGGCGAAGAAGCAGAGTCATGGCCAGCATCACGTCATGTCAGCCCATCTTAACTCTGTTCAAGGGATGATGCCGACGGGGGCCCACACGGCGCTGATGCCACGCCTTTGAGCCGCCCAGTGCTTACTGAGAGAGACCGGATCGAGGCGTTGGACGTACAAGTTCTTGTTCGCAACTGATGTTCGCAATTGACAAGTCCTTGTTCGCAATTGACAAATTATTGTTTAGGTGAAATGCAATCTCGCCGGCCGCGTTGCACAAGCACCGGTCGGACCGTTTCAACCATCTGAAATTTCTGTTTTCGTCTTTTTATTTTTCCAACTGAAGGCCGCGACCAGACATGAATCCCGCGGACCATCTTGTGGGTGCTCGCGGGGGCGGACAACCGGAAAATCCAGTCCCAGATGTGGCCCGGGACCAGGGAGACGCCAGGCCAGGTCCGCGGCGCGGGTTAGGTCGTGGACAAAGTCGGCCGCCAACAAGGCTCTTTTTGCCTCGGGTCCGTCCGTCTCACGCGCCGCACTCGCAGCCTCGACAAAGTCCGAGCGATCCCACTCCCTCCAACCACACCACACCACACTCTCTGTCTTCCCCCGGTTTTTTTGGGCTTGGTTTTTTTTTGTCCATTTTGACCTCAAAACTGCCCATGATAGTGGCGTGCAGGCGTGGCTTCTGCGGCGTGTAGAACCAAGTGACTCGTCTCCCTGGCCTGGCTGGTTTGGTTCCGTCCCATCGACAGAGATTCATTCCCTATTGAGTTAATCAATGACGCGCCGCGGAATGCGCTGCAGCGAGCACCGGTGCAGCTGCCTGGTGCGTCCATGGATCTTGCACGGTTCCAGTCTGTCCATGCCACTCGAGCATGGGGCCGGTGACAATCAATCATTTGATGGGAGGCGGGCGCTCGCGTGTTTCGCAGGCCGACTCGGTCTTTGGCGGCGCAGGATCAAACGTCGAGGCGCGGGTGGCGAATGGGGATTGCGGTTCTGGGCATGGGAAAGGAACTGGAAAAGGGGGCGGGGTGGGCGCAACCTGTCGACGGCACAGCAAGCCCGCACCAATGACATGCGTTGCCGACGGGCAATATGCCATGGTGGTCGACGGCGTGGGGGACTTGTGTGTGGAGCGACGCACGCCCTCGCCGCCGCCAACTGTGAGGCCAGGACACAGGCCAGGACACAGGCCAGGATACAGGCTAGGACACAGGCTAGGACACAGGCCAGGAAACAGGCTAGGACACAGGCCCCTAATTCCCCCTGGTCCGGAAGACGACGACGATGGAGAGTAGGTGCAGACCTCCCGCAGGCCTGCCCTGCCAACGGGGCATGGGCGCGGCACCTGGCCCGGCGCTGTTTGGGCCATGTCTTGGACCGGGGAGTTTGATTTCGCCCTGGTTACCTACCCAGTCCGGAGTCAGTACCTGGCTGGAGCCCATCGGCCTCGTACTTATTCAGCTGGTGCCCCCTGCGGTATCTGAGATGGCGCTGCCGCTGCCGCTGCCGCTGCTGCTGCTCATGTCGAGCTCCGGGATCCCATTTGCTGCCGGGACGTCCCGTTCCTCTTCTCTGTCTTACACACCTCCTAGTTTTCAATGGCCGGCTCCGCCGCCGCAGCTCTCCTGTGTGCCGCCTTGACACACCACCTCTCGTCCCGGCTCTGGGAGCTCGGCTCCATCCAGACGCGCCAGCTCTGCGCCGAGACCGTGTGCTGGCTCGTCCTGCCCGTGCTGGTCCGGTCCCAGGCGCGGTCACGCACCACCACCTGGAACTTCCGCTCGATCTCCAAGGCCGCTTCTCCTGTCATCTGGAGCTTCCACTCCCTCTTCAACGCCGCTTCGCCCGTCAGCTGGAAGCCGCCTCGACGTAGTAAAAATGTCTCCAACGCAATATGGGTCTTTGCTGCCGGAGCTGCCGCCGCCGCCTGCTATCATGCAGAGGCTGGCGTGCCTGGCCTGCTTGTGAGCATCCTTTTGCCTTACTCGCCTTCTCCCGCCACGTCCTGTCTCATCTAGTCGGGGCGTATTTGGTTGCTGACGTGGAATCTCACAGCCGGCCCTGACTCCCCTTCTGCTAATCACCGAGAACCGGCTTCGCCCTGAGCTGCAAGTCCTCGCTTCGGCCGAACCGTGGTCTCTCTTGTCTCCCCTCGCTAACACGGTCTGGGGCACGGGGCTCGCAGCCGCGGTTGCCATCTTCGCTCTGTCCAACTGGGGTCTGCAGGAGTGTCTGCTCTCGGCCGCGCTGCTAGGTGCCCTGGTGCGCGTCTACATCCATCTCTTGCCCGCAGCGAGCTCAACGGCGACCACGAAAACGACGGCGACGACGCTGGGCTGCCGCGACGGCGCGGCCGTCAACGTCGAGGAAGCCATCGTCGACATCTCGCTGTGTGTCGTGCCCATGCTGGCCGCGGCGCTGCTGCTGCAAGCTCTCGCGTTTGGCCTGCCGGGCAACATGGTCGCGGGCATCGTGCCGACTCTGGTCCTCGGCCTGGCCAAGGCCCTGTCTTGGTATTTCACGATTCGAACGGTTCGTGTTTCTCCGCCGCTGCCCGGGGTTTCCGAGCGCTGACCGTCATGTTTCTCTACTAGGCCCACTCGGCGTCCTGGAGGATTGCCGCTCCCATCACCGTCTTTGGCATCGTGGCGGCGCAGGACCCCTTTCTGCAGTCGACAGAAACCCAGGCGCTGGGGGTGCTGGCCGCGGCTTTCCTGACCCTGGCCCAGGTCATCGCCATGCTTCCCAGGCAGACGAAGCGTAAATGGGCGCTCTGGGCGCTCTTCCTGCTCCCATTGGGCCCCTATCTCGCCAACATCTCCGCCATTAAGGCCGCACAGGCCGCAGCCACCCAGGATTGGGGCACCGCCGAGCACCAACACCCCGTCGAGGCCCTAATGCGCGCGGCGCGGGAGCAGTTCGACCAGAAGCTAGCACGGCAGTCCAAGGACTTCGCGACGGCCGAAGCCGAGTACGTGAGGCGGTACGGCGTGGAACCACCGGCGGGGTTCGAGGCCTGGCACACGTTCGCCACAGCCCACGGGTCGCTGCTGATCGACGACTTCGATACCATCTTCGATTCAGTCTCGCCCTTCTGGCGGCTGAGCGGGCGCGAGGTGCGGCAGACCCTGGCGGACGCGTACGCAACACCAGGCATGGACGTGTTCCACTGCGCCTTCTCGGGCCACACCGCACGCACCGCCTGCCGCCACCCGAAGCGCTCCGTGACATTCGACCGCAACATCGGCCTGTCCCTGACGCAGCTGCTGGCGCCGCTTGCCGGCACCGGCGCCCTGCCCGATATCCAGCTGCTCGTCAACCGCCTCAACGAGCCGCGCGTGGTCGTGCCGCCGCCCGCCACCAGCGACGCGACCTGCCGCCCTACGAACTTCACAGTCACCGACCTGTCGCACCGCCCGACCTGGGACGCGCTGACACGGCACTGCTCTGCTGGCCTCGCACCCTCATCCAACGCCACCACCACCACCACCACTACCACCACTTCCCCAAACAGCAACAGCAACAGCAACAGCAACAGCAACAGCAACAGCAATAGCAACAACAACAACAACAACAACAACGACGACAACAACAGCAACAACAACAAAATCAACACCTACGGCCTACCCTTCCTCTCAGACCTCGCCTCCGCGACCGACCTATGCCTCCACCCCGAATACAGCCGCCAGCACGGCCTGCTCCAGTCGCCGACAACCTTCAGCCTCATCCGCGGGCTCGTGCCGATCCTGTCGACGGGCCGCGCGTCCACCATGGGCGACATGCTGTTCCCGGCGCCGGCCTACGGCGAGCCCGAGTTCGCCTACGACGCCCGCCGCGACGTGCCGTGGGCGGCCAAGCGCGCCGCGCTGTACTGGGCCGGCTCGACCACGGGCGGGTTCGCGGGGCGCGACGGCTGGTGGGCGAGTTTCCACCGCCAGCGCTTTGTTGCGCTGGCGGCGAATCGCGGCGGCAGGGTGCACGCGTATTTGCGGCGTGATGGTGGCGGCGGCGGGGAAGAGTTGGTGTATGCCGGTGAGGGCGGTGAGATGAAGAAGACGAAGCGGCGGAGTGCGGCTGCTGCTGGGGGTGCTTCGGGGGGTGGGGATGGCATCGCACGGGTGCTGTCGGGGTTCCTCGACGGGCGGCTGTACGACGTGGCGTTCACGCACGTGTTCGGCTGCGCGAGCTGGCGCGAGTGCCGCGAGCAGCGCGGCGCGTTCGGCACGCGGGCGTGGGCGGACCGCCACGCGCCGCTGCGGTCGCAGCTGGTGTTCGACGTCGACGGCGACGGGATCAGCGGCCGCTTCTACATGCTGCTGGCGTCGCGGTCCGCGCCGCTCAAGCTCACCCTGCTGCGCGAGTGGCACGACGACCGCCTCGCCCCATGGGTGCACTATGTTCCTGTCAGTATGGGGCTTGAGGAGCTGCCTGAGCTGGTGTTTTATCTCACGTCGACTGACGCGGGCCGTCAGCGCGCGAGGGAGATTGCCGACCGCGGCCGCGAGTGGTTCGCTAAGGCGTTCCGTGATGTCGATCTGACGATTTACTTGTATCGCCTGATGCTGGAGCTGGCGAGGCTGCAGGATCCGGACCGGGAGGCGCTGATGCCGTAGTAATGTGTTGGCTTTTGGTGTTTCTTTCTAGACATTTAGACTTGGAACTAATAATGTCTTAATTATTTGAAGCGTGCTCTCAGACGTCAGAGTTTAGCTCATCCTTTTGCTGCGGATCCCATGTCTCGGTGACGTGCAGCCCAATCTAAGTTGCCTGTTATTGCATCTCCCGGAGCATCACGAGACTTTCAGCTCGATCTTCACCTCCCAGGGTTGCCAGGTAGGATCAAGCGAAAGGCCGCAGACCTCCAGCTGTCTCTTCACCCTGGCCTCTAGTCAAGATCGTCTCCAATCTTCCCCCAGAGAACAGGCACACGGACTCTTACAGCCCATTTGTTACGAGCAAACTCGGCATTCATCTACCCATGATCGTTGGCCACACCATTTTGCCAGACTCCCGTTTCTGCAAAATGAGGAAAGTCCTGTGCTCCAAGCTGATGGCCACGGGGACGTAATAATGTCTCGGACAGAGTACCAGTCGGTGCGGAGACGAGTGACGAGTCGCAAACGGCCACCATAGATATTTCACCCGGTCGGCTACGTGCGGGATAAACGAGTTGGCGAAGTGACAGAGGATGCAACGTTGGGGTTCACGCAGTTCTCCAAATGCCTCATGCCCAACGACCACCTGGCCAACGACCACCTGCCCAACGTGTCTCTCTTCAACCCTCTCAACTCGCGTGCCGAGGCTTTGGGGACTCTCTGCTCAGCCGCCATGTCTGTCTATACCACATATAGAGGCTTGAACCAGCAGCATCCCTGTATGACAATTAGGTGGCTGGCACGGTGCCTTTGAAGACGGAGCGCGTGATGTCTTCAACTCCCGCTCGTCCGAGAAGACTCTCGGGGTTAGATAGGCATCCTTCCATACCGAAAGGGTGTGAAGGAGAAACTCCAAGTATGAAAGACGTCGGTTCAGGAGGTAGATAAAGAGACCGGAAAGCTCCAGGATGACGGCCAGTAGTTACCAGGATCACATCCAGCAGCAGCAGTACACCCCCATTGTCTCTTTCAGGAACTGCCGCCATGAAGCTTACTTCCGTCCTCCCGCTATCCCTAATCTCAGTCACCGCAATGGCACCCGGAACGCACCCAGCACCGCGTCAACAGCCAACAACACTCTGTTCACAGTTCAGCTACTGGTCCGGCAGCGGGTACGAAGCCAACAACAACCTGTGGGGGCAAGACTCGGCCACATCCGGCTCGCAGTGCACGTCCGTCGACGGCAGCTCCGCCGCGGGTGTGCAGTGGCGCACGGAGTGGACGTGGCGCGGCGGGCCGGGCCAGGTCAAGAGCTTTGCGTACGCCGGCAAGCAGCTCGCGCGCGGCCAGACGCTTGCCCGTGTAGTCAGCATACCGACGGCCGTCGCCTGGCAGTACAACACCACGGCCGGTGTGCGCGCCAACGCCGCCTACGACATCTTCACGGCGGCTGACGCGGGACACGAGAATAGCAGTGGTGATTACGAGGTCATGATCTGGTGAGCTGCCTGTCTTCGCCAAGGCCAGGTCTCGTATTCTTTGCCCTGGGCTGAGTGTGATGGCTGACGACGTCCTGGAATCTGGCAACCCAGGCTCGCCCGGCTTGGCGACATCCGCCCAATCGGCTCGTCGACGGGCACCGTCAGCGTCGGTGGCTGGCCGTGGGACCTCTGGGTGGGCATGAACGGGGACATGCCGGTGTACAGCTTCGTCGCGCCCGGCACGACCAACAGCTTCAGCGGCGACGCCAAGCTGTTCTTCGACTACCTGCAGACGTACCAGGGGTTCCCGGCAAGCAGCCAGAATCTGATTGGTAGGTTTTTGTTTCCCGCGGGTTTTGCTTGCGAGTTGTGCTGAGTTTGTGTCGCAGTGTTCCAGTTTGGCACCGAGACTTTCACTGGAGGGCCGGCCAGCATGTCTGTTGCGCAGTTTTCGGCAAGTATCAACTGAGCATGAAGCGAGCGAACTCGCAGATAGGTGATGATGTCGGCAAGTGTATATCTTGGGGATGATGATAGGTTGTGTTTGTAAGGAGGCCATGGATCAAAGTGACAGGTACACAGCCACGTAGAATGTCGTTGGATGAATGCTAGATAATCCATGACCTTTGATCTTTGGTGATGTAATTTAAAAATAATCATCTAGGATTTTCCCTTGCTCTCAATACTGCAGGGTGGGCGAAATATTTTCAATACAGGGATCAATCCATATCGCTTATCGGCCTTATCGATCGATTATCGATCAATATTCATTCAATACTGCTGACTCATTAAGATACTACTTAGTCATCTACGATATTGACCTCGTTAATATTTTTTCCCGCCTCTGTTGTAAGGCCTGACCTAATCTAATGTTTCAAATATTTAAGCATCTCGATAGTGGTCTTTTCTAGCTATATTCTTTCCCACGATATCGTACGACGAGCTCTAGAAAAGACCCTCTCCGGTTTAGCATTTATTATTAGAATTAAAAGGATATTAATAGCTAATTAGTATTACGGTACGCATGTGATAGGGATTAACTCTATTACTATCACTGTTACAATCTGGACAACAGAGTCCACGGAGCTAGGCCCGGCCTAGGATTGTGGGGTCTGGACGGCAGGTAGGAGATTGCTAGAAGGCAAGGAGTATCGTGCACAGATTGCGAAAGACAGGCTTTCAACACACGACCATTGTATGCTTAACCAGATGCATTGATAGCTGCAGAACCGGTCTCCCAGAGAGCGTACTGCCAGCTCCTATGTAGAATTATGAACAACCAATCAGAGTTCCTGCCTTAGATGCTCAGTTGTGCTCAGTCCTAGACGCACTGATCCCCACTGAGCTCCCTGCTCAGTGCGCTCAGTGGGTCTCGGCACTGATCCTACTGAGCACCCGGCTCGGTGTGCTCAGTGGGTCTCGACACTGGCCCCACTGAGCACTCAGCTCAGTGCGCTCAGTGGGTCCTGGCACTGACCCCGCTGAGCGCTTATTACAAACCCTCGACTGTTAGTGTCGTCTGTCTGTAAGGGAGCACGGGCTCCACAGGATGCTGGGGTTGGTAATTATGAAGATAGAACAAAGGGCAAGCTCCTATCGCACGGTAATACAGTCAAATTGGAATGCCACTCAAAGTGTATGAGTGCAGTGAATGTGTATTGCTTGCTTGAAGAACCAAGCAAGAACTATCTAAGACCGTGGGTACGGTCATCGTATATATCTAACTGTGTAACCAATAACAATGGTCCCACTGGCCCGTGGTCCCGAGACCTTGCGGTCTTGGGACGCCGGGCGCGCGGGACACTGTCCCGCGTCCCGACCTTAAGTGGTCCCGAACCTCGGGACCCAGGGACGCTCCTAATTGGTTCCTTCTATGGGACGCTCCTGATTGGTCCACACCAAACTGAGCGTGCCCCACTATTGTGCATTTCAACAAGGATTCGTAATAGTAGGCTCCGATAGCTGTGGCTTGCGAGTATGATCTTTAAGGGTAAATGAAGTAGAAATAGATTCTCGGTATAGTATTAACCCTTCAGGGTCACCCAAGGAGTCTATATTAAGAATAATTAATTAATTTAATAGATTTAAGGGGTTTGGAGTAGTTAGGAGCGGGGAAATGATCAATTTGATTACTAAATAATCGATATCGATCGATAAGATATCGTCGCCCACCCTGCTCAATAGCGCCACTGGGATTTCTAGGAAGGATATATATTAGATCTGTCCCCGAGTCTGACTTTGCGGAGGGAATCATTTCTTTAGAGCTCTGTTATGCCTTTACTCCCACAACCAGTCCAGCTGCTTGAGGGACTGCTCGAATTTCCGGCCAAGTCGCTTCTGGAGCCTTTATGTCCTGGCTGCAGTCCGACCTAGGTAAGTCGAACTGCAAAAACCTCGCAGCTCAATCAGTGCATCGAGCAACATGTGACGAAATGCCTAACGCACGCCAACGGTTCGTAGCCCTGCCTGTCTCCTAACAGATCTTCCGCGTCGTCCACCTTCTCGTCGAGATCCTTCATGTCGACGCCCGAGCATTGACCCTCGTCCTCCACGTATCTGTGGTCCCTAGCCAGGCGGCACTTCGACAGAACGAGGTACAGCCAGATGACCAATAGGATTCTGGCTGCAAACGTGTCCACAACCATCGTCTCGCGGCTCCAGAGGGTCCGAAAGGAAGCCGAAAGCACAATCCGGAGGGCAACAATGAAGGCAACAAAGGCCAAGAATTGGGCGGCTATGCGCATGGGTTCGTCTCCCATGCCGGGATCTGTGTCTGCGAAGGCGCACATCCACTGCGGGACTCGGCATATGTTCTGAATGCGGCGCCCGTGGTGGATGATGGCCGCTCGACGAGTGCTGACATGGTAGTCGACGAAAAGGGAGCCGCCAATTACACAACAGCGCAATATCGTCCATTAAAGGCATCCTGCTATGTCGTCGCTCATATTTGCGGATGCTATCATGTGGCTGTGGCAGTATCCAAGGCGTGTGTTGGTCTTCCGTTTGAAGTTGTGGGATCTCGAGGGAGGTGCTGTGGCGTCACGATGTGAAGTAGGTGAGTCAGGGTAACCTGACAAGGGTTTAAGATGTAGGGAGTGATAATGGTCGGGCTTAGGTTCGGATAATGCTACCGATATCTGCGCCGCTGACCTCCGAGCGAACCTTCATGGATGGCAAATTGTTCACCTGAAATTAGAATTAGTCAACCGGAGGTAATCCACTGCCAAGACACTCACAGTTTAGGTAAAGGTAGCCCTTACCAGCATTAAAGTTATCGTTCGCTAACCCTAACCTGAACCCGCCGAGTCTAACCTGCCAGGTAATTACTCGACGGCCAACATATTCCTGGAAAGTGCCACTCTCTCGGGTGAAGCGCTTCGTCGCGATATGCCGTGGGAGACGTTCTGCTTTCACAAATGCGACAAACTCCCCTTGAGACAGCATGATTGCGCCGCATTTGCTCAGCCCAGACCAACCCCAACTTAGATTCGACCAAGGGCACGGATCAAAAACTAGAACCCCTGAGCCGTTACAGTTCCGGAAGAGCTCATCAGCCCCATCGCCGCCCTGGGAACAGATCCATTCACCCCCGCTCTAGCTGCTCCCATGAGTACTAGTAGCACCAGTCACATCAAGTTAAAAGGGCGGGGGCGGGATATCGAGGTCCTCAATGTCTTCCTCGTCGACATCCTCCTTTTGAAACACTATTCCTTGAGAAATCCAGTCCTTAACAAGTTTCTCCGTTGTCGGCGACGAACGGCCGAAGGCGTCGTGAAGAAGTTTGCGAAATCCAGGCAAAATGTAGCAGGGATAACTAGAGCTTTAGGCTGCAAAGCCTGTCGACCAACTCCATCAGTTCAAACTGGCCATCCGATGGGTCGACTTCATCTAGACCATCGAGGAAGATACATATTCCCCGCGATGATGATGAAATGGAAAGCACCAAGACGGCCTCCAGCCTCTTACTAGACCAGTCGCTCGGAGATTCCTTGGATTTGACATTCGGGAAATGCTGGTGAACAGCTGTAGAGAGCCCAGTGACATTCTGGACGCATTGGTGGAGAAGGTTGCAAAGAATACCCTTGATGCTTCTTTGCATCGGCTGAGCCGCCATCGAGAGGAAATGGGACAAGATTAAGACGTCTGGGGTGGCAGATTTGATTACCTCTTGCGCACGTGGATCTTCGACTAAGAACTTGACCGGCGTGCTCTTCCCAGAGCCAGCTTTGCCGCTGATTTAGACGAGCTTCTCAGTCGGCGACCTGAGAAATTCGGGGAAGCCGCTTTCGCTTTTCAAGTCGAATATCCACTGACAGGTGCTACTGTGAGAGTTGGCAATATGGTTGCGTCGTTCATTCACGGTGTCGTACTTGAGGCACCGTAGAAGTTGCTCATGTGCCGTCGAATTCCCTAGCACTTCACGAGTCTTTTCCGACTCCAAAACTACTAACGCGCCCGTGTCGCTTATCGCAAATTGGAGAATGACACCCCCAGCGTGAAAAACGGCTTTAATCGAGGCTGACTCCTCGCCGAGGAGCTGCTCTATCTGTGTTTGTCCTTGTGTTGTGAGACGGCTTCGACGAACCTGCGAAGGGAATCATCCTCGATGCCCGCAATCTCCGATTGCGTCAGCGATGTCTCATTCTTTTTGCTATATCTACTGTCAGCTTACGTATCTCATGCCTTGCTTGAGATCTTGTCAACGTCAGCCTTCAGTTGCTAGGCCACGGCTGCGACATCCAGCAATTTCTGATCGTCGGAATTCATGGGCTTCGGCGCAGAATCCAGCAGGTCGCCGAGGCTTGTGAGAGCCTCGGAAAGACCAGCAGTCCTTTTGACGAGACTGGGGTCCAGGGTCCCTGTCTCGAAGATGACCTTGCACACAGGCGCCGTCTCACTGGCAAAGCTGATCACCTGCATCACATTGCAGGTCAGCCCGTAGGCTGCGAGTGGTTCGAGGCTCGACATGCCGGTCCACCACCGCCGCGAGTAGGGAGCCTTCCGTGAGGCCTGTAACTTTGCCCGATGACTTGTGCTGAAGGGAGCTGGGCCAATCTCACAAAGCGAAAGCCTGATGCGGTGGAAAGACGTTACACGGCGAAGTGAGAGGACCGGAGATTCAACCTTTCGAGACTGATTGTAACTTGAAGCTGTACTGGAAGACTTTGGCGATGCTCTGGGCAACGATGGAAGCGGGGAAATGAGCTGCTTGGGGCTGAGAGCGGAGGCCGTGCATGACTAATGTAGGTATTATACATGTACAACAATCCAAGCCCTGTACAGTCCAAGCCCTGAATGGTTGTTGGCGTGATACTTTGCTGAAGAAAGATTACTATAGATAAACCGGCTAGGGAAAACGTATCATAGGGGAGAGACAGGCCTCAAGGATTCAATAATAGAGCTTCCAGTGCTATTCCCCCCCCTCAGTAAGAAGTCCTTTAGGGCGAGGAGTAAGGTGTTGAGGCCATTTTGATCATGGAAGGTCCCCCGCTAACAAACACACCCAGGGATTGGATTGTATGGACAGCATGTAGATACTCTGAACAGCGCCTATCAGGAGCCGATGCGCGTGCACCGTAATCCATCGAACCAACAAGCACGGATAACGGTTGGTGTGAAATCGTAATGAAGAGTTGGCCGCCGCCAAGAAACTTATTACTGGGCGAACACTACATCTCAGCAGATAATTCGAGGAAGAACTTTATCTTGGCAAGCATCACCACCACGACTGGTCATCGGCTCCGGGTTGGACAAGCCGGTCCTCCTCGACGGCCTGCAGGTGGATCAAGACAGCAGGGCGGAACTCGGGTGCATCGCGCAGTTTTTCCTTGACCCACGGATGATCAACATTGTACGGCGAGCTGGCATCGTCGCGAGGGAAGACCGCGGCGATGGCGGCCTCGTCCGGCAGCTCGTCCTGGTGCATCTGCAGCCACTGGCACAGTACCAGCGGCCGAATGTGCTGCTCCCATTGCACACGCTCGCAATTGAGACACAGGCCCGGGTTCCGCGCCCCCGGGTCAGAAAAGCGAGGTCTGGGAACGCGGGGGAAGCAAAGGTTAGCGGATGCACGCCCGTTGTGTAACACGAAGACGTACTTGTTATTCTTGGCATCCACAAACAGCGACTCCAAGCTACTGAGCTCAGCCAGCCGCTGGTCGTCATACAGATCAACCAGCAACTGGATCTCGGTCTGGAAGAACCTTTTTGTGCCATTCGTGTCGGGCCCGGCGGGGTCGAAGTTGGGGCCGAGGAGCAGCGACACCTCGGTGTATCTCCTGCGGAAGAAGACGTAGACGGTCTTGAGGGCGGGGCCGGGCGCGGGGCTCTTGAGGTATTGCCACGGGATCAGCCAGCCGCCCGAGGCGATGGCCGTGTTGACGGGGGCAAAGGTGGACACGGGGTCGCGGCGGCGGTCGTCGGCGAGGAGGTGGCGCGTGGCGCCGGCCCAGTTGACGGCGGCGGCCTCAGACTTCATCGAGGCCGTGATAGAGCTGCCGCTGACAGAGTATATCTTGAAAGGGCCATCTAGGTCCCCGTACGAGGCGCCCTCCACGGCCGCCTCGAACACGCGCGGCTCTTCTTCGATGTCGATGCGTGGGTCTGGGAGGTGCAGGGCGACATCAACGCCCTTCACGAAAAAGCCGAGGGGGAACGACACGGGTTTGAGGGCGGGGCGGGGGCGGGGGTGGACGTTGGTGCGGCGGTTGCCGCTGGGCTTGTTGAAGGGGTGCATCACGGAGACTAGGCGTTCGCCGTGACGGAGGACCACGTCGCGAGACTCGCGGCAAACGCGCGCGACTTGGGGGATGGGCAGCGCGACGCAGCGCGTGCCGATGTAGTCGCGGGCGTGGCGGGCCTCGCGAAGGTCGAGTGTGCGGCGCGGCAGGGCGAAGAGCCAGATCTGCTCGCGGATCTCGGGCGGGAGGAGAGTGAAATGCGGGAACGAGGCACTTTCGGTAGCTTCTTCAGCGGTGTTCTGAGTCTCGCCGTCGCCGACGACTGGGCAAACGTAGTTGGCGAGGATGGCATCGTTATGCGACGGTATGGACGCGCTGTGGTCACGCAGAATTTCGGCCAAAATGGTCTTGGGAGGTCGTAGGGCGGGCGGTGACGGGCGAAGGTCGCGGAACCAAGTGTGGCAGGGGTGCGAACACTGCTTGCCGTGGTTCAGGTGGAAGAAGTTGCCAAGTGCCCGGCATTCTTCGTAGGTCGGATCGTCGGGGTTGACAAATCGAGGACGCCATGACTCTGGCATGCCAAACTGAACGCGCTCCATATTTTAGTGGACGCTTCGATCGTGCACCGGCAAGCTGATGATCAAGGACAAGAAGACGCGACGTGGCGCGGGGTAAGAGGGACGGGCCTGAAAGATGTCAACCCCTGCCCGTTCAAGGGTGGGGTTGACGAGAGAGGCCCCGAATGAATAAAAACATTCCACCACCAGCCAGAACAAAGTTTAACAGGAAAATTTGATAGTATCAAACCGAAAGGTTGAAGAAGTCAGTACAGAACCAGTATGTGCATTTTGCATTTCTTTACTGCATTCCCGTGTAGGTAGTAGCCCCCTTGTCTGACAAGATTGATGCAATTCAAGGCTCTGCAGCAATTATGGAGTATCGCGGGCGCTAAGGAACGTTACTGACAGGCGGATCCACAGCGTCCACTTCTCGGATAAGGCCCCAGGCGGACACTCCCCACAACTGCAATGGATCCACCCCTGAACGATTATTAGATTGGCGCCACGCTCGAAAACATGGGGGTTCTAGTAAATGAAATCGGCCAAGAAAGGGCTCTGATATGCATTTGGATGAGAGTAAAGGAGCTCTGGGGTTTTATACGAGAGGCTCAGATACCCGTCGTAGCCCGCGGGAGAAAACAATCAGGGTGCGCTGTGAGGAAATTAGGCCTTTTTGCGTCCTTGAAAGCCTCCCGATTTCTGTTTCTCGTCTTCATTTCTCTTTATCTTATCACCTAAAAGCCATAGAACTAGTTTGACGGAAGGGTATTCGACAACTTCACACCAATCAACGGACAAAACAACCCCGCCCCCCGGCTTTTGCAATCACCACACAAAGTGACCAACTAGCCCCTAGCTCACATGCGTCTTGACCTTCTTGTAGCGGATGACCTCGGCGCCGTCCTCGTCGACGACGCGCTCCGAGACGATCTTGTGGCCGCGGACGGCGGGCCAGAACTTGGTCCACAGGACCCAGTAGAGGGCGCCGAGCAGCAGGACGCCGACGCCGACGACGGGGAACACGTAGTAGGGGTACCCGTCGGCGTTCCAGTCGCCGTCGGGCGGGATGAAGGGCACCAGCGCCAGGAACACGTTGGACAGCAGGAACACCACGATGATGGGCAGGTACGTGTACCACCCCGACGTCCAGTTCTCCTTCTTGGAGTAGTGCAGGTAGATGAGCCCGCCCGCCACGAAGCTGTTGATCCACGCGCCCGGGTATGTGTATCTGTGGGGGGCTGTGTTAGTTTTGATTTTTATTCCCTAGCGTGTTTTCAAGAAGGGATCTTTTGGCAGAGGTATAGCAAACAGGGACACCCCGGAAGACAACTTACAGGTTGACAATAAAGTTGTACGCAGGTCCCGGCGGCGGTGCCAGGAGAACAATAATAGTAACTATCCAGTGGAGGAAGAGCTGGGTGTGGTCACGTCAGCAAACGGTTTTGTGCGAAATCCCACTGCACCAAAAAGGCTGCAATAAAAACGGAAATAAAACCAAACGTACCGCAGCCGTGGGCGAATTGAACGGCTTGTTAGACGCCCATAGGCGGCTTAGGGGCAGCAAGCCCTCCTTGCCGAGCTCCTGGTTGAGGCGGGCGTGGGCGAAGCTGACGGCGAGCACGTTTCCGAGGTTGCTGAGGGCCACAAACGCCGGCAGGCTGCGGGCGCCGGCGCTGTCGCCGAACACGTTCTTGAAGAATAGGCCCGCCACGATGACCTCGGAGGTGGCTAGGTCCGACTTGGGGATGGCGGCGAAGTAGGCTACGTTGGCTAGGACGTACAGGATGGTGACGCCGCCGACGGCGAGCGGCGCGGCGATGGTCAGCGTGCGCCGCGGGTCGCGGATCTCGCCCAGCACGTAGTTGGCGTTCTCCCAGCCCTTGTAGCTGTAGATGATGTTCAGCAGCGCGTTCGAGTACGCATACGCGCCGCCGCCGCTGTAGCCCTCGCCGCTCTCGATGGCGAAGGCGTTGTCGAAGTTGTGGGGGTTGTCCACCTTGCGGTGGCCGGCCAGCGCGGCAAAGCCCGAGAACACGATGAACAGCAGTATGACGACCTTGAAGACGCCCAGCGTGTTGATCAGGCGGACGCCCCATTTGGGCAGGAAGGCGTGCAGGACGACGGAGAAGGTCGCGCAGACCACGCCGATGGCGCGCGCCTTGTAGCTGTCCTTGAGCTCGTTGCCCGACGCGTAGAGGACGTAGCGGCCGAACGCCAGCGAGTTGCCCGACGAGAAGCCGAGCAGGATCATCTGCGACGCGAGCACGCACGTCGCGAGGTACTTGGGGTGCCGGTAGACGTGCTCGAGGTAGTTCTTCTCGCCGCCCGACCGCGGGATCGCGAGCCCGTACTCGAGCCAGACGCTGAGCCCGGCAAAGGTCAAGATTCCGCCTGATAGCTCGTCAGCATGTGTGTCCAGGGCGTGACGCTCAAGGGACTAGCTCACCAATGACCCAGAGGATCAGGCTAATGCCGACAGAGCCCGTCGCGGCAAAGATGCTCGACGGCGTCGAGAAGATGCCGGTGCCAATCATCTTGTTGAGGATAAGGAAGACGGAGCCCGTGATGCCCAGCTTGCGCGAGTCGTCATACGCATACTTGTTTGTCTCGAGCTCGCCGACAACCTCGTCGTCCGAGTCCGTCTTGACTACAGTGTTGTGGAGGTGGCCGCCGTCTCCATGCTTAAGAGGAGGCTTGCCGCCGCTGGAGATGTCGTCTGAAGCCATGATGGCCCGTCTCGCCTTCGCGCACGCGTTCGCCAGGGATGTTGGACAGAGCGGTTTATTCGCAGCAGGAATGTGTGGGCGCGAGAACTTTTTTTGCCCAGGTCGCGCGACGATCCCCGTTATTTAAAGTCCCGTCCGGTGCAGTGCGTGGGTTTGGGAAGCGGGTAGAGGGCCAAGCAGAGTTCATTTACGACCCGCCGTCCCACCGCTACACCGTCGACCCACGACCAAGAAGACGTCTCACGCAATGTCACATCATGGAGTGTAATAAGTCGGGCTGACCGAGGCCTCGGAAGCGTTAAAAATTTACGCAATAGCCAGCCGAAAAGAGGCAAGCGGCACTCCGGGGGACGATGACAGGTGAGGCTTGCGGCTTGCCCCCCACAAAGGAGCTACTTAAGGCAACCCATAGCTCGGACCGGGAATATATGTCATCGTGAGGCATGCCATGTGACGCTGCGCGAGCGGAAATAGAGGATCAGCCAACCGTTGGCCTCGCGCTCGTGTGATTGGTCTCTATTAGGAAGGTCAGCATGTATATCTTCCTTGGTGCCCCTTGGCGCTGCTAAGGTACGGGCGTGTGGTAGGCTCTGCAGGGCTTTTTGAAAGTTTTTTGGTGGCGCTGGCCAACCCAGGCAGAGTCTCCGATGTCGTGCTCCCGGCCAAGAATCACGGAACCGGCCCGGTACGCACAACCGCAGCAGGGTTCGGGGCTAGGCACCACTGGGCACCCTGTCATGCGTATGATCCTGCTAATCGGCTGCTGCCGTCATGGGAGATGTACATGTACAGCAGTCTGCAAATTAGAGGACCTAACCGTCCTCTTCGGAATTCGGTTTGCGTGCTTTTGCCAAGCTGCGGTTCCAAGGTTCTCATCCATGCACGAGGTGAAAGTCTAGACCGCGAAAGGCGGCTCACCTTTTCTCAATCAGTTCCTCAAATCCCAGACGAAGAAGCTTATGTATCCTACCTAGGGTTCAGCTGTCGCCGGCCCGAAGGGGGAGGGGATATATCTCGCCGGGGACGATAGGCTTGACGGTGAGCAGGTCGTCCCGGCCATCCCCAATCTTGTAGAACAGCGGAGAAACGGCCAAGTCCACATCCAGGACGCTCCCGAACGCAGAATCGCCCTCCTCGCAGTCGATGTACTCGTGGCCAATCTTGACCGGCTCGCCGTTGCGAGGCAATGCAATCCCTAGCGAGGCCCGGTGCACGCCGATTTGTAGCGCAAGTTCCCCGGCCTTGCGCACGATTTCTGCCACCGTCTCCCGGACTCCGTCAATTGCAGCCGCATTTGCGACCTCTTGCAGGATGCTGAAGATGTGCTGCTCTACCTCGGCCTGGTTTCTGGCGAACGGCGTCAGGACAGCGCTCTCGGTTTGGGCGGGGCTCGATGCCAGGGCAGACAAGATTGACTGAAATGTGGCCGATCGCCACCTGTTGGCCACCTTGTCACGCCTGAAGAGGGTGAAGTCGGCGTTTGCAACGGAATCTACCGGCCGAAAACGTCAGAATGAGAACGTCAAAACAGATCTGCCGGGGGAAATCAGCCGCGGTCAGAGATACGCACCTGCCGCAGCACTGCCGTTGTCCTGTGCTAACACCTTCTGCCACGCAATGTAGAGCCCGACCAGGGTCTGTTGGCCTTCGCCGTTGCCAAAAGCACCAAATCCATAGGGCGCAGAGAAGAAGCCCTCGAGTAGCCTCGCCCAAATAGCGCTTCGCAGAAGGTGGCGCATCGTGTTTTTGCCCTCCCGTTCCACGAACCCAGTGGGATCGAGGGGGCTGTTTTGCGGCACGGTCACGCCGGGGAGGTTGAATGGCGATGTGACCATTTCAATGACTAGTCGCAGTCTCTGAAACAGTGTCTTGAGCTCGTTGTCGGTGGGTTGTAGGATCTGGCCGCCTGAATCTGCGGCTGCCCTTAGCGACGCGATTGTGCTTTCACGCTCTTCCGTTTCCTGGCGGAGACGCTCTCTAAGCTCGCCAACCTCCCGGGTTTTCTCATCGTCCATTGTAGCTCTTTGAGCCTTCAGGTTTGTATAAAACTGGTCCTGCTGATCTTGAAGCTGTGTTTCGTATTTCTCTCGAAGGGCTTCAATGTACTTGGCACTCCTTCCCCGTTCTTGTTCAATGGACATTTGAAAGTGTTGGGTGCGCGACGCAAGCCTATTTTCCAGGGCTTGTATCTCTCTAGACTGGACGCTTCGCCACTGGACGCCTTCCTCGTCGCGCTTCTCAAGGTCTTTGATGTGTTTCTGTAGTGCTTCCTCCCGGGCAGAGTGCATCGCCTCAAGGTCTGACATCACGTTGTTTCTCTCGTTGGAGCTGGTCGTGAGCTGGTCCTTGAGCGACTTGGTCTCTCCAGAAAGCCTCTGGATCTTCTCCTCGTATCCCACCGACATGTCCACCGCGATTTTATCACGCTTGTTCATCTCGTTCTGGAGTTTGGTTTCAAACTTATCGGCCTCAGACTTCAGGTCGGCATATTTGTTGAACAGCATAGCATATTCTTTTGCAGTTCGCTCACGCTCGTAGCGTTCTTTCTCGTAGCCTGCCAGCGCATGCTTCGCCTCGCGCTGTGCGTAGGACAGGTCACGGGAAAGAATCCGCACCTGTTCTTTCAGCCCCGGGGTCTCTTCGTCAAGGTCTTTGGTCGCCGGACTTTGTCTGGAAGGAGCGTTGAGTTCTATCAATGGCGAATTATCTCGGTTGCTCGTGTCTCGAGATCTTCTTTTCACGGAGTGGGAGCTGCTGTGTCGAGTTTGCGAGTTGTCTGGCTCTGTCGAGACGGATGTGTCAGACGGATGCCTCTGTTCATGTTGGAGAGTGCCCGGTTCAGTATTTGAAAGGAGATTCAGTCGCCTAATAGTCCTCCTTGAAGAAGCGGAGGTACTGAGTGGCAAATTGACCGGAGAGGAAGGGCTGGATTCCTTGTTCGAACTTTGGCGACGCGGACTGTGGCTGCGATCACGACGGAGCACCTGAATACCGTCGCCATCATCATTCTCCCGAGCTAATCGGGATCGACTTGGAGGGTTATTGCTCGAAAGAAGAGCGGGTGACTGGGGAACACCGCCACGATTGCTGTCGAGGGTGCTTCTCGTTAGTGTGATCCCTCGTGGTTTGAGGAGCGGCGGCACTTCGGAATTGTGATTTGATGGGGGAGCTGGTGGCTGAGGCGCTCCGCCCCCGGTGTTCTTGGAAGCATTTTTCGATACCTGTATGCCCAATGGGTGTCGAGTTCTCTGGGCCGGAAGAGTACCTTGCGGTTCGGGGTGCACAGCTGATGACGCGGGAGGCGGCGGATAATATATAGACGGAGTGGGAGCTGGAAGGGGATCAGGGGTCTGGAGCTTGCTATGCAACCGCGCCGGGAGAGCTTCCCGAGGCAACGTGCTGAGCGTTTCAAGGTCAAGACTAGCGAGCATCTCAAAGGTGAATCTACGAAGTCTATCAATAGGCAACTGGGCGAGGATGCCTGATCGTAGAAGCTCTGGACGGAATTTGTCAAACAAGCCATCGGGTAATCTGGCGATAGTGTCGATAGAAAGCGTGGAGAGCGTCTTGAAGGTTACTTTGTCAAAAACGCCACTGGGGAGCGCCGCAAGTGTCTCCGGGCTGAGTTTGCTGAGGAGAACGTCGGGGGGGAGGGTCACAAGTGTTGTTATTTTCAGATGCGCGAGGGATTCATCAGGAACCTTCATGAGTGCCTCGACGGACAATTTGGCAAAGATTTCAGGCGGCAGAGATTCCAGAATCTCGGGCGATAGCTGTGGGATGGCTGACTCTGTGGGGTATTTGCTGTGTTTGAAGTAGGAAGACTTGCTAAAGCGCCTCGATAGGTATTGGGTGGCTTGGGTGGGCTGGCTCTGCTGTGGTTGCTGTGACTGCTGTGGTTGCTGTGACTGCTGTGGTTGCTTTGACTGCTGTGGTTGCTTTGACTGCTGTGGTTGCTGTGACTGCTGTGGTTGCTTCGACTGCTGTAGTTGCTGTGACTGCTGTGGTTTCGGTGGTTCCTGGGTCTGCCGGTCCTGGCTGTCTGGTGAGAGTTTTGTTTCAGCATCTGGCGCAGGCTCACCGCTGGACCGACTTCTCCTTTCTGTCGTAATTTTTCTCAGCATTTCGCCGCCGTCGTGAGGCCGAAACGGCCGAGAACTGGAGATGGCCGAAATCGGGTCGGCCTGAGCGGCGCAGGCACTGAAAAGGGCTTCAAAAGGCGACAGAGAATGGAAGATGAGGTCCAGGTGACAAGTTTCGAGGGAACGGGTCGGGTTGGCGGGAGTGGGCCCGCGAAGGCGTACAACGACTGTTGGGGGTTTGGGCGTGAACGGATTGATGGATGTCTGGCGGGGTGGCGGGGGTAGCGGGACAAAGGCGTCGAACGCCTAGAGCCTTAGCTCTGGGCTAGTCATTCAATACAGATCAACTAATTGACGATGCAGCCAAATTAGTAAGCACACTTGGCCAACCACGCCCATTGTCGATACCTTGGCACCACTTACTGTGTCCCCTCATTAAAAGTCTAGCAATTTACGTGAACGTTGTGCATTAGTTTGTTTCTGACATGAATAAATGATATCGTTCTAACTCGGGTTTGCAATCGCTATCATGATCAGGCCCATCCAAGCTCACGCAACGAGGACGAATCGGTTTAGCGTTGGTATCCAAGCGACACGTGAAAGGAACCCCGCACTTGCCTGCGCGCCGTTTTCTTTTCTTTTCCAGTGTCTCTGTTGCCAGCTGGTGCTCATTAGGCGCCTGCACGAAAGCACGTGACTGCTCCCGCGAATTGCTCCCAAGCTCGCTTCTGCTTATGACCGACCAAATCCGTGAAACCAGATAGTGCAGCAGCCCCGCCAAATTGGCTGCACATTTCCGGGCGGAGGGCGAGAAACTCATCGGATAAAGCCGTCACTGGGCTTCCGGTTGGTAATCGCAAGGAGCCAAATATACCACAATTTCCACGTGGCAGGAAGGAACACGTGTCTCAGCCGCCAATTCGCTAGCCAGCCCCTCACTGTAGCAGCTAGCTACATCCGCCAAGAGAATACGGCCCTCAACAGTAACACGCGTACAGCGGTACAAGCGCTCGGGATTTGTTCGAGAAAGTGTGGATTAGCTGTTTACGGAGCTCGCTTCAAGTAGTTCTCCGGTTGCCGTTGCAGGCCTTCTTTGAGAATTTGGCCCCCTCGCCGTCGGCAGCCGGAGGTTACAAGGCTCCGCACTTCGCGCAACAGGGCCGCGGCATTCGCAGATTTGTCATCGCGTGCGATTTGACGACTTCCTCGAGACGCCAAGAGGCTAGGAACTCCACCGAAAATGAGAATTCACAAGTTCGACGCAGATGAATAGAGTGCTATTTAACATGAGATCCCAATTACTGCGAGAGAAAATGTTCCTCTAGACTATCTCAGCTCGTTCAGGTTCACCACCAACAGCATCACCACCAACAGCATCACCACCAACAGCATCACCACCAACAGCATCACCATCACCACCACCACTACCACCATCATGGAGACCATTCTCGTAGTTGGAGCGACTGGAAACATTGGCGTGTCGGCTGTCACGACTGCGCTGCGTTCCGAGCGCAACGTCTTGGCCATTGTGCGCAACCAAGACTCGGCTAAAAAGCTCGTCAAGCACATCGGCTCGTCCGAGGGTATTACCTTTGCGGAAGCCGACGTGACGTCCGACACCGGCTTAAAGGGCGTTGTTGATCAGGTGCGGGCGGGCAAGCTGCCAGCCTTCCAGCATGTGTTTACCTGTGGTTAGTTCAAAACTTGCTCAAGCTCTCCTTTGTTTGAGCGGCTCTAATGCCTCGAATTAGTGGGCGGCGACTACATTACCACCCCTCTCTCTACCATTACCACGAGCCAGCTGCGCGACAACATGAACAGGGGCTTTGAGGCAAACTTTTGTAAGTCTAGGCTGCGGACCTTCATTGAAACAGGCCCTTTTTAGTTCCATCCTCGTGCCTGTTCAAGCGCAGGTTTAGAAACATGCGTCTCAGGCCGAATAGAGAATGCTGAATGACTACAGTCGCGTACCGAGACACAATCGGCTACCTCGTGGAGCAGGGCAAGCCGGCGACCTGGACGCTGTGTACTGGATCACAGGGCGACGCAGCCCTGTTTGCGCTTCCTGCCTTGACTCAGGGGCCGCTGTACTCGCTAGCGACCGCGGCGGCACGCGAGAACGAGGCCACCAACGTGCGCGTCAACGAGTTGTACCTCGCGTTCCGCGTCGAAGTCGACACTGACGCCGCCCAGCACGGCGTCACCAGCGCCACCGAGTTCTCGGCTGTCTACAAGCAGATCCTCGACCGGCAAGACGTCCGCAGCTCGCGCGTTCGTGTTGAGGCTGTTGGGGACATCACGGAGCTGAGGTTTCAGAAGAAGTTCTAGGCCCATTCTTGGCTGCTTGCATTGCGTACGTACGAATGGAGTCTCCTTTGTGTCGTGGCTGGAATGGCCGTGGGAGAAATTTTGACTTTTGCACCCATAGCCTGTTAGACTTGACGTCGCGTAGAGCTCACAGACATTCTTGTGTAGGTGGCCTCGAGAGAATGCATGATCACCATCGCAGCAATTTGACGTGTCGTGTTACCTGCAAGTCATGTTCATCTCAAGCTCCGCCCTAGAGGCCGAAGGGATGGGATGACCTCTTAAGAGAGCCTGTCTCCTTTCGTCATCCCTGAGCGTGTTCAAGCCCATAGGGCCATAACCGTGTGCACAATAGACACGATCTTTTCGCATTTAGACCCCTGTCGCTCCGGCATATGCCATCGAGGAGCCTCTCAAGCCTGTCTATCCCCTCGGTACTACTGTTTCATCCGATAGTCGCCAGGGCACGTCTCCCTCTGTCCAAACGCGTCACGAGACACGGAGACACGGGTCTCATGACAAGACATGTTTGTTCCAATCTTTCGATTTTTATGCTGGAAAGTCTGCGGCAGGCGGGGTATTCTCCAGCACCCTTCCACGTGTTCTTTCTGAACTGAACTTGCTCGGCCACCAGGCCAGGCACCCAACCACGCAGCCCTCCTAGAAAATAGTCTCCACCACCCTTTTCCGCTTTTCCTACAAGCATTCATAAAGCATCTGTTTCTCGAAAAAAAAACTCCCAGCTAGTCATTTACTTTATCAGCCGCGCCATATCTCGCCGCATTTCCTCCCTGCCTTTGCTTGTCCTTTTAGCCCCCCGCCATCGTGGATCGCCGAGGCAATTGAGGTTCTTGACGACTCTGCAACCTTCCCGCTACGGCCTCGAAGACTTCTCGTTCCTGCTCTCACTGCAAACTGTCATTACCTTGACTCTCTAACTCAACCCTCCCAGTATCTTCGCTATCTTACAGCTATACCTAGCTACGAGTCGCCTCTTCAATACAATGGCGGACAACACCATCCAACCATCGCACCAAACCCCGACCGTGGCAGAGAGCAGTCAGTCTCTCGTCTCCGATTCAAACCCAGCCTCCACTGACGATGCTGGTCTGGCTATTGAACCCACACAAGACTCTCCGGACAGCGAGAACTTCAGCGCAGTGCCTGGCATCTCCCCTCAGCACGATGGTCCCGTCACCGCGTCTCCGGGCATTCGGTCAGAGGAAGATGACTTCGCTGCCGTTCCCGAGATCAACATCCCTCAGGGAGAGAGCCCGCCCCCATCAGACACCCCCGAGGGAAACGAGGATGCCGCCAGCCAGCACATGATCCCCAGCGGCGACTACTATTTCGGCCACCACGATAACACTACCGATCGCGACGAATCTGAGAACAATAATGGGTCTGTCAATAACGATCAATCCGGTGGCAACAATTCGTGGGACGAGGAAGATGGAGGCCCTGAGAACACCCCTAACATTAGAAACATGAATGTCTCCGACAAATTGTGCCAGTTGTGCGGATCTGACCAACACCCCTCGGACAGCTGCTTCCTCAACGACTCAGAGGTCGACCTTGACGTCGCCAACCTTCTCAGAGGCCTGCCAACCGAGGATCTCATCGAGATCATCCGCACGGACGTCCTGATGAGCTACAGAGGCCCTATCGCTGCCCTGATTGAGAGGGTGGAGAATCTCACCAGTGCGAGGAGCTGCAAGCTTTACGCGCTCCTTCTCGGGTATTCCGATGCACAAGATGACAGCGACCGAGACCGTCTCGCAGATGGCTCTGAGGTCTTTGTGCCTTCTCCCGAGAGCTCGGTGCTGCCCGTTGTCGAGGTTCCCGATCACGCCGACGAGCCTGAATCTAAGGAGGAGCTTGGTCACGATAAGCTCTAACGCACGGAGCGGATACGCCTGTACCCACCGGCGGGCCTGGAGTTAGTGGCGAGTGGTAGCTCATTGAGACGCCCGTTCTTGGGGTTCGGTCACAGCGACGAGCTTCAACAGGCGGAGACACCTGAAATTACCTACGAGCCTGGAGGCAGTGGCGGGTGAGTGCCTTTTGGGGGGGCTTTATTTTAGGTAGGTAGCTGGGGAACTCGAATTTTGAGGAGTATTCATATAACCAATGGACACGAATGATTCTGACTCCCGACTCAGAGCCGTTTCTTTCACTTTGACCTTCAAATAAGTAGCCCAACACAACGTCTTGCGGACTGAGCCCGCCGCGACCAATTTGACCAAACACCAAATTTGTTGCCAGCAGAAAGCCAAGAGCAGAAAAATGCGGCCAAGCTCTGTTGTAGGTATATTTACCGACCTTGGCATACAATGTCGGTGTTGATCACCATTTACAGTGTACAGATCGAACTCTCCATCTCAGAAGGCTGATTCTCTTCCGCGTCGCTCCGGCAGCTTCACGGAGGCCTTGTACTACCATTTCTGGTATTTCTGGGTAAAGAGCTGGGCGTCGTAGTCTAGAGGCCGGTCATAACTTAGTCGTCTATAATGAGAGGGGGAAATGACTAGAACTAAAGCATGGATGACAAAGAAGCGGGTTCTTTGGTCGTATGAGTGCAGGAACAAACATTCTTCATTACGCTGGTACACTCCCACTCCTCCGCTCCGTGAAAGGCTCTAAACGACCAAGCGAAGAGGACAGCGCTACGCAAAGAAAGTAGGATATCCAGCTGCTGCGGAGGTTTGGCATCGCAAGTTTACTTTTTAACGGACACAACTGTTGTTTGTGGGCGCGCAAGCGTCTCAGATACCTAAGTGAAGAACACAACGTTGTGACTCGCTCTATTGAGAAATGTTGCACGCGATCGAAGTTGACAGCGCATTGAATTGTCTGCTCAATAGGTCTAAAAGTATAGAAAAGAACGCTTCCTTATACTCGTGGAGAGAAGGTAAGGGAGGCGTTGTAATCAGCCCGAAAGAGGGCATTCCGAATGAGGTGAGGACATTCCGAGTCAAGAATTAAGGAAATAACAAAGAATGAAGGAAGCTCAAAGGCATGTCAACCAGGGCCTATCCAATTCCATGAAAAGTGGGTCAATTCCAGACGACAAGAAATGACAAAGAGATTGGCAACGCACACCCAAATGAAAGCACCGTATTTTCATCGCCCGCTTTCTTCCCCAACCCAACGCGTTGAAAATGCGTGGTTAAGCTAAAATAACATCTCCTCCCTCTCAGCTGTACAAAAAGTCACAGTCCTCTCTCAATGAAGGCTGCGGCCAAAGAAACAGGGCCGCACTCTAGAGCGTAGAAGATAAAGAACACAGGTAAATCCAAGACCAAATCGGCCCCATCTCCCAAAGACACGAGCCCAGGTACATGTTGTGCTCTAGCGCCATTCGGAAACTGCCCCTTTCACTACACTCGGTATCGGCACTACCGGTGCGTGAAATGCTACTTGTACTATACTACTCGCACTCTCCTTCTCGCACCACCCCTAACTAGCCACGCATCTCTAGCCCCGTCGCGTCGTCGTCGTTACTAGCACCTCCACAAAATGGAGGCAAAGAAGAAAACAAGAGAGAGGGCCCCAGTCGCGCCTTACTACTACTCCTAGCGTCGAGTCCGGTATAACGGTCATTCCCTGCTTTACACCCCGGAGAGAGGAAAAGCAGCGTTTGGACTCAACTCATCTGAGTCCGACATCGAGATCGTCAAGCCACCCATGAAAAAGAAGAGGGTGGTCGAGGACGAATTGGATGACAAGAACGAGCGGATTGCCATACTCGAGCAAAAAATCAAGGAGCTCGAGAGCAAACTCAACAAGCAGAATGACTCGATTGAAGCCATACTGCAGGAGCTCAAGACGCTCGATGAGAGTAAGAGAAGTAGGGAAGTAAGAGAAGTTGAGAAGCTAAGAGAAGTAAGAAAGCAAGAGAACCATGGAAGCTAAGAGAAGTAGCAAGAGAACTAGGGAAGCTAAGAGAAGTAGCAAGAGAACTAGTAAGAGAAGAGAGTATATACTATAGCTAGCTAGATAGAGAGAACCGATACGAACTCCAAGATAACTACTCAGCTGCCACCGACCCCGACTGAATCCATTTGCTTTTTGATTAGGTGTGTATTCGAATGCGCGTAGTCTGCTCCTTCTCGTGCTTTCTTGTCATTGGTTTAACACCGATTCCCAATGGTTGCCCTGCACAAGAGCGCAAGATCTTAGCCTTTCAAGAAGATTTGTCCCTTCTTTAACCCACCTTCGTGCAAATTCACTCCAAGACCGAGCGATCCAACCGGCATGCAGGTTGACTGTAAACAGGTTGGAATTTTGAGGCGGTGAAAAGACACCATAACACAACAACCAACAGGCGAGACGCAGGCGAGTCTCGCGGAGTACAGGTATAGGTACCCATAGCCAGGTATGTAGCCAAAGAAAATAAGGAACAGGGGACAACTACGCGCACTGGCAAAGAGATCTCAGTTTGTAGCAAAATAATCAGATTTTCCGTAGAATAGTCCAAAAAGGGGTAGAGAGCATTGCCAGTTGTGGTCAGGCCCACTTATGTAGTCCTTATCTCGGTTCCCGGCCTTTGGCCATCTAGTAGGATCTTCCATTTCCGCAGTCCAGCCCTTACCTTCACCTGTATATAAGACCTTTCCTGCCCTCTGCAGTCTTCCAGTTCTGTATAGTAGACAATACACATTGCTCTCCCCCCCATACCAGCTCTATAATAAAAAGAAGGCCAGGACACCCCATATGAAGTAGCCAGGTCCGGAAAAGGGAAGCCCGTACTGAATTGCAATAGGACAAACAGAACCCCAGTTGCCCCAGCCCCCGGGCGGACAATAATTAATAATTTCAACTTGCTGGCCTAAGTAGCCAGCTTGACTACAGCACCCAGGTGCCTCGTAGACATAGAAGTCGACTTACCACTGACGAAAGCAAATTTGGACACGAAGCGCACAAAACCCACCGTCAGAGCCACCAACCCGCCAAACCTCTGTCGCTAAAGTTCCAGTCGCTAGTCATTAAATGACGGCAACTACCTGCAGAAATGCGAGGCTAAAGCAAGCTGTTGAACGAATCATGACAGAAGCTGGAATTTGCACAACCCATTTCACATGTAGTCGGGACAGGCGCTAATGAAGCGGGGAGAATTCGCTCGGGGCAGAAATGTGAGGTTTTCCCGCTTTGCTTAGTCTCTAGAGGAATTGCACAACCTCTTTTATAAAATTCTGGGACTTTACGATGCGACCACAAGCCTCTGCAAGCCGTTTAATATTCCGACTACATGATGTGCTCTGTGCCAACACTTGAAACACACTGCGGCTTGCCTCGTGTGTTGGTTTGAGCTTCCGCCCTTCGCCAGGACAAAGGCCCCATCAACAGGATCCATCGCATGCCCATGGTCAACCAACCCTGATCAATCTCATCGAAGTACCTTGGTGAGATGCGTATCTTCCCAAAATCCTGCTGGCTCACCTGCGGTTGGCTTGACAGTGTTTCTTTCAGCAGCCGATCCGGGGGCCTCTTCGATTGCGCCGAACACTTCTCCTGCTAGGACTGCCTGCTCTCGACAGTTCGGTTCTGGCTGCCCTGATTCCAAGACAAGGAAGTGCAGCATGAGATGGCACAGTTCTGACAGGGCTCCGAACCGGAAGTTAACGGTTTCCTAGTACATGGCTCTCGTATATCCGGACTAGATATTTTGCTAATTGTCACGCGCAGGGAATATTGTCGCTCCGAACCTCACCGTCCGCTGCATTTCTAGCATGGAATCCAGTGACACCACGTCCGCAACGAGATTGGAACTGAAATGCCGCACTGCTGGTGACGGAGGGTCAAAATTTTCCACCCTGGGAACTGATGGCTGCCTATGGTGACATGGTTGCCAACATCTGAAGCAAAGCGCGAGGCTTGGCATGTAGTGCGCCCGGTGTAGGCAGCGACCTAGATCTCTGGACCTGTTCACGCATGATTTTCAATGAGGGCGACAAAGAACTGTGGATTCCGTCCATATCATTCGGGGAAGAACTAGCTCTACTGCCTACGACGTTTCAACTGCTCGCTCCTCGAGGCTGAGATTTGTTCAACTTCGCAAAAAAACCTAGCAGGAGGCAGCACTCAAAACAGGCCCAATCAAGGCGCAAGAACCACAATCTTCCCGAACCCTGTATTCTTTGCCGCCAAGTCGAACGCCTCCTGGGCCTGCTCGAGCTTGAACTCGCCGACGACCTCGACGCCGTCGTCGCTGCCGATCTTGAAAACGCCCGTCTCGGCGAGCTTGAGAAAGTCGCGAACGTCGTCCCGCTCGTACATGTACTGGCCCCGGATGGTCAGATTGCGCATCACGGCGACGGAGAAGGGCACGGGCAGGTCCGTGGGCACGATGCCCTCGAAGCACACGCGGCCGTACTGCCTCACGGAGAGCACGGCGCTGCGGATGTGCGTCGACTGGCCGGCGGCGTGCGGCGACACGTCCATGAAGGCGTCGACGGGGCCCCACCTCTGCAGCGCCGCGGCATCGGCCTCGACGTCGCCCGTCGTCTGGACCACCTGCACGCGGCCGGCGGGGAACAGCCGCTGCAGAGTTTGCAGCTTGGCGAGGTCGCGGCCCATGGCCACGACGCTGGCACCCATGGCCACGGCCGCCTGGACGGCACAGCCGCTGAAGGCGCCTGTGGCGGGCGCCACCACGATGCGCTCGCCGGCCTGGAGGCCGATGGAGCGGAGGCCGCCGTACGGCACGACAGCGTTGGTCAGGTGCAGGAGGCTGCCTATAGGGTAGCCCAGGCCGCCGTCGGCCGGGCTGCCGCACAGGCGCGCCTCGTTGAGGGCGTGGCAGTTCTCCAGAGGCACGCGCGCGTACTCGGCCAGCGTACCCTTGGACCAGTTGTCGGCGGCGAACTTCTTGGCCGAGGGGACGGGGCCATCGAACATGCCCCACACTATCTGCACGTCGGGGTTGTCGCGGGCGCGCACAAAAGGCTCGATCAGGACGAGCTGGCCGTGGTTGAGGCTGGTGGTGTCGGTGTCGGTGGCCACGATACGGCCAATGGCGCGGCCGCTGGGGCAAAGGTCCGAGGGGAAGGTGAAGCCGATGGCGCCGCCGAGGTTGATGGGGATTCGGAAGTCAGCCAGGCTAGCCAGGACCTTGATGACGACGCTGCCGGGGATCCCGGTCGGGGTGGGGATCATCTTGAGCTTCAGCGGCTTGCCGACCGACTCGCAGACGAGGGCCTTCATCGAGGCAGGGAGAGGCGAGGGAGCAGCCATGGCGCTGCGTGGTTGGGAGGATTTGATTTTGAACTTGAAGATTGACGAAGCACGACGCGTTTTCTAAGCGAGGAGGGTTGTGCAGGGCCGGAGAGAATCGGTGGAGAGGATGGACCGGAGACTGGTGATGCGCCTGCTCATATTGGCTTTTTATCGACTTCGGCTCCTGTCGCAATTCCAGTCAATCCGCCTCGATATATCCAGCCATGGCTGATTTTCCATGGCCACCGAGTAAATCCTGTTGCCTCATTATGGTCAAGTTCGGACTTTCCGTCGTTAGCAGTACAGTCGGAGCCGCGCGGAGTTACACGTTGTTTTGAGGAAGGCGAGGAAACGGGCGGGTGAGGCTGTGAGAGGCCGGAATTGAGTCGTTGGCAGCAAAGAAGTTGAAATAAAGCTTGATTCTGCCGTTTTTCGAGCGGAAGCGAAACAAAGCTAGCGCCATCGATGGGAATACGAAAGGTGGTTAGCGTGCTGCAGGTCTGCTCCACCGCAGCCACTCAGAGCGCGGCTTGAGTTGAGGGTGACATTATCGACGGGCTGCCCCACTGTTTGGTGCAGAGGCTCTCAGCCGCCAAAGGCCAACAGCCGAGCATCCCACTAACCCTTGCCAGTCCCATTCTATCCGTCGCCCGTCGCAGCTCTCAACTCAATGGAAAGCAGAGCCGGCCAGTTTCTCTCACGCACGCCAACCCGCCATCAAAACCAATCTGCGACCGCATTTTGCTGCCGGCGCCGCCCAGTGGACATCGCTTAGCGTCATGGCCGTCCTTTCCAATATCAACCGAAGCCAGGCCCCGGAGTTAACAGAAGCCCCAGCAAAGGCCACGCCGACCCCCGCCAGGCCCCACGACGAGCCCCCCGACAATCCCCCTGAGAGCGCACCCGAGCCAGACAAGCTCCCTGCCCCTGCTGGGCCCCTCGAGAAGAAGGGCGCCCGGAAACGCAAGTCGCACACGAAGTCGCGTCGAGGTTGCGGCAACTGCAAGCTTCGCCGCGTCAAAGTGGGTCAAATCCCCAGTTTTCCATGATAACCCGGAGCCGACAGCCAACTTGAGCATCATCTTGTCGGGGCTTGCTTTTTGCTGACTGAGCTCGGTTTGGCCGCAGTGCGACGAAGGCAAGCCGTGCTGCAAGCGCTGCCAGTCGTTTGGCGTAACGTGCAACTATGACCGCCTCTCTTCGGACCTGCAAGTTGCCGATGAGGCTGCTTTTATCGGCGGCGCTCCTCCCATGACGGCCATCTCTCTGAACCGCCAGGTCCTGAGCATGCTCAACGACTCGCTCCACCGCCAGTCTCCATCCAAAAAGACAATGCTGTTTGGTCTAGGCGACCTTGCCATCGTTAACAGGTATCACGAGAGGACCATCCTGACAATGGGCACCCCGCAAACGCGCCACGTCTACCAGCGCGAGAGTGTGAAATTGGCATTTGAGGTATTAAGTTGCGGCCTCTTCGCTCCGTCAAGTGGCTTGCTCTACTAACACACGTGTTCTCTCAGCACCCATTCCTCTGTCACCTCGTGATTACCGTCACCCTCATGCACGACCGATTCAGCGTCACAACCAAGCAGAGCCCCGCCGAACTCGTTCACTGGCTCGAAGGCACCGCACACTTCCACAAGCTCCTAGCCAACGCGAAGCGCGGCGCCCTCAGCTCGTCCGAGAAGGACGCCGTCTGGATCGCATCGGTCCTGATAGGCTGTGCGACCCTGGCCCAGGTCGACAGCGACAACCCCGAGGAGCTGTGGCCGCTCAAGTGCGCGTTCACCGACCTCAACTGGCTGAAGATGAACAACGGCAAGTATGAGATCTGGCGCCACGTCAACCTCCGCCGGCCGGACAGCGCGTTGCGGGCGGTTGCACAGGAGCACCGCCAGGATCCCGGGCCAATGGTTTCAGACCAGGACGCGCTGAGGGTGCTCCCACCCGAGCTACAGGAGTTGCTCGAGGTCAGCCACCCCTCTGCATCGCCGCTCACCAATCCTTACTACATCATCGCTGCGATCCTGGGCAGGTTGTTGCCCTTGGATGCAAACCCTGCCAACATGCTTGTGTTTATAACCTTTCTCTCCCAAATCACGGCCCGGTTCCAGACGCTGCTGGAGGACAAGGACCCTCGCGCGCTGCTGCTGCTGCTCTACTTTGACGCCAAGATCATCGAGCATGGGCGCTGGTGGTGGTGGAACCGCTCGGTGCTGGAGGGGAGAGCTATATGCATCTATCTCGAGCGCTACCACAGCAACATTTCCCACCTGGACCTCCTCATGGAATACCCCAAGAGCCGTCTGTGGAGCGCGTCGCCGTTGTCCTGCGGTCCCGTGGACTGGGATGCCACGACTAGCAACTGAGTGTCTGCCCTTGGTGTGCCGCACGAACTGGCACCAATGCGCAGGGCGTGGTGATTGGAGAACTCTTGTGCATACGAGTTGGTTGGGCTTCCGGATTAACATGTCGAAATGTGGCCATGTTCAAAATATATGCGAATGTATGTCGCTGCCGTTCAGTTGTTCGACTTTTTGCTGTACCGCGGCAAATAAAAAAGATACAGAGAAGTGCGCCCGTATTAGTTGATGTGCCAAATGAGGATTTATCCATGCCTGGATTCGAACCAGGATTCAGACCTCGTACTCTGGCAAGTGGCCCGTATGAGTACATAAATCCCCGCAACTGTCGGAAACGACATTACTCGGAATGGCACTAACCCGTTGCTAATTTCATAGGCGTACAACAGTAACTACAAGGGTATTATGACGCCAGTGGGTGGGAAGGAAGGAGGTGAGTAATCACGTGGATATTGTGCAGTGACATAAATTTGTACCTCAGTTTGAATCGACCAAGCAGACCTCCGATAATGTGTTCACGACTTTTAGACATCAGCGTATCGTGCCATTACACCGCGTGGACAAATCTTCTTCGGCTTCGGCTAACGGGCACTTGTTGCGGTTTGGGGCTGCAAACCCGCCTAATATGCTTCCCTCGTCATACCTTAGGCAACCATACCGCAGAGTGTCCCGCTATTAATTATTCTATCGCCTAACCAAGGTCCCCGCATGCCGCCGACCCCCTCAGCATCGGTGATAGTATTTAGCGAAAAGCTTTTGCAGCTCGTTGTAAATATTTTAGAGGATTGCTGCGCGCACCCACCCTTGACATCTTTGAATAACAACTATATGGTCAATTTCGAAGCTATTTACAAGCCATGTATAGCAAAATGTAGCTAATTAACTACTCAATCTTTATAGTGTGCCGGGACCCTAGTTACACGGCCAGATCTTGTCAATCTTGCGGGCACAATGTTCTCATCTCCCTCATCATCATCGTCCTCTTCGTCTTCAGCCTCAATTTGAGTCTCTGCTTGAGGCTCAACTTGCGGCTCTGCGGGAACCTCACTGCCTAATAGTATAGTTCCGAGCTCCATAAACCGCTTATTTGGAATTGGAATTTTCCTTCATTTTTTGGGCTTGAGGCACTCCAATTCAGCCTCAAGGGCTTCAATGTGGCTCTGCTTGAGAACTAATTCTGCCTGAAGCTTCTCAACCGCATGTGAGGCCTTCAGAAACTTCCATCCAGTCCGGGGACTAGCTCCTTTGCTAAAATCCCGAACCTGACGTCCTGTGGTTGGGACTCCGGTGAGGACAGGGGGTTCAGGGGTCTTCGCCCTGTCTCGTTGAATCTCTGGGTGGCTCAGGGCTTTCGGCCTACTAATGGGCCAATTTCCCATCGTTCAAAATAACGATTTGACGGATCTTATCGTCAAAGCTTCCTCCCTAACTACCTTATAATAACGAATGAATTTAATCTTATACATGGGCGGCTCCATCCAAAAAACCGAATTTACTACCATAAAAGCCGGGTAGTTGATTCTAAATGCTAGGCACATGATTTTATCATGGGATGGGTGCACTGATCAAAAAGGGTAGGTACGCAGCAATCCTTACATTTTATTCTATTGTAGTAAGAATTATTCCCTCATCCAGGCGCAACAGTGTGGCTCCCCAGCTTAGGAACCACACACTCAAGAGTGTGTCTACTACTATATCCTGCTGTGGCCTACTCTCCTCTCTATATGTTGAATCTCCGAGCCCTCTCTTTAAGCAGGCGATAAAAAGAAGATACCCTAGCGTGGCCAAAGGGGACCTCGATATTCGCGGGGTAAATAATTTACGGTCTGCCTAAGGCACCTAAGGTAGACAAGTACCTCGCAACTTTCTAGCGCCCGCTGCTTTCTCCCATCTTCCTCTTCTTTTTACGACCGCAGTCCCCTTCCTCTTTCTTCTCAACCACAAATATAGCAAGCCTAAATAGGCTGCCACTCTTGAGTCTTGACATATCTCCATCGACGCGATCGCCACAATTTCCATTTTCTTCTTCGTCCAGGTATGCTTCCGTTATTTCACTTTTCGTGTTCTTCATAATCAGCCGCTACCTCTCGCGCTCCTCGCCACCTGCAACTCCTTTTCGCATTCTTCGCTGTCACTATCGCTGCTCTCTTCAGTCACGAAGCCCAAAATCCCCCACCCCGATAGCCTCTCCACAGCTTCCACTCTGCACAGCTTCCAGCTCCCTCTTTGATAGGGGGCTTGGTTTTCGCGTTATCATATCTCATTTAATGCAGGCTAGCTAACTAGCTAACTGACCACCTCATTTTTCTCTCGCAATTTACCGACGAGTGTGGCAAAGATGGGTCGCAAATTCAACCACCCCCCTACCCAGGACAAGAACTTCGCCCACATCCGTCACCAGCGATCGGGCTCAGGAAGATCGGACTCACCCCGCTCAAACATGCAGCCACGATCATATCGCGACCGACATGAGCCCCCGTCACCGACTCCGACTCAAAGAATGGCGAAGTCGGCCGCTACCATTGGCAAGGGAGCGTCAACAACCCAGCCCAGCACAGGGCAAAACGCCACCTCAAAGCAGGCTTCAGGCACCGCCAGCGTTGATAATACTTCCCTCATGCCGCCCACTGACAATTCCGCCCCGCCAAAGCTGACTGCTGGATTTGATGTCTCGGCTCCGGATTCGGGCATTCTCACCGCCAGGCCAGCCCCGGCCGCTCCCGCGGCCGCAGTACCGGCTGTACCCCAGCCTCCACATCTGGACAAGCTGACTGCAAAGGCCGTACGCCTTTTCTCACACAAGTGCCAGAAGTGCGGGCTGGCTACTTGCAAAAACGTGGCCTTGGGGTCTTCTGTCCCCTGCGTTGAAAAGGACATGCCATATTTCGAGCTCGTTAGCCTGCTTCCCGAGCGTATAGCAACCATGTGCCTTGACGAGATCGTTCAGAAGTACCCCGGCGCGGAGCAGATTTATACGAGAGCCGCTACGGCACTTGTTCAAACGTATGTTGAGGCAAGCCGACGCGAAACCCTCAGTCGGGTCCGTTGCCCGGTTCTTTTCCATGGATCTGGCAAAGTGTTTGCCCGTGACATGCACATCGGCCGAACGGATATGAATGACGACGAGTTTCGAGATGCGGTGGACGAATTTGTCGCTACTAAGCGATCTGGCGCTCGACACACTAGGGAGCAGAAAGATCGTTTCAAGCACTTTCGGGAAGTGTGCGCCTGGGATCCCACCAGCAGCGAGTTCAAGAGCTTCCCCACACGAATCCACAGCCGGGAGGAGCTGGCATCGCTGCCTCCGAGTTTGAGGCCGAACTCCAATGCTAGATACGAGAAGAAGATGAAAGAGGACGCCCGGTACGAGAATCTCCGAAAGGAGAAAGATGAGAAGGCCATGAAGAAGGCCAAGGAGATGGCCGAAAAGGAGAAGATCAAGGCCCAGAAGCTGGGTCACACCGGTAAGTAGAGAGAACGTTCCCTATCCCACATTTTCCCTATCTTACATTCCCCTTGACAATGCCTACCTCACTGTTACGAGCCTCCCACCTCACACCTAACAATTCCTACCTCTTCATCCATAGAAGGGCAACCACGTGACTATCCTTGCTTTCGAGGGTTATCCGTCGCCAAGCTAGTTACAAACGCATGCTAACCCACCTTCGTTAGGCTCCCTTGTCATCAACTACCACTACAGCCAGCAGGGACCCTTTGGCAAGGGAGAAGAGGCTGAGGACAATGGAAAGCGCTGGAACTGTTGCGGCCGCTCTGAATTTGAGAAATGCGGACTTTGAGAGCCTGGGCAAATGACACGAAAAGGCAAGCATTGCCGTGGGTCTTTTTCTTTTTCTTTTCTTTTCCTTTTTTTCGAGTGCCCGGGGCGAGTGTGCCCCGGGTATCTCTTTCTATCATCGGGATAAGGAGAATTGGTGTCAAACATTGGTACCCTTAGCTTTACACGGGCAATCTCAGTACTTTAGTTACGTACCTGCCAGGTCGGCTGTTGCTCTCCCCCACTTCTTTGGGGGAAGGCGACTGGCTCGACTAGAAAATGGAGTGGACTAGCCACTCCCCCATCCCAAATAATACATCTCCCCCTTCCCCCAAAGCAAAGACCATTTTCTTCGAGCGTTCTAACGCTCGTTATGCTGGATTGACTGACTTGTTGGGTGGCTAGTGCGTGATGACAAGACGTGAAAGACCCTGAAACACAAAATAACAGAGCAACACCAGGGCTGAGCTGTAGGTAAGTGAGCCGCACAAAGTACTGGTGTAGGAATCTAATTAACGGAGAAAAAGGCCGCACTACCGGGGATCTAAATGTATGGTACCCGACAACTAATCAGGGGGGCCTAAACCCCTGTCACTAGTTAGGCGGCCCGTTTCGTTTGTTCTCAGCTTCCTGTGATGTTCAAAAGAGTCACAAAAGAGCTGATACCGGCCGTGATAACAGAGCAGGCACCATATATCCTAACAAAGCAAGCCATTCACACGGCGGTGGCCTGGGGGGATCAAGAGCATGGCACCGAAAGAGGCGTCGCCGGCGGACCGTTTTGGCACCCCCAACTCAAACTCCAACCAAGCACGGCAGTGATCCCCAGAGCAAACTAGTGAAGCAGTTAGAGCTCGTCTTCGGCAAAATAACCAAAATAAACATGGGGAAATGCGGCTCATCTGTTATACGCAGCTAGAAGAGGGGCATAGCCCCTTTTTAATGCATTTTCCTCTCTTTCGTTAGCCAGCCACCTTCTGTTTAACACCGCGATACATTGTGACTGGAAACTATGCCCTTTTTGCATTTGGTGGTAGTTGTTCTAACAACGAGAGGCGGAGGAAATAAGGAGTCAAGATCCTACTCGATAATTTACATATTACTCACTCATCCCAAGCCCCGGAGGCTTCCTACTAGGCATTTAGATAGACCAATAAGGCATCTGGAGAGCCCAAATACATATATATATATATATATCACCGACCATCTCGTATCGCTCTTTGTAAAGTGTACCTAAATCTAATTAGCAGTCTAGAACCCTACCGCCTGCCCTGCACATGCTGAGCCTACAATGCCTTTTTCGGCTCTTGCAACTGGTTGTCTCACCACATCCACAATGTAGGCCATACCGGTATTCCTGAATACGGCCGGCCATAGAAGGTTGGCACCTAACTAGCCTACGATGTAGGCGCCTAGTCATACCGAAGGATATGTTCCTAAAGATGGTCGCCTCAGTTGTAGTCAACTCAGCCTGACTGGCCATCAACGCCAGAGCTACCTTCCTTATCTAGCGAGCCGGTCGTCACGATGCCTTCGACCTGCCATAACTAGGCAGGCAAAAACGCCAACTAAAATTCACCTCTTTCGACCAGGGCTGCTATGCCACCAAGTCGACCGACCCGACTATCAAGAAGCCCTCTCACACATTGCTGATTACGCAGCTCCGTACGGTTGCTTCAACCAAGCCGACCAAAGGACAGGTCGTCTAAGCCAGCCACAGAGTTCCATTGCAATAATTGTTCACCAGAAAGGTGCTGACTCAGGAAATTTGATTATCGTAAGAAATAATATACAAATTAGGACTCGCCGCCAGGGTGAGAGATTCAAGCCAGCCATCGGAAGAATCTTCTCCCATCAATTTTACTCAACATAGATGTATTGTACAATGTCATTTCCAAGTTCTTTACGATTCCCGCAAAAATGAAATATTTTGAGTAGCGACAGACGCGGCAGCTAGCCAAAGCATAATGCCTCTTCTTAATGAGTCAACATGGTGGAGGATACCACACTCCAGCGGGAGTCTAGCCTTGACGTGTTGCCATTCATTGACTCAGCTGCTGCAGGGTAGCAAGCTCAAAGTACCGCCCTCGCTTCTTCACCAGCTCGTCGTGGCTTCCAGACTCGACGATGCGGCCGTGGTCAAAGACAAAGATGCAGTCCGCATTAGCAATGGAGCTGAGCCTGTGGGCAACGGCGATAGTTGTCCGGCCACGAGATGCCGTGTCGAGGGCGTTTTGTACCAGTTTCTCCGACGTCGAGTCGAGAGCGGACGTGGCTTCATCCAGAAGTCTTGAAAAGGTTAGTGACAAGGAATAACGTGGTGCAAAGATGGAATAGCGACGATATCTGCACTCACAAAATCTTTGGATCACGTAGCAGCGCCTTGGCTATGGCGAGACGTTGTCTCTGGCCGCCAGAGACACGGTTTCCTCGTGCGCCCGTCAGTGTGTTGAAGCCGTCGGGAAGAGAGACCTGTTGTGCAGTCGTCAGTTTACTGCAGCCTACGACAACGACAGAGGGAGGGCTTACCACAAAGTCGTAAATGTTAGCTGCTTGGCAAGCTTCCTTAAGTGACTTGTCGCTCACGGACTCGTCGTCTGAGATCAACGAGTCCCGTATGGTTCCACCGATCAAGGCTCCCTCCTGCTCAACAAGAGCAACATGGCACCTGAACCTCTTCAAGTTGAGCTCTCGAATGTCTTGTCCGTCAATCTTCACGGCGCCGGAGCTTGCATCATAAAAGCGCTCAATGAGATTGAGAACGGTGCTCTTACCACTCCCACTCCCACCTACGAGTGCGATGAACTGGCCGTGCCTCGTGACTAGGTCGACATCTTTGATGACATGGTGTTTCGGGCGGCTCGGGTACGCAAACCGCACAGCCTCCAATGCGACGTCACCGACGAGATTGTGGAATGTCTTGTCCTCGTCAGACTCTTCCTCTGGCTCGACCTCAATCGACGGCTTGCTTTCGAGGAGGTATTTCAGATGAGCAGCAGCATCCAAGGCGCCTGCAATGTCTGGAGACATGGCAAACAGGGCAGATGCAATCTGAGCACTGAAGAGGACGGACGAGTAACATATGAAGAATTGCTGCAGCGTATATTCTCCAGTCAAAAGTAGCCTTGTGCCGGCATACCAAAAAAGGAGGGCATTGACCAAGAGTATCAGCGACTGGCTGAGGGCATACGGGACTGCCCCAATGAAGTCGTGAAACAGGTTTGCGGCTTGATCAGACTCGAGGCTCTCGGCGTACTGGCGCTTCACTGTCTCTTCCATCGCGAGTGTAGCGACCGTTCTAATCGCAGACACTGCTTCCGCTGCTATTCCAGCTGATGCCGTAGCTTGCTTCAACCGCTGCTCAATCTTGACCACGGCCCACGTGCGTAGATAGCCACAAGCCATGATCAGCGGCATCGTAGCCGTCGCCACCAGGCCGAGCTTCCAGCCGAACCCACATGCAATGGCGATGGCTGTAACTATGGTTACGATGTTGTTGGATATGCTGCCGAGTGTGTTGCCGCTGATGCCCATCAGTCTGGTGGCTTCGGTAGACAACAAAACCGTCAATGCGCCCGAGCTGTTTTCCTGTCGGTCGAAAAATGCAGCGTCCTGGCGCAGGATGGATGCAAATGCGCGGCTCCGGGCTCGAGACCCGAGAGACGCACCCGCTACTGCTAGTAAATAGCCTTGCATCCCCTGGGCCAACAGCATCACCAGTGCTAGTAGCAGAAACATGCCGGCCCAGAAGCCCATAGGCAGACCTCCGCTGCTGAGTTCCGGATTTGTGAGCGAAACCACGGCGTTACCAAGTATAACACCACAAACCGGTACTACTGGACCTGCAAGTAGGGCGCAGAGGATTCCAAAGACCAAATACAGACGCTCAGGAGCATTGATGGTCCAAACGAGCCTTGCAAGTTGTGAGACGGAGCCATTCTCGGCGTGCTTTTTGGAACCTGGCTGATTCTCAGCACCGGCAACGCTAGGAGCAGATACCACAGTGCTCTCTTTGTGCAATGGCAGGTCTGTCGAGTCTTCAGGCTCTCCCTCGCCTGCCTCCCCTTGGCGCAGGGCTTGAGCTTGAACGAGGGAGGCGTAAGTCGACCCGGCGGCGAGGAGACTGTCGTGGGTGCCCTTCTCAACAACTCTGCCACTCTGCATTACAGCTATCAAATCGGCACTCTGCACAGTTGAGAGGCGGTGCGCAATGATGATGGTTGTTCTGCCGTTTGTGGCAGACGCTAATGCATCCTGCACAACGCGCTCATTATGGGGGTCCAGCGCAGAGGTGGCTTCGTCGAGCAGAAGGATTTTGGGATTTCCAACAATGGCACGAGCAATGGCTACCCTCTGACGTTGGCCTCCGGAGAGTCGAGACCCACGCTCCCCAACGTTTGCGTGGTATCCTTCTGGATATTCCTCGATGAATGAGTGGGCGTTGGCAATCTTGGCGGCCTCCTGAACAAGCCTCATCGTAGCCTCGTCGTCAAGCTAGCTCACAAAATTCGCTAATGTCAGCACCGTAGTCACCAGGTGTTTAAGAACTTAGTCGAGGACACCATACCTTGCCGTACTCAGCGCCCAAGCCATACGCAATATTGTTGAAAATAGAAGTGTTGAACAAAAAGTTATCCTGAGAGACGAGACCGATCTGGGAGCGAAGCCACCCAATATTCAGATGGTCAATCTGGTGGCCGTCCAGGGTAATAGTCCCACCAAGAGGTAGGTACAAGCGCTCAAGCATGGCAAAGATTGTGGTTTTGCCCGAACCGGATGGTCCGACAATTGCAACAGTCTTGCCCGCCGGAACAGTAAGACTGAAGTCCTCGAGGATAAGCTGGTCTTGTCGGGAAGGGTACACCATTCTTAAGCCTTGAAACTCAATCGTTCCCTCCAAGCTCGCCAGCCGTCTTCCGTCGGTAGAGAGGGGGTCAAGTGGTGACTGTCTTTCGATAGTGGCAAAAATGCGAGAGGCCGAAATTCCGGCCTGGCCAAGAGATGCAGTAAAGCGGACCGCGTTTGAGAGAAGGACACCAGCAATCGTGCTGATGAACAGAACGGTGATTGTGTCGCCAACATTGCCGATGCCCTGCTGCAGAAATCTGTGACCTTGCCAGAACTTTCCAGTCGGCGCAGTGGTCAGTGAACAGAGCAAAGGTTGTACCAGGAAGCAATGAACTGTGTGACTTACCCCAAGGCCATAACCAGCATAGAGCAAGCCCAGGATACTAGCAAAGAGCAGGCCGAAGGTAAGGCCGGCTTTGATGTCATAATCCCGGGCAGGTGCTAGCATGGCGTCGTACTGGGCAAGAAACCGACCCTGAGACCCGTATGCGATGACATTGCGGAAGGACGAAACGACCTCCTCGGCAAAGGTGCTGCTCTTGATATACTCGTCACTTGCGGCCTCTTGTGCCCGCTTCATAATGTTACCCAAAACAGCGCTGCACAGGATCAAGGCGACAGGAGCGCCGAGCATAACTAGAGCTAGCTGCCAATACGTGACGAGGCCGATGATGATAGAGCTGAAGAACCCGACAACACCATAGGCGATGAGACCGACTTTCTGCGAGATACCGTCTTGGACCAGGCTCATGTCGTTGGAGATGCGAATGGCGATCTCCCCGGCCCCGACGCCATCAAAGAAGGCGACGTTTTGACGAAGAACGGCGGCGAGGTATGCCTGTCGCAGCTTTTTCGTCACGCGTTCGCCAATGTGGTTCAGACCGTGGATGCCGACCGCAAGGATAACGAATTGGGCGACAGCGACATAGACAAACTTGAGGGCCGTGTTCTCTATGGCTTGGATGAATTCGTCCGACGCTGTGGATCCAGCAGCCAAGTCGCTGAAACTGCCAGTCATGGATCCGACAAACACCTAGGAATTAATTATCATCAGCAAGTTAGTCGCCACCGCAACTGAACTCGGTGTTTGGAGCTGTTACGTACCATCATCACTGGCTGTCCGGTGCCTGCAGCCCCGCAAGCGACCGCAGAGACCAAGATAGCAGCGACATCCCAGGAGGTTGCGTAACGAAAGATGGCAAAATACCCAGCATTGGCAGGCTGGGTCTCGAGCTGCCGTCGTAGAATCAGTTCTTCGCCCGAATCGCGTCGTACCGTTTCCGGGTCTGGTCGGCCCGAGGCAGGGGCTTCGGAATCGGAAGGCATGGCTGCTTGGTGTTGATTACTTGACGATCAAGGCCAGCCAATTCCGACACGGGATGGAGTGAGTAGTTTCGAGACATGTTTTGGGCGGAGCAGTGTATATAGAGCAAAAAGAAAACAGAAAGAAAAAAGAAATCCATGAAAGGAAGCCCCGCGACTGGGGGGGGAGAAGACAGAGCTCTCTTGCATAGTGGAATCGCTAGCGATGAGAAATTGGAAGTCCACATAGGAATCCGAGCCCGGGGACGCGACAATTGGAAGCGAGACGTGACGTTGAAGCCATCGCGTCTCGCTTGTCCATTTTGGGAAATGCGAAGATCCTTGAATGCAGCGGAAATATGGATCATGCAGGGTAAGGATAATTGCCCACAATTCCACTTTCCGTCTCGCTTGTCTCCATCATTGGCTGACCAAAGACTTGGAACCAAACCCCGAGCAGCAGGAGCCGCCAACCTGAAGCTGGGGGAACGAGAATCGACACGTGACCTCGCATTTCTAGAAACAGACTAGCGGTCTTTGGCCTCTGCGACGCTGTTGGAATTCACCCCGTGCCCCTTCCTTTCCGTTTCTTCGAGTTCGGTGTCTGGGCTGCGGCTTCCCTTCTGAGCTTTCTTCAGCGAAACATTGCACCTTCCTGTAGGCTAGATTCCTGACTCGCCGTATCTTTCTCCTCTCGTTCCTCACATTATCCACCAAATGCGAAGCGATGTCCACAACTACGCTCGAAACAATGGGCCTGCTTACGCCGAGCGACGGCCCCTCTCCTGTGTCGTTCGGCTCGCCAGAAGATCCCACCCTCCAGTCCTTTGGTCTCTTTCGTGCCGATGGCTTTGCTACAATACCAAACGATACTCTCGACCCGTGTAGGTTGAAGAGACCGCACTACAAGTCGAGGAGCGGCTGTCTCAACTGTCGAAAGCGCCGTGTCAAGGCAAGCAACCGGTCTGCGTCTGCAACCTGCAGAATGCGTCTGCGCCTCTAATTGCCTACCTGCCTAATCGCTGGACGCAAGGGTCGCGCCGGGGAGCCAGCTAGGTTAGCATCACTAATCAGCCTTCCTGCAGTGCGATGAAAAGGCGCCACGTTGTTCGCATTGCCAGCGCCGGAATGAGCCCTGCCAGGTCCGTCGGTGCTCAAAGGCTCCCCAGCCAGAGCCTCCACGGCGGGAGGTCGCCATTGTCTCTCGGCCGAGCTCAGGTTCTTGCCAAGTCCCAAGGTCGCCTTCAGCGGCAGCCGCAGGCCCAACCCCGAACGCAACGGTCAACTTGCGGCACATGAAGCTGTACCACCACTTCACCACCCACACCGTCCACACACTACATTTCGGGCTGTCGGTCTGGGAAACAGCCATCAAGGTTTCGGTCGAGTGTCCCTCGGTGATGCATGCTCTGCTGTGCGTCTCGTCGAGGCACCTTGCCTACCTCCACACGGACGATACCTCCTACGAGATGGCCGCCGCCACTCACCTGTCTGAAAGTCTCCGGCACTTTCACGAAGACTTCCCCCAGGGACTCGAGGTGTCCAACCTTGACGCCTTCGCATCCACCGCCATCCTGGTCGCGTACGAACTTTGGGCTTCCACCGAGTTTGCGCTCCTCGACGCGGGCGGAGGGGCCGCCGCGTACGACCCGTCCCAGGACCGCCTGTTTCGCCTCGGCGACTCTATGGTGGTAGCGATCATGAAATCTCTGCCCTGGATATTCGAGACGCCGTCGATGCTTACCGAAATGGTGGCGCACAGTCCCCGGCAGAGCCTGCGCCGGCGGGCTCGGCTCAAGAGGGGTACGGTCGAGTTCTTTCAGATATTCTACTCGCACGCGAGACCCGTGTCGGTCGAACAGCTCTCCGTCCCCCCCATGTTCATGCGGTCGGAGCCCGGCGAGGACACCGACGCGCCCCTCGACGATTGCCTGGGCAATGAAGATCTGGCCGGACCCGTGTTTCCACGGTCGGACAGGTACAGCCAAGTTATCACGCGGCTCTGTTTGCTACTCTCTTTCCTCCCAGAAGCCGGCTGGGTTGGCACTGATGAAGAGCTTGAGGAGGTGATGTGGGACCTAAACAGATATATCTTCACGTTCCCGGTAATCGCGTTCGGAGCGTTTATCGATGGGGAAGGCGCCGTTTCTAACGATCCCAAGCCGATGCTGCTGCTCTATCACTTCTATCGCGCCACGCGCATCTTGCTGAAGGGTAACAAGCATTGGTGGGCGCATCGTAGGTCGCGGCTGTTGGAGTCGACGTTGAAGCGGAGTCTGCTCAGCGAATGTATCATTAACTGTGGCGAGGAGGCTTGAAGGTTGTCGGGTTGTCGAACCAGGCTGTTCGGACTACAGCTGTTGCTTGGCTGTCGGAATTTGGATAGGGTCACAGCTAAAGATGAGGCAGGTACTGAGTCCAGTTCGGTGTGTCATAGGCCGCCCGAGGGTTGTTACGAAGGGCAAGAAACGACTCCACAACGAAGTAGACCCTTGCTCCAACGAAGCCCAAAGTGAGACTTCCCAAGAAAAATGCGCCTGGGCCAAAGAGAAAAGGCTTGAAGACTCCCAAGTAGGGCGAGAGTGCCCGCCCGATGTCTCGCAGCCTGAAAACAAACATGTCCTTTTTGGAAGATCTACTGAAAATATCAAGGCCTCTTTTTGTGTAAACCGTCTCGACAGACTGGATCGCGGTTATGATTACCATGGCGAGAATTCCGTAGCACGGCAGATAGATGCACGAGACCTTCCAGAGCAGGTGCTCGATGGCCGAGGGGAACTCGTCGTTCCAGGCCGACGCGTGGATGCCGCTGCACGCCAGCGTGACAAACACAAACACGCCCACCGACAAGACGCCGTCCCAGCTCATTCGCGGGTCGAGGAACTGCTGCCAGCTTAGGATACGTCTTGCAAGAGGCTCTACGTAGGGCAAGCGGTGCGAAAGATGATGCTGCAGATCCCACGAGTTGGAACTTAGGGTCCCGTGTAGCGAAAGTAGGTAGGCTGGCGAGTGGATCCAATCGAACAAGGCTCCCCATCGGACAAGACAGTCGTGGTCAATGGTGATTTTGTCTTCCTTCCGGCTGCTGATCCCGTCCCAGATGGAGATCCTGGTCGCCCCGAGAACGATGATCTCCCCTCTTTTGATTAAGATACTAGGCCTGGTGCTACGTGGGGATGTGCTTTCGAAGTCTCGCGACAAGAATATTCCCTTCTCGGTATCGTAGAGTAAGACTTGCCGGACAAGGGGCTTCTGGGCCAGTGTTGTGTGCACTCCAGGCTCAGCTCTAGGGGCAGCTAGTGACTGGTTTTGGGCGTTCCCGTAGCCCACAGCAAAGCTTGGCTCGGCGAGGTCTTCATTCGGCCTCTCGGGAAACGTATTGCTGCTCGTTGACATTTTGAGCCCACCAAGGTGAGATATCTCCTGGAAAAAAGTATGCAGATAGTGGGTTTTGTTTTGCGGCCCTGCGAGGGCTCTACGCTCAGCAGGGCTTTTGTAGGCAGCGCACCAAAGGACCGAAGCAACCGTCTTGATGGAGGAATCGCCCGCGAGGATGGTGGCCTCCCCGACGTCGAGCGGCTTCTCCCACCATATCAGGTAGATGGCCAGCGCGCACACGGTATGCGCCAGCGTGTTGAGCTCGAGGGCTGTCACAAAGAGCCCGGACGACCACCGCATGACGCACTGCAGGATCATCCAGGACGACTGGGCGACGACGAACAGCTTGGCCAGGCTGTCGGCTTTGCTCTTGTCGTCGATGTGACGCTTCGGAATGTCGGGCAGCAGCCCGTCCCGCGCCATGATCTCCACGCCTTCTCGTGTCAGGCAGAGCTGGGGCGAGCCGGGGATGTACTCGTCGTCTTTAGGGGTCGAAGGAGTGGTACTGAGGGCAAACCCGCCCATGAAGGCGTACCAGCTGTGTCTCGCGGTCCACGGGTGTTTCCGTTTGTTTGGTGGGCTGCTTTGTTCCTAACCGAGGGTGGGAGATAAGGGATATTTAGCAACGGATTTTCCAGGACTGATGAACATGCTGGGCGAGACAAGCAACCAGGCCAAAGAAAGTCAAAGTCGTAGAACCATACCCCCTGCTCCAGTGCAATCTGCACGTCCTTGTGAAGTCGTCTTGTTTCGTGTCTCTGGCACCAGGCAATGTACACGACCATCTCGGGGGCAAACATGGCGATGGCGACCCATTTTGCCTTCCGAAGTCGCTTGGTCGTCCCGCTCTCGTCTTCGGCCGCAACTTTGAGGTGGAGCGACGTGTAGATAGCCAGCGCCAGGGTAACAATGCAAGCCTTGATGATGCCAAAGGTACCTCGCCCGTCCGGTTCCAATCCGCGACAGTGATGTTTCTAGTCAGTCCTGAGTGCCCGACGCGATGAAGACAGCCAAATGGGAGACTCTCACTCACGCCCACCCAAGATTCACAGCCTCGCCGCCGTTGATTGGGGCCATCCGTGCGCGCAGGAGCGATGATAATCAATGATAAAGAGCAAGTATTCTTGTTGGCCCCTTACTTGCCAAGACATGGCAATTTGTACAATACAAGCTCTTGTCATAAAGGCGCGCGGTGGAGAAGAAGCTGAAAGAAAGTGCACCTAAACGACCAAGGTGGGAAGTCTACATGTGCGCAGGCTGCAGCGCTAGCGGCGTCGCGTTCCTAAATTCACGTGACCTTGGCGGGGCATTTCTAGAAATACCCGTCATTACAGCAGCATTACGGTATTTGGGCCCTGATACGTACCGGTCCGTGATTTAATTATGCTAGGCTGTGCAGGCCCTGCCCTAAATTATACCCGTTTTTGCACGGTCTTTATAAGAGCTTTGATGCGCGCACCCACCTACTCTTTCATAACACTTACTGTCACATACAACGCTGCATTAATTGAGGGCAAAAAAGTTCTTGTATTTGGAAGGTTCAGAAAGGTGGGCATAGCCTGAATACCGTAGTTATGCGGCATGCGGCTGACACAGCCTAGGCTGTAAATGGTCTAGCATGTGCGCCATCTGCGCCCATATGTGGCTTAGATGCGGCTCCTTCCGACACCTACCTGTGGGCCCTTAGCAACTGCCAACACAGGGGCCGCTTTTTTTATTGTAAAATGCCGTATTCCATGGCAGCCACCCAACGCCCAACCGGGTACTAAGGAAGTTTTTACTTATAGGATGCGGAATATATGTTCTACGGATCGAAAAGCCGGACAAAGCGGTCGCGAAAGGTCGCCCTGTCAATCAGGGCGGTCCTTTCGGAAATGAAGCCATCCTAACAGAGCCGCCGGCGCCGAAGACAAAGACGACAGCCCTGAGCGGCGCGATCCACCGAGACGCGCGGCGTTACTATTCATAGTTCGAACTAGCCGGGCCGAGTCTAGAAGAACGGGATGAACAGGATGAACAGGATAAAGAAGAGCTGGAGATTGACTCGGACTGCATCGTCGTCAATATAAAGCCAAGCCCAAACATAGGTCGGAAGAGGAAGGCAACACAACAGAAAGGAAAAGGGAAAAAAGAAAGATAATGAAGAAAGCGAGCAAGCCTGCCCGGGCAAGCTACATTCAGACCTCAGTTCCTAATCCTCACCTCTTTAACATGGAGGTAGCGGAATGGCGGGGCCGTAGGGCTCAACGCCGGCGCTTTTGGGAGAATACAGCTTATACTAAAGAGGAGAATGACTGCTTCGATTCCGGGGGTGAAGATGACCCTTATCCTCGTAAGAAGGGCGGCGAGGGTAGCCAGGTTGACATAGACTAGGTTGCTAGATTGATAGACTCAATACCAAGGAATTGCATCACCATGTCAACAAATCAGGATTCAACAGATCATTCAGGCAACTAGGCGCCTGCCATAAAATTTGGCTAGTTTACGTGCAAATCCGGGCCTTAGAGTTACTATTTGCAAGTTGCCTTCATCGAGGCTGACTCAGCAACGAAGAAATCGTCAAAATGGAAAACACCACGGTAAACGCGTTTTCAGGGCTTTTGAAGGCTTTGACGGCTTCAACGCTATTGACCCGGGCTTCCTTTAACTTTCTTAGTACCCGGTAGGGCGTTGGGTGGCTGCCATGAAATACGGCATTTTACAATACAAAAAGCGGCCCCTGCGTTGGCAGTTGCCAAGGACCCACAGGTAGGTGGTATGAAAAAGTAGGTGGGTGCGCGCATCAAAACTCCTTTATAATGCAGCTTTGCAGACCTGCTTTGCAACAACCAACCAATTGGATCTGGATGAAACGTGAGTAGAAGAGGGGCTCTGTAGTGCAACCGCTAAAAGCTTCGGTCATCAAATTGCGAGCACAGTGAGTAAGCCTGCCAGGATCGAATCCTGCTGAGGGGTACGGTTTTTCTCAAAACTGGTAAAATTGGGTCGCCATCGACAAGGGCGGGGGAGACTTGGGAAGGGGTAGCTCCCTTCCGCCTGCAGGATGTGAGCGCGTCCCGGGGGTATAGAATGGGAGCGGCTGCACTGGTCCCCCAGTTTGAGGGTTGGTTGAAAGTCCCGCGAATTAGTCAATTGCAATGATTGACTTTCTCGACGGGACCAGGACGGGTTGAAATTCTGTCCTGGTTCACACAAGCCCAGGCAGACCCAACTTCCCTCTAGTTGAATCTAGACAAAACAATAATTGGTTTTTTTTAAAATGCTTTCATCGAAGTACCCGTCTTCCATATGTGCCAATACGTGCACGTAGATTAGATAACGAAGGCGGTGAGCGCGAAACTTCTGCCGCGGGGCTTCCTTCTTAGCCCGCGCCCAGCACTCGCTCGAGACCGCAGCAAATTGAACATTTTTTCTTCAACCTACGCTTCCAGACCTACTATTCCCAAGAAGCTACATTATTCCTTGCGATACAGACCATCCAGACCTTTGTCACAGTGGGGCCGGCCGACTTCATTCCTTCCACCGATGGTCCTGCAGCCATGTAGCTATTTGAATTCACGAAACCATTCCATTTCCACTGGGAGCGACAATGACGCTGTGCGATCGCTGTGAACAACTTGACATGGGCCACGTTTTTGTGCAATCAGTGCCGCCAAACCGGTCAACCATCCCCGGGGGATGGATGCATTCAGACTCGTTTGCGATTCTGCGGTCGAGCGCCGACACGTGCGCGATGTGTTCGATTCTTATGGGCGATGCTGGCAGCAACCCACTGGTCGAGGATGACGACAGCGTCAGGCTGCTCACTTTTACGCGCGACCGGTGGCGTCTCCTCGAGGGCTCGCGAAACCTACCCGGCCCAATTGCCGGGCTCGAAGTCATTGTTGGACCAAAGGGCGTGAATGAAGTTCATTCTGTGAGGCACTTACCAATCTGGACGGCCGACAGTGAGCAGAGAGAATCCTGATCCCGAATGATGGCGGTGGATTACAGTCTTGTTCCGTAATTGACTTGCAGCCTTCTTATTAGACAGCCCCGAGCAGCTGAAGCGCTTCATTGTGACTCGGCCTGTTGGCCCACCATCAGATGCCGAGGTACTCAAACTTTGGCTTAATACTTGCCTTCATGAACATCCTACCTGCAGGATTCCAGCTCCGTCCATGGACTTGACCCTGGAAGAAGACCCCGCTGACCTTCCAACTCGGGTTCTGGACGTGGGATTGGCAAGTTCTGGTCCAGATTCCGTTTGTCTCATACTCCCTGGGAGTCAGAAGGGACGATACATTGCTTTAAGTCATTGCTGGGGCACTCTGCCCGTCACCACAACAATGACGAGCACGCTGCATCAACGCATGCAGGGTATCTTCATTCACGAGCTAAGCACTAACTTCCAACACGCCATCCAAATAACCCGCCAGCTAGGCTACCAGTACCTCTGGATAGACTCGCTGTGCATCATCCAAGATGACGCCAGCGATTGGGCCGTCGAGTCGGCCAAGATGGCACAGGTCTATACTCGTGCGTCCCTGACCCTCGCCGCAGCCAACAGCGCCGCCGCAGGCGACGGCTTTCTCAACCCCAGACCAACCCGCCGCGCAGTCACTATCTCGCACCGGAGCACAGCTGGCGTCATTGTCGGCCACGTCACCATCGGCGAGCAGACATCGCAGGAGATCTACTGCGACGGCTTCCGGTACGACGTCAATGGCGGGCCACTGGCGCTGCGCGGCTGGACGCTGCAGGAGCGGCTACTGGCACGGCGCATCGTCTTCTTTGGCAGCGAGGAGTCGCACTGGAAATGCCGCACCGCAAGCTGGAGCGAATCCACGCGCCTATGGCCCGTGCGGTCTGTCGATGCGCGCGCTGGCCGCGGGTCGTTGGACAAGCTACCCGTTTTTGGTCCGCCGTTTTTCAGACCTGTCGATCCGAACGTGCTCCTCAACGACTGGTACACCATCTTGCAGGAGTTCACCAGCCGCAGTCTGACTAAGAAGGACACCGACAAGCTTCCCGCGCTTTCAGGCATCGCCAAGGTCATCGAAGCGGGGTTCGGGGCATCAGACGCGGGGCTCACCACGCCGCTGTACCACGCTGGGCTGTGGACCCATGACCTCCCGCGCGCACTGCTATGGCAGAGTTTTGGCCCAGAGCCCAGCACCGGCATGAGTGGCGGCGTGCTGCCTGGCCCATCGTGGTCTTGGATGTCGCGGGACGCGCGCATCTTGCCGGCGCGCGAGGCAGGAGCCGCTGACAACGCCGCACAGCCCGACATTTTGGCCGTCGAGTGGGACGTTGCCCTCCATGCTGGCGGAGACCCGCATGGCAGGATCGCTCTTGGCAAACACACGCTTACGCTACAGGGGTACATAAAAGCCGTGCCGACGATCCGCACAATCAACAGGCCATCAACGCCGTCTACCACTTCAGCCCCATACCCGCTATCCAACGCGCTACTATATGACAGCCACGCGCAGCAGATCGGCGCCGCCGTGCTAGACGACCCAGCTGACCGCAGGGCGTTCGATCAGACGCTGTATGCGGTCCCTGTGCGGCATTTTGCTACAGGTGGCGCGGGAGGGCAGGGTGGGCGGGGTATTGGAAGCATTGAGGCGCTGCTGCTGGTGCTGGCGCAGGAGGGGGGTACTTGTTATAGGAGGGTGGGCGTAGCTGACATGATGGGCAGTAATGCTAATGACGAGCGGTGCAAGGACGCGCCGTTTGCGCAGCCTTTCCAGGTCTTTTTCTACGATGCGACAAGGGGGGAGGTCAAGATTGCATGATGTATTTTCGCGAGGGCTTTGTTTGCTCTGTCTGTTTTAGCCTTGTTGTTTCTTTATTATTGAGAGCGTCTTCTGGCACCGTTGAAATCGTTCCTTAATCCACAATGCATAACCCTAACCCTAGCAACCAACCCCGCCCACCAGGACTCCAAGATTCTGCCATATAGTAATTTACCAGTTTTTACCGAACGCAAGCCCGCCCTTACCTTTCTAGCGTAACCGAACTTCTACATCCGACCTTAGACAACCACCAACACATCGTCGGCACCGCATTCAATCAATGCATCAATGTAGCTTCACTTTCTCATCGTTGATAGCATCGCACTATGCTAACTAGCTATAGAAATTCCCGCCCTTGAAGATCTGAGCGATCTGAGCGACTTTGGCGAACTCAGTGATACGCCCGATGAAAATACGCCGCCATCACCACTGTCAAATCCGCCCGCCGGCCATAAGCTTTTCACCACCAAATATAACACCCTCGATGATCTAATCGATGATCTGAACGAATGGACCGCTTCTGCGCTCTTCAGGACTTCAAAGGCACGATAGTAGCCCTGCAGCCTCTGCAGTGACTCAGGGTCGTGTTGTCAAGCCTACACCAGGTGGAAGGGTCCCGCAACTGACTACCCGGGCATTGGAAGGCATAAATCAGTAAGGCTGTCAGTTACATGCAGATGTGAGTAGTTGTAAGCAGGCCTACAGTTTTTTTTTGCATTTTTGGCTCTGTTATATAAGCGAATTCAACGAAGTCAGCATCACTTTTATTGTAGATTTGAACGATTTGAGCGAATCTACGGCCCTGAGGTGGAATTACCGCATTCGGAAATATATTGACGTTGGTGACGGCGGCGAGGTGCAACGCCTGGAGCCGTGCAGCCAGCAAATGCGGTAACTTTAGCTGTAAAATGTGGTATTTTCGTGGGCGGTGAGCTGTAAAGCTTGGCGGCCTATTTACCTACGGTGCAACGAACGATTTTAACGGCGCCAGAAGACGGTCTCTTATTATTTCTAGGCGCCTAGGAGAGCCTGAGGTCGCTCTCCCTTGCAACTGCGCTGGGCCCCCATTTTCGGTCGTCCCAGATACCAGGTACCTACCCTATGTACTACGTAGTCTAAATTCTCAGCCGCACCGAGTACGGGTACGTATCCCGGCCGTCCCCATCGTCGGTCCCCCAATAATTATTACTAGTGACGTCACCTAGCAGCCCGTCCATTACGTACTCGCATCTGGCTATCTCCCTAACTATTTCCCTCTGATTACTTATCATTTTCATGTGTATAATTGCTCGGTGGGAGGGGCAAATTTAAGTTGGTACAGCGGGGAATGTGACGGACGAACTACTACTAGGTGCAAGCTGTCAGATCCGACCCGAGCAATTTACCCATGACCAGTCTAACTAGCCTGGACAACTATCTTGTAGTTTACAGATTGACTGGTTGGCGCGACTGCACGACCTGGGTGACTGACTAGCTTGTAGTTGACAAGTTGAAAAAGTAACTCTAAATTAACTCCAAGTCACTGGTTTAATTACTGCGTTCATAGCTTCTGGTTGCTCGGGTCATATTATAAAAGTATATCGTAAGTGATGCCTACGATGCCTCCACTGCCTAGCAAGAGAAAGAAAATGTCCCCATCTCAGTGTTCTAATAATTACTATCATTATTCGTAATAAGAGGCGCTCTCATTTTGACTCGGTGCCTGTCAAAGCTCTTTTTCACTTTCTACTCACCATTCTTTGCTTCTGCTTGGTACTGCCACCATCCAATCAATGCTACTATAGAAAGTCCGATAAGAATTATGATAAGGAGGGCGATAAGAAGAATAATAGGAAATAATAGGACGTACTACCACTTCAACGAACGGGTTCCCCGCTCCCGTTTTTTGACCTCATATCCCATAGATATAAATTCACTCTCTCTTACCCTCTCCCTTCTTCTCCTGCTTCTGCCTTCTTTAGGTTTGACCGGTACTCTTCCTATTCCGATAGGAAGTTCAAAAATCATTGTCATCACTCTAGTAAGTTCATTCCAATTTTCAGGACGATTGACAGGTACCCAGCTTCCCTCTCCCATCTGCCCAAAGATCCCTTCTTCCTGCTTTCACTCGCCCCTGTGCTTCTCCGTCTGACTTCTCCGTCTGATGAGCTGCCCCTCATACCTCGTGCATATTGAAATCCCCCTCCCTTTGTCTTTCCCCTCCCAAACTTCCACGACTTATTCGCTAACCTACATTTCACTCAGCGCCGTACGAAGCACGATAATCCTAGTAAGTACCCTTCGGATCTTTGCCTCTTCTGACCTCGCACCTCGTGCCTATTATTTCCATCCCCTTTCACTTACCCCTCCTCAACCGCTGCAACAATTTGCTTACCCAGCTTCCCTTGTTCGGTGCACACGAGGGGTATCACTGCAACAGGTGACTCCCCCGCTCCCGAGATTTTCTTGCCCGGTAACTCGTGCCCCTCCCTCCCTGTTCGGTGAACACTGAACAGCAAGTTCTGTTCACTCCAATAGGTAGTCGCCCGCAGGAATCCCTTCGCCGTGCTACTTCCCTACCTCACCTCCTCAACTTTTACGAACTCTTCTCTAACCGAACTTCTTTTTTCAGCCAACAGAAAACAGAAACCGCATCACTTCAGTAAGCACTCTTGCTACTCTCGTTTTTTGACATCCTACCTCGTGCCTATGAATTCCTCAACTAGGCTGCGTTTATTAGCTTGATATCAACTTGATATCAGTTTGATTTTAGGTTGATCTCGGGTTAATCGCAAATGCGGTTGCCCTACGAGGTAACCCCCCGCCACGCGCTCTTTTTCAACCTCCTACGTCGCGCCCATCGTCCCCCATTCCTCTTCCCCGCGCCCGAGTTTCTACAACCTCGTCTTCCTTAACTGACCCACCTCTATCAGCTTAACCGGGAGCGCAGCCACTTTTGCGAGGTAAGCCCCGCCAACTGCCACTGCCTTTTAATGTCCTACCGCATGCCCATAAATTCCCCCGTTTCTTTTCCCCTGCCTGTGCCCGAACCTCTACAACCTCGTCCTCAACCTAGACTGACTACGCTTTCATTAGCACAACCAACAGCGCAGACATTTTGCGAGGTCAACTCCCCAACTGCTACTATCATTTCCCCTCCATCGCGTGCCTCTAAGTCCCTCCACTTCTCTACCTCATGCGCAAACTTCCATACTTCCTCCACAACAGAGCCGCCCCTTTCCATCAATCGCGCACGCAGTCACTTCACGAGGTAGCCTGCCCCTCACTGTCCCTGTCACTTGCCCCCCTACATGCCCATAAACCCCTCCCATTCTTTGCCCCGCGTTCTGATTTTTCATCGAGCCACCCTTTTTCATATGTGCGGGGCATCGACTTCTCCTGAGCACAGGCCAACCAGGCCTCTTTTTTCCCAGTCGCCTCGGGCACGCATTTTCATTCTTTCCTTTCTCCCTTCACAGGCTAACCTGTCGATACAGTCTTCACCTATCCAACCTCAGCCACCCATCGCAAGTCAGTCACTCGCCCCTCGAGGTAGTCCCCGCCCCCCAAACGCCCTTTCTGACCTCCTTAAGTCGTCGGACCTCTAATCCCACACTTCTCTTCCTGCTTCTTCACTTTCGTGTGCTTCTTTGCTAACTGCGCTTCTGCTCTATCAGCGTCGATACAGCCAGCCTACGTAGTCGTTGGGACAAAGAAGTAGCAAGTTAGTATCCTCTTTCCTTATCTATCCGCTCCATCGCGTTGCCCAATCTTGGCGATGCCTAATTGAGAAATCATCACAGGTTATTTGCAAAGATGTCAGGCAAAGCCGACAAAAAGGCCGGCCTCGCCACGCAGATTAAAGGCGTTGCCCGCCCGAGAGACGGGTCCAAGTCGAACTCGCCCAAGTCGGCCCCCAGTGGCCCCAAATTGTACCGTGACAGAGATTACGTGGCAAAGAACTCATCGCCTGCCTTGATCAACTCAGCGCCGGCAAATGGTCCGAATGGAAGAGGTTATAGCAGCAACTATGGCCAGTCAGGCCCGCAGCCCTCAAGTGCTTCAACTGGAGCAGGAAACAGCGGTAACTATAATCAGTCAGGCCCTGCATATACTCTTACTGACTTTCGTGTGCTAGCCAATATGTCCCTCGCCGGTTGGCTTAGACAGGGCATGGGAATGCATAGCGTTCAGGATCTGAAGCCTGTCCGCTGCTTGGGAAGACATGGTCCCAAATGCCGTACCTGCGGCAAGAATGGCCTCGATTGCAATGGCCTTTGCCCGCAAAAGGATCTGGAAGCCTGGGAGATCGCCGATGTTCTATCTGCCAACTTCTCTAAAATGGCCGTTTTTGATATGGCCAAAGACACGACACAGACCGACTCGATCATAGCTTACTATGGTCGTCAGCAATTCCCTAATGGAGTTGACTTCAATGCTCTATTAGATCCTATTGATATTGAGTACTTGGACCGGAACCGGGAGGTGTTATTTCACGAGAGTGGAGCTGTTTTCGAGCGCCTGTCGGGATTCGGAAACCCCAACAACACTCAGTTTCGCCGCCTCATTGATGAGTACATTGACCGAGAGGACTATGCGCACGCGAGCGGCCAGGTTTTCTCGCCTGCAAAGTATCCGCATCTCGGTATTGTCAAGAAGCTACGCGCCAGGTGGAAGAAGTTGTACCCGGTTCAGTTCTTCTTGAAGCGTATTTGGAACAAGAAGGAGAAGACTATATTTTTCCAGCAACAAGCACGCAAGGAGAAGCAAGCTGCAGAGCGCGAGAAGGCACTTCTGCCGGCAGTGTCCGAGAACGATGACGACGATCTCTTTGCTGATAATTATCTGGCTAAACACGGTGATCACTTTGATGCAGCGTACTTTGCCGCGCTGAGTAAAGAAGAGAATGCCGAGCTTCCGAAGGAACAGAAGCGCGAGGAGCAGGTTGCCACGAACAAAGAGGAGAAGAAGGAAGAGCTTGGCAAAGACAACAAGGAAAAGGCGACCTTGCTGCCTCCCAAGTTTGCAGCTAGAGCGAAGGATAAACAGGCTGCGCAGGCACCTGCAGATGGAGATGCCAGCGAGCGTCGCCCAGTCCATTCTGGTAAGCAAGAAAATGATCCGCTCTTGTCTCTTGGTTATTACGCCCTTACTAACAAACTTTGTAGGGACTAAAAAGCGGGAGGCAAGAGCCTCACAGCAGGGCCCCTACGGAAAGGGCGAGGAGATATACGAGACCGGCAGGATAATTTGGTCATGCTGCCAAGCGGTGGTTGGCGAAGGGGATAATATTTGCGACGAAGAGTACGAAATGTACAGGCCGCGACAACCATCCTGGAAAAATATTAATTAAGTGTCGAGGCGGGGAGTTAGTGGTACCTAAGGGGTTTACCTAGGTGAGGTCAAGCAGAGCGTGGGAAGATGGGCTCACGGAGCAGCATGTACACTAGTTCGGTCATACCAGAAATGACAAACGCCTGCTTGCCAAAAAAAGAAATGACGATGTCTACATGCCCGGGATACATTTGACAATATTCCAGGCACTCCGGACTTACGCATGAGTCTCTGCCTTTCATTAATACATGGGCTCCTCGAAAGATTTTTTTTATACCTTTGAGGCTCACCTACTTCTCGCCTTGTGTTTGTTTTGGTAGTTTTATCCTGTCCGGAGCACATATTACTGCGAAACTTTGAAAAAATTACCATGTGAAATTGATAAGACGCCTTATCGCCTTTCCGGATTGGCTAACCTATATAGAAAGGTGGACCCGATTTCTCAGTCATATTCAATATGGGCAGCCCCTATTACGTGCCTATCTGCTGTTCGGTCAGCATACTTTCTAAAATTGATGCAACTGGTATTATTGTGTGTATAACTCTACGGAAATTTTGAATCTGAAGTCTGATTTGTATTATAATAGAAATTGGCTACGATATAAGCGTTTAAATGCTTTCTGGCGTGGTGGGGCGTACGCAAGTAGTGCCATTGCCAGGGTGGGCTTGCGTACGTGACTACGCGAATTGCCCTTCAACCCCGCCTCGAAACTCCTCGCCCACCCTATGATTGCTTTTCTTTTTCCAATAATTAGTCGTACCGTAGTACCTTCGACGAACCTTACAATCTACCCGCTCTTCGTAGCTAACCTCCTTTCCTCCGTAGTACCGTTTTGCCTATTATAGCCAAGTTATTTAGTATCTATGGCGGACGCGGCAGAGGCGGCTGCTCGCAAAGTTTGCCACACCTGCGGCGTTGAGAAGGATATCGACTAATTCCGGTCGTTCCGAGGCCCTCAACGGATCGTCCTTGATTACGCGGACTGCCACAATCGCGGCAGGCAGCAGGTAAGTCTATTAGACGTATCTTCCTTGGTTTCCTTGCTAACTTCATTCCCAGAGAGCCGCGTCGAACGTAAGAGTTTCTGTAGCTGTTGCCGTAACCTGCGGACAAAGTCCCGCCCTTACGCCTCGCCAGGATCTCACCTTTCGTTTGATAAGTCGGTATTCTTAACCACAGTCTAACGGCAATAGGGTAAAGACCAGGCTCTATTCCGGCAAGCCCTGAAAGAATTACGGCAAGCCAAAGTATCTGTTTCGTTATAAGAGCTTCTTACGTCGAGATATGCGATCAAACTACCTCCGGCTCAGGTTAAGGGTTTTGATAATACCCTCCGCATCCTCCCCATTAAGGCATAGATTAACGAATATAACCATCAGCACCTCCTCGGCCTGCGAAAGGCGGCTGTGTAGGTGGACGTAAAGTACGAAGGCGTAAGCGTAGAGAGAGTTGAGTCCTCCAACGCTAGTAATCTGATCAAACGATTACCTCTTTATGTTGGTTGCCGGGTCATACTAACGAGGAACCTCTGGGCCAACGTCAGGCTTATGAACGGTGCCCAGGGTACTATATACGACATCTCGTAGGCTGAAGGCGCTAACGTGCTGGAAGACCCACCGCAGGTTATTATGGTTACGTTTGATAACTATACTAGGCCGCCGTTCCTATTACCTAGCGGGGAAGAGCTTCGTGATAGGGCTAAGCTGGTGGTTCCTATCCTTAGGGTTCGGCAGGAGTTTGTTCTTGGGGCTGGCACTGGCTACCGGGAGCAGTTTTCACTACTTGTTTGCTACGCAATCACAGTACACAAGTCACAGGGCGTCACTCTCGACAAGGTGGTTTATGATATCTCCGCGCCAGAGTTCGCGTCCGGCCTATCGTACGTGGCAGTTTCCAGGGTCAAGACCTTAGATGGCCTAATATTTGAGTCGCCGTTTGATCGGAGCAGGATATACCGCAAAATACCGGTACAGAGCATACAATTGAAGATAGCAGATTACGAGGCAAGGAAGTTACAGCTAGTAGATCCACAGGAAGAGGAGGTTGACTCGAGCGATATGAGCGGGTATATAACTAATAGCTCTATTATATAGATGTAAGATTTAGTTGTGTAGGTTTAGCCATCGTTGCAAGAAAAGATCTCTTGAGCATCGGAGTTATTGGCCTCCGAATAGGATATTGTCGCTTCGCTTGCTCTCCACGTTATCCAAATAAGCCAACTGTCGCGCCCTAAATTGCCAGGAGCGAGAGAGAGGAAGGAAGCGTCCCGTAGCGTAGCGAAGGGACACGCGACTGACGAACGAAGCGACGCGAGCAATTTTAGAAGGATTAACGACTTGGACAGGAAGTCCGGCTCCGTTTGGGTAACTAGTTAGTTGAGCGGCGTAATGGCTTCAAGCGCCTTAGAAAAAGCGAAAATGTGGTGATTAGGGGTTTAGGGGTTTAGGAGCCTCGAAAACCAGGGGCTTATGTACACCCTTACTAAATGTAGTATTCTAGTGCGGCGTTTCTTGGCCCGCTCACTTTTTATGCATGTTACCGATCCTCCCTCCTATTAGGGACTGGCATGCCCCTTACCTTCTCTTCCAGCTTTGCTTAAAAACTTATGTCCTTTTTTACCAGGAATTAAGATCCCTGGACCAGTGCCCTTCTGTAGGAATCACCAGGGTACCGGTACTGGAAACAGCATGGCGCGCTGCGCGCCGTAAGGTGGTGGTTCAAGTGATGGATTCGTTTGTGTCTGTCTTCTCCTTCTCTATCTGAACAGGTGGGCGTAGGCCAATATATATGCATCTGTCAGGCCCGCTCCTCCACAGATGTTGCTGTGGCCAGGAATGCGGAGCCGCATTCCTTGGATCAGCGCGTCATTCCAGTATGTTATTCCAACACCTTCTTTACCGTATCTGACTACCTAGCTGTAGCTAACCGGACCTGTAATTTATAAGGTGAGCCGCACGCTCACCTTGCTGTTGGTTTTGTCTTTTTTCATGTTGTGATATCTTTTTACCTCTTCAATGTAATTATTTTGTCACCGCCCTTTTTGATCGAAAACCTAGGGGGTCGTATCTTTTGCCCTTCCCTTGCTTTTATCAAAAATCTCACTCTATTATATAAAGCTCGCCGGTCTACACGTGAGCCTACTCTTTACTTAATCGCGAATATGACTGTACTGTGTCCCTAGGATGTTACTATTACTTCCCTTGCGGGTCGCCTTGTGTCTGCTTTCATTCGTTTTGTGGAGAGCAGAGCTTCTACCGCTGTAGGAGACAGACGGCTATTGCCACCATGAGCCTTAAGAGCGGCCTCATGGTGCTCACATTGTGGTTTGGTGAAGACAAGAATGGCTTGCATTTCCTGAGGACTAAAATTTATGGATCGGTTTTACCATATCAACCTCTACTTCCTTTCAGAATTCGGCGAAAAAAGACAAGCTGGCTTATTTTTCATTCTTTATTCGTTTTGCGCTTAAAGTAATTTCGTGTAGGAGTTGTTGCACGTCATTCACGGGGCCTAGAGGTAGTCTGCCGCTAAGCGTTAGTAATATGATTGGAATCTAAACCGACAACCTAATTCACCTCTCATGTGTACATCTAGAGCCTTAGCTATCGCCGATATTACTACAACGCGAACAACATGCCTTACGGTGGGATAACTAGTTATGAGAGAAATCGGGCTCTTTGTTTGAATTCGTTTATTGTCCGACCAAAGACATAATTAGCAGTGACGGGAGATATCTAACGCTTCCTACTGCAGAGAGGAAATAATCCGAGGATTTGGCACCGAACTGCGACAACGGCGAACCGCCAAACCAGAGTAACCAAACATAAATGAAATCTAGAAAACTAACGCTGCATGGAATGCTAGCCCCGGGAAGCCCAAAAGAAAATTTTACTGCGCAAAAAAGTGGCATGACTAGCATTTCCAAAAGAGCTTAGAGCTCGTGTCAATGGTGTCCATGCCCACGGCCGCCGTGCCCATGTCCGTGACCGTGACCGCGTCCGTTGCCGTGCCCAATTCCTTGGCCGTGTTGGGCGTACTGTGGCTGCTGCGGGTAGTAGCCTGGCTGGCCCTGATAATACTGCTGGGGCTGCTGCTGCTGGCTGCTGCCGCCCATCAAGCCACCCAACATCCCGCCAATTCCACCCTGGCTGGCGCCGCCATTCTGATTGCTGTGCTTGTTGTGCTTCTTGTCCTTGAGCTTGCTCTCGATGAAGTTGGCCGCGATCGCGCCTGCCGCGCCTCCCATAATCTTGCTCATGGTGCCGCCGTGGCCGATCTTGCTACCGAGGAAGGCGCCACCAGCACCGCCGGCAACGGTGGATAGGAAACCCTTCTCGCCATCGGGGCCATCAGGACCAAGCGTTCCAGCAGGGACAGCTGAACCTTGTTGTGTAGCGCCTGGGTACGTGCTGGTAGACGAGTCCTTGTACTGCTGTTGCTGGGGGTCGGCGTACGTTGGCTGCGGTCGGTAGCCTGCCCCCGACTGGGACGAAGGGGGACGGTCGTATGGTGATGGGGCCGAGTAGGCGGCATTGCCGGACTGGGCCGAAGTGGGGCGTGAGTTTTGATCCTGCGGGTTCATGTATGGCTGCAGATGTTGCTGGGAGTAGTCAGGCTGCGTCTGTGGCGGGTATGGCTGACCCTGCTGTTGATAAGGCGGTGGCGGGTATTGCTGCTGAGGATATGTCATAGCATTTGGGCTTGGTGCTGGACTGGGAGCGTATTGCGGCTGCTGGGGGTACGGGCTTGGTGGCTGCCCATATGGGCTTTGAGAAGGGTATGGGCTTTGTTGGCCTGGATATTGGTGTCCTTGGGGTGCGTATGGGCTGGCTTGGGGATTTGGACTTCCCTGTGGCGGGTATGGGCTCGCCTGCGCTGGCTGCCCCGACGCAGCGTAATATTCCTGGGCCGACATTATTTTCTTCTATTTTTTCCCTTGATGCGATTGACAAGTTCCGAGGCGACGACTAAAAAATCGGCGAGGATAAAGCGATCAGTGGTTGCTGTGTCGTGAATGCAAATTAGCAGCTTGAAAGTGGCACGAAGAGTGTTTGTTGAAAAATCCTAGGTAGAAATGTTGCATGGCCAACAAGCTAGGGGCAGGTTTTAATAAATTGCCCTGGACATGAGCAAACCTTCTTTTTGCCTCACTGACGCGGTCTTTCCGGCAATCCGAGTTGGTGGCGCAGCCGGGATTTGGCGGAATCATGTGCCTACCCCTCTGATGGAGAGGCCTGACTGAGGGGCATCCAGGAGGGGCGCCACAGGCATTCGTCAGAGAGCTAAGCCTCCTCCTGGCTGCGCCTCTTGGCGACCGGGTCGCAGTTCGCCGAGGGGCTTTGGATAGGGTTATATGCGACGAATTCGAATCAGGGTTATGCGAGGTGCTTGCAAACTGCCTAAAAACGAAAGACCCTCATAACCGAGACATAAAGAGAGCCCAGGCGACAGACAGCCTCGCTGACTTGGAAACATGAAGGTTCAAATGGAGAAAGGTGTAGATAGGTAGTAGGTAGTAGGCGTACAAAAAGGGCTTCAGAAGCCATCATTCGAAAAGTTAGCAAATACGAGTCCCCAGAAAGAAGCCCCTGACTTAAGCCAGGTGTTGGAACTTGGCGATAGAAAATGTCTGCTACTCAGAAATTAGAACCAACGACCCGAAACGATGAGCACGGAGCAGGCGGTTTATATCTCAACTGCTTGTCGACGCTGCAGTGGATCTCCAAATACTGCCTGCTAATTAATTACCAAGAAGGGGAAAGTCCTAAACGGGCTTAACAGTGTGGTTTCTCTCATCTGGGGTCTTGAGACTTGTGTAAAGCGATGCTGTTTTTGAGAGTAGGTGGTACAATCATACGCCTGTAGTCAACGCTGGGCGAATAATTGCCCCAGACTAGGATCTTGACTACTCTGCCCATTCTCTAGGTGACGACGCATTACAGTGGTGTTTTAGAGAACCCAGAGAGCTGAATGGGGGAGCAATTACCCCTCTTCTTTCGTGCCCTTGGCCAGGCTGTTTCTAGCCACACTGTCAGGGAAGAGAGCCATTGCATCCAGGTTATACCTTCCTGTCTTCCCCAGGATAGAAAGACCCAATGAATGGATGAGGCGATTGATTTTTAGGTACGACGTTATCGACACATATTGGAGTGTCGTCCAAGAGAGGCGGGGCGCGCTCCTGCAAGAGAAGGTCCAACTTCCACAATCGAGACCAGTCATGTTTTTCCATGGCAGCAGGACCTATTTGACGCTGCTGCACACCGCCTGAAGAAAATTCTGGCTTCCTTCCTGGTTCGGACGGCTAACAGATGGAACCCACTCCGCATGGGCAAAAATTGTGTGCAGTGGTGGGCAGGGGCCAGCCCGAGCAGGCGGCCTTGATGAAAAAGGAAAGCACGTGACTTCGCGTCCAATTTCGCTTTCCCCAATGCCTGTCGCAGTGGTCAGTGCGTTCCGATTTGGCAGAGGTCGCTGTGGAGCGCCATTTTTGGTCACTCGCGAAAAATTGGGCGACCCCGCCCAATCCAGTCATCCGAGGGTTTTTGCGGGCAGGATCGTTGGGGTGACCCGTGCGTGCATCGTGCGATACCGCCACGGTTTCGCTCCCGTGACGTATACTGCCCCAGCTTCTGCTTCTGTTGAAACCAGGGAAACCCCATGTTAACCACTCGTCCTTCACGCGCACACTATTGATGAACGCTCGGGTTGTGGTTCGCAGCGACATCCTCGCCGTCGAGACTTGGAAGGGTTTGGGCCAATTGGTCGTACCGCCACTGTATCTTCGCGGATTTGGGCTCGAACTGTGCTGCACAGTGCAGTACGTGGCTGCACTGGCTTGGCTCCGGGTGTGACTGTGGAGCTTGCCCTGGCCGCGTGGCTCCGTTGTCAATCAGAACCGTGCCAGTGCGCAAAGCGCAGCGACTGAGCACTGGCCAGGCGTGTCTCCAATTCTGCCAGGGCGCGGCACGCCCGCTAACCAAGTTGGCTGGTGCCGCCGCGGCGTCGCGAAACCGCGTAATAGCCAACTGAATACCTTGGCCCTGGGGCACCCGCCGCCTGTCCCGTCCACCACTGCAGTCCCAGTCGGCCCAAATCGCCAAATCTCGCAAACCCTGCAGTGCCTTGCCGAACTCGACCTCGCGTCGCTCCCCTTCCCCCTCGTCTGGCTCTCCCACCACTACGCCTCGCGTCGGGCCCATCGTCGCCATTTCGCTCTGCCCCCATTCTCATCGGCGGCTTGCTCTGCCCGCTGCGTTGCAATCATGGACATCGACGCACCTTTGCTTCCGCCTCGGCTCGACCCTCGACGTGTCGGGGACAAAGACGCCACGTCAATCCCGCCTTCGGCAATCAATCAAGCCATCGACTCGCTCCCCGCGAAAGTGCAGCGCGAACCGGACGCTATGTTGGGTGGACACGGCCAGGAAACACGACCCGCTGCTGCAGGCCACGCGACTTCGTTCCGCGCCAGCCCCCCGAGCAGCGGCAGCAATCCACCCGAACGCGACCGGCCCGTGGGCGACGTTTCCGCCGACTCCTATTCCCACTCGATCCTATACTCGCCGTCGTTCCCCCCCAAGCCTGCTCCTCTCGCCCACCAGAGAAGCCGCGTCAATACTGCGTCGGCCCAGCGACAGCGCGCCCCTCCCTCGAGCAGCAACTCGCAGGACAGCTCGACAAACGACGGCGATCTCATCTTCACCCCTCCCGGAAGCGAGGGTGGCATGAGCCCCGGGAACGGCAGCGGGCACGACTCGAGCCAGGAGTCACAACTCTTGCGGCTCTCGCAGATTGCTGCAGCCCAGGCAAGGATACCAGACACTAGTGCCATGGATGCCGATGGAAATGGGGCCTTGTCGAGGAAGAGAATGGCAGACGGTCTTGTGAAACACACGCGCAATCAGTCGAGCGTGTCGCCGGTCCGCGTGCCTGGCCATTCTCGAAACACTAGCGCGCTGAGTATCGCTTCAACTGCCAGCAGCCGTCTTGGAGAGGTACGCGTCTGGAGGTGTCGTTCGGGACTTTGTTGCCAATCGATGGCTATCGGTCTTCGTCAACCTTACTGACTCTCCTCCTAGGTTTCTGCCGAGCTCAAAGTACGCCTGTCATACGCAATGGTCAAAGTCAGCCACGGGTGGCAGTCTCACTCAATTGACCAGGTAGAGACACTGGCTTCTCAGGCCGCATCTCCTACCTCTAGCACGTCCACCGTACAGCTGAGAAACGGTTCCTCGGCTAGCCCCCAACTGTCCAATGTCTCGCATAGGGGCAGCAACAGCACAACCCCTGCGACAGGGTCGCAGCACCAGTTCCCCAGCCGCACAGCCGATTCTCTCTGGCGAGAGTCTCCGCTCTCCGGCTCCCGTGGAAGTTCAACTTCGCCCGTCAAGCCCACCCATACGCTCGCGCCTCCTGTGTCGATCCAGCCATCTCGACACCTTAGCAACCCCCGCAGAAACTCGAATCCGAGGCAGCCGCCTGCTTATCTCTCAAGCTCACACCAGTCTTCACCAAACACTGGGCCTCACACACCAGGCCAGCCCAGTCCATATCTCGGAATCCACTTCCAAAGAACGCCCAGCGCTGATCCCATGTTGTTTTCTCCCAACCAGAGCGTAAGAGAGCAAGATGCGGTCGAGTCTCTTCTTTTCATGAGCAGCCCAGGAAACTCGGCAAATCTCAAGCACGCGTTTCCTTCTCAAACAATGCCGTCAAGTCAACCCGGAACATTGCGGACAGCTCTTCCTACCGGGCCCCGGAAAAGCCTACCGAGTGGGAGACCAACGAACCATGTTCGTTCCCAGTCTCACACACAGAAGCGCGTTGGGTTTGAGAAATCCCCTCGCGAGATGGAGATTGACGAGCCTTTTGGGACGCCCAATTCCCGGGCCACGCCAAGGCGTAAGATTAATGGGGGATTTGCCAATGGCCATATCGAAGCGACCGCATCCCGGCTCAAGCAAATTCCTGTCTCTTCTGGCCTCACTGTGCCATTCAAACCGCGTCCTGCTCTGCGAGACGAGGACATAGATCGGATGCTCGACCGTGCCGCTGCTGAGGACTCGGACTCGGAAGGAGAAATTCGCATTCCGATAGGAAGGGCGCGCCGGGAAGGCGCTAATGTCATCGGCGCCTAGAATACACCGCAGCGCTGGGAAATGTCGCATGCACTTTGCGATGCCCGCCCCCAGAGAGCCCGAACACTATGCTAATGGGATCATACTCGATGGCCTCGAAGGGGCTTGGGGGGAGAGGTTTTAGGAAACCACGTGGTTAACTCCACTGGTTCGACTGTGGATACACTTTGGCCATGCTTGAGACCTTCCGCAATGGATCACATGCCCCAACATAGGAACACACATGATTGCTTTGGACCCAGTGGGGGCTCGATCATTGTTTTTGATCGATAAGGGAAGCCGCCAAAGCTCTGCAAAATGGGCAAGCTCTCATTCCCTACACGCGTACGTAAGAGTCAGTACATGCCACGCTTCATGGCCGCTCCACATTATTATTTTCCTTACTCGTTTGCATTACTTGTGTTTCTGATAATACGCTTTCGACATGTCGACGAGCCTCTCACCCGCTTCGATGTATGTGGGGCTAAGCGGCAATGTGCTTATGACAAGGTTTGCTCTTCGGGAACGTTTTTTTTGGCTGGGCAAGGGGGGATCTGTCAGCTTTTCGAGATACCTTGACCAGGACACGGTTGCATTTTTCGTCTTCTCTTCACACATAAGATCTATCACATCCTTGACCCTGGGAGAGAGTGGTCGTCATCTTGGCTGAATGCAATTCTTGCTACGGATGAGATACCAGGTGGCTGCATTCTGGACCGGTGTTGATGGGCGATGGCTTTATTTTATTCTTATTTTTCGTTTGGGTTTCTTGGCTCTCTCGGTGAAGGACATATTTCACTATGGACCTCCGTATGCCACGACCGAACACGGGGACATGTACATACTCGTGGCATGTGCCGAGCAGAGAGCAATACAAATACGCTTTGGTGGATGGCCTTTTTAGAGAAGGAATAATGAGGGTTGGCCAACTTTTGGCTGTTGTGGGGCGCAGGGCAGGGCATAATTGGCCCCATGCCGAAAGCTTGTCGGTTGACAACTTAACCATGGCTGAACTTCTGAACTCAAAGAATGACTCACTTCCCGAACCTCTTGCTCTCCAGCCAGTTCGAGGTATAAAGTCTGCGTGCCTGGCAGATTTCCGTCTTCTGCTCGTTTCCTATCTAATCCAACTTCGAAGTCGCGCTCGACCACAGCCACGCTTCCAACAACGGGGGTCGGGAACAATGTTCGCTGCTGGAACTGGATCCTGGAAGTCGGCGCCTGGGCCAGACAAAACACACACTAATGGCTGATGGGCTGGCCAGCGAGAGACACGACACGCTTGCACCTCAGACGACGAATAGATCTTGACTTTCTCCCCTAGTGAGGTCATGGTTTCGTAGTTTCCCTAACCTAATCTCTGCTTTCACTCCCACATTCGGAGGCAACACCCGCTCCGGGTCCACGGCGAGCAGCACAGCACGGCAACCTTTAGATGCTTCGAATTGGTAGCCTTTCCGTGTCACGAGTTGATCAGTATCTCCAAAGGAAGGTGGAATGGAAGAGAACGAGGCGAAAGACCTACAAAACCGCACCGAGTGAGTTGAGGTATCCAATTATCGCCATGCTCTAGTCCCTGGGCTATTAACCATGAGGCTTGGGCCTAGAAGAGAAGGCGGTGTGGAGGGTCATCACACTTTTCGTTTGTCCTAGGGCTGCCCGTCCTGGAAACTTGACGCGGCTACCTCTAGCATCCGAGAGCACGCGATCGAAGTACGACAATCAGGCGGTGTGTCCATTCCCGGCGGGAAACCGCTCCTTGGTAGACACTAGTATATTATTCGAGACATTTGTCTAGAAAAATGCAGAACTACTGCCAAGGCTCGGGGCTCACCGAGTTAATCGAGAGATCGCATGCATCTTTGGCAACTTCCTTCAAGTGCCTGAGGATAAAAAAACGGGCAATAATCCTCTTCCTATCACAATCGAGCGGGCGTAGGGAGACCGGGGGCGCGACTGAAAAATGTCTCCGCCCTGACGCCAAACCTGTCTCTGCTCAGCGGGAAACTGCTCCTTGGCAACAATATCTCTTTTCCTCGAACTTCAAAAGGGCCGAGTTACAAACGATACTAGCGCCAAGGTTTGGGGCTTAACCCGAGTCAGTCGGGGGATGGATGGTGACGGTCTCTCTATGTTCAGCGCTGAACAAATTAGACCCTCTGTTGGAATCGCGACACTTTGGACCGTACGACAAAGGATGAAGAGGGTCGGGTGCGTAGGCACGTGACGGAGGAACGTGCTGCACAGACATCGGCCCGCACCCACTTAGTTAGGGCCCCTCAGCTAGAATACGGTAGCACTGAACATGAATCAACGTACTATTCATCACCCCCTAAGGTTGCATCGCAACAAAACGCCTAGGCACAATCGTGGCTAGAGCGCCACGAACACCCTCGGCTCAAAGCAGAATTTGAACACGCAAGTGGGAGTGATCTCAGGTTTCCAAAAAAAAAATTTACAGACCGGTCTCCCGAAGTGAAGGGAGGCGATATACCCTCCTTGAGCACCGCTCACATCAAATACGTAACAAGGAAGAAATAATGGTCTGCGCGACAGCCCACATGCCCTGTCATCTAGACCGCGACAACGAGCCTGGGAGACGAAAGCACTGGAAGCAGGGTTCTCCTGTCTGGCGTCTCGTGGTGTGTGGCCTGGGCAGAGTTGAAAGGTCCCACAGAAATACCATGGAACCCATTCGATCCGAGCGGCCAAACCGCGCCTCGAGCACCCAAACTCGAGGACACGCGAATCGAACGGGGAGATTGGGAGATAGCAGGGGAGCTAATATCTGAACAATTTTCTGGGCTTTGGCGTTGGTCGTGGTTACTCGGGGGATATTATGGTCCAGGCGTCCGCTCTCTTTTACGGAACACGGCACGTCCACTGGCTGCCAAAGAAAGCAGCCAGTACAAAGAAGAACAAGTTACCACGATCAATGGCGGCCAATGATGGAACGAGCCAATTTGTTTCAAGCCTGTTGTCAGGATCTCGGATTCCGCTGAGCGGTCTGCGCCGGTTTCGTTGAGACTGCCGAAGCCGCGCACGCCGGCTAGCTTAGGAACTGGGTTCCTAACGAGGCAAGACAACGCTCGGGGACTGAGGCCGCCTGTGGAGATTGCGTTTTACCACCCTTGTCCCCTGTCCTGCTTATTTAATCCAGGTCGTGATCTGCATTTGCCTTCGTTTTGCTTTGTATGTTTCTTTATTTCGTCTGCTCAATGAGGCTCTACTCAAGGAGGGACTTTCACAGTTAGGTTTGCCACAAAAGTGAATGGCTCATATCCACAGCCACGCACACATTAACAGGTTGAAAGCGACATTTACCGCAAAAATTCAAGCAACTGAACGGCACTAATTTTACCACCGCTATGTAAGATCGAAGTTTTCGCCTAGGTAACATAAAGCGGGCCAAATATCTGACTACACAGGATCGCTCAGGACCATTCTTCACGAATAAGCTCCATCGCTCTTTCACGCCGTCTCACTGATCCAGCACACACCCATCAATCCACGCTTCAGTCAGCTCGCGCGACCTAAGCACCACATCAACTAACGCGCCAATCAAGCGTTCAAGTATGCCAGCAACTCTCGGGCTCTGCAAGAGCCGTCGCAATGCTAATTACCCTGGCCCCAGACCGGTACGAATGAAGACCAAATGCGCATTTCCGGTAGTCCCCATCCATAATTAGGATAAGGAGGAATTTAACTCCTCTTGCTCTTCTATACATTTCTTTTGAATTCTTCGTTCCGTTATTGTTCGCAAGTCATCGCTTCTCTCGTCTCGCAGTCGTACCATACATATCCTAGCTTTCAGCCCTCGCCCACTTCCCCAAAGCAGCCATCTCCCTATGTTAAATCCTTTCTCTAGGTTGCTGCTAAATATTACTTCTGCGGCGTGGGGCAGTGCGGTCCGGCTGGTCCACCAGTCTTTATTAGAAACGGCTGTTGCCTGTAATTGAAGTAGGCGACTAGGTCGGTATACAGCTGTCTTGCGAGGCCGGCGAAATTGTCGCCGGCCAGGGTTATTGAGCGACGCTGTAAGAAGTGACAAAAAAAAGAATCTGTACAAGTAATCTGACAGTTGTCGGAAGAAGGTGCGCCACGTGACGTAATTGACTATTTCCGGCCAAAATGTGGCCTGATCTACATTTTGGAACAAAGGCTTCATTTTCATCTAAGTAGTAGCGCACCTAAGCTATACAGGCCGCTCTTCTTCTTCCTAATAGAAGGACTCTTTTGACGACGTTTTCTTGCACCGTTGTGTGCGACAACAGTTGATCAGTGAGCTGATCGTATACCCGGGCCTTTGTAGAACAAGCTTGATGGGGCTGTCTGGAATTGAACCAGATGCGCTCTTTCCCTAGTAATAGGTTTTACCCCCGGCTCCTTTGAGAAAGTCAATCATTGCAATTGACTAATTCGCGGAGCTTTAAACCGATTCTAAATGGGGGAGGCGGCTGGGGGCCCATGTGCAGCCGCTTCTGGTTTTATTAGTATGATGATTGGCGAGTGGTGTGATTGGGCATTTTCGACTCCGAGAAGCGCTGCACGTGATATCCCCCGCCCTTGTCGATGGCGATCCAATTTATTTTACCAGTTTATGAAAAACCGTACCACTCAGCCGGAATCGATCCAAGACCTTTACTTGTTGTGTTTGCAATTTCTTAACAGCATCGTTCAGCAGTTACACCACAGCCCCAAATTACCACCCTCACGTCAGCCCAGGTTCAGCTCATTTGTTCGTTGCAGTTTCGGTCCGCAAAGCTGCCTTATATACCCCGCGCACACCCTAGCCAGCTACCAGGACAAGCGCAGCGCCACATAAGCGTCATGCCACATTCACACAGTAGGTGCCTCTGTTGGTCTTGAGCTTATACGATCTAGATGTGATAAAAATCATTACCATCGTAGATATCGTTTGCCGCCTAGGAGACACGAGAACTTGTAGTCAGCCACCAACATCTTGCAAATAGTCTACTTGTCAACGGTAGGATCGGCCAGAATAGTAATTCCTGCTAATTCCCTCGTCGTTACCTCGCAAGGAATACCGAATCCGTCCGAGACAGGGCTATCGGCGACAGCGTCGATCATCAGCCAGGACTTCCTCTCACTGATTACGGCGTTCACATCCACCGCGACCTACTGGGGTATTGCGGTTTTGGTCATTGCTGCGTCCGTGCAACTCAACATGTCGTGTCAGGTCTCGTTACGCTATTTATCAGAATCGCTGGCTGCGCTGTAATTGAAATGAGATTAGATTCAAGCACAATTAAATGATTCATCACACAATCAAGATCGCCAACACGCTATATGATCCACGCGAGCAAGCACGCGAGCCCGGCGAGAAATCTCAGCACACATGGGGAAGAGACGAGTGCCTGTGGTTGTCGAGCTTGGTAGTGTGCTCGTCCATGACCTGCTGGGCGTGCTGGACGACCTCGGGCCCGTCGTCCTCGGGCAGGTCGTCGGCAAACAGGTCGGCGATTCTGCCGGCGCCCGTGGCGCGCTGGAAGACGGCGTAGCTGGTGGCGAACTGCCGGCGCGCGCCCGCCTGGATGGCGTCGAGCATCAGGATGGCAAAGTTCTGGCAGTTGTTGCTGAGCAAGTTGTACGCCGGCCGCTTCTCCCGCATGTTGTATATGACCATCTCGCCTGGGGCGCGTGCATGTCAGGTCTTGTCAGATTCCCCTTTTCAGGATTGTGGGGTGGGTTTCTCATGGGCGCGGCGTCGAGGAACGGAAGGGACAAGGGAAGAGAGAGCCTCACCGGCCTGTCGCAGCGCCTCGTCGTTGAAGCACGTCTTGCCCACCTCGAACGTGTGCCACTCGTCCCGGTTGATCTTCTCGTTGATGTAGATGACGTCCAGGTGCTCGTCCTAAGTATTCCGCACAGCATCAGTAGGTGCCTGCATTGTAGTTCGTGGCTTGCCGCTTGGGGCAGGGAACAGTGTGAGTAATTGATTAATTACCATCCACAGCTCGTGGCAGTAGTCGCCAACGAGCACGGCCCAGTGTTGAGTCGGGTCAGGGTAGCGGTGGATCTTCTCCGTGATCATCTTGCCGAGCCCCGTCTTCTCTGCAAACCAGCTGCCGGCGAAGCCCGCGACGGGGTGCCAGCCAATGTCGACGGTGCGCGGCTCGCAGTGGATTTCGGGCTGGGCCGGGGGGATCACGTTGGGCTTCTTGCCCAGCCCGACCGTCTGCTGCAGCTTGATCTTGCCCTTGAGCAGCTCTTCTTTTCCGCGCGCGAGACCCGTGTTCCTGGGGCGCGACGTCCATGTTAGCCGCTAGCCGACAGAGGGTTGATTGTCATTGAATAAGTGATAAGATTGGGCGCTTGAGCTTGGCGCGGGGCAGGGTTCGGAGCACGCCAAGGCGCAAGCAAGCTTTCCATGCGATGCCGCGGTCGGGCCGGGCGCATTTACCAGATTGCTCTCATGCGGCCCCGCCGCGAGCGTTCCTCTTCGGGGAGATCTTCGCCTCCCGACATGGCGACCGTCTTGGCTTGTCTTGTCTAAGTCTGAGCGATCTCTTGGCTAAGTCGACGGAGGATTATGGTTTGATGGCACCTGGAACTAAAGCTGCGTGAGATAAGGTAAGATAATATCGCGGTGCTCGGGGCTGAGTCGAGGTGGGGTAGCGCCAACAACCGCCACGCCCGTGAAGTTCGGCTGAACATCGGTAAATCGCGGGAGTTGGTGGTGGGTGTCCGTGGTGGGGCATAGAAGGTAGCTTTGCAGACTGGTAATTACTGCAACGAACTGAGCTGGCACAAGGTTTATAGTGATCAAATATCTTGGAATGAATTGACCTATGGGAAGCGCTTGCAAGTGATGCATTGAGGTCATGCCCGGCAAATGCGCATCTGGTCCAAGAACTGCATTAATTACCATATCTACGGCTCGAGCCGAGCCGTCTGTAATTACGACCCGGTCGATGCTTCGATTTAACCACGAGGACGTGAATACCTCTTTTGAGAGCCGGTATACGGGAAGTAAGTCTCCCGGGCATGCGAATGCCAACACCCTCTCTTTCTCCTGCACCTCATCAACACGGTTGTTAACAGTGACGCAGTTGAATTAAGAGTCCCTTAAGCTGCTAATTAGAGAACGATGGCTGAATAAGTGAACCTAAATGACCCTTCCGGAGACCAGCATCGAGCTGTAACCTCGTGGGCGGACAGAGTGCCATGGCTAATTAGCGAGTGTCCCGGCCCAAGCTAAGCAAAAGGGATGCGACTGTATAGTTTGCAATGTTAAATTTCAGTTCATATCCCCTTTGCAGAGAGTGCTCGCTAGGTATTTAATTGCAGATTGCGGGATGTTGCCAAGCCACCTAGCTGCAATCTTTGGGAAGTGCATCTTATTATTTTGGCTACTTGGTTGTGCGCAGTGATGCGGCCCTCGCCGCCGTTAACGAGCCATGGAGAATTTTTTACAATGGCCACAGCGCGGGAACGGAGCGCTGGGTTAGAGTGGCATATCTATCCATTACCATGCTCGGTTATTGACAGCTGTCTCACGACAGCCTCTGTTTTTTGGAAGTGAATCGATATTTCTGTCGAGCGGCAGCGTCTGTGCTCACCTCTGGGTGTCGTAATTAGGATGCTAGGGTGTGACGGACATGGCATCGCGATGTGCTTTTTTCTGCTATTTGGTGGCATGGCGACGGATGTGATGGGCGGATGAATACACGCACTAATGGGTGATGGGTCGCAACTCGCAAGAGAGGTCGAAATGTTGCAACCAACCAAGCAGTTAGACACGTGACTTCACACGAGCGGCTGGGTCTATCAGGCAGTTTTAGGTGCAACTGCAGTAACAACCTAGTCGAATGGGTAGCTCAGATAAATGGCTCTGTGGTATGGTGGTAACACGCGGGGTGTGCGAACGTATTCAGGAGCCGGTTTTAGGGCCGCACCTCCTTTGATTCTGCACCGAGTAATCACCGTAAAACGTAATTACTCGGGGGTATAATGCACGCCAATTGGGCCCCCGCCCAGACGGTACTCGCCAAATACGACGTAAGATACCAAACCGAAACGACAACCGCATGACAAACTTGTTTGCATGCCCTCGGAGACCCCGGTTCGAATCCGGGCTGAGGCAAAATTAGCTGAAATCCTAAACGTTTTTTTTCCCCCTTCGTTTTCAGCCATGTACTCAGCATTTTCCAGAGAGACGCCGAGAGCCTCGTCAAATATTAGCTAGCATCTCCCCGTGTTCAACATAGGGTAGCCTTTCTCTGTTTTCGACGGCTGTTCTCGATACGAAGCGAGACGAGGAAGGGAGCGCCGACACATCCACAAGCAGCACAGCCTAGCCCCTTCAAGGTTGCGCTTCTTGCGCCGCCTGTTGGCAGCCGACATGAAACTCTTCCCCAGAAAGAGAAAAGCTGCTCCCCATACTGGCGAGGAATGAGGTTTAAAGAGGTGGCGGGGGTGATCCGGGTGCTATGGAAGTTACACTTCGCCAGCTACTAATTACCTCGGTTCCTTTTAAGACATCTTTAGAAAATTAGGCGTATTCGACAAAGAAATAAACGCCCGGTTAAATGTAAGATAATGTGTGCAAAAGTGGATAATGCAAGCCCAAGCGGAAAGTAATATGTTAGCACGGATCGCATTAATAATTTTGCTTACCTGGCGGCGTCTTGAGGACACTCCCGTCTGAGGCTGCGGCTTCTAGCTGCTGAGGCTGTAGCTTCTATTTGAGCTATTGTAGTGGTCGCCGTGGTGAGATTTGCTGTGTTCGTGGCGATTGTGCAAAAGGAATATTGGGTTCACCTGTCTGACTCTGGCAAATCTAGAATGGTAAGGTTTACAAAGGGCCTTGCTGCTCCAATGGCTGATTCATGGCTTTATCCGAAGCTCCATCACTTTGGCTGCATATTATCATCTTGGCCTTCGCTACTGAGAAGGATCATGCCAACATACCTTTGGCAACTATTGCGACAGGTAGTCGATGCGCATTAACACCACGCCGTGGTCGTGGCCCGGCATCCACCGGAGCTCGACGCTGCAGCCCCACAGCCGGAGCCGGCAGGCCGCCCACACGACAAACTCGACAATATCTTGCAGCTCGGCATCGGCGTGCCGGGGCAAAGCCGCAATCGCTCCCAGGCTAAACTTGGAGTCGGTGAAGACCAACATCGTGGGGTCCCGGAGCGCCCCGCGCTCCTCGTACTCGAGGGCGATATTAAGCCCCTCGGCGATGCCCAGCATCTCCCCGCGGTCGATGTGCGGCAGCCGCGGCACGTCCCAGGCGCGCGCGAGGTGCGGGCCGGCCGTCTGGCCCGGCTCCAGGGGGCGCGGGAGGCGAGGTGACACGCTTCTCGACGCGTCGGCAAAGAAAACACACTGCTGCCGCCCTTTCTGGTCGACTCGGATATTGCGCCGGCTCTGGGCCGCTTGCAGCGCGTCCTCGCGCCGCCAAATATGGATCCCCCCCGGGAAGGAACGACGCTCGCCATACTAGAGCTTTGCATGTCGACGAGCAGGGGGGGCGCCGGGCGGGCCGGGCGGAGCGGCTGGGTTGGACAGCACAGCCGATTGAGGCCGGGCGGGTGAGACGGGGAACGAGGCCGGGGCTGGTGGAGTGGGCGAGGCGAGCGAGGGACGAGGCGGGAGAGGCAGGAGGGGCGGCAGCTGGGCGAGCGGGCAACTGGGTGCTAGATAAACATTTATTAGTCAGATAATGTTCTCTCTTCTCTGCTCTAGAGGGGTTGAATCAAACCACTCGTGCAGGATTAGCTCAAGGGGTAGTTAGATGTTCCCAGCGCAGGCGACGAGAGACCACGAGAGCGGTAAAGTAGGGCCGGACGTAGAAGGACCGCATGCCCGAAGCATGAGCTTCTAACTTGTAAAACCAGATCAGTAACTATGTAGGTGAAATGTTTCGGGTAATCAGGTAGGCGTGGCTAGGTCCCTCGACTGCCTCAATTCGCTGGCATCTTGCTTCGAGACATATCTTTCACACTCCAGCACATTCCACCCATATGGACAGGTTACGGATGCATGGAGACGATTCGGGTACGTATGGTGGATAAGTGAAGTGACTTGGGTGGTTAGGTAATTAATCATGTGCATAGCTACTTGGTTGTTGTCCTGTGGTAATTGCTGTGAATCCACGTCAGCATCAAAGTCTCGTGTCATGCAACCATGTGGTTGGCGATCGTAGTGTAATAAATCTGCTTACCCTGCGGCAGCTTTTGGGGCAACGCCCTCGTCTGCTGCTTTTACGTCTGCTGCTACTTCTGCTGCTGCTTCTGCTGCTGCTTCTGCTGTTGCTTCTGCTGCTGCTTCTGCTGCTGCTTCTGCTGCTGCTTCTGCTGCTGCTTCTGCTGCTGCTTCTGCTGTCGCTGCTCCTGTTGTTCGCGGTACGTTCAATATTCAGAGGGCGGTACGAATACGTCGCGGGTTAATAAATGCCACACAGACGCGGCAGCAAAAAGCGCGACTGTGGGGTCGACATGCAAAACAAACGCGAACATGGATGGAATGATGGATGCCTGGCCTAAAGATAAGATAAGAAGATCTTGGGGTCTGGAAGCAGGGCAAGTTATGTTAGATGTTGTAACAATTCCGTGCTCCTAGGTATTCAGCCATATGTTTTGCAGGGGAGGAAGAAACTTTGCCAACGGACATTCATTGCACGGCACGGAATTATGTACCGCCGTCTTTTTTCATCTTCTTCCACGCTTCGACTTCTTGCAGCTCGTTGTGTTGCAATATTCTCCTGTTTAACGAGCGAAATTATCACAGCCTAGTGAAGGTTTCCTCTCGTAAATGCTGGCGGGTTGTCGTACAATCAATGTAAACTCGGCGATGGCGATGTCAGACTTCGAGGCCGTGCAGTGTGCACTGTACGTTCAAGATGCTGCTCCCCATGCCTCCATGTTGTTGGCCCGTTTATTTACGCTCATCATACACTGTCCTCTCGGACATGATTAATTACGTCCCTCGGGTTGTAGGCTGTCTTCCCTTACAGGTCACGGATGCCTCAAGTCCAGACCACGACGGCTTCTGGAAAACTATCGCATGTGGAATACCCGCGCCAGGCATTACCAAGACGCTTGGCCAACAGGACAGTGGACAACGACGTAGGTCTTGATGTCACCAAGAACCCAAAACAGTTGACAACCCAGCGGAAGAACTCTGTTTTGCAGGTGAGCGGCTGTTTCTGTCCAGTGCCGGCGTCTATGCCGGATGTGACGTCTGGAAGGAATGAGGGCATGAGAGATAAGGCATCGCGGTATTTCTTCTGCCGGCGAGTACAAGATGGGGAACCTGGGGAGCCTGGGGAGCCGCTGCAGCCATGGAAGGCCCAAGCAGGACGCAGCGTAATTAACAGCTAACACGTGACATTACGCGGGCGGCTGGGGTTATGAAGCTATTTTACGTGCACGAGCACTAACACTGAACCGGACAGAATGAATAGTTCACAAATGGCTCTGTGTTGTAGGGGTAACATGCAGGAGTGTGCAAATGTGCTCAGGGGCCGGCTTAGAGTCGCACCCTCTTGATCCTGCACCTTGGTAATTACCGTAAAACGTAATTTCTAGGGTGTATGGTGGTCGGCAATTGGGCATCTGCTCAGACAACAACCGCGGCGGATACGGCTTGAGACGATGAACTGAAACGATGCAAGGTTGCTTACGGTATTAACGACAAAGTATGCGACAATTTGAATAATCCTTGCATGCCTAGACCCCGATTCGAATCCGGGCTGACGTCGTCTCCCGCGCACGACACACTTGGAGGAGTTGTCGAGAGGAGAAAGCGGACGCGCCTGAGCTACAACGGCTGCAACGCGCGCAAGACCAAGGCAAGTTTCCGTCTTACACATCCGCCGGCCTCAACTAACCGATTTTTCCGGGACAGTGCGTCGGGATAGGTGCGTCCCCCCAAACCCCAAATCAATGTTTTGAAGCCGAGGGTCGTTGCCAGGGTGACTGACTGACACTCCTTTTCCTTTTGGGGAGGTAACAGAAAACGGAACGTGCCAGCACTGCGGCGCGGCCGACATCCCGTGCGAGATGGACCTACGCAGCCACAAGCGGCCCTTCTACCGTGTGTCGGGCGACGTCTTCGAGTACTCTATCAAGCTGCTGCGCCGCTTCGTGCCCGAGGCCGAGCTGCCCGAGCTGACCGTGGACAACATCCAGGCCCTGCTGCGCAAGCTCGAGAGCGCGCCGGCTGCGACTGTGTGGGAGTCAGGGTCAGCGTCTGCGGCTGCGGCTGCTGGGACGGCCGCCGCAGCATCTGATAGCTCTGGCCCGGCGCTGGACAATGTCGAACCGGCGCTGCTGCCCAGTGCTGGTCCCGACCCCGACCCCGACCCCGACCCCGACCCCGCGGGTGTCCGCGCAACGGCCACTGTCCCCGCCACCACCAACCAGGTGATGGAGCCCGACGAGACACCCGCTGCTGCAGGAGGAGCTCAGCTGCCTGCTGCTCGACTCTATGGAGAAGTGGCGTGCGTAGCCGCCCGCCCCTGAACCAGTCTCACCCCTCACCTAACCCAACCCCTGTAGGCTACATCGGCGCCGACTCGTCGATCCGGTGGAATCACGCGGCGCGCATGGTGTGCGAGACATCTACTGCGCGCGCCGGCCGACGAGGCGGAAGCCGATAGTATTAGGGCGTTTGGGCTGCTGGTGGGCTCTTCTTTTCCCTCCATTTCTTGACTAATCACACTCGTCTCTCGCACCTTTGTTCCCTAGTGAGATTGCCAGCCAGCCGGGCAGCACACCACCGACAGACAGCACACACAGAGCCTCGCTGCACCCGCAGCACCGCCGCGCCGTTGGCCTGCTGCACCTACGGTACTGGGCGTCCGTCATCGTGCTGACGCGCCCGTTCCTGCTATTCACCGTCGCCCACACCAGCAACGTCATTAGTGGAGCGCCTGTCCTGTCGCCGTGGGACTATTCTGCTAGCCTGTAAGGACTGTCTTTTGCCCTTGTCCGCGAGTCTTTATTCCACACCCGTCTTATTCTACCCTGCTTGTTCCTGCTCGGCGAAGAGATGACCCATTTGAAATATAGAAATGCCGACATGCTCTAGGACCATGGACGACACGCTGCAGTTTGACGTCTTCGAAACGCTCGACTTGACCAGCTCGCGCATTGGCCTGATGGACACGGATATGATCATGGACGCGTCCTTTTCGGGGTCGCAGTTTCTGCACGACAATCTCGACGGCGCGTACCAACCGTAGCGGCCATTTCTGACATACACATGTATATCCATTTATTTTATTTAAGAGTTGATTTAATTTATTTCCTTGCAGTGTTCCGTTCACACTGCGGACTCCGTCCCCGTTCCTTGACTGCCCGTCCGTCCCGCCTTCTTCTGCCACGACAGCGGCTTGACGGGCCCCAGCTTGGCCTCGTGCCGCCCCTTCCATGCGTCGATCTCGGCCTGCTCGACAAAGTTGCTGTGCAGGCCGAGGCGCAGCTTGAATGGCAGGTGCACAACAGCCAGCGGGCCCTTGGCAATATTACGCGCGTCGAGAATGCACACATCATTACGCAGCTCATGGAGCTGGCTGACCAGCACCACCAAGTACCCATCGCCCTCCTCGGTGCTACCGGCGCGCGGGATAAATGCGGGCTCCTAGAGCGTGGCGCGCGGGCCGGCCTACAGCGTCTCGGACACGGACTTGTCCTATGTAAAGTGGCCTAGCGTGTTGAATAGGCCGCCGGGGCTAGCAAGGGGGCAAATTTGTCGGATGCACCAAGCCGACGACGCTGCCGGAGAATATGCCGAGCCTCGGTAAAGTGCATCTTCCCGCTTTGGGACGTCTGTTGCAACGCCATTGGCCAGGCTGGCTTGCTCCTTGCTGCAGCAGGCGGAAATACCGGAGTAAGGCGGTCATGGCTCCTGGGGTTTCCGTCAAGCGATTTGACTGCGAGGTTTGTGGGAATGTGACACTTCGAAGTGAAGTCAATAGTTAAGTAGTGGCGGAGGTGTGGGTGTTTATTTTCTTGTCGCAAGCATCCACATTAACACCGTTGACGGTTCCTGCATCATGTTTGGGGGCAATTATTGACCGGTAATTAGTCTGGCAAGCAAGGACTTCGTTAATTTAGTGAAGCGACCCCCGGCTTTGCAACATTAACTAAACACAGCCGCGCAGTATTTCTGTGGCATTGGGAGTTTGGAATATGAGTGTAGGCTTTTTATTGAACCGGGGGAATTTTGCAGTTGTCTGTAAACAACCGCTTGGAAGGACTTGGTTCACTTAATTAGACCTCCGAACGGTTTTGTGTGGAATAGGTCAAAGTTTGGAGCCGTGCATGGGCGCCCGCATTGATGAGCAGAACAATGAACGAAAAGAAGCAAAGGTACACCAGAATGGCTTTTAATAGTTTTCAGGATGAAAGAAGTCGATTGTAACAACATGCAACACAGCTTTGCGTTGACCATATTGCATTCTAACTTGTTCTTATTTACACACATTCATTACCATTATCCCCTCACACACCTCACACCCTGATATACTATCCTAGGTCCTCCTTCTTAATATCTCTCAACGTCAGGCTATTACCTAAATACGCGAAGTGGTTCTTAGAGCGGTACGTGAACTCAAAGTCCTGGAAGCGCGGGGAGCGGACCGACTCGAGGAAGTGGTTGAAGGAGCCGGGCCAGGGGCCGGCGATGCGGCCGGTGACGGTGCCGCCCTTGCACCAGCTGTTTCAGTTGCCGGAAAACGCCAGCAGCTCCATGACGGCGTCCTTGTAGTCGTTAAACTCGGTGCTGGCGGCGCGGCTGACCACCACGCTCTTAACGTTTTGCCGCTGGATCTTGTCGACAAACGCCAGCGCAAAGTCGACCTACGCCTCGATGGACGGCATTAGCAACCTGTTAGAGGTGGGCGTGTTGAGGCCAACCACTACTGCACGCAGACACTGTTAACCGTGCACAGTACGGCAAAGACCAGAAAGGCAAACGGGGAAAACACGCATTAAAGTAGTTCGGCATGTCGGGCACGGCGCACGTGAAATACGCCTCGGCGCCCGTCTTGGCCCACGTCTGGCCGAGGTCGACGCCGGCGCGGCCCGTGACGGCGAACGCGGGCACGTACGACGTGTCGTAGCTCGTGGCCGCGATGATGATGTCGACCTCGTACGTCTTGTCGCTAGCCGTGACGACGCCCGTGGCCGTCACCTCGGCGATGCCGTCGCGCACTAGCTCTACGTTGGCCTCCTGCAGCGCCTCGAGGTAGCCCTCGCCGAGCGTGACTCTGGCAGACACTGAGGGTTAGCAAGGATTTTGGCTGTGATGGTGTAGAAGGGAGAATTACCGCTTGCAGCCGACGTCGAGCTTGGGCACCAGCTGCTCGCGCAGGACCGGGGCCATCTTGTACAGGCGCTCGCGCATGCTCTTCTCGACAATGTCGCGGCTGGCCTGCTGCTGCGGCGATCCCTTGTAGAAGTTGGGGAAGCGCGAGTTGAGCTCGTGGTCGACCTCGCGGCGGTAGGCGAGCAGCACGGCGGGGTCGTCGCGGAACTGCTGCTTCTGCTGCTCTGTATACACGGTGGCGCGGCCGCCGGGGTCCAGGCGGCCGACGAACTGCGGCGCGATCTACGTCGGCGACCGCACGAAGTTGACCAGCGACTTGACGACCGGCTGCACCGTCGGCACTACCTGGATGGCCGACGACCCGGCGCCGATGACGGCCACGCGCTTGCAGGCTAGGTCCAGCCCGGGAGGATAGTTGCCCGTGTGGGCTAGCGTACTGGCGAACGACTGCAGCCCCGCGATGTTGAAGCACAAGCAATATAGACGCATTTCGTCTTATCGTGATGCTCGCTCGGCTTGGGGTTGCGAATGCGGCAGCCTATGTGGTGCGGCGGAGCCAAGAAGCCGAGCCGTCGGCAATGGCGCCCCCTCTCCGCCTCCTAGCCTATCTCGAGACCTCCTTCGCAAAAGGCGACCCCTCTCGGGATGTGACCCCTAGCCTTGCAGCCTCGGACCCATCGATCCGGGGAGCGACCTGGAGAGTTGACGTCTTCTCCGCAGGGAAACCTTCACGCAACGCAACGATCCGGCAGACCCGACGGTACGAATGCCGGGGGAGGGTAAACACGTCTCAGGGGATCTGCAAGTCGGGTTGTGACAAGAACCAAAGATTCCAGACCTCCAGGGCGTGTCTGTACCACAGCGCTTGGGCAGCCAATCCGTGGAGGCAAAACTGGGATAGTTCTAATTTCTGCATGAACTGTCACTTTCTTCTTGGCGTTGTTGTAGAATAGGGGGGATACTGACGGACTAGAAAAATAAGATCAATGTGCATGTAGACGTGATGGATCTAACAATGTCCCTGCATGTTGTAGATCGCAGTGGCCATCCTTTGTACCATAGCACACGCAGTGAAAACTGGACATCAGGGCAAGGCATTTTGTCATCTGCGAGTTGCCACGCCACAGGCCAGTCTGTGGCGTGGCAAGTCGCAGCCGTGACAAGAAGTGTGCATCGTGAACAGTAATTGGTATTCATTACTATAATCGTGACACATCTCCACCTGACGCCAGCCGTGCCTTTGCCACCGTCTACTTCTCAAACACAATCGTCGTCTTGAGCACGCCAATAGGCTTGACCTCGACCTCGACCACGTCGCCGTGCTACAGGGGCGTTTTGGGGTTTTAGAACCAGCCGACGCCCGCCGGGGTGCCCGTGAGGATGGCGGTGCCAGCCGGGAGCGTGGTAGTCTGCGACAGAAAGCTCAGCAGCTGGTCGACGGCGAAGATGAAGTCGAGAGGGCTGTTCTGGACTGTGCAGCCGTTGACGCGCGTCGTGATGCTGCCGCGCGCGTCGGGCGTGATGTGCGACGGGTTCACCAGCCGCGGGCCCAGCGGCGCGAACTTGTCGAAACCCTTGGCGTACGTGTACTGCCCACCGCACGACCGCTAGAAGAAGCGCGCCGTCAGGTCGTTGCCGATCGTGTACCCCAGGATGTGCGACGCCACGTCGGCAGCCGCTACATTCTTCATGCTTTTGCGCAGCACAATGGTGAGCTCGCCCTATTGCCTATCAGTCGCACATCACGAATCAACAAAGTGTGTGCGTCACGTACCTCAAAGTCGGGGAAGAATTTCTGCGCCTGCACTGGGAACGGCACTTCAGTGTCCAGGTCAGCCAGAGATGCAGCAGGCTTGTACCACATGGGCGGAGTTGCGGGAATAGAGAGCCGTGCGACGAGTGCCGACGTGAGCTCCAATAGACAATCAGGTTCGCAAGCAACTGTTGGGGAACGTACCGACGCCTCATTGGCGTGGTTCCAGTAGTTTAGGCCAACGCAGATGATGGGGATGCCTGTCGTTGGGACGGGAGCGAGAAGCTGTTTGTTGCCCTGGCGTCTGTTTGTCACCAACCCAAACTTGGAGCTTGCCTTCTCGACCGTCACATCGACACCACCAGTCTCGGACTCCAGATCGTCAATGGTCGCATAACCCTTGACGGACGACCGGTGGCAGGGGCGGCCTCTAGCGGAAGAGCCGCCTAGTATTCGCGCCCGTCTGCCGCACCAAAGCGGATCAAGTTGTCCCAGACAGCCATCCTTTCTGTATCGAAGCTAGGTAGATCTGGGGAGCCACAACAGAAATGTCAGTTGAGCGATGATGAAGATTGATACCGCCATCGAAATACCGAAACAATGCCGTCGAGGGCGGAGGTCCCCTACAAACCCCGTCGAGGGCCGGTGGCGCAAGCGCTAGGCTTGTCGGTACCATGAATCTCAGCTATTGCCGCCACCGGATTACGGAGCAAACTATATGTCATCAACCGGGCCGCTTACGGCGTCGCTGTAAGACGTGCCGAGGGGTGATAAACGACGCTATTCCCGTAATTTCGAACAGCACGAACATCTCAAATTGCATCACCGTACTCTGATACAAACCATCTCGTTCCCCGTAGCACATCTTCACACCACCAGAGACCCGAGTCATGGCTGACCTAAAGTTCCTCCCCGGCCGCATCGGCACAACAAAGAACTCGCCCGACAAGATCCAGCTGGCGCGGCTGAGCTACGTGCTGGTGCAGCACCCAGACCTGGAGGCGTCCGACGTGTTCGCGCACGACTTCGGCTTCACCGAGGCGGCGCGGGACGGCGACGAGACCATATACTACCGGGGGTACGGGCGAAGCATGCTGCTACGTGGCGACGCGGAGCTGCGACGGCGCGCGGCACTTTGACGGTGCGGCGTACCTGACCAAGACAGAGCGCGACTTTAAGCTCACGGCAGCGCTCAAGGAGAGTTCGGCCGTGGGGCAGAACCCCGCGACGGGCGGCGGCGGTTCCTTCGTTGACCTGGCGTCGCCATCGGGCACCAAGATGCGCGTTGTTTAGGGTGCCGAGCAGCCGCCCGCTCCCGTCAAGGCGACACAGCCACCGAGATCCACAAGGGCGGGTAAAACACAACTTTGGAAAAGACCCGGAAAGGTTCGCTTTCCTGTCTTGCACCCTTGAAGATCACAACGCCGACGCCAGAGTCGCACCCCGAGTTTCATCTGTGGAAGCTTGGCTACACGCCACACCAGGTCTACGACACCTTGCTGACAGGATTCCAGTAAGACATGGAATTGCACTCACGGTATGCTAGTTTGAGCTAACGTCAAGCTCAGTTTTTGTAACGGCGACAAGAGACCACAGGTTAGCGGGAGGTTTGGACCCACTGGGTCTGGGTTTTGGAGGTAAACAGAACTTGTCAGGGGTGTTGTGGAAGACGTCTAAGCTGACTTGTGGATTGTGGATAAGACACGAATACTCGGTCGAGCCAGAGGACAATCTCGACGGCGTGCAGGGCCACTTCTGGAAGACCCTCGGTCCCTGGATGGTAATATCAGGACCCAAGCTTTCGAGGACTCTTGCAAAGACAGTTGTCGAGTTTCCCAGGGAGGAGCTATTAGCGAACCTCGGGAAGGCGGGAGAATACTTTCCCTGAGGCGACAGTTCCTCCCTGTACCAGAACATCGGATAAGCGACCAGCAGAAATGCGAGGACTTGGTGCTTCTGGGACCAGAAATTGGCAGATGAATAGTCGAGGCACTTGGAATCTTGAATGAAACCGCGCATGATACCACCATACAATAAAGAATAGCAGAGTTAAGATTTCAACGGGTCGGCTTGTGCAGACAGCAGGAAGTGCATTACGGGTTGAGTTGATCCCACTGCTGCAGGTACCCGAGGTAGGTTGATGCAGTCCTAAGAGCAAATGAGAGCATTCAGAGAAGATCTGGCAAAGTGCACCTTGACGGCTGTGAGTTTGACATTTCGTGCCTTCTGCTCAAGTTTCGAATGGCGACTCGGCTGATTTTTCATCAGAGGTGTCCAAATGGAAGGCACGTTGAAGGTATTTCGGACCCCCACGGCAGCAACGATCGATGGCAACAACGGCGCTGGGGCCTGGGCAGGGCGCGTTCAGGCCACGCTTGCTGCAGCTAGCGATAGAAGCCTGCAGTGGCAGACGGTGACAGGTGACTGACGAACGGGATGGCACCTCAGGCTGCCGCCGTCGCTGCAAGAAGACAATCATTCGTCCACTTGTGCGGCGTCGGTCCCGAACGGTTGGAACTTCGGAGGATGCTGTTCTGCAAGTTGCTGCAGAACACTAGTTCCGCTGCTGGAATTTGCATTGCGACGGATACGACACAGTTGACCCCACTTCCATTTCCTCGCTCTTTGGTGGTTTGGCGGGTGCTGCCAGCGGCCTCCCGTTCGAAATTCCATTTCGGCAGCTGTCTGCCTCGTCCAGAGCCAAACGCCACCAAACTCGGGGTCCAGAGGGCCCCAGCGTGATTGGCTACTCGCCGCAGCAACCCCAAACTCTGAAACAGAAGCCGCAGGGCAGAATTCCGCGCGCGGCACTGCCCGTCGCTGCTGCACTTTCGTTAACCCCGCCGCTGACAGCACCAGGTTGTGGGGCCTGGGCAACCTCGCACTCTCTTTCCTCCTCGCGTCGCAAGGTTCTATTTCAGCACTCGTGGTGCTGCACGACGCGTCGACCTTTCTTCGCAGCATCAACAGCTGCGACGAGGGTTTGGCTACTCGTCTTCACGCCAATTTGCACATTGGTGGTAAATCTGACGTCGACGCCCCCCCCCGAAGCCATGGGGGTCGGGGAATATCTCCGTCGCGCGTTCCGTCGAAAGAAGTCGAGCAAGGAAAAGGAACCCGCGAGCGGTGCTCCTGTGGTCACGCCACCGCTAATCATCCACCACGGCATCGAGTCATCGTCGAGCGACGAAGCCGACGTGAAGACCATCACCAAAATCGAGATGCAGCAGGCTATCGACAACCAGGACACCTGCGTCCTGTTCGCCAAGCTCCCGCTCGAGATCCGGCGCCAAATCTACCGCGCCGTCTGGGAGAGCTACCTCAAGACCTACCACATGTCGCCCTCCACCCCGGGCTCCAGCCTCCGCCTGCACATCTACACGGACGGGTCGCGTCCTAACAGCCTATCTCATAGCCAGTGTGTCGTACCTGCCGGCCCGCGCGATGACACCGACGTCACAGACCCCTGGCCGTTCGATGCACACCCGGCCCCGGCCCTAATGCCGCCCAAGTGGTTCTGGTTTGCCTGCGTCATGCGCTTGCACTGGGGCAAGCATGGGCCCTGCCAGCACGCCCACATGCGGCGGTGGAATCCCCTCTCAGGCAGCGTCACGCCCGCCGAGAAGAGCCCGTTCCTGCCGCTGTTTCTGACATGCAAGAAAATGTAAGTTTGCCGCGAGGTGGTTCCAACAACCAAGCAATCAACCAGAAAGCTAATTCGCCGAATTTAGATACTGGGAGGCCATTGTCTCGTTTTTCGAGACTGTGACGCTCATCTTCACGTCGTCAGAGGACGCCATCCGCTTCTTTGTCCAGAAGCCCCACCCGTTTTTGGGCCATCTCCGCTTTCTTGAGTTCGGCTTCGCCAACCCCAACGACCACCTCTTCCTGGGCCGTATCCGGCGAAGCGGCGTGCCCGGCGAGAACCCGCCCGGCAACATGCTGGTCGCGGCCGACGGCGGCGTCGTGTACGGCCAGAAGCTGTGGTCCGACATTCTGCAGGGCGTGCAGGCGGCGACCCCCGAGCTCCGAGACCTGGACGTGACCATGGCCGGGCGCATCTCGCACACGCAGGTCCTCAAGCGGTTTGGCTACCATCGGCGGACTACCTCCCAGGATAAGACCAGGGCGGCAGACGAAGCCCGTTCGGTGTCGGGCTCAGACGACGAGGACGAGGCGGGGCCGTCTAACGACGTTCCTATCTGGAAGCTGCGCGGCAAGCTGGCGGTGAATTTCCAGGCCGAGCAGCGGCGCTATGTGCAGCGAGGCGACAGGGTTGTACGCTTGCGGCGAAGCCTGACGCCGTCGTGATCGACACTCCCTAGTTGTCGATGGATACCGGCTTGGAGGGGCTGGTAGGATTTGCGGGCTCTTTGTATGAAATAGCATATGTACGAGCAGATGGTTGGGCGTGGACGTTGGACGTGACTTTTGTATTGTTATTGTACTGGCTACTACCTAGGAGGTCCATAGACTCCATACGTGTTGTATGGCACTCGAAGTCTCGACTACCTATGCGATTTTAATGCCCAAGGACTGGACATTCTAACAAGGTAATCACCGGTTGAGAAGCAAGTTTCCTCTCATTGTCAAGTAGACGGTAATTACCTGTGTAACAATTACCAGGAACAAAGCTGACGCATCATTGGACCCTATCTAGATTGCATGCTCTCCTATTTTGATTGTCGCTCGTGACAGAATATCAAGCCCCTGACATGATATCAGTGACCTTTCAGATCTTGAAAGGCCACCCGCTGGTCGAGATTCAAGGATTGAACTACATCAGAACCCCAGTCCCATCACCAGAAACACGCCCAACCACTTCAAAAGCCTCTCGTACAACCTCCCTCATCTCACCCGTCATATCCAGCCCCTGCACCTCATCCGTCGTATCCAGCCCCCGCACCTCATCCGTCATATCCAGCCCCTGCACCTCATCCTCCGCAGCCCAGACAGACCCAGCATGCTCATCCTCACTCACAACCACCTCGCCGTCCCCCACCCACTCAACCGCAACAACATAGTTCAGCTGGATCGCCCGCTTCGACACGGCTCCCGCACCCCCGCCAGCCACCGCCTTAGACGTCGTCGTGTAACACATCGGCCGCAGCCCCGTCTCCTCGCGCTCCTCGCGCACCACCGCGGCCGCGACGCTAGGGTCGCTCTCGTCGACCTTGCCGCCGGGGATCTCGAACACGCTGGGTAGATACGTCTCGTGCGCCGCGCGCTGGAGGAGGAGGATGTGTGGTGCTGATGGGCTGGCTGGCGCTGTTGGTGGTAGTGTTGGCGGTCGTGTGGCGGAATATGGCGGCGCCTACGACGAGTTTGTCGTAGGGTTGTCCGGTGGGGGCGAGGGGGTGTGTGAGCAAGCTGTTGCGAGATGGTGAGAGGATCGAGGCGTCGATGTCGGGGTCGGTTGCGATGGTGCTAGTGTCCATTTTTTTGGGGGGGGGGGGAGGGGCTGTTGCGAGGGACGTTGGATTGGAGTTAGATTTGGATTTGTTGGGTACGTTTGCAAAAGGGCACTCGTTGGAGATCATATCATGTCCAGGCAAGGAAGACGACGTTCAAGATGGAAAGTCCGTCTTCCCGTGTCTCGGCGCTTACCTGCAGGTCTTGTGAAATGCCGGGCCATGTTTGGACGAAGGACTCAGCTCGCGGCAGCGGTGTGGCCCAGACCAGTGCCGCCAGCGTTTTTGGCTAACTTCGCCACCAGAAGAACCCTCGCCGTGGACGTTGTCCGCCTGAACCGGCAGCTTGGGCGTTTGCGGCTGTCGTCGAGGCTGGTCCAGCCGTTCCAAGCTCTATATCAGCCGGGCCCTGAGCAGTACTGGTGGCGTCTTGCCCGGCTACGGTCTGAACCGTGAACGCAAGCCCGACTTCCTGGTTCCTCATCGCGATTGCTGCGCGCAAATTCTTTGCTTCCAATTCCTTGGCCTCGTTTAGCTTCCTTTTCGCCTCTGTGATCTCCTTGTCTATTTGTTCTGGCACCAGTCATGTTAGTTCCAGACTTATCACCCACTGGCACAAATAATGGTAACAAATACCTTTTGTCTTTCGTGGTCGCCCTACCAACGGAAGGGAGAACAGCCGCCGCTCTGCTTCCTCAGCAAAGCGCCGAGAAGACAAGAGGAGATCGAAGGGGCCGCTGTCTACGACAAGAAAGCGTGTGAGGTTCGACTGCGCCTCGCCTTGTCTGTACCAAGGCAGGTTCACCCGGTGTGTCGGCTTGTAGATGGCCTTGTCGAGGCCTTCGATGTCCTCCTGCTGGACCTCGGGTATTTCTATCAGGCTGCCGAAGTCGAAGCCTATCCGGGCAAGATACTCGCGGGTGACAAAGTCTGCCCGCGAGCCCGTGTCGAGCTTGATCCGGGCGGGACGGTAGTCGAACCGGTCGCCGCCTGTTCTCGTCGGATCCTCCATTAGGATCATGCCCCTTTCGTGGTTTTCGAGCTGGACGGTTCCGTTTATGACGTAGTCGTCGGCCTCCAACGAGCCTAGGTCCCGCCTGATTAGATTTTGCACAGCTTTGACGATCTGCATCTGGTGTTGATCCGTGGACCTGAAACCAGAGCTAACACCGCCGGCTTCGGCCTCAACCTTCCCTTCCGCGCCCGAGGAGCCATCGGCTGGGCGTCGGCTGGTATCAACAGTGGCAGATACGGAAAGTTCGGTGAGTTTCGCCATGGTAGCACTAGCGCGCCATTCAATATTAGCAACCGGAGTGAGCCGACAGATTGGGGCCTTTGATGTTGGTTGTGTGACCAAAACACTTGCCTTAGTTCCACCAGCTGCCCTCGGAGTCGGATTCTATCGATGGAGGTAAATTAACAGGTTGTCGAGTTTATGGCGCTTTGTTAACCTACTCGGAAAAAGCATTGCGCAGCAAGCCGACCTTGTCGCGGAAAACGGCGACGGAGCTGTTGAGCTGTTTTTCTTGGAACAATATGAAGGCCAGTATATTGAAAATCCGCCACCGACTTCGGTAAATGGCGTCTTGAGCCTTGAAAGCGAGAATAGAGATATCTCGTCCCTGGCGGTAGGTAGCGTAAAGTAAGTCTTCTACGTGCCGAGGAGCTTGTACGGGGCCGCTCTGGTTGGTCTGATAGCACTCTTCAACCACGCCCAGCAGTACCGCTATCTCGTTGTCCAGAAGCTGGGATTTCGATGGAAACTCGGATGCAGCTCTGATCAGGTCCGAGACGGGGAATACTACTAATATAGTCAATGAGAAAACCGACGAGACCAGCAGCGTTACCGAAATTGGATCTGCCATCTTTTTTCTCGTTTTTGCTGGCAGAGAAATCGTGAAACAACATAGAGATGAAGCCAGGAAAAGGAGAGTGAGGTACCTAACAGGGAAAGATGGCCTGGCTTTTAATGTGATCCTCAAATGCATGGGGCCTAACGTGAGAAAAGCGGAAATCGCACCTCTTTCTCTTCCAATAAGGACTGTCGGGGTTCTGATCCCAATCCCCGCCACGGCGCTTCCGAAAGCAGGATTAAGGCCTGATCATCTCGCGTCTAGCTCTTATTGGTGGTGGCCTAGTGCGTCTAGTCGTGCGGCGCAACACCAAATGCATGTTTTCCTGCAAATCAGTCCAACTTGGGTTAGCCGCGTCTCCCGCGTGTAGAGGGATGGTGTACAATTTTATGCTTGCTGCGTGCGGCTGGGACTGTTCCCGTTGCCCCCCACCTAAGAGCCTTGTCCAATTCCAACATGGCGTCAATCTCCACAACGACAACCCCAAAAGTGTTGGGGCGTCTGTGCACGGTACCTTGCTCTTTGTCTTCCCAAACTATGGCCCATTCGCAACGTAGCTATCCTCGACTGGCGGCCCTTATGCGCAAGGAGAAGAACGTTGCCATATTCCGCCGGTTCGAACACCTCAACATCCTCTGTCTCCTTTCGCTCCAAGCCTAGATTGTCCAACTCGAAAAGGAGTTCAGGATAGAATGCGTCGCCGACGACAGCAGCCGATCGCCCCCGGCATCCGAATACAGCAGCAATTTTAAGCTGGTATTTTAGCTCCGCGACCAGGGCCGAGATGATTGCCGCAACAGCTACGTGAGTCTCTCATCATGGTTTTCCTTCAGTGGGCGCAGTGTCTTACACTTGTGGTACAGGTTTGCGGCCATAGAGGTTGTGTTCATTGGGACTGCCATCAGCGCAGGATCGGCCGGGGATCAGAGTACAAATGTTGGTATAAACGGCACCTTGTGTAGCAACGGGACCACAGTTGGATAGGATTAGCGGAAATATTTTATTTCATGTGCTCAAGGAGAGACTTTTACTGTTAGATCTATCACTAAAGACAAATGGCTTATACCCAATTACCCGTCACCATGCACTCGCCAAATAACCATGGTTAAACATTTGCCGCGGTACAGCAAAAAGTCAAACAATTGAACGGTACTAGCAAAGTCATTCAGACCGACGGAAATATCCGTATTTGATAATTACTCTAGCATACACCAAGCCCCTTTTGCCCAGGCAACTCAAACCGCACATAAACAATTCGAACAAACTCTAGGAAAGCTGTTTTATCTCGCGCGTTCTTGACTTGACTGGTTGAGTGTTCAAAACGACAAAATGTGCTAACCGAATGCAGAAGCAACACGAGCACAGAGCATTCCGGTGTGCTCCCTGCCTGCTGCGCTTTGTGCTGCCTGCTTCACGTTATGCACAACCTTTCGAACGGCCCAGGAACCAACGGTATGTCTCGTTTCCTTAGCTCCCTGTCTGGGGTGAGGGCATTGAAGCCAGCCTTGAGTAATTATTTTCTATTCAAGGTCGGTAGACGCACATGTATCTTTCATTGTTACAATGCAAAAACGCAGTTGCTGCCATACAATGGATGTATGGCAGCACTGAGCAGATTTATTAGGTTTCGACTTGTCAACTAATTACAAGAAACTGCAACACAAGAAACAGCCTTGAAACCACAACAAGCCAACGAGAAATTCAACGACAGCTTTTCAAAAAGGGTGAAATCTACAACCTGATATCGCCTGCATCCGGACAGCACAACAAAGAAACCTCCCCCACAAACCCAATTGATCAGCAATCATCGCCCCCCTTCAGGAATCACAAGCCCATCACAGCCCGTGCTGATGCCGGTGGGCGGCGACCTTCTCAGCCTTCCACTGGGCCCAGTCGCGGTGCTTGACGGGGTCGATGAGCGAGGGGTTGCGGTCGGCGGCAGCGGCGTTGCCCTGGGCGCGCGATGTGGTGAAGTCGCGCAGGAAGCTGAAGGACCGGCACACGTGCGTCTGGTCGGCGTCGATGTAGTTGTGCCGCGCGCCGTCCATGTACCGCGTCGGGATCAGCGTCGTGCTGCCGTAGCACTGGATCGTCTGCCGCAGCGCGTCCAGGCAGTGTTCTGTGGCAGTGTGTGTCAAGTGTTGGTTATCTGGTGTGATTAGTGGCAGGGGGTGGAAGGGAGGCGGTGGTTGCTTACCCGTGTGGAACGGCCCGTGAGAATGCCGCGCGGGATAGTAGTCTGGGTGCATCATCATGCGGAGCGCGTTCTGCGAGGTGGTGTTAGAGATTTTGTCGTGGCAATGAAGGAGGCCAGCTGTATGTCCGTTGGATAACTAACCACGCAGTGCAATGTGTGAAACACTTCGAGTCTACGGCCCAGACGAACTCCTCAGCATGTTGCACACAAAACATCGAGGATGAACTGCGGCTGTGAGAAAGAAACTTACCCGGCGCTGTAGCCGCCGCGCTTCTGGTCGACAAACTCGAAGCGCCTGTCTCCCCAGGCCCGCGTCGCCTCCTCCTCGGAGATGGCAAAGTAGCGGTCGTGGATGAGGCGGTTCCAGTTGGCGTCGATCTCGGGACTCGGCGGGCCGAACAGCTTCATGTTCTCGGGCCACGGCGCCGTTTCGTCCACGACATCGAGATATCCGCTGCCGTTGGCAGTGAAGTGAGGGGTGCGCGTGAACTTCACCCTTTCCAATGGGATCTTGGACGGCAGGACTGGGTGGGTTTTACGTGTTAACATTCGCATGCTAGGCTCGCAAAGGGGGAAACTTACTGATGTCGGTATCGAAGCCATCTTCGTAAGTACCATAAGGACTTCCGCTGCTCTGCCGCTCAAGCACGAGCAGCAGCGATGTGACTGCGAAGAAGATACCCAACAGCCACGGAGCAACGGTGAGTATCTGCGACAGCGACAGCCACCGCCGTGTCTTGTCGCCGGCGAGGACATCGCTGCTTGGCCCGAGGAAGCTTTCATGCTCCCCCTTTTCTGAGTCGGGGTCGACGGCGGTGTATGAGCTGTGCGAGGTCAGAGACATGGTGAAAGGGTGGCTCGAAGCTATGCAGAGCTTGTTGGGCACTGGCAAGAAAAAGACAAAATTCTTGGCGAGTCAGGGTATTTAGAAGGGAGTGAGAGGCGCTCGCTCGGTCTCTGAAGAGGGAGAGAGAGAGAGAGAGAGAGAGAGAGATGGAAAGAGAGAGCGGTATTGGGCAGAGGGAGAGTGTGGGGTGGGGGGCTCGATAGGATCTGATGACACGAGAGGATCAGGAGCTACGGTTTTGCTACAAGTCTAAACTCGGCTGAAATCCATGCTGCCGAAGTTACCTCGGAAGACGTGCTGGTTGCGAGATAAGTCGAAGTTGCAGGACACGCCCGCACGATGTTTTCGATATTCCATGTGTAAACTCAGAAGCGGAAAACAACTCGCGATGCAGTCTGCCATTGAACGGCTGGCCCAATGACTGATGCAGGCCATTCCGAGCGAGGAAAAGCGAAGCGACGGTGTGCTTCTTGAGATGGAGATGGAGGTCTGGGTCGGCTGTCATCACAACAGTCGCGCGACATGTTGCCTGCTTTGGTCGAGGTCGCCGCGTTGGTACCACGTGAAAGCAGGCTATACGCCAAAGACACTCGTCGGCTTATCCCTGTGCTAATCATGACCGACACTGGAGACTGCACGCCAAGATCTTGCGCTATTTCGATGGTAGTGGCGAAAGAACGACGTGATGGGCGCGAGCCAAGGCCTGGAATGCAGCTGCAGGCCGAGCTCAGTATTGGCTTGGCGCTTGCACGAGTCAGTTGTCGACTGCCGGATAATGCGGAGAAACCGGTCTATGTCTCGGTTTTCGTGACAATGGCCCGCAGCGCTGCATGCCAAGATGCGCGGATACCGGAGGTGCTGGCCAGAATAAAAATAACAGTTGCATTGCCAAGCCGCGGAACCATGAGGGTGTGCTTCCTCGCTGCAGACGGCCCAAGGAGGTGCCGTTGGGCGTCGAAGGGATCTATCCGGGATGCCAGTGTCAAGCTTTCCAAGTAGTTCGGTTCGGGTTATTGATTGCGAAAGGCCCAGAGCTAGAGAGTAACATCGATCTGTTTCGGCTGCCGTGGGGGGGTCACGTCACGAACTAGTGAAGACGAAACACCAGACCATACTTACCTAGTAGTGATCGGCTAGTTCTAGACTTGGTTCTGATACCTAGACAGACAGTTGGGTGTTTGAGTCCATGGTTACTCAAGATCAGCAAGACAGAGAGTTCTTGGGAGTGAGGGGGCTGACGAGACGGACCGGTCGAGACGGGGTTTGCACTCTTCGCCAATAAGGGCGCGACCCGACGTCCCGACGTTGCAGTGAGGCGCTCGCCGGCTGACCACGGTCTAGCCGCCTGCCAGAACCTGGCGGTGCCGACAACCCGAGCCCTCCCCCCCACGAGGACCGCAGGATGCGAGTAAGCCAGGGGAAGCTGCGGGGTATTGTTCAAATATCTTGACGTCGGTCTCGCGTCTAGAAGCCTGAGCCAAGCTGCTTGGCAACGCAACCCACGACGAGAAGGCTCACATCGATGCCTTGCCGAGGGATGTCAGTCGGCGGTTGTTGGAGCGAAAGGAAACCGGCGTCGACTTCCACAGCGCACCAAGACACATCAGCAAATGTGTGTTGGCTGTCTGTCTTTACGAATGCGAGATGCATGAGCTCAGCTATCGGCGGCCAAGACCACGGTGCGAGTCGGCAGTCGAGACCATTGATAATGCCAAGTGCAGTCTTATCACCGCAAAGCAGTTGCTCATCAGCGAGAACCGAGCCTCGGCGGTCTATGGCCGAAGCTACACGATGCCTTCTTCTCGCGGCATACATGCGCTTCCCTTGCAAACGGCCGCCGCAGAGTTGCACGCGATATTGCGCCATCGCCAGGGTTCCGCCTCCATCTCGAAAGCTCGCAAGAAAGCACCGTCCTGGGAAGCGGGCTTGCCAAGAGTAACACTGAGCAAGTCAACAAACCACTCGACCAGCTTCGGGCACACACCTCGATGCCTCAGGAGGTGTTCCTGAGCAGAGAATCAGCAAGTTAAATCATCCTTGGCATGGGCAACAACAGAAACTGTGGGGAAGGCACACCTCTCACGGCTCTATCAGGCGGTCGTGTTAGACGCCACCAGGCTGACACGAGGTGAGCTGTGCCTGCCAGGGAAGGGGCAGAGTGTGCCTCAAGAGTGATCGCCGATGACAAGCTCATCACATTTTCATTCTCTTGCAGGCCAAGAGCGATAGTTTGAAAGTGGACGCTGGCACACGAGTACGGGCCAAGACTCTAGACCCCCCCGGGAGTTGGTTCTCCACACTCCCGTTCTCTGGGGTATAAAGAAGACGCACGCGACCCGCTGCCCTAGACAGATATCGAAAGAGACAAGGCAGACCAGCACTCTGAACCTGAACCACAGACACATTAGCCGCACACAGAAACCAGCTTGAACCCCCCCAACTCTCGCCAACATGAAGCTCAAGGCCGTCCTCGCCTTCTTCGCCGCCATCATGGCCGTCGCTGCCATCCCTGTCAAAGTGGCTCCCGAGTCGGGTGAGTGCCTGCCCCCCTGGCCTCTGACGGTGTACTCGCCGCTCGCCGTACTGTGCTGACAGGAGAAAACGCAGATGCCCTCGCCGTGCGCGAGGACAAGGTCGACGTGGCGGCTCGCGACCTGACCAAGACCAAGACCAAGGCCAAGGCCAAGGCCAAGAAGGTCAGGAAGGCCAAGAAGCGCGACGACGACTCGGACGACTCGGACAGTGACTCGGACAGCGACTCTGACGGCGACTCTGACGGCGACTAGATCAAATCAAGCGGCCCCGGCGCGACTGGACTGGAGTGGCTGATGCAAGTGTGTGACAAGTGGCTGAAACCTACGTCCCCTTCCTACGTCCCCTTCCTTCCTCGCTCTCGTGATGGCCGACAGAGTGAGGACGAGAGGGCGGCCGGGGGCGCACTGCCAACGTGTGTGTGTGAAGCAGCAATGACTTGGCACGGTGACAAGGCAGATGATTGATCAGGCATGCAAATAGTAAAAAACGGATTGTATCACTCCTTTGAGATGGCTTAAAAATTGAGATCAAATATGATCTAAATCGCCTTTAGTTCGTTCTGTGCCGCCCGCTCCAAGTGTCCTTCTCTTTCTTTCTGTGACAACGTTCCGTCCTTTCCCGCATGTGCTGCTCCCAATCCGATAAGGATGCTGTCTGTTCTCATGCTACCTGGGCTTGAGCGGTATGGGAAGGGCGGGAAATAGCTTCGGCGGGCAGCTCCTCGAGATAGGTCATGGGGACCCAGGCGCATTTAAACGCCGTGTTTTCAACAAGCCACCAGCCTGGACCGTAATAGATTGATTAGCGACCATTGTGAGAGCTATGTGTCACGAGTGTGCCATAGGTCGCTCGTACTACGGTTGGGTAGAGGGCCGGACGGAGGGAGGTGGCTGTGAGAAACGAAGTGGGACGGACCGTTCATCTCCTTCTCCACGATGGCGACGATTTCGCTAGCCACGACGCTGAGCTCGTTCTCGAAAGTGGCGTCGAAGTCGTAGAGAACACGCGCATAGCGCAGCCACGGCTCGCTCCGATGACCTGTTATGGGTGGTGTGGGTGGGACTGCGGCGGCCGTGGCGGGAGGGGCTGGTTCTGCGTGGCTTTCCTCCGCATTGGCAATGGCTAGGGCTGGATCAGGCGTTGGGGCCGTTGCGGATTGGTCGGATGCGACCGAGACCCCGTTTCCGCCTGTCGCTTCGGTCTGCGGAAGACGGCCGTGGCCGGTCGCCGGATCCCGGACCTGAAATTCTGGTGCAATGCTATTCTCGGCTGCGGTATCGCGACCCGCCAGGTCAATGTGGATGGCAATGCGCTCGGCAATGAGGTTTCCCTCCTCCATAGCGATCTCGGTGAGGATTCGGCCCGGCATATTGTCATTGAAATGGAGATAATTATGTCGAAAAACGGAGATCGATGCAGAAGGAAGCGCCGGGACCAACTTAGATTGTCGAAAAAATAGGCGTTTTCACTGACATTGCTGCCTCGGGAGGTGCTGCGGCCTACTCGGTGAGCCGCGTGGCATGCCAGGCAGACACGGCTTGCTGACGAGCCAAGACGACGTGTGCTAACGAACTGTTATTAGGGGCACGTGATGCTGCCGCCAAGCTTGCTACCAACGGGGTGGTGTAATAAGGGCGATTGAAGAAAACGAGTTCCAATAGCCATGGTTATAGGAGAGGGGTCTAACCGCCAAAGAGTGCAATTGCGGGCTTCAGTGCCCGGGCTGCAATTTGAAGTTGCATGGCGGCGACAAAAATCGCGACGCCACAATAATTTCAACGTGCGTTGAGCGCCAGATTCACCCCAACCACGCACCGTCGTCAAATCGCTGAAATAAAGAAAAATCCCGTTCTTTGTTGCAGCAGACTCGAAGACAGCAGCTGGAGGCCGAATCCGGAGTTTTGAGGGCTAGATTAGCAGGAATTCGACATCATGTAAGCTTCTTTGTCTCCCGCAATGGTATTTGTTGGAAAGCAAATGCCGCAAGTGTGGAGCTCGGCATGGATTTTTCGACGCCTGCTTGTTTATTATCGACTCGCGGCTTCGTCTCTAGCTGCTGCCTGCTAGGCCAAGTAAGTGGTGTTTTTGCTGCCCCCCTGACAAACCGACGCCATGTCAGTGGTGAACAGATCAGGCCTACGTTACAGCTCAAGGCTGGGCCTCGGTCCACATCCACCACCCCCTAAGCATGAGATTCCCGGGAATCCCAAGAGTCCGGAGATTCCCAAGGATCTAAGGATCGCCAAGAATGCCAGGGGTCCCAAGAGTCCCAAGAGTCCCAAGAGTCCCAAGACCTTGAAAAAGACTTTAAAGACTTCAAAGATTTTAGAGACTCCCAAAAGTCCGAGGGTATCCAAGAAAAGCCCCAAAGGCTCCAAGATTCCCAAGAGCCCAGGGGTGGTCCCGCCTAATGTCCGTTCTTGGGCGCTGGCGGTTGCTGCCGCCGAGCAAAAGGAATCGGACCTGGACCAGAACTTCCGCTTCCTCCGCACTAGCCTCGCCGCCATGGAAAACCACCTAGATGAACTCTGGAATGCAGTCAAGAGCGTGCCTGGCGCCGTGAAGGATACCGTGTCCAGCATGCTTGACAGGCAGACCAGGGGGCTAGGGAAGGAGCTTGACAAGGCCAAGAAGGAGCGCGACACCGCCGCCCAGGCCAAGATCCGGCAGGAGTACCGAGACGAGATTGAAAAGCTCCTGCGCGAGAAGACAGAGCTCGAGCAACTACTGGCGGCCGAGTCCGAAAAGCTGCGGGCAGCCAGGGAGGAGGTCGCCCAAGCGCGGAGGGCCCTGGACGACGACTACTCCGCCGTGATGTTCAACGGCCGGCGAAGCGTCAAGTCGATAGACGGCAAGAAACGAGTCGACGCGATCCGGACGCTGTTCGACACGCTGCGCAAGTCACTCTTCGCTTTTGCCAGCAGCGAAGCCATCAACGTCGGCCGGCGGCCCAACATGCGATTCGAAGAAGACGAGGCCCCGCTGACCAATGAGGCGCAGGCGTTTCACGACCGGAGCGTCTGGAACAGCTTGACGGAGAAGCAGCGCATGTTCCGCGTCATGGGCAAGATGTTCCAGATCCTGTTCCGCCGGATTCTGCGCCCCGGCTACCACACCTTCGGCCTGGAAGGCTTCTTGGGCATACAGAAGGACGGCCCAATTCTGGCACCGGAATGGCAGCTTCGCAACCTCGAAGCAGAGCTGAGGAAGCGCAATGGTAAGTGCCACCTCACTCTCTCCAATACTTCGAGAGGCCTGCATCCGCTTCTCGATTTGGGTGTTGCTTAGTTGTGTGACGAAAAGCTAACACAAGGGGGCCGGCAATGGCTAGTCGACGAGAATCGCATCGATGACTGGGTATCGACCACCATCCTCAACGTGTCAGGCCCGCTAAACAACGAGAATAAAGCCACCGAGGTCGTGGTCCCGACAGTGGCCAGAGAGATTAGGGAATTCCTGTCACCGATACTCCAATTCACTATCACTTTCGACAAGGACATGGTTCACCGGAATATAGCGCGGCTATGCGAGCGGGCTTTTGGGCTGAAACTCGCGATGCGCAAGGCCGGCGGACGGTGGAAAATTGAAGTCCCCGCCACCAACCCCGACGAGTGGGGAGGATCCTTGGATGCCGCGACCAACGAGCTGAGCGCGACGGACTGGATGGCGTCTCACGAGTTTGAGGTCGCCGATATGGAGGGGAAGGGGAAGAAGGTGGAGATTGCAAGTATTCCATTTGGGGCGCTGACCAAGCTCGACGCGGAGCAGACCGAGAATGGCTCAGTAGTCTGGCACAAAATAATTATGGAAAACGCGTGGGTCACGCTGAGGGGAGAGAAGCCGAGGAGAAGAGGCGCGGCAGCGCTCTGGCACAACGGAGTCGAGACACTCAAGGAGTTGTAATTTTAAGACCTCCGGGACCAGAATCGGATTTGGGCGTCTCCTAAATCGTCGTCAACCCCATCCGAGGCAGGGTCATCCTCAACGGCTAGCAACTGATGGCTTAGCTCGAGGAGCTTTTCGTTGTGCAGTCAAGTCAGAATCTCTTCGATCCCGGGAAAGAGTCTGCCCGAAAGTATACACTTAATAGCAGATATCAAGAGCCGCGCGTAATGGCCGTTATGACTCTCGCTGCACATCCGAGTCCAATCGCCGTCAGACATTTTGCGGATTATGCGGTGATGGTGCTCGGCCAGCAGCTGACCTGTCTCACAACGGAAGTGGCGATGAATCTCGTCATGAAACTTCCAGCAGCCCATGCGGCGACGCGTGCTGTAGGTGACAAACATGATTTCGTAAAAAGTGTCGAGGGCGTTTCGCTTGGTACCGAAGGAAGCATTAAGGTGTTGCCGCCTTGCCAATGGACTTGACGTCCTTCATGATACTCCCCGAGACCTCGTAGGATGCATTGACATCAGTCGCGTCCTTCTCCTTGTTGCAATTCTGTTTTTACAAGGCATTTTGAATGCGCGGGAGCATATCGTCATCGCCAAATGATACAGAGTCGTCGGTCTTGGGTTCTAACACTGGCTCTGGAGGCGGCAGTGGCGCATGCAGCCTTTCCATGTCCCGTCTGTTGTGGAGAAACGCTTCATTCAAGCCGATTTCGTTGATAGTGCGGTTAAAACGTGGCATGGAAACACACCAACTAGCAGAAAACCGATAGATTTGCTCCTCGACCGTCCCACCATCGCGCCGAGTACGGGAGAACAGCAGCTGCCGTTCCGCGCCGCCGAGAAGGTAGAAGACGGACTGAAATATGGCGTCGAGAGGCTCGGGGCTTTCCAGACGAGTCGATTCCTGAAGGACGCCCAAAAAATAAATGCCGAAGGGTTATAATTTTGATGCCATCTAACATCTCGAATATGTCCAGAAGGGCAGAGCTCGCGTTCAGAATAGTGTCCAATCGCCCGTCCTTGCCTAGCAGCACGCCTCTAATGAAGCCGGCGCTCCTGAGGGCCTGCTTCAGGATGCGACGGCTCCACTGCAAAGGCGTCGTGCAGGAATTGCTGAGGCGGAACAAATAGAGCTTTTTTCGACATCTTCGATATGCCGGTCAAAATCGGGCACATCGCCTATACCCAGCTGCAGATATGGCCGTTCTAGTGCAAATCGCTCACGCCGAGGCCGACGACGGCGCCTGCGAGCGGCTCGTATTGCAGGGCGAATCGCTTGAGCAGCTCTTTTGCCTGGTCGACGGCGAGATCGGCGATGGCGGCGTCGAGATTAGGGTGGGAACGCCGTGCAGGTGCAGCGGGCTCTAGCGAGCAGCGTGGGGTTGCATCATCTGATGGTGCTGCGGGAGGATTGGGGTTGGGGTTGTGCTGTGCGGTGTTGGACGCGGTGTTGGACGCGGTGACGTCCTGCAGCGGCACGCGTCCAGCTGCAACTGCTTCGCCATCATCCGCGTCAGTGCGGGGCTTTCTATTCGTGATGGAATCTTCAGCGGGCTGCACGCTCTTCGCAGGGGCAGGACTTGTCTTGCGCTTTTTCACCGGCATTTCGTGGGTCGCCTTAGGCTAGGATTCTTCGTTGCCTTTTGGTCGTGGAAAGAACAGAATTTCAGGTGACACCGAAAGCCGCGGGGTCATCCCACCCGAATCCCACACAGCTTGCCCAAAGATTCGTAATCCCACCTCATTCGTATCATGTTCGGATCCTACCGTAACGGACAAGAGCATATGATGGGCAGCCAGAAATTCCGGTTGCTTTCATGGAACGGGCCACTCTACTCCCTGCTTGAATAGAAAGGCGATGAGTGGATAATCTGTGGGTGTTGTGCAGCAATGCCCCGCGCCAAATGAGGCAGTGCCCATAGCGGTTATGCACCGGAAAATTCCACGAGGCTCGAAGTGGGTCCGTCCGACAGTCAATCGGGGCAAGGAGCACTCGGAACGCTGTCGCTGCCTGAAGATGCAGGCAACAAGCTTAGTCTTGGGCCGAGAGCCTCGTCCTTCCCCTCATCCAGCTGAACAATTTGCACCTGGTTTTCTTTTCAGTTTTCCTCTGTGATGCTGTGCTTTCCCGCCGCCATACCGGTTGGCCCCAGGCCATCCTCCGCCCGACTAGCGCTCCGCGATCGATGTCACTATGGATCGCGTTCGAGCAAAGCTAGGAGGCAGGAAGGCTGCCAAATCGTCCGCCCACCACGACGATGATCGCGCGACCCCGCCCGAAGACTCCGACAGCAGACGAGCCAGAGACATGGGCGAGGGGCGGTCGTCGGACAGCGCTGGCAGCAGCAGCGGCGGCGGCAGAGGCGGCGTGATGGGTCTGACACAGCTTTGGCCCGACCCTGCAATCGAGAGCATCTCCAAGGTCGAGACGGATGTCGAGTAAGAATCCCAGCTGCTCGGGTTCCATCTGCCGATTGACCCGTCTAACGCGAGCCACCCATTGCAAAAGCTGACGATGCTTTCTCGTAATATAGTGTTATTGCGATCCACGGCCTCGGCGGGCACCCGTTTAAGACCTGGTCCGAAGGAGAGAAGCTCTGGTTGCGCGACTTCTTGCCTTACAGCGCCTCTAAAACTCGCATCATGACGTTTGGGTACAATTCGGCCGTCGCATTTAGCGGGTCGAGGTCAACCATCCGCGACTTTGCGATTCAGCTGCTGGAGGACATCAAGCAGGTCCGGCGCCGTGATAAGGAGTCTGAAGTACGTCACGTCTCGAGAAAGCCGAACAATATGCCCGAGCAAAAGAGAGGAAAACAGGATTTCCTAACCAGGCACTAACACTAGTATCTTACTTCAGCGGAAAATCATTTTTATTTGCCACAGTCTAGGTGGAATCGTTTTCAAACAGGCCCTAATCGTCGCCCACGAGAAGGAAATGCGCTATCGTACCATTGGAGACTCTGTGACCGGTGTTGTGTTTCTGGGCACGCCTCACCGGGGTGCCGACATTGCATACTGGACCAAGTTGCTAGCAAAGTTTGCCAATGTCCCTCTCCTGGGTGGGATACGGAAAGATCTTCTCGGCAGTCTTGAGCCAAAGTCCAAGGAGCTCGGGACTATATGCGCGCAGTTTGTCGAGCGTGGCATGAAGCTCCAGATCTTCAGCCTCTATGAACGGCATAACTTACCCGGCTTAGGATCCCTGGTAAGCATACATTCGGCGCTCGGAGCTCGACGACTAGAACTCTAACAACTCTCTAGGTCGTTGATGACTTCTCTGCAATTCTACATCTCCCCAACGAGACCCCAATTCCCATTGACGCGGACCACCGGTCCATGTGCCGGTATCTGACCAGCTCGGATCGCAACTATCTGACTGTCGCTAACTGCATCGGGGAGCTTATTGACGCGACGTCGGGCCCATCGACGCAATCCTGTGAGTTTCTGAAGGAAAATGAGTATCTTAACGCGGGCTATTCTAATCAGGCTTTTCTACAATTTATAGACGTCGATGTCTCAGTCCGCAACTTCCTGTGGTTCTACCTGCGAGCTGTCGACGCCACCGCAATCCTGGAGCGGATTCCCGTGCACTGGGGGAAATCATCGCGTTGGTTCATGGAACACCCCGAGTTCAAATCCTGGACGACGCCTGCAGGACGTCAGGCAATCTGGTTATTCGGGCCGCCGGGGTCAGGGAAGACGGTGCTTCTGCGAAGTGTCATTGCATCCCTTTCGGCGCGTGCTGATGACCGCGAAACATCGGTGATTTGCAAGCCCATTTACTTCTTCTTTGACGACAAAGATCCCTCCCGCAGAACCTCGGACACTTTCGTTCGGTCTGTTCTGAAGCAAATCCTCGAAGACACCCGGACAAGCCACGTCTTTAGGTATTTGGAGGGATTCGATTTCAAAACCACCGCGACAAATGAAAATGGGCTTTGGAAGTGTCTCTCCGCCATCGTTGAAAAGTCTCGGGGCATCATGTTCCAACTGGTCATCGATGCAGTAGACGAGGTCATGCGTCATAGTGCTGGGTCTCCGGACAACATTATCGACAGGCTCCAGCGGCTGTTGGCTCTCGACCCGAGTGGTAGATTGCGACTCATGATTTCCGATAGGAGGCCTCCATCCTATGAATTCTCCCGCGTTGCCGATGTCGCACCTATCAGCATCGACAATGACGACACGAAGAGTAGCGTTCAGGAATGGGTCGAGGCACAAGTGCGCAAAAGTCTCGAGGCGTCAAAAGTCGCCTACTCCGCTGGGGAGCCCCTTGAAGAGAGGATCATGGACGTGTCGCAGTCGAATTTTCTTTACGCCAGACTTGCCTGGGAACAAGCAAGTGCCGGCGTAAAAACTTGGTCACGACAACGAGTCAAGGAGGCCATCGCTCGCTTGGATACGGTGTCCCACGATCTGATTGAAGTATATTGCCGCCTGTTGAAGACCATCCCCGCCACCTACAAGGAAAGGGCAAAGATTGCGTTCACTGTGCTCCGGCTCTGCAGAGAGGGTCTCACCTTTGAACAACTCGCCTTCCTCGAAGCTCTGCACGGCGAGGATTTCTCGAGACGGACTCCAACAATTTCCGAGGTTCGGGCGAAGGCAGCAGATCTCCGGCAGTACCTCTCGGAAGCTTGTGGATACCTAGTCAGGGCTTCGAAGGATGGCATGGTCAACTTCACCCATGTCTCTGTCAAGGACGTCTTTTCAGCCAACCTAGAAGACGTGCCGAAAGAGAACCGCAAGATACTGACCGATTTCTCCGTCTCAGATCAGGCTGGCAACGCCATAATGCTAGACCTCTGTATGAAGATATTTACCCTCGAGGACAGGAGTGTGAGCGTCTGGGATGATCAAGTCACTAAACTGACAGACACTCTCCAGGACCCAGGCTTGACCTTCACCCGCGATGAGCTGAATGCGAGCGGGGCCTTGAGAATCCGGAAGAAGAAACTGATCACTGCGATGGGTAAGACGCCCTGCTTCGTCTATGGGATTCGTCACTGGCTCGAGCACTACATTTCCGGGTCTTCCGATGGCAACACGTCTTTGGACAAAACCGTGACCCAATTTGCGGCCAAGAGCACCGGTTACTTCATCCACGTTCTTTGGGACAACCTGGACGTGGATGATGGACCCGTGGTTCTGAAAAAGCTGCCAGACACGCACTTGACGCGGGATTACTCCGAAGGCGCTGCTCTCTTTCGAGTTATTGCTAGAGGCGATTGCCCCAAGATTGTCAAGGCCTTTCTTCGTCGCGGCATCAATCCAAACTCAACCAATAGCGAGAAAGACTTGATATCGCTGCTTTCATGGACCATTCTCTGCGAAAGAAAGGAGTCGTTTAGGGTCCTGCTTCGGCAAGAGGACACCAACGTCAACTTCGGCCAAGGCATGGTACCCAAAGCACTTCATCATGCGGCCGGTCTGACCAACGATTCCTTTTATCTTCGGAAGCTGATTGACTACCCCGGCACAAACCTCAATGCACAGTCGGGATCGGGTACGCCACTGCATGTGGCCATCTCTACACCAAACATCGAAGGCGCAAACATTCTCCTGGATTGCCAATATGTCGATGTTTGGGCAAAGAATAGGGATGGCGTAACGACGTATTCGTTGGCGTTTAGAAATCCAATCTGGGAATCTACACTGGGCAAAATGATTGATAAAGGCGGACGTGGACATCGCCCCTTTGACGAGGTCATAAGCGGGGGCAGTCAGTTCATCGTCGCGGGGGTCCACGGATGGGTTGGCATGGAGGAGAGGATTCTCAAATACGACCCTGACCAGATCTTCGTGATCGACTACCAAACCAACATGAATGCGCTGTCGTTCTACGCTTACTACGGGCGAAAGGAGAAGGTCCTGTGGATCCTGGATCGCCTTCCTCGCCATGTTACAAAGCTTCGGTCGAGTGCCGATCAGTACGACTTTCTCGCGCTCTGTGCCAACCAAAACTGGGAGGATGTTGTCCATCTCATCCAACGACGATACAAAATCAAGTATCTCGCGTCCGACCACGTTGGCAGGTCCCTCCTCCACTGGTGAGTCCGCGAGAGCCAAAAACTTGAAAGGGTGAAAGTGACATCTCAGACTGACTGACACGACGTTATCTAGGGCTCTGGACTTCAACTGGGAGATGGGCATAATTGACTTTTCGGACTTCAGCGTGGCGGCCTTGAATGCAGTGGACCAAAATGGGCAGGCCCCAATCCACCTGGCCATTGAGACGAGGAATCTCGCTGCGCTGGAGCTCTTGGTCACTTCAGGGGCGGACCCAATGCTCAAAGACCGGCACGGGAGGACAGCAGCACACCTCGCGGCAGACATGGGATATCGAGCGGGCCTCGAATACCTCATTGAACTCCCCGATCGAGAGTATGGACGGACTCGCGAGGGAGCCTCGGTGCTTCACCTCATTGCGATATGGTTTAACCACGAGCTTGTCGAAAAGTTTATCAGAACCAAGCGAGCGAGAGTCAATGTGGTTGATAATCACCGGCGCACGCCTCTGCACTATGCAGCCATGTCGAATAACGATGAGACGGTGGCGGCGCTTCTGCAACTAGGCGCGTCTATCAATGCACGAGACGAGAGCGGGATGACACCGCTTCACGAAGCTATCCGGTGCGGCGCTGTCGAGTCAGCGCTCGTGCTGCTCGATAATGGTGCCGACTACATGACGACAGACTCTTTCAAGCAGACGTGCCTGCACCTGAGCCTCCGATACGGCTGCGATGTGCTCGTCTCAGAGTTCCTCGAGTTGGGGCTTGACATCCGGGCAGTGGACAGGTTCGGCATGACGCCTCTGCACCGAGCGTGCAGCCGAGGCAATGTCCAGCACGTTTGGATGCTCCTTCAGAAAGGAGCAAGTTTCAAAACAAAGAATCATTTTGCTCGGCGGCCCGTCGACTTGGCCGTTGAGTGGCATCATGCAGACGCTGTCAAGTCAGTCCTGTCATGGATTGACGGTTGCGGGGTGAGCGTCGAGGGAAGGAGGACTCTTCTCGACAACGCCCTTCGATTGGCGCTCGAGCTAGAGTTCTCGAATATCGCCGGAGATCTGAAGGCTGCCGGGGCTGTCTTCAACGGCACCGTAAAGGTGAGGCGACTGTACATGGAAGGGCCCAAGCCAAGCAAACGCTGGCCTTTGGCCCCCTACAGCCCTCCGAATCCGTTTCATTACCAGGTCACGCCCGATTCGGATTATCCCAACTATTTCGGCTACCAAGGTTTCGCCGATGGGATGCGCTCGCCGCCTCCGCCGCCGCCTGGGCCCGAGCCTCAACAAAGCTACTATGAGCATGGTTATCATAAGACTCCTTCTCCGCCCCGGACACCAAATCCTTTCAATGTCTACCCACCTCCGCCACCTCATATGCAATGAATGGCCATATCAGGCGGAGTCGGAAACCATTTTTTTTGAGTATTTTTTGAGTATTTTTTGGGATTTTTGAATAAATTTGAAAGGCCGAGTCTAAATTCTGCGAACCTCTCTCACCATCGCCTGGGCATCAAGTGCAAAGGACATGACGAGTGGCCTTGTACAGAGAATTCCATGCGGTCCAAGGGCGCGAACTTGCTCGCCAAAACTTGCCGCCTTGGTGAAGAGAAATCAATCATTGTGAGAAACTCGGCTTTGCTACTCAAGTCATGCTTGATGGTGTCGATCGATTTGCCTTTGAGTGGCTGCGGGGCCGGATGAATTCTGGGGGGTTTGACGAAACCCGACGGGGCCGCGGACACCTGGTAGGCCGACCCACCAACAGCCACGCATGCGGAGCCCCAATTTCCGCCAATGTACTCAGTAAGCCGCCTATCACCGACTTTGACAGGGCTTAACACCGAACGTACCCGCTTGCTGGGAAGGAATCGGCGGATGCGGCCGCGTCCCAAATCCAGCCTCAGTGTCAGCACTAAGAGATAAATAGAATACGAGCCGACACGAAATACGCTCGCACTCGGCTCCTTCATCCTTCAGATTCTTTTCTCAACATTCCTATTCCAGATAAATACGTCCATTGCCAGACCTCCTCGAGAGTTGAACTCGAAACCTCCGACTCACACGCGCACATCAAACTATTCCACCCCAACACCAACAAAGATGCATCTCATCCTCACAGGAGCCACGGGTCTTGTCGGCTCGGCGGTTCTCGATGCCATGATCAAAATGCCCGAGGTGACGCGCATCTCAGTCCTCAGCCGGCGGCCAGTCAAGATGATGGAAGCTACCAAGGACAAGCGCGTCAACTTAATCATCCACGAGGACTTTATGAAATACGACGGCAGCCTCCTCGGCCAGCTTGCCGATGCCGAGGGCTGCGTGTGGGCGTTGGGCATCAGCCAGTCGCAAGTGGGCAAAGAGTCAGTTCTATCTGCCTGCATCGGGTCAGACTCCCTCATCATAACCACACCATGGCTAACTCGAATCCCGCGCGCCCACAGAGAGTACATCAAGATCACGAAAGACTACGCGCTCGCGGCCGCCGAGGCGTTCCAGAATCTCCCGGCAGTTGCGTCGCCGGCCGACAAAAAGCCCTTCCACTTCGTCTACGTGTCGGGCGAGGGCGCGACGCACAAGCCCGGCATGCTGACGCCCATCTTCGGGCGCGTCAAGGGCGAGACGGAGCTGCGGCTGGCCGAGATGCGCCGCGCCAACCCGTACTTCCGCTCCAGCTCCCCGCGCCCCGCCATCGTCGACGCCGCAAACCACCCCGCCATCCAGCCGTACATCCCTGCCCTCGGGTTTGCCAGGAGCGCTCTCGGCACGGCCCTCACCCCGTTCATGCGCGTCTACAAGGCGGCTTGCAGCCCTACTGAGAAGCTTGGCCCGTTCTTGACGGAGATGGCCCTCGGCCGGTGGGACGGCGATGAGTTTGTCGGCAAGGGCTACGAGAGGCTCCCTGGTGGGTTTCCGATCTTGGAGAATACCGGCATGCGCAGGCTCGGGGAGTGGTGATGTCTTGTCGGGTGCTGGACTGGATTTGGCGCGCGTGGTTCTGGTTACAACTGTTTATGCTTGTTAGAATGAATATACCCGGCTTCTTCTCTCTCTGCTCTGAGACTTTGAGACTTTGAGTGGTACCCTTGTTTTGATTTCGCGCCGTCTTTCAGGGCATTCGTCGGCTCCCTCTTCGGCGGCTTGTCGGCGACGCCCATGCTCGAGACATCGTGGACGAGCAGGGGCTCGGTCTGAGATAATATGAAGAGTGGGATGTTGTTCTCGTCCGAGCTTCGTCGTTTTTTTGTGTGTTGTAGTTGATTGATGACTAGATCGTCTTCCCCAGGAAATAGAAATCGGGCAGCAAAGAAGGTTGAAGTTATATTAAAAGATAGCTGAGTTTTCCTTCGAGCTATACTTATTTTTGGTGCTGCCAATGTCGCCTAATAATTAAGGTGTGCGACGCGCACGTAGAAGAGGAATTATTGCAGCGTCACTATAACTTGGAGCCTGTTGGTTTGTTAGTTACAGTGAACCTGGGAATGCAGATAGAGGGGGGCCTAAACCTATCCTTGGACTCAGAAGTGCGTGGTGGGTGGAGACGCCGAGGGACGTCGGTTTGAAGTGAGCGGCCCAGGCGGGGGCTGCAAGCGGATCTCTCTTTCTTCCATTGCCAAAGGCTCTTGGTGGACATGAGTTGATGGGATTGCATTCCTTCCAAGCCTAGCCTGGGGTCAGGGCGGGGCCGAAGTGCGTAAAACCAGGTTGCTAATGCGTAAAATGCGCATTCGGTCAGAGGCGCGAAGGTAAGCCTGGCTTGTAATTAATACGAAGGTTCGGTTAGTCGAAATGCTTTTCCACGCCGCGCCGCCTTTGAATCCCTTCGTTTCCAGGCTATTTCCGGAATGATTGGAGACAACGGCCACAACGCGGCCATAGCTTGGGGTTTAGTGTATACGCATAGGAACAAAAATAATAGCTGAGCATGGGACTGGAGCTTGAATAATCAATTGTATTTTTGTGTGCGTCTGATAGAAGAGATTAGGCTCAGTAAATCTTTCCTTCGCTGTGCCGTGGGTTCCCGTAAAGTTCCACTTGCGATGAGTTTAGATGAGCTCCTTCTGATCCTTCTCGGCGGCGGCGGACGCAAAACCGTTGGTCTGTGCCATCTTATGACTAACCAGGCTCCCAATAGGTGTACGGGATCCCGTGCATTTAATTTTGTACGGGATCCCGTGCAATTACGTAAGCCTTCCTTTTTGGGATGCCCGCGCCGTTATCTATTCTCGCGAACGCGAACGCGTCCGCGTCGCGATGCACTCTCGCGATGCACTCAGTTCTTATCCTGTATAGTTGTAATGGCTAGTCTCTCTTCGTTTCCCGATGACTGTCTCCCACCTGAGGGTGATTACGAGTCACGAGAGGCCCTATTCCAGTCTATTAATAATTGGGCAGCAACACGGGGATATGCCTTTATTGTGGGGCGATCCACTAAGGAGAAATCAGGCAAATTGACGATTACCTACATGTGTGATCGAGCTTGCCGACCCCCAACTACATCGAAAGAACGGCAACGGAAAACAACTACCCGGCGAACCGACTGTAAGTTCTCAGTTACAGCAAAGCAATCCTTGGATCAGAGCACTTGGACCTTGAAGCATCGACCTGATCAGCAGCATTCCTTCCACAACCACGAGCCAAGTCAACACCCATCTGCACATCCAGCCCACCGGAAGCTTTCTAAAGAAGACCAATCAGTAATCGACAATCTAACGAATGCGGGGGTTACACCAAAAGATATCAGAACATACCTACATCAGTATCACACCACCTCAGCTACTCAACAAGATATTTACAACCGGATTGCAATAGCTAAGCGAGAGGCTCGTCAAGGCCAAAGTTCTATCCATGCACTAGCCAACCAACTTGACGAAGACGGCTTTTGGAGCCGGATACAATTTGCACCAGATGGCCATGTTATAGCTGTTCTTTTTGCCCACCCAGACTCAATCATATACCTTCAAACTTACCCAGATATCTTACTTCTGGATTGCACCTATAAGACCAACAAGTACGGCATGCCACTTCTTGATATCATTGGAGTTGATGCCTGCCAGCGATCTTTTTGTATTGCTTTTGCATTCCTCAACGGCGAATCAGAACAGGATTACCTCTGGGCCCTTAACCAATTACAATCCCTTTACGAGACGCATAATATACGGCTTCCCTCGGTCATTCTTACAGATCGCTGTATTGCATGTATGAATGCTGTAGCAACCTGTTTTCCAGCTGCTGCCTCACTTCTCTGTTTATGGCACGCAAATAAAGCAGTTCTCCGACGCTGTCAGCCAGCCTTCACAACCCGTCAGCCAGGCCAGCAGCCCGGGCTTGAAGCTTGGAATCAGTTCTTTGCATTCTGGCACTCAATTGTGAGCTCACTAGATGAAGCAATATTTCATCAGCAAGTACAGGAGCTTGAAAAGCAGTATCTTCCAAATCATATTGAAGAAGTTGGATATATTAAAACCACTTGGCTCGATTTATACAAGGAAAAGCTAGTCAAGGCTTGGGTTGATCAGCACCTACATTTTGGAAATGTGGTTACCTCACGGGTAGAAGGCATCCATGCGCTATTGAAGGGGTATCTCAAAAAGTCTACCCTTGATCTCTTTGAGGCATGGCGAGCAATTAAGCATGCCTTAGTCAACCAGGTTGCAGAATTACGATCCAACCAAGCTAAACAGCAGATCCGGATACCAATTGAGCTCTCTGGGTCACTCTATAGCTCAGTACATGGTTGGATATCACACGAAGCACTTCGGAAAGTTGAAGAGCAACGTAAGCTGCTCATCAAAATACCACTACCAACCTGTACGGGCTCTTTTTCTCGGTCTTACGGATTGCCTTGTGTACACACGCTTAAGACTCTACTTGATCAGGATCATGCTCTTCAATTAGATCACTTTCACCTCCATTGGCACTTACACCGTAATGGCACCCCCCAGCTACTCCTAGAGCCTCGCCAACGGATCGACCCAATTACTACGAATTCAACAATACCACGATCTAGTACTCAACGAGAGCCAAGTGGATTTGAGATAGTTGAAGCAGCTACACAATCTAAGGCATTACCTACGTGTAGTGCATGCCACGCAGTGGGGCATCGCATGAGCTCAAAGGCATGCCCCTTACGGTATGCAGGGCTAGCTGGCCCTGCTGCCGGCCCTGCTGCCGGCCTTGCTGCCGGCCCTGCTGCTGGCCCTGCTGCCGGCCCTGCTGCTGGCCTTGCTGCCGACCCTGCTGCTCCCCCTGCTGCTCCCCCTGCTTTAAGGGTTGATGACCCACGGGCTATCTAACAGCGATATACCAAAGCAAGAGAAAACTGGTATAATAACCAGCCCCGCAGCAGCATTAAGACCAACCAGCAATACCGTAAGGCAATGGGCTTACCCTCACGATATAATAAGGCAAGTTACCAATGGTGCCTAGATTACAAGCAGATGACAAAGCATTGTTATACTTCAACAGGTGTAAGGGATTGGACGAAGGAGGAGATGATGGCTTACCTGAATTGGAGTAAATCAGAGGATGAAAGGTTTGATGCTTTAGTCGCGCAGGAAATGGAAGACCAACCATTTGATACTGGAAGACGAGGGGTGGATGAAATTTGGAGAAGGGTAGAAAGGGATATTGAAGAACAGGAGGCTTTATTTTCAGGTCAAGGGTCAGAAGATTGTATCGTTGTCAAATAATTAGAATAGATCAACGGCGCGGGCATCCCAAAAAGGAAGGCTTACGTAATTGCACGGGATCCCGTACAAAATTAAATGCACGGGATCCCGTTGATGCCTGATTGAGCGAGGGAGCGCCAAGACAAGGTCATATGACCGGCACGTGTAATTTAAGTACATAGGTACATAGGGAAGCGGGGCTTACCCTGACGCGGTTAGACCGCGTCTGCCCCACCAAAGGACCACATTAAGGTCCTCGGCAGGGCAGTGCTCCCGAGCTTCCTCCCTCGATCATCAATTTACCTACCTTTTCACGAATAGCCTACCGCATTCCGTGATCTAGGTGACGATCACCCTTCACCCGTACACCTATTGGGAGCCCGAATATCGCAGATTTGTCAGCAAATATTGACGAATATGCGATAATTGATTCGTCAGCAAACAATATATTGTCGCCCACCCTGATCAAGACCCACAAACGGCGGCGGTCGCCAACTATAGGTCTCGTGCTACGTGTGGAGCCAGTCCTTCTAGCACCTAGATAGCATATAGATAGTAGTTAACAGCTTGTCCAAGTTATTTAAGCCTATAACAAGCTACTACCTCTAGCTCTTAGAAGTCGCCTGGTCTTGGAAGTCGGACCATTTCATAACTTGATTAAGGTATTATCTGAGGGTATGGCTAAGACCGAAAACTAAAAACTAACTTAACGTTCGTCCCTAAGTGGCGAAAAACCCTCTATGGCGAAAAAAATGACAGGTACTTTAACTTCGAACCAGGAAAAAGTTCCACATTGACTCGGGGCGACTGTTCTCGTTGCCCCTTGTTGTTCTCTTTGGGTTTTGTACATATTGTTGTAACCACCTTGTAATTGGCGAAGCTTTGGCGCGAGCTGTCCCTAAAAAGGGGGCCGTGTCGCGTGCTTCTTTGAACGAACCACCTCCGACCAGAGGTGCTGAGAATCGATTTCGCCGCGAATCCTACCTTTGAAGAATTCGTACTTATTTGCTACTCGGTTGTCACATGCTAGGCTCGTTCACTACTCGGTTCGTCTCATGCTAGGTTTCCTACCTTCCTCTAGGTACGTTGCCATTCCCCAGGTCAGTTCCACTCCTGCTCCTTCGGTCGGAGGAGTACAAGTCTATTGGCGGCCATCTTGGCCGCCAATGGCTTTTTCTGGGGGTTGGTCCTATTCCTTTGTGCCCTTATCACACGGTGCCTCGCCAGCACCAGTTCAACATATCGCGATGTCTCTCAAAATTCAATATAAACCGTATTTTCTAACTATTTTTGAGTACTCTGAAGCCCTCTGAATTGAAAATTACTTATAGTTATCGTCCTCGCACCTGATCTGTTAAACGCCTCCATTAACAACAAAAGAGAGTTCCGTCAATATACTTCCACCATCAAGCTTTTATCGCCTGAAATTTTATAAAGCGATTATATCCAGGACCTCAATACTACGGCAACAGTTGTCTCGAGCCTTGTGGCTGTTGTGGTGTCCAGATTATTATAAAATCGATACGCTGATCAGTACGTCCGTACTTCGGATCATAACCTGTTACAAATTTGGGTGGGTGCGAAACAACTCTAGCACAGGGTGTTTCGTAGCGGAACTCGGAAGTTACGTGACCTTGGCGCTGGCTGATATGATACAGCTCTCCCGGCCGGCATTTTGATTGGACCCGAGGTTCAGCCGAGTCTGCCCCGCCGCCGAATCGTCTTCGTGGTGCCCAACTTCAGAATTCGCCGTGGTTGCCTTCAGCCTTACAATAATCTTACCTTTTCATCCCCAATGTGCAAGCTCGACTTTCGCTCAGCTTTCTCCAGAGTGGCGTCCAACGCTCCCGCTCAAGTCACAGCTCGCTCTTCGTACCGAACGTGTTGCCTCTTCAACCTCTTCCCGACGTCCCCGATACCGACCACGGGTTCCGACGTCGAGCTCGATAGCCGATCCTCTCGATTCCCGCCGCCACCTCGCGAGCCAGACCTGCAAGCATGCGGCTCCTGCAGCGCACCGGCGGCATATTCAAGCCGACGGAGGATCTCCTTCACAATATGCCTCCCTATGCCATACTCTCGCATACATGGGGCTCCGAAGAGGTTACCTACAATGACTTGGTCGCCGGCACGGGGCAGGACAAGGCCGGCTATCAGAAGATTGAGTCCTGCGCGAAGCAGGCCAGCAGCGACGGCCTCGACTACTTCTGGGTTGACACATGCTGCATTGACAAAACTAATAGCACCGAGCTGTCTGCAGCAATCAATTCTATGTTCCGCTGGTACCAAAACGCAGCTCGATGCTACGTATATCTGTCGGACGTCTCGGTTGCTGGCTGTAGACGTAAGCGGAAGAGGAAGCAATCTGAGCCATGCGAACGGGCGTTCCGGGAGAGCAGGTGGTTCACGCGGGGTTGGACACTCCAAGAACTTCTAGCGCCAAAATTATTCGAGTTCTTCTTGAAGGATGGTCAGCGACTCGGTGACAAGAGATCTCTTAAGCAAGAGATTCACGAGAAAACAGGAATCCCGATTCTCGCACTGCACGCAACCGACTTCGCACACTTCAGCGTCGATGAGCGGTTCCAATGGGCCGCCACGCGGGAGACCACGCAAGAGGAGGACTGGGCCTATTGTCTCCTGGGTATTTTTGGCATTCACATGCCTCTTATATATGGAGAAGGGAAGGAAAACGCGGTCCGTCGGCTGAAAAGAGAGATTGCCAACCCTGATTTGCAACGAGCGCTTCGCATACTTCAAGAACACTCCGTCGGCGGTGCGGCATTCGACTCCGCCGCCGAGGGCGATGGTGCAAAGTGCTACACCGGCACCCCAGTCGACCTCCTCGCCCGCATACACGAATGGGCCGCCGACCCGGCCGCCGAGTCCATCTTCTGGCTCAACGGCATGGCCGGCACCGGAAAGTCCACCATCTCTCGCACCGTCGCGCAAACCATGTGCGAAAAGGGACAGCTCGGTGCCAGCTTCTTCTTCAAGAGAGGCGCCGGCGACCGCGCCACGACCGCGCGCTTCTTCCCCACAATCGCCGCTCAGCTGGTCCTCAGAGAGCCGTTAATGACCGCACATCTCCAAAGTGCAATCGACTCGGGCGTGCTCAGCAAGACCATGCAAGAACAGCTGGACAAGCTCATACTGGGGCCGCTCTCGGCAATCTCTCACGACGCCGCGAGCCCGTCGAGCCTTATCGTTGTGGTCGATGCCCTCGACGAGTGCGAGGGAGGTAAGGATGAGATTGGCCGCCTAATCGGCCTGCTGTTCCGCATCAAAACATTGCAGTCGGCACCCGTTAAAATCTTTATTACGAGTCGGCCCAAGCTGCCGATTCGCTTCGGCTTCAAGACTGTTGGCGAGAAATATGACGGCGTTGTTCTCCATGAGATTCTACGAGACATAGTTACACAAGATATCAGGGTATACCTGACGGTTAAGCTCACCGAAGTCAGGAATAGCTATAACGCCACGGCCATAGTGAAGCTGCAATCAGATTGGCCAGACCAGTCAAGCATCGACATCCTCGTCGACATGGCCGTCCCGCTATTCATCTTTGCCGCCACTGTCTGCCGATTCATCCAGTCAGACCACAGCTCCCCAAAGGCACAGCTCAGCAAATTTCTCCAGTATCGCAACATATCGCAGCTCGACGCTACATACCTTCCGGTCTTAAGTCAGCTGCTCTATGTCAGTGACCTCGAAAGGCATGAGGTAGTCGAAACATTTCGAGATATTGTCGGCACCATCGTTCTGCTTGAAACCCCTCTATCGATTCATTCACTTGCAAGATTCGTCCAGGAAGATGTCGGCAAAATCTACGACTCACTACAGTTACTCCACTCCGTTCTCAGCATTCCATCTGACATCAATGCTCCTATCACAACCTACCACCTTTCCTTCCGCGACTTCGTTGTCGATCCGAAAACGAAGCAGCTTACTATCGACTCAAAAAAGGGCGAGCTAAACCCATTCTGGGTGAATGAGCAAGCCACACACCGGCGAATGGCCGCAAACTGCCTGCGAATCCTCAACGGACACCTGAGGACAGATATCTGCGGAATTAAGTGGCCAGGAACCGCTCGCTCTGAGATTGATCCTCGGCGCGTTGAGATGGCCTTGTCACCTGAAGTTTAGTATGCGTGCCGCTACTGGGTGGCCCACATAAAACAAGCAAATACCATTCAGAACAAGAGCAAAAGTAGGCAAGCGAGCGTAGGGCGTACTGCAGAACAAGAATCGCTCTGTCTCAAAGACCTCGAAAGCGCTTAGGGGTTCTTGAAAACTTACTTTCTCCAGTGGCTAGAAGCATTAAGCATAATAGGAAGAGCTTCAGAAAGTATCGCCATTATAAAGACGTTACAATCCCTCGTCAAGGTAAGTCGCCTTAGTCATTTACATATTATAAGCTAACTTTAATTCATATCTAGGTCAATACACAGCTATTTAACTTTCTAAATGATGCTCTACGCCTAGTACTTGCTAATACTCTTATTATTAACTCTTCACCTCTCCAGCTATACTCGTCTGTACTTGGCTTTACGCCGCAGAGGAGTATAGCACTGGGAATGTTTGAGGAGATAATTCCTAATTGGATTTCCTTACGGCCAGAGGCTGAGACGAACTGGAGTTATTGTCTACAGATCCTTGAGGGCCATAGCGCCCCGGTCAGCTCGGTCGCGTTCTCGCCTGACTCGGCGCTCGTGGCCTCGGGCTCCTGGGATCAGACGGTACGGCTCTGGCGCAGCGATACGGGCGAGTGCGTGCAGGAACTCAAGGGCCATAGCGACTCGGTCAGCTCGGTTGCGTTCTCGCCTGACTCGGCGCTCGTGGCCTCGGGCTCCCGCGACAGGACGGTACGGCTTTGGCGTAGCGATATAGGCGAGTGCGTGCAGGAACTCAAGGGCCATAGATGGGAAGTCAACTCAGTGGCGTTCTCGCCTGACTCGGCGCTCGTGGCCTCGGCGTCCGGCGATAACACGGTCTGGCTCTGGCGCAGCGATACGGGCGAGTGCATGCAGCAGGTGGACATGGGCGCACATGTTACCGATCTTTCATTTGAGCCTGATGGTTCGCGGCTGCGTACTAGTTTTGGTGCCATTACTATACCCAAGCTGCCGTTTGTGGGCCAAACTGCAGTAACCCAAGTATCTACAGCGCCCATCATGCCCGAGTCAAGGAAAGGCTATCGCTTCGGCTACGGCTTTAGTCCAGACCGTAGCTGGATTACATGGCACGGATATAACTTGCTATGGCTACCGGCCGAGTTCCTGCATGGTAAGTTGGCTGTATCGGGATGCACGGTCGTCATTGGTTGCGATTCGGGAAGGGTCATTTTCATACGATTCAACACAGAAGCAGTGAACTGCTGTGTAGGCTTTAGTGTATCGCATCAACTATAGTAATATTTTTTTTATAACTTTGTAAAAGAGAGTTCAAGAGTAACATGAAAATATATAGTATTTTGTGTTATAATTCTAGATGATTCGAGTAGTTTCCATTTAACGCCATCACGACTTGCGGGCCAACTCGGCTGAGCCTCAGGTCCAACCAAAAACAAAAAAAACAAACCGTTTATCATATGAGCCAGCGCTAGGATCACGTGATCGAAGCCAGCCACATTCCAAATTAGCCACAGAGAGTGGCCTGTGCAAGAGTTGTTTCGCACTAACCTAAATCGTCACTCGCTTTGATCCAAGGTACTGATCTGCGCAGCGATTTAGTAGAGATCTAGACACCATAACAGCCATAAGGCTCGCGATGATTACTGGCGTAATAATGAGGCTGTAAAGCTCGGATGTGACCTCTTTATCAGTATTAGGGGTGATAAGAGCTCGATGGCGGAAGCATGTTGACGGAACTCTCTTTTGCTGTTAACGGAGACATTCTATGTATCAGGCGCGAGGACGACACCCCCTAGGTAATTTTGTAATAAGAGGGGCTCAGAATGCTCAAGAGTGGCTGGAGAATGCAACTTATATGAGTATTTGGGAAACATCGACATGTGGGGAGTTTTCGACATGTTCAAAGTCGAAGTACCTGTCATTTTTTTCGGCACAGAGGGTTTTTCGCCACGCAGGGACGGACGTTACCTGAGATATTAGAAGACCCATATCGTCATCGGAGTTTCCAGAAGCGGATCGGGGGTAGGACTTTACAGAACTAACGCCTAGGCAGAGGACACAGCGAACGCGAGTCGCAACAGGCAACGGCGCCAAAGACGAAGCTCCGCTAAGGAATTTCGATCCAAAATCACAGAGTGCAGTCATTGGAAACATAGTATCTATTGAGGCGAGCCTCTTGGTAAGCTAATCGAGCGCAAACATTCTCTCTAACAAAGAATTCCATCCCGGAAACCAAAAGGCAAGGAAAGAATCAAACCGGTGCCACGAACAAAATTCTTCTACATAGCAGCCACAAGTTCTACCTTCTCCTCCTTCCAGGCTGTTAGGCACTTGCGTTGGTTAATTGTATTAAGAGATTCGAAATCCGCCGTCACGCATTCCCGTTTCCCGTCACTATCAAGGTCCTCATAGTTGCCGATACCGAGCAATTCCAACATACCGGCGAGGAAATCCACCCTCCGCTCATCGGATATCTTAGGCCCCGGTGACAAGGATCTAGAGGATCTTGTAGCCCTCGGCTTCTAAGAATTTGAGAATCTTGTATTCTTTGGCTGCGTGGCCTCGGGGGACTTTGTTGCGGGGGTTGATCGAGATGGCGACGGTCGGCTTGTGCCAAGCGACTTCTCGCGCTGCTTCCGAACATATTTGTCGGCGAGGCCGACAGAAGGAGACCTACTCTTGGCAGGGCGAACACCGGTCTTATCCTCGATGTATCTATCCTCAGCCTCCATCGCGGCTTTATATATACCATGATCGGCATCATCTTTCCCCCATCTCTTTCGTAGTGTCGCCCGTGTCTCCCAACACTTCTTCACCCCGTCGATATTCCAGAGAATCAAAATATATGTATGGGCGTCTCTCCAGTCGTCTACCAGGTCAGGGTCGATTAGCTCCAAATAGTCACGACTAATGCCTCCTTTTCCACCTTTCCAGGCTACCCCGAAGATTCCAAGGATATGGCGTTTCGTGTACTTCGGTTTGCCGCTGTCAAGTCTCTCGTCTCCGTATCTGTTATTTCGGCTAGAAACCCTTTGATCCTTCGGCTTGTCATCCTCCTACTCCGCCGGGAAGGCAGATCTTTCCAGGCGATACCTGGCAGCTCCTTTCTTTCCGTACCTGTTGATATATCCATTAAACCTACCACCAAGCCACCCAACAGTTTCGATATCTCTCATAGCCATGGTTCCTGGAAAAGAGAATAATGCTCTGCCGTGCTTCTCATTGGAATATACTATATCGTCAATGTCAGTGTCAGTATCAGTGTCAGTATCAGAGAAAATAGAGTCAACATCACTGCCAGCTTCGCTGCCATCGCTCTCATCCCTCTCGATGGATGGCATGATGTTCGGAGATGGCGACTTTCTGGCTTTCCTCGACGTCTTCTTGGCCTTCTTCTCTGCCTCCTTCTCTGCCTCCTTCTTCTCTGCCTCACTCTTCTCTGCTTCCTTCTCTGCCTCCTTCTTGTCATCACCATCTTCCTCTTTCTGATCATCTTCGTCATCGATATCCATCTTCTGTAACTGATCGGCACTCAGAGATTCCAACTGCTCATCTCTCTGCTTGAGAGCTTCTTGGTAAAGCGCGATCATTTCTGCATTTTGCTTCTTTTCCGCCTCACGAAGCCGGTGCTCCATCTTCCTTCTGCGATTCTGCCCAGTAGGTCTGTTACCTGCCGCCATTTTGAAAGATGTATCTCTGGATTTGGGCTTGAAGAGAGGATGTATAGCTGCTGTCAGAAACACGGTGCACTCTGGAATCTTTTGGTTGCAACTGCTTGATTGAATTGCTTCTGTTGGTTCTGGCTTGCAACCAGAACCCCTTTCTCTTATAGACCTATTCCAGGTTTCAGCCTTTGTCACTGTGGTGGCTCAGGCTCACTGGCGCTCTGGCAGTGTCAGGTATCCAGTCAGCTCCGCTGACTAGATGCCCTGGACCCCTGGGCCCCCTTTTATTCTAACAGCTGCTTAGTTGATTGGCGATTGACCTGACCAACGAGCGTCATAACAATATATATATATATATATGTGTGTGTCAACACGGTCCCAAAACTGGGCTTATCCAGGTCCTCGATGAAAGAGCCCGAAAGTGGTCCATGAACCCAAATCCTGGGCATCTTAGATTCCATGTTCCAGGTCCATCGTGATCCGTACAGATTGGCCAACTTTTGGGAACCGTCTGGGTGTAGGCAGCATGAGACACATAGTGTGTAGAGCTTTGCCCCGGCGGCCAAAGCATCGGGAGCCCAAAACTTGGCTGAGTTTCGCCAAACTATAGGATAGATTTGAGCTGCGGACTATATTTGGGCCCTCAGCCCGTTGAAACCACAAGGGGAGATCTTTAGGCTATAAGTAAAGTAGTGACCGTTGAAATATAAAAAGTTGCCGAAAACACTAATTAGAAATAAATTTCTCTATTAAGGGATTTATGATGTACTCACATAAGTGGTCAAGTACCTATACATCGGTCACTGCATTTCTTACACTCATATGTTGCTCAACTCTAGTCACCTTGGCGTTGTTTAAAGAGCAGAACACGTAAGCAGGTATAGCTACACTACGAGTAAGTGTCTCCACCGATATTGTGCTTGGAAATTAACAAAGTACCCACCGCAGTTCGATTTTACCGGAATTCTTGTTCCCACTGGCTCTCAAGAGCGCCGCTATACGAAGCAAGACTTCCTTCATTCAACCCAGATTGGAGGGGTTAATTCTAACGGGCGGATTGCAACCGCAGTTCCAGGCGCAATAAGCAAGGTTGAAAGCGCTGCTAGTACAATTGCTACCACAATTCCAGCTGCCCTTGAAGCAATACTACCAAGGAACTGCTCACTCGGTACAGGGCAGTTTTGTGTTGGGCTGACCAAGAGCCTAACATGCACTCTTGACCACTACAGGAGTTGTCAAACTTGGTAAGTGTAAGGTTGGCTTGTGCGGTTATTCGCTAACGGTGGTTTATAGCTAATCCTGAAAACTGCTCTGTCGCTATTCCGGAGAACCGGCTGGCTGATACAAAAGCCTTAGGACTGGTCATGAGCAATATTATGGGTGAATGTTTAGAGGAAGGCATGGCTACTATGGGATCAACAGAGACAACACTCCGGTTGAAGAACCCTACGGACTGGTCAGCGGAGGCGATCGATTTCTTGAGTCTAACCATGACTGCCTCCGCCAGCAAGCTAGCAGAGGTACGTTGCTATCCTGATGATCGCGGATTAAGCTGACCTTACAGCACCCGTTTCTCAAAAATCCACCACAAGTTAATGAATTAGTTCCCCTAGTTGAAATAATGGGAATTAACGTTATGCATGTTGTACAGTTATGTGCCAAAACCAGTTCCCTATTAAACTCTTGCCCTTTTTATAAGTCGTGCCATCGGCCAGAACTTGGCTCGCTGTAAGCGACCAACCGAAACTCTCGAGTGGACGTGGAACGGGGATGCTCGGTTGCAAGGTCTATTCGAAGTCCTCGAGCAGACCCAGAATGGGGATGCTCGATTGCCACGGCTGCTCAAAGTTCTCGACCAGACCCAGAATGGGGATGCTCGGTGGCAAGGTCTACTCAAAGTTCTCGAGCAGACCCAAAAGGCGGCCAACCAAAACTGTCGAGTAGACCAATTATGGGAATGCTCGATTGGGGGGTCTACTCGCAGTTCGCGAGTTATCCCAATAAAGGACTACTCGATCACGAGGTTTACTCGCAGTTCGTGACTAATCCCAGTAAAGGACTACTCGACCACGGGGTTTACTCGCAGTTCGCGGGTAGTCCCAATAAAGGAAAACTCGATCACTTGCGGGTAATCTTTGGTCCGCTAAGTTCCCCTTTTCGCCCTCGAAAGTGTCCTATTTTTGGGGTCAGACGTTTCCAACGGCTCCAAAACAGGTACCTTCAAGGATTCAACCCATAAGCCTAAGAAGAGGTAATGTTCGCTTCGAAATGAAGCTAGGTCAGTTAGGAACCAGACTCCAGAAGGTAAAGTGCGAAGCGCGGGGCATAAATGCCAAGAGAATAGTGCAAAAGTTTGGCATTATTCTCTTGGCATTGTGCCCCTACGTAGAAGAGGCGGATCAGGCCTGACCCCGCGTCGGCTGTTCCGCTCGCCTTGATCTCGCGATCGCCCCAACCCCAGGTCATCTCTGTCTCACGATTCGCGTCTTGGACTCGACCGAATACAGCAATAGATTCACCAAAACCGATGGGAGACAAGGAGGCCGCTACGTCACTCCAGCGAACGTCTACGATGACTGGTGCTCTGAGAGCGTTGACGACAGATGTCAGAAGTTTACAATCGTTTGGGGGCTCAACGCAGCTACCTACCATAGACATAGCAGTAGGCCATGGGATGTCCACAGCCAGGGGTCCATCCCAACGGCCTCAAGCTTACGAAGCCCTGGTCACAACTCTTTTACCACTTCGAGGAAACCTGCCAGTCGAGCGAAAATCGCGAGAGTTTTCGGAAGGAGCGGTAGGCGGGGCAATTGCGCCCTCATGTGAGTCGATCTATGAAGAGCGCTTGGGGCGGTGACGGTTGTGAACCAGCTGCCCTCCAGAAGTGACTCCATTCGCCTGGCATAACCATTGAAACGAGAATAAAGAGCGAGTACTGTACAGTATTGGGGTAATAAACGATGAGGTCTGGGCTCTTTTTGCGTCCCTTGGCCCTAAATCGGGGTCAGAAGATATTGGGCAGCTGGAGGCCGAAAACACCGCCAATGCCCAAGCCTACAGGAACAAATGGTCCCGAAAAGCGGGCCTTTCCAGTTGTGACCAAAATTGGGGACAAGCCTAAACTACGTACCTGCAGCGGCAGAAAAAAGGTACAAAGGCATCCTGCACTGGCAGAAAAAGGTACGTACCTGCGCCGGTAGGAAAATGCACGTACCAGCAACGGTAGAAAACGGTTCGTTGTGTAACGTTAGAAAGGCACGTACTCTGTAATGGAACGAGGTGAGCGTTATTGTTAATGCATCCCCCCAAGCTCAATCTGTCAGCTTTTCCTCTATTAGATGGCATCCATATTGAAAGCATAGACTGAAGTAAATTGTTTCCTTTTTAACCTCAATAACATCACGCATCCATATCTTCTTAAAGGGTACTTTTACCGATGCTAAGTAGACGCTCTCTCCCTTCGCTGATGAGCAAGTTATCACTCTCCGCAAGCCTACATTGTAACAGCGGGTGGATTAGCAGTCGAGAAGTAGACAGATTGACTGGGACTTCCGTTCCTTCGAGGCTTAGGCTCTCAAATCGCAGCCACCAAGGTCGTGGCGACCTGCGTATCTACCTCGTCATCGTCGGACCACATGGCTCAGCCACTAGGATGTAAGCCCAGGGATCGTATACCCTGGTGCTAGCAAATCGTTGCCTATTCCAAGACTCAGCTTTGTAGGTCCCACGCATCTTCGCATCATTTTCGTTCAGCTTCATACAGATAACAAAGTGTCTCCTGGCTCCGTAACCCGGCGTGGTACGTACGTGATTCCCCATGAACTGTCACATACAGCAAGAAACTATCGAAATCCACTGTCCTTGACATGCTAATAAGACACTGAACGAACCGTCTGTGCGCTGGGATCGTGATCCTGTGTGGAAGCAAAACTCCCGTCGATCCTTCCTTGTTTTGATAAATGGCAAATCTAGCCGGGGTGGCCAGTAACGAGGCTTTGGGGCTGTGCAGCAGACACCCATACCAGGATCGCCGCAGCTCAGGTTAAAGCAGCGCCAGCTCAGGGGCATGCACGCCTACGGAAATTGCTGAGACGAACATTCGCCAAGCGCATATTGCTGTTGCAGAGTGGAAAAGTTGTTTTGCCGCTCAATTTTTGGGGGTGGCTGAATGGGTTAATAATTAACACTTCCGCCCAATAATTTCCCCTCGCCGCACATACGGAATAGTCTACAGGCAGTGGCTAATTAGCGCGTTGCGCCTCGGGAAGCATAGGAAGGTGCCACAGCGCGGGTAACGTGATCAATTCACCTACCTACATTTCTGTGATGCATTGTCACGCGCAGCAGATATAGAGCGGGCCTAAGAGGCACCTTACATACATATGTAGTAGAAGATAGGGCTGGTTGGGTTAAGTTCATAGACCAGCAAGTAGTGTTTTTCATTCATGGCGAGGACTCAAATTTTTAGGAAAAGGCGAACGCCTAAGGAAAAACCTACCCCAACCACCCACACTCCATGACATGCGCTAGGTAGCCCGTGCCGCTAAGCCTTGCCGTCATCACACAGAAAGGCTCATCCATTCTGGTAGGAAGAAAAGAGACGGGGTGGCTAGGTGGCGGGGCACTGGTGTCCTGAAATTGGGCTCAGAAGAGCATCCTCACAGCTCCACTGCCATTTCAGACTACGGCAAGTATAGCCGGGTTAACCCAAAAAAAGACCTCTTGCTCAGCCTAGCTCAGCGTGAGGCGGCAACCGCTCAGCTCCGAAGGAGGAAATGGGAATTCTCTTCGTCGGCTTTGGGGTCATGCAATGGCTGTTTCAGGGAGGTAGTTGCGCAGTTGAAGCGCATACTTTGTAATGACGAAGAATATGATATGGCCGCAAGGAAGCCTGAAGGGATGTATCTTCAAGAAAAAATGCTCATGTGGGAGAGTAGATCTCTCGAACGACGCCAAGAGCCTGTCGTTTCAGAGTACTTCGAAGGCGTAGATGACATGGACGATCATGCGAATCA